ATTATATAAGCTTAATATATTTATTAACATAAATATATATAAAATAATTTAATTTTATATTAAATATTTTACCACATTTTTAACAAGTTTTTTTAATTTTATTACATTATAAAAACTTAACATAATTAAATTTATTAATTTTATATTTAAAGTTATAAATATTATATTTTTTAATTAAAAAAAAGTTATTTTTTATTAATTTTTTTTTATAATTTTCCATATTTAATTTATTAATAATATAAATAATTTTATCCGTTATATAATATTATTTATTTTTACATTTTTTTTGTTATTTTTAATAATAAAAACGTTATGGGTAATTGTTTTAATAATTATTATTTTGTTAATATTAACGATAATATTTTTAGTTTTAATAAAAAGATTACTTTTAACCGTGTCGATGTTTATGGTTGCGGTTATAATTAGGTAAGCAATTATTATACGTTTTATAATAATTATTATATTTTTTATAACGATATTTATAATTTTTTTAACGTTTATTACGGTTATTATAACGTTTATATTAATTTTTTTATTATAATTATAAATTTTTACTTTAATTTTTATTTTTATAACTTAACTTAAATTTTTTATTAATAATTATATTCGTAATTTTATTAATTATTTTAAGCTTAATTATAACGTTACTTAATATCTTATAAATTTAACGTTTTATTATATTTATAATTAAAAGATTTATACTTTTAAAACTAAAGTTTTATTTTTTAATGTTAATTATTTAATTTTTTTATACTTTTTAACGGTTATATAAATATATAATATATTTATTTAAAATAACATTTATAATTAAAAAAAAATAAATTAATTATAAATCTTTTATTAATGCATTATATATTAATAACTTTTAATATTTCATTTTTATAAAATTAATAACGTAATATATTCGAAATAAATTTATAATCTATAACTTAAAATTAATATTTTTAAAATAATTATTTTTATTATACTTAATTTATTAAATAATTTCCATCATTTTATAAATTAAAATTTTAAATTATTTTAACAACATTTTTAAAACCTTTATATTATTTTTTAAACATTTTATTTTTTTTTTTTATAATAATATACTTATTTATTATTATTACGTAAAGCTTTTTAAAAGTTATAAGAATTTTTCTTAAATTACGTTTTTTCGTATTTATAATATTTAAATAATTTTAATAACATTAATAAATAAATATATAAATTTTTAATAAGTTTTTTTACTTAAAATAACAATATTTAATAACCTAATAATTATCGTATTTAAATTAAAGTAAAAATACCCGATATTTTAAATAAATCATTTTTTTAATTTTATTTTTTTTTTTATTATTTTTAACTACTTTTTAATAATTATTTATATATTTTTTATAACATTATTTATATTATTTATTATTTCTTTTAAATTAAAAACTTGTTTTATAGCGGCTTATATTATTAACATTATTTTAATTAACCGTTATTTTATTTTACGGTTATAACGGGAAAATAAAAGTTTTAAGTTATTAAAACTATTATTATTTAATTTATTATTAACATTTACCATTTTAAAAATTATAATAATATAATATAATTTAAAATATAACAATTAAAAAATAATAATAAAAATTAATATAAAGGTAATAATAATTTAAGTTAATTATAAATACGATAATATAATTTCGTTTAATAATTAAAAATTAAAATTATTTAATAATAAAATAAAATTTATAATAATATAAATTAATTGCGATTATAATAATATAATCGATATTTATAATATTAATACTAGGTTTATAATTATATAACTTAAAGTAAAAAAAAATAATTAAATAAATGATTTTATTATTAATATAAATAAGCTTAATATATTAATTAATAATATTAATATTATTACGGGTGGTATTAAATTTAATATTAATAATATTATTATTAATGGTATTAAATTTATTATTAATAAGTTTAATGTTAAAATTAAAAGCTTTAATGTTAAAATTAAAAGTTTTAATATTATAACCAATGGATTTAATATTAAAATTAAAAGCTTTAATAATAAAATTAATGAATTTAATAAACGTGAAAATGTAATAATAAATAATTTAATTACTTTAAAAATAATTATTTAAATATATTATTAAATAAGTTTTAAAAAATTTATAAATTTATTAATTATTATTAATAATTTAAATAATGGATAATTAATTTATTAAAAAATTAATAATTAAAAAATTAATAATTAAAAAATGAATGATTAAAAAGTAAATAATTAAGAAATAAATAATTAAAAAGTTAATTATATAATTAATAATTATGTAATTAAAAATTTTAATATAAAATGTAATAATATTAATATAAATTTTTATAAAATTAATAAAATATTTATAAAAACTTATATAAGTAATATTATAATAATTTATAAAGTAATAAAGATTTATATTAATAATATATTTATCGTTTATTTTAATATTAAAATCCGTGTTTAAATATTTAATATTATCGTTAATAATAATATTATAATAATTAATGTTAATGGAATTTAGCTTTATTTTCTTTTACTTTTATTACATTTTTTATTTAATATAAATTAACTTTTATTTTTATTATTTTAAAAAATTTTTAAATATATTTTTAAGATTTTTTATAACTTAATATTAATTTTTTATTCGGTTTAATTTAAAGTTTAAATAAAATAATTAACTTAGCTTATAAAATTTATAAAAAGATTCTTTAATATAAGAAATAAATTAATAATAAGTTATTAATTTTTTAAAGTTTATAAATATTAAATGGTTTATTTAAAATTTTTTCGAAATTTAAAATTATTAACAATTTATTTTAGGTTATATAAAAGTTTTAAATTTTTAAATATAATATAAGTATATTATTAAACTAAGATTTCCATATACATTAATAAAGGTTTTATTAATTTTACTTAAAAAAATAAATTTAAGATAATTTCGTTTAATATATATCGTATATATCGGAAAAATCGGAACTTCGGTTTTTTAAAAAAATTAATAATAAATATAAAATTATTTTTTTCCGGAATTATTAATTATACTTAATTAATATAAACTTAATAAACTTAATATATTAATTTAATAAATTTAATATACCATTTAATATTAATATATTAATATAATGAAATATAATTAATATAATTATAAAATATAACCGATATAACTTTATTAAATTATTAATAAAACTTTTTTAAAACTTAATAAATAACCGAAAAAAACTTAACTTAATAAAAACTTAAAAAATAATTAATAAAAACTTAAAAAATAATTAATATAAACTTAAAATTAACAAGAATTTAAAAAACAATTTAAGTTTATAACACGTTAAAAAAGATAATTTAATTTTAAAAATAAAGTTAATAAATATTTTTTTTTTTTTATATAAATTAAAAAAATTATATATATATAACATAAAATAAAATTCTTATAATAACTTAATAAAAAATTATATAATAATTTTTTTATTAAAATAAGTAATTTATTATACCGAAAATTTAAAATAAAAAATAAAAAAGTTTTATTTAAATAAATAATAAAAAATTAAATTAATTATTACCTTAAAAAATAACAAGAATAAAATAAAACTATTATTTAATAAAATCTTTTAATAATATTATAAATAATAATTAATTATTTTAAATTTAAATTAATTATAAGTTTTTAAAAAAAGAATTATTTATTATATTAATATAATTTTAACATATGGTTTTAAGTTTTATAATTAAATTAAAATACGAATGTATTTTATTATTTTTAAATTTTTATCGTTTTTTATATTAATTTATTTACGTTATAATAAAATTAATAATTTTATATTTTATTCGTTTTATATTTTAACTTTACCACTTAATTATTTAATATTTTATAACATTAATTTTATACGTTAAAGTTTTTTTTTTAATAATTTTAAAAATTAAAATTATTCGTTAATAATTTAAAATATATTTATTATATTATTTAATACGTTTTATAATTCTTTGCGAAAAAATATATAATTACGTTTTAATTTATTAACTTAAAATATAAATTTATAAATAATATTTTAATAATTTTTAAAAATAAATTAAAAAAATTTATTATTATTTATATTATTATTATAAAAAATATTAAAAATAAATAATATAAATTTTAACGTGAAATTTTTTAAATTAAATAAAAGTTATAAAAGTTTTTTAAAAAATAACGGGGTAAAGTTTTTAAATATTATTAAATTATTTATTTTAAAAAATTATAACCATATAAATATAATAAATAACGTAAATATTTTTTAATTAATATAATTTTTTAATAAATGTAATTTATTTAATGAAAAAAGGATTAATTATTAATAAAATTATTCCGAAAGTTTACACTTTTTTTTAAAAAATTAATTTTTTTTTTTTATATTATTATTTAATTTTTTAAAAAAAAAATTTTAATTTTAATTTTAAAAATATTAATTATACTTTTTTAAAATAATTATTATTATTATAATAAAATTAAATAAAATTATATATAAGTTATAAATTTATTATAATATTATAAATAAAAAAAAATTATTAATAATTATATTATTTAAATATTATTTAAATAAAATTAAATATTTTAATAAATGTTTAAAAATAATTTTTTTTTAAATATTAACTTAATTAAATTATATTATTTAATTAAAATAAAATAAAATAATTAAAGTTATATTATAATAAAATAATTAAAATAAAATAATATTATTAAAAAAAAATAATTAATTAAAGTTTATTATATATTATAAATTATATAAAATGTTAATAATTATTTATAATTATTTATAATTATTATTTTTTATAATTATTTATAATTTTTTTATAATTATTTTTATTTTATATTATAATTATTATAATTATTTTTATATAATTATAAATAATGGTATTTATAATTCTTTTTTACCTACCTTAATAATTTTACTAGTTTTAATCCGGAAAAAGATTTTTTTTTTTTTTTTTTTCTCAACCTGTGATAATAACCCTTTTAAAAGTTAAGCATAGTACCTGTAATTATATGAAGCGGGTTGTATGGGTAGAAAGGTTCACATCTATACGAATATCGTGCAGCTCACAACACTAGTAAAGAGGTATCGAGTAATTATTGTCTGACCCTAAGGATTTAATTCGGAATGAAACTGTGTTTATTGTTGTACAGCTATACACAAAGCGGCAAAATAGTGATCATAGCCGTTCCTCTTGTCTATCCGCATTCGCATCCGCATCCATAGGTATTCCTGGAATACCAATCCCTCTCATTTGGAAGCGCCCGTGCATTTCGTGGTTTATGATGAACCTTTAGAGGCCGACTCGACTGCGGCAGCGGCGTTGGCATCGGCTAGAGATTTCGGATCGCCCATCTTGCCGTTCTGTGAATTGAGGCATAAAACCCATCAGTCACTAGTTTCCTCAACGTTTATTTTTCGCATGCCGTATAGACGGATGACTTACATCCCACTTAGCAAATCGCAAGTCCGACTCTCCTCGTCGTTCGGCAACTATTCTCTTTTCCTCTTTTAAGCTTCGGCGCACGACGCGGGCTGCGACGGCAAGGTAGCGGTTGTAGCTATTCGGCCGGACGGACATGTTAGTAAACCGGAAGTCTTCGCATAGCTGGAAGGCTTGTTGAAATAATACCTTCCTAGAGGGAGTGCGAATTGACTTACGACAGACCGGCAGCTTTCCACGCGAACACCATTCTGACGGTTGCTCGAGGATCAATTGGGGTTGAGGATTATTTGAAGGTATCGTTGATTTGTACAGAAGCACAAAATGTAGCTGCGGCAGTCGATGGAATTGAGAAAGACCCGCACAACGCTAGTAAGCGTTGCCAGTAGTGGCCTAAGCTTTCACGTGATCAAGTATTGAATTTCCCCATCGTGAAACCCCCTTAGAGAAATAATTCACTATAATTATTATTACCTACATATACCGCTATATCCTACGTCCCTGCTCATGAGACCTATTGAGGACATTATATAATTCTTTCGTAGTCTATAGTATATATATACTCTAGAAAAAAATCATGGAGTGTGTATGTCAATGAACACACTACTTCGGTAGATATAGTAGGTAATACAGTATGTACCTGGATAGGTACTCAAAATTTCAAAGAAAATTCTAGGGGATTTATTATATGCACAGAGGTAACTTGACTCTACAGCAGCGGGTTGATCTGTTGGTACACTTTTGTTTCCCGATTTCCCTGTCTATACCTTCAGTCCAAGCTCCTCCGCAAATGGTAATGCGTGAAGGTCACCAACTGCCGCTACCGAAGCCTTACCATCGATTAGAGACTTTGCGGTCTATATCTACCGTTAGCGATGGAATTATGTAGGGGTAAGGGTATACACATACAGTTTTGAGCTTGTCCGCCGTGACACCGTTGATCGACTGGACGGTTTCGGCAATCTGGAAAGGCTTGCCAGTGTGGATGATACCCGAACCGGCAGACAGGAGGGTCGACACGCCAGACTGGCTACCCTCCAAAGCGTCGAACTTCGCCTTGGCAATTGCCTTGGTCAGGTCTTCCTTGCTCACGGTTCCCTCGGCGATGCCCTTAAGGGCCTTGACGGCCTCTGCACCGGCAGCGCGAACTGAATCCGCAGCTCCGGTGATCTGGATGGCTAGTAGGCCAGCATCAGAGTAGGCGAGGTTAGTTCCCGAGGCAGCTACTCCAGTCGAAGCCGCAGCCTTAGACAGGAGGGTGAAACCTGATGACCATTTCACGTTTGGTTGGCCACCAAGCAATGCGGCCAAAACTGCAACTTCGGGCTTGAAGGCATTGAAGCTAGAACCGGGGAATGCGATAACCAATGAGTTTCCACCTGTGTGACTTATGCGCGTCTCACCACCGTAATACGCCGTAGGTTCCGTGTAGAGTTTAACACCTTCGGGCTTTGTTGCACGTACGTTCTTAAAGAACTGTTCCGTCCACTTATGCAGAGCAGTAGTCGCAGCACCGTCTCCGATTAACGCGATATTGGGCTTACTATAAGCGGCGCTCGCGTAAGCGGCGATGGTGTATTCGTTCAACCTTTTTAGAGGAGTTGAGCTGGTCGGGTATAGGGAAGCACCAAGGCCACGGTGAAAGGCGACCGAGTGTGCCGAATCGAGAGCGAGAGCGGAAACATCGTGGGCGAGCTTAGACTGCTTCACCTTCATAACTCTCTCGACATCCTCGTGGAATTCGAACGCTACAGAACAAGTAAGTATGTTATCGAGGGCCAATGGCTTGAGACAGCTCACTGGTGTACTTAGTTTCACTGATAACCTCTGCCAGCAGTTCGGTAAAGTAGGGGAGATCTTCTCGCAAAAAGCTCGCCTCGATAACTAGTGCCTCTCGAGTGTGATATGCGAGTAATTGACCTCCTAGAAGTTCGGCTTCGCGGACGATACGTAGAGCCGATCGCTTTGTGGTGTTCTGGGGTGATCACAACTAATTAGCTCATGATAAAAAGGCCAAAATATATGGGCATCAGCTCGACTTACCTTGAAAGCGAACTCCTCCAAACCGACAGTCAAGCCGGGGACTGGCTGATACCTAGTACCTGCCTTGGCGACTACAGCGAGTTTCGTAGTCGGGCCATGGGAGTCTCTGGTAGCGACCTTGATACCAGCAACTTCGGCAGTATCATATGTCAATGCGGACGGAGCAGAGGATGCGGCGGCAGCGTAACCTCGACGCTGAGCAAGCTGCGAACAGCCTTGCCTACGTGCAGCAAGCTGGGCACCTCTAGAGAGAGCCGATCTTGAGAACATTTTAAGGGCGATGCCGTCGACAATGGGCGATTTGAGGTCTGCGACAACGACTTTTTGGGTTCGCAGATCCTTGAAAGCTTCCGAGTTCCAAGCAAAAAGATGCTCAATTTCCGGTAAATTCTCGGTTATGATCCGTGAATGAGGTACTATGGTACGTTGCTGAGGCTTAATGAGGCTAGAGTTTGGTCAGCCACTTGCAAACGGCTATGATTGGTTAGTGAAAAAATTCAGGGCGGGCAGTGGCGGGTAGGCGGGGGAGCTATCAGAATCCATTTGGGTAAGAGGGACTGGAGGGGACATTGAACCCCATCCATAAAGTTTCCATGAACCTACCATTAATTCATTCCCCGCTATCCTAAAAAAAGTAGTTGCGCTGAAATTTATTCTTACATACATACTATTCGCGCTTGCGCTGCATAATCTTCCCGTTACCAAGAACATTGAACGAACAATAAAATTCACAACTCTTCTCGCGCTATCTCCACGTCTACTGGAGAACTTTTCTTCTTTTCTACTCAGCTTCTAATGAAGCTGCGGTAGTAATTGTAGTGCTCTAGAGATAGTGAGAGGATCTCTAGAAGCCAACCACTTCGACAAATCCCCAAATCCTATCTACCTATCTATTCCCATCAAGGCTGAGTCCAAGTTCTGTCAGCCATGTTAGTTGTGAGTTAATCTCCCTTTTGAACGCTGTCAATTTTCTTTTTTTCCATGTTGCGCTAAAAGCTTTATTTATTTATTTATTTATTTACATATTCTCTTTGCACAAGATAAAAAAATACTGACAAGAACTTCAACGCCAGACAAAGAACGTCGCAGAACTTTGTGTTCTGCTAATCAGCGAGCTCTATGGCCAGCTCCCGTCGGTATGGTTATTTCCCCAAGCAAATGGATATTCTCTGGGATCTCCACCAACACCAGGCAAGTTTGGTACTGACAAGCTTGATTCTTATAGCGCATATTCGCAGACCTTCTCGCACGAGGCAGATCTACTGTCGCACAATTAGCGCAACACACATCCGTAAACCAACGACAGGTGCGCCATGGAGTCGCCGTACTCATCCAGTTGAATCTCATCTTCCACCTTACCGACCAAGACACCGGTATCACTCACTACGAAGCAAACCACCATGCCGCATACAACCTCGTCCGAATGGGAAAGGTATTGGATATGGTACGCACCAAATACGGACACCATGCGCATTACCTCGTACACGAAGTTCTTATACACGGCCATGCGAAGATCTCAGATCTCGTCGAAGCGTTCAAGAACAAACACAACACTCGCAACGGGAGTCTCAACGGAACGCTGCAAAACGGCCATAATCATGTCAATGGCCATAGTAATGGCATCGCCAATGGTTCAGATAAAGTAAAATCGGAGGATGATGCTGATGATTGGGATGACCAAGTGTATGACACACTCGCGCAGCTGATCGCCACTGGTATCCTTGAGCCAGTTATGCCGACAACGTATCAGTCCCCACAGGATCTAAGGAGCTCAGTTGAGCAAGCATACCTAGCAGACTTCCCTACCGGCATTCGAGGGTCCAAGCAAACTGCCGAATTTGAGAAGAGCGTAAGAGAGAGGCTGAAGGACATCCAAAAGAAAAACACATATCTGAAGAGAAGGCTCGAAGAGGAGATTGCGCTCGGTCCTAGCACGAAGCGCCGGAAGTTAACAAACGGTGCCATGTCAAATTCACATGTCGGCGACGGGGCTAGAAATATCGTCGCGCAACAAGTGAGTTTATCCTACAGACAGATCCGATGATAAAGCTTACTAACAGTTTTCCCTAGTTTGACACTGCTCTTCGAGTGAACTACGACAAATGCACGGTCGAGCTTCGCAATCTGAAGCTCGAGCGGTACGTAGAGGATCTGGTCGGCGACACCACGGCAAAGGTGTACGCAACATTACTTGCGGTACTGAGCAAGAAAGTCTCTCGTTGTCAAGTTGATCGATCAATAGAAGTTGAAGACGATAATGATGCCGCCGCAGAACCTCGCGTTACCAGTCAGGAGATCTTCGAGCAATTGAATCCTTCTATTGATTTATCTGCTGGTGTTGGGAAGCTACACGGCGAGGGAACCATCGACATTAAATATGCGGAGAAGCTTCGACGATATCCCCCGCAACTCAAAGGCTCGACTCTCAAGGAGACGCTAGAGGAAGACGAAGAAATCATAGGGTCAGATGACGAAGACTATGACCACAGCGGCGAGGCAGCGGACCACTTTGGACTCCACGGACAAAATGGAACGAATGGCGTGGAGGTACAAGAGGATGATGGTGTCCCAGTCGGCTCGCGGCGGTTACATGAGATGCGCCAACATCTCCTTATATTGGCCGAGAGCTCACAGGGATTCGTACGTCATTGTGGTGGGAACGATTTCGGCGAGTGGACAGTCGATTTTGAACCGCTAATACAACATCTAAAATTCCTCGAGCTTGATACGATTATCGAGAACCGTTTTGGTCGCCAGGGTCTGCGTCTCACTCGGATTCTTAGAGAGAAGGGAAAGATCGACGACAAGACGTTGCCTGGTTTGGCCCTTATGAAGAAGCCGGACGTACATGTCAAGATGGCAGAAATGGAGATGGCAGGGTTCCTTGACGTACAAGAAGTACCTCGGGACAACAATCGAGCTGCTGCTCGGACGATTTTCTTCTGGTTCTTCGACCTCGACAGAACATTGCAGCGAATATTGGATAATACCTATAAGTCCATGGTACGCTGCTTTCAACGACTAGAAGTTGAGCGTCAAAAGAAGAAGGGTGTGCTTGAGATGGCCGAGCGCAAAGACGTACAAGGCGTGGAGGAGGATAGACTCAGGGGCGACGTATATAACGACTACATCCAGTTACTCGACATCGAGAAGAAGCTCCTCGGCCAAGTGGCGAAACTCGACGACATTGTATCCGTCTTTAGGGATTTCTAAATTTCATTCTCCCATATGATACCAGGATTGGGGGGGAAATGTTGCATTTGCATTGGCGGCGTTGGTTCACGGAAGTCTGGCCCAAGGGCTTAAAAGTGTCTTTGCGTTAAAGATTCGACTAGCCATCGATTCTGAGTTTTGGCATATATAGGATCACGTCATGGATTCTACATGTGTCGCGATAGTTGACAAATGTAATTATAGTTGGCTAGGTAGCATAAGAAGCTTTCTAGTTATTAGGGATAATGGCTATAGCTTCTTTCTACAGGCTGTTCTATTTTACGCTACTTTATTTGAATGTCGGTGGCTTTGATCCAGCATGACATGGCCGGCATCTTACCTCGGTAGTAACCTTCCCAGGTCAATAATCTTTCTAATATTGGCGCCCATCATCATAGTAACTATTAGGTACCTACCCCTATCCTCCAGCTTCCGCATCTTGCACGGCGCATCCATGGATGTAGCTTCTTAGAGGGGTAGGTAGGTGCGGAACCTTATCGCCGGGTATGATAAGCCTAGATCGTCCCAAGGACCCCTGAAGCTTCCCCAAGCTCCCCGCTATTTTATCTAGTGCGGTGCTAGAATTGGTCGCAAATATCGAGATTTTTTTTTCCTTATAAATCTTCGGCGCAATTGAAATTTTACTCTTGTGCGCTTCTCCCCGCCGAGTCCGCAGTCGTTGATATCCTCGCAGCTCGTCCTCAAGGGCCCCAAGACAATTCCTCTAGCCTTTTATTCCGTCAAATCTAGGTAGCCGGACAACCTATTTCCTAAGAATATAATAATATTCGACGGAATCGTCTTACATCCCCAATAAGTCACAATGGCGCCTATGGTCACTGGCAAAGAGCGCGAGTCGAATCTCGCTCGACTCCTCGGCTCCGGTAAGCTGGATAGTATGCTAGATATCATGGCGATAGCTAATTGAATTGATGCAGGCTCCGCCGGCATTGCCGAATTGGGTGTCTTCCATCCCGTGCGTGCTTATGCATCTCGAACCGTTGCGTCGCAAGACTAACAAGTCCCAAGGTCGATACCATCGCGAAGCGACTGATGAGTAACACGACGAAGGTGCGAACAACCGAACTGTAACACTGGGATATCATACAATACTGACCGCGTTGTAGATCAGGAATGCTAGCGAGCTGAACAAGGTTATCTTCAAGGAGAAGGCAGAGGCGCCATTTGGTCGCAAATTCTTTTCCCTCTTTCCGGGTCTCGGTTATGCCGCGGGATACAAGGTCAGAATTGCGCCCGTATCTCATAGTGAGTGGAAGGGTAACTAGCTAAATACCCGGATTAGGTCTCCCAAAGAATCTACAAGTATGGTGGCCAGCCAATTGCTCGGGACTACCTTGCGGCGCACTACGGCAAGGACTTCGAGAGCGCATTCGGAAAGAAGACCGGAAAGGCAATTATGCACTCGACTGCTGGAAGGTAAACTTTGAAGTAAAGAATTTTTCAAGTCTGGCGCACTCATTGACGTGTTTTAGTCTGATCGGTATCGGCGAGATCGTCCTGCTTCCCTTGGATGTGTTGAAGATCAAGCGGCAAACGAACCCGGACGCATTCCGCGGACGTGGTATCTTCAAGATTATCGCTGATGAGGGCTTTGGATTATACAGAGGTTGGGGATGGACCGCAGCCCGAAATGCCCCTGGATCGTTCGCGGTACGCTTGACTACACAGGTTTACCTCGTGCTCAACTAACATTAGACAGCTTTTTGGTGGCTCGGCCTTCACGAAGGAATACCTCTTCAAGTTAAACGACTACAACAAGGCATCATGGTTCCAGAACTTCGTCGCTTCCATTGCCGGTGCCTCAGCTTCTTTGGTCGTCTCCGCGCCCCTGGACGTCATCAAGACTCGTATTCAGAACCGGAATTTCGAGAATCCCGAAAGTGGTTTCCGAATCTTGTCTAACATGGCCAAGAATGAAGGGTTCTCCAGTTTCTTCAAGGGATTGGTGCCCAAGGTAAGATTTTCGTATTATTTTACATGTTGCTTGTGCTAATCTTTTATAGCTCCTCATGACTGGACCGAAGCTTGTATTCTCATTCTGGCTTGCCCAAACTCTGATCCCTGCATTTGACACAATGCTGAAATAGAGTGTCTCCTGCAGTATTAGGGAGCGCATGGGATTTGGAAAGTGTAATGATAGATCTGGGCACCAATAGTCCGCTACATGTATATATGACGGAGCCGGCGTTTTCGGTCGTGGATACTAGCGATTCGACCGGTTTGGACTTATTAGATGGTCACAGAGACTCTAAGAGGATAGATGAGGAATTTCTCTCTACAGGATGAAATGAACAAATAAAAACTCGACTCTAACCAATATCCCCTAAGGGATGCCTTTTATTATTTGAGATGTTATCATCGGAATTATGAGTATCGTACGATACGACGAGACCTTGAAGATATAAATGAAATCGACTAGGCATATTAACTCGTTGTTATTCCTTACGTACCTATCATCATGTTCATGTTTGCCCTTCTCTTTTTCAAATCCAAAGCGACCAATCTCTCCTTTGACATTCTCTCCCCCTTTTTAGGGACGCAGCAATATCAAATATACAAAGCATTCGAGACCTTGTTGTCATCACGTAATAGAGCGTTTCTCTATTCCAATTGGACATAAATTTCCAAGTTCCTGGTGGTGATTCAGAAACTATTAATCTTATTATGGTCAATTCCCGAGTTAAGTCCTTAGGTTTGCATCCGTCTCTCCTTGGTCGCTTTCGACCATACTATGAGGAAATACCCGGCGATTATCCGACTTAAAATACAACTAGCGCACACAAGCTTTCAATATAGGATCCAATAAGAACCCCTTTAATCACCAAGGTCCGTTGGCCCAATGGTAAGGCGTCTGACTACGACTACCAGCAGTAATCAGGAGATTCTGGGTTCGACCCCCAGGCGGACCTTCACTTTTGCCACTTTTCTAAGCGATCAATGGCAAGCGCCTTTCGTCTCTTTTTTTCGTTAAGTAATTTAGGGCAAGCTGTTAACAACAATCATGAAGGGTTCTCAGAAACACTAACGGGATTACTTTATTGAGGAGTTTATATTTCAACAGGCATGATCCTAGCGATGTCGGTTCCAACCAACCTAATGAACTCAACAACTGTAGTAGAAATATTCATGGAGATTCTATGTTTGCTATAATGCTTACATGCTACCATACGATTATCAAGCTCTTCTCATTAGGCCACCAAGTGTCTTAGTAATATAAAACAGAAAGCGAAAAAGGGGATCGGGTACATATTGTATTAGAGAGCGGAGATCTACTTCCCAAAGACAGATTCACAATGTACTTACACCGCATTGTTTTATTCCATGGTCATATTCAATGCCTAGGCGTTGAGGGATTGAATGAGAAACTTAGAATATCCTTATGGCTATCCCACATTCATTGTAATCCGTGCAGTATTATATACATAGACTACCATTGCTATCAGGGATCGAGCCCTCAGTTGTTAACTTGGTTAGTTTCGAGTGAAAGGTAGATACAAGAGGCCTGCGAGTGGCTCGCAGGTAGTAGTAGTATTAGAGTTGGTATTGACGCCGGGGAACCGCTACTTGAACGTAGCTATCCCAAAGCCTCCTTGAGGGCATAGGAGGTGTGCTAGGGCTCACATTTATACTCCATCCAACGCACAAACGTGTATCACATCGGCGTAGCCTTCTCAGCAACCTATCTAACAACCCAAGTCCGAAGATGCGCGCTGTAGCGATTCATGCTGTGGGTAGGGGTTGGTAGTTGACTACCTGTATTATTAATAGATAATGGAGCGTCTACTTTTAAGGCGAAGTTTGAGGTATTCATAGACGGAACTTCAGTTCTATGACACCATTAAAATGCTATAAAATAGGGTTTTTGGCGACATTGTAACGTATGATTTTCTATATAAGTATTGTCAGGAGCTCAGAGAAAGGGGCTAAATACCAGTTAGTCAACTGCTGCCTGTATGATACCTAGGACGAATATATAAGGGGTCGAAGGCCCCAAATAGCCTTAAGAAAGGGACAGGTGTTAATCAAGGTCTTCTATTACATATAAGCGAGCCAAAGGCAAGCTACCTGCTACTCTCACTCACTGTGACACAGTTTTCAACGACGGGCCCACCCTTGACGAGTCTTGAGCTTATGATTGGAAACTTTCCCAAGCGTAATATTATCATCATTCTTCCTGGCAAAAGGCGGAACTAAAGAGAAGGGGAATAACGACGTCGTCGCGCGAGGATCTCTAGACTCTCTTGTACAGGGGCTACGGTATACGTACAGGAAAGGCCATTTGTCCACCCTGCCCTTAGACCAGCTACCACCAGGTCTCCATAGAATCTCCTACGGTCTCCCATGGGTCGAACTCCCGTCCTTCTAGAGCCCTAGCTACTAGCCAACTCACCAGACCAAAGCTGTGACACTTCCTAATATACCCGCACTAGACACCACCCCTAACCCCTTTTCCTTTACACTATCGTGTACTGCTTGATATAACCCATTCTATGGTCTTGCGGCTTCCACGCATGAATAGTTACTATCAAGTAAATCGCCATTTGTTTAAGTTTCCAACTGATTTATAATCGTACCATCTTGCTGTATCGAAGAATATAGTCAATCCCAACCGTTTAGTCGACTCAACATCAGTATTTTTCAAATCGTCAAATACCTAATAGTGTATCGTAAATACCTATATTCGTCAGAGCTAGCAAGTTCTATGCTTCCCTTTTGTCCCTAAAGCTTAGAGCTATAAGAGTCACTCAACCTCAAGAGCAAAGTTGCGCAACGTGACAGTTGACAGGGACAAACAAGCAGCGACCTTATAACGAATGCATGAATTCCCTAGTAGCTTCGTCCTTTGGATTTCTAGTTTGTCCGTTTTCGCAAAAGGAAGACCCTGAATGAACTTTGCCATTATGAGCCAAGAAAACCGATATTATTTGAATATGATTTAACCCCGCAAAATTTACTCAGTCTACTTTCCAATACGGGTAACAAAAGGGGGTAGGTATCAATCTAGCAAAAAATGAAAAAGAGAAGGTCCGCCTGGGGGTCGAACCCAGAATCTCCTGATTAACAGTTGGTAGTCGTAGTCAGACGCCTTACCATTGGGCCAACGGACCGATGTTAAAAGCGATAATTATGATTGCATATATCTATTTGTTGCAACTATCTGTGGTCCGAGGATTTTAGCGCATTTAGCTGTAATAGACAGTATGAATTTGCGTGGTAAGTATACTGTGGCCGGATTTTTAGGTAGTAAAAACGATATTAATCTACATGTTTTTGATGATGGTGTAGCCCCGAGTAGGCATGATTCAAGAATTCTCTTACTTCCCTCGAGCAAGATCAAAGAAGCCCACTTGGCCAATGATAGCACACTATGCGAGTCTCACCGACTGTTCTACTGTTCTGGCTAGGTTCTTAACCTGCTGTAATCCTTGGTGATTCGAATCGGGCCAGAGGGAATAAGAAAGCGTAGTTTGAAAGAAGTTGCTCGAATTGTTTAACAAGTGATATGTAGTATTCGCAATCTTCATTCCATAGCATTTTTGATAGAAATGATAAGGGGTGATTTGATAGGGGACTCCGAGTTCTCCTCCGTTTATCTTGCACGGGGTTCCGGATCAGGCCCCGGGTTGTGTTCGGAAGACTCCGCCAGGCATGGACGATACCTACCTATCCTAAGGGCAATTGGACGCATGGTAATCCTTGGTAGATATCGGATGACCTGACTGTTAATTCCGGGTCCTTCCTCGAGGTTAGTGTAGGATTAATTATGAACCGGCCGTAAAGATGACTTTTGCCAACTTCTATGATATAGAAACATCTATCCTTATCTTCTAAAGTTGTAGATCGTGGATTCAAAGTTTTTAGGCTAGCAGGTTCGAAAACATATAATGCTCGCGAACGGCTCTTGATTTACATGTATACATGGCACCATATTTTCGGAATATTAATCTAAATAAGATGGGGAGATGGGACGCAGGTGGGGGATATCTTCAAAGTGGATTCTAACCAAGTCATGCAGGTTATGGTATCAATGTCTTTGTAAACAATCTGACAATGTAGTAAAGTGCGCTTGAGAGCCAACAGAGGCGATGATATGGTGGAGCTTGTGTGGTGAAGGTAGTAGATGAGTAATTTATTGATATTGTACAGTTACTACTCTATGGCTGGACGTGTGCTGCGTGTGGTGATGAACCGTAGGGCACGATGTGACGAGAATGGAAAATTGAAAATCATTAAAAATAAAATGCAAAGAGCGGCAGGGTACATCGGTACATAGGTCTCGCTAAGTGGTTGCGTATGGTTGGCCCAAGCTTTGGTTGCTGGGGCAGCGACGTTGTGACGTTGCAGATCAATAAAACTTGATTGGGATTGGGCAGGCGCTCGATTGTTTGTCCACACAGTCCCACACAAGAAAGTACGCAAGAGCGGGACAACCGTTAATAATAACAATAGCAGTTAGCACTATGTATGTATGTAGGCACAGAGCCGTAGCTGCTTCCCGTCGTCACATATTACCAGGAACCTTCTTAGATGAACCCCCATGCTCCGTTTTTTTCTTTGTCTAATCTTCAAATCCATCATATCCATCATCAATCCCACTTCTCAACTTAACAGTCATATTTGACTGATTAAACACTAAACATCGATTCTTTGAATTCCCGCTTCGACGGGATTAGCCTAGGCTAATTATTTACCACACAATTGCTAGATATCTCACATAGTGATACGGCTTCTGGCCGCATCGCAAATTCGCAAGTCGGAGACTCAACATTCCATCCCATCAAACAGAAACAACAGATGATGGCGCCGGTCGAGCGTGACGCACCGGTCGACCGCCCTCTAAGACATCAACATTCTTCTTCAATCGGAGCTATTGTGCCAATGTACGTTTCCTCTTTGTTTCTATCGCAGGTATTCAGCAATGTGGCTGTATCGTAGACTTACCAAGAGTTCTAGGTGGGATAGCTCTGATCCGGAGCGGGCGCCGCCCCCTCTACCAATGAATCCTCAGTCGCCAGGCGTAGGACCATCGCGGAGCGGCACGTCGCTAGCTATCCAATCTGCGCACGCCGCCCTGACTGAGAAGGCGCGCGAGCACGCACTTGTCCCCTCGCTCGCAAAACGTATGAACGACACATCACCTGATCGCGCTCTCGTTCAGAGAACAACAAGTCCTCATAAGCGAATGCAATCTGTGCAACCAGGCAGTGTTAGAGACCTTAGCCTGATGATCGAAGGCTCAAGGGATCGCGACTCTGCGAACTCCACCCCTCGAGGCTCACCTGAGAAAGATAGGTCTGCGAGATCACAAACAAGACCACAAACACCAACTCGTGGCAGGGACTACGAGAGAGAGGCAAGGTCGGCTGAAAAAGAGAACACAGCCCCTGGCACACCTACACCCATGGCGCCAAATCTGAGCTCGATGGTTCGCCCCTCTTCGAGGAGGCCGCCGCAGAGCATCCTTGGTGAAAATACGCCACCGCAATCTGCCACCATGCTGGCATTGCAAAATATGCCTTCCGTATCATCGCGAGATACTGAGACTCCCTTAGCAAACGTCACAAACAATTCTGCTCCTATGATGAAGCCGCATCCCTCCACAGAACATCTTTCCAACCAACTTCTCACCCTAACCAACATTGCAACCGCTCTCCAGAAGGAAATGTCTCAGCTTAGCCGTCGAAGTAGAGACAATGCTACAGACTTGATGAGCCTCAAAGAGGCTACGCACGCTAGAGATGAAGATATTCGAAAGAGTCTACGCGAGCTAGCTTTGAATTCTGGTTCGGAGACTTCTCGGTATCATCGAGACACCTATACTGGCGGTTTGTATCTTGACAACAAGCCTTTCAACAACATGTCGCCCGGACCAGGGAAGATGGGAAGACCAATCTCACTTCCAAGGATCCCGTCGCCGAATAGTTTCGCGGCCTCCATTGATCGAGAGTCGGTCTTAAGCACACCATCTCTTGTGAGCGGAGAATCTTCGCCTGCGACAATGGCCTTGCTCGAAAAGATCATCAGGGACATGGGCACAAAAGATGGCCAAGACTCAATTGTTGGCCGCCTGTCTGAATTAGCCGAGAGATTATCTGGTATGGCTTCAGCTGATAAAGTGGAAGAGCTTATCCACCATCTGAAAACATCCAGCGAACACACAGTCCACCCCACAAATGGCGGCCGACTGGACAAGGCAAGGTCTATGAGTTTCAGTAGTGATGATTCCGGATCTAAAATCAGCAGCGTGGTGAACCACCGAGTCGAAAAATTGATGAATGGCAAAGATCCTCGGCGACCATCGGTTACAACACGAGTAAACGACGTTTTGAATGATGATATTGTCAAGGTTATTCGTGCTGTTAAAGACAGCGTTGCTCAGGCAGGAGGCATGACGGCTGAGGTTAAAGCCCTTGTCCGGGAGCTCCGGGGTGAAGTTCTTGGGATGGGAAGGGAAATCAGCAGGAAACTGGATGACTGGCACGGTAAATCCCCCAGCAAAAGCGAAACTGCTAGTCGGGCGGAGCTAGCGAGAATTGTGGAGGAAGGTTTGGAACAGATAAGGGTTTACATGGCACATCGTCTTCGAGATCACAGACGAGTATCATCTGAGATAGAGAAGCCTGCCATCGATTACCAGGAGATCTACAACGCACTAAGGACTGCTCTGAGCGACTCAGAAGCCACACGAAACCACGACCCAAAACTAAGCCGAGACGATGTCATTGAGGCCGTTAAGGATGCGTGGGAGAATTATAAACCTGAGATCGAAATCCAACAGATTGGATTAGAGCGGGACGAGGTTCTTGATTGCCTCAAGGAAGGGCTGGAACAGTACGCTCCACGTCAAGATACCCCCCAAGGTGCGACACGGGATGAAGTATTCCAAGCAATTGTCGAAGGGCTTAAGCATTTCGTGCCCCCACAAATTGATACACCGGCTAGTATCTCCCGGGAAGAAGTAATCGAGGCCGTTAGGGAATGTCTCGAGGACTTCGAGTTCCCAATTGCACCTTCGACGAACGATCTAACTCGCGACGATGTATTGGACGCCGTCAAAGAGGGCATAACCTCCACCCAAAGCACCGCGCTGGTGCCTCATGGCGGTGAAAATACCGAGATTGCTGAACGACTTCACGATATCATGCAGTATATGCGGGAAGAGTTCAAGGCCGTTTCCGAGGAGGCGAAGCAAAATGTTGCTGCAAATGGAAGAGACACAGAGCAGGTCTTGGACGCCACCCGGGATGGGTTTGATCAGCTACGAACGCATATGGAAGGTTATATCAACCAAGCCGTCGGGCCCTCCAGCCATGAGGAGCTTATGGCTAACCTAGAGAATGGGTTTGAACAACTTCGCGCACACATGGACGAGTTTGTCGAAAAAGTCTCAGGTGCATCTGGCCAAGACGAATTAATGACAAGTATTGCTAGCAACCTCGAGAAACTACGGGCACACGTAGAAAGCTCCGCCGACAAAGCTCCTAGTGTCTCTACTTCCCCGGACCAGGAGGAGCTCATGATAAATCTCACCACCAATTTCGATCAGCTGCGAGAGCACATGGAAAGCTACGTCGATAAGGCTTCTGGCGCTTCCAACCAAGAGGAACTCATGAGTAATGTTGTCAACAGCTTCGATATCTTCAAGGAGGAGGTATCGGAGCTTGTTGCCAAAGCCTCGGATGGCTCCAGGGACATGATCAGGCAAGAAATTGAGTGTCTTCGAGATACAGTGAACTCTTCACTTGTCCCTCACGTACCACAAATGAGCGACAATAGAGATGTTCTGGAAGCAATCCGTGACAGTATCGAAAGAATTCGCGGAGAACTACTCCGTCCCCATGCCGGTACCACGGATATCCTTGACGCTTTACACGAGGGCTTCAGCGACTTACGACTCAGTATCGAGAAGGTAGCCGACAAACCGGCTGACCTGACAGCCAATGACGAAATCCTTGATGCGCTTAAGTCCGGATTAGATGGCGTTCAAACAAACATCGACTCTCTTCGTGAAAACAACCAGGAAAAAGCCGTGGCTACCGTGGCTCCTGCTGAGGAGTCAACAAGCACTGCTCTGATTCCTGCTGATCTCGTCAAGCACGACGACATCAAAAACCTCGAGGTTATGATGATCCAACTCCGGACTAAGATGGAGTCTATGGAGGCACCACAACCCCCGCCAGCAGCCGAGGGCCTGTCCAAAGATGATCTTGCTGAGTTGGAGGAGATGCTCAAGAACGGCTTGTCTAAAGAGGATCTAAACGAAATGGAGGAAATGCTCCGGAACATGCAAGAATCGATGGCCGGTATGTCAGGCGTGTCAAGCAGTAGAGACAAAGACGGCGAGCCTTCTGGCCCCCCAGCAAACCCCGAAGATGCTGCTACCAAGGAGGACGTGCTGGCCATTGAAACAATCCTTCGAAACGCTAAAGCTCGCCTTGATGAGTTAGTTGACGGCGAACAAGCTGTCCGAAAAGATCATGTTGATGCAGTTGAGGCACTGGTGCTCGAGACCAAAGACTCTCTGGCGGTGCTCGCTGGACAGCTAGAGACAGTTTCTCGAAAGGAAGATATTCTCTCTGTCGAATCTCTTGTTACCCAGATAACCACTTCATTGAATGAGGCAAAAGAACGTGCCGAAAAATCTCTCGAAGACCCCGACAAGGTTACCAAGACCCACGTTGCTGCAGTTGCGGCGGCCGTCCTCGAGGTCAAGTCGCTTCTTGAGCAGATGGTTAATTCTAACATCGCAGCTCTTCCCTCGAAAGATGATATCAGGAATCTAGAGGACGTTGTTAAGGAGCTTAAGGAGAACTCTACGTCCCTTGCCGAATCCAATGCGGTGGCGTTTCAAGAACAACAAGAAGGAACCGCCGATGTTGGTGAGCGAGTCACGGAAGTCAAGGCCTTCTTGGAAGAGTTCCAGGGCTTGGTTAAGGAAAGACTCGAGACCGGCGGTAACGCTGTTGAGTCCTTAGGCAAACTTCTCGAGGGCATAAGCGAAACGGTGCACCAGAATTCCGACGTCGGTAGCAACCTAAAGGAGATGTTTGAACTAGTGAAAACAGAATTCGAGGAATCTAAGTCTAGCGTGGTGGGTGCTAAGATGGACACCGATGAGAAAATCAAGGAATCCACCGAGGCATTAGGATGCAAGCTCGAAGAGAAAATCAGCGAGCTTGTGACGAAGTATGACGATTTCCAACTTGTTTTGGAAGATAGGTCGAAGACTTCGGAAGAGAGAGACGAAGGCATGAAAGCGGCAATGGTCAACACAAATACGATCGCGGAAGAACTTAAGGTCCTAATCGATACTCTTGGGTCAACTGTCACCGACTCCCTCGAGAAGATGGAAGAAGCATCGAAAACTGTCTTCGAGAAGGTCGAAACACTTTACGGCAAAGCCGAGGAAAACCATGCGGATGGCAAGAACGAGCATCAAATGACTCGCGATCATGTCAAGCAGGCCATCAGCGCTGTAGAGGGCCTCCAGGGCCATGTCGGCGATTATCAGCCAAAGATCCTTGATTCGATTAAGGAAGTACTTCTCATTGTCGGACAACACTACGAGCATTCGAGAGCTTCGGAGAATGGCATCTTGCAAAAGATTGAGGATGCCAAACCTGAACCCCTACTCCTGCCCCCTCCTCCCGAGAAATACGATGATAGCCTGGTGCAGTCAAAACTTGACAAATTGGACAGCGAGATGCTCACGATTCGGGAAAATTTGGACAGTGGAATGCACTCGAAGTTAGACAAGCTAGTCGACCACACAAACACTGCTAACAAGGCTTATGCCCAGCTGTATACTCTCGACATGGTGCACCAGCAGGTTGTCAAGACAGCTGCTGATATCGCGGAATTCCTTTCGTCTCAAAAACAGCGCATTAATGACGAGCATGATGACCGTGAAAAGACTCTTCAAGAGACGACAATCCAACTGGAGCGTTCGAAAGCCGAGAAAGATCAAGTCGAAACTAACCTCTTGTATCTCAAAGATGAGGAAGCCCAATTGCGCGATACCATCCTCGCACTAAGGGCTGAGCAAGATTCGCTCGTCCGACAGAAGACTCGATTAACCGCGGACGTCTCTTCTCTCGAGACTGCTCTACATCTTCGACGGGAAGAACTCCACGCTATGGACGCACGGGCTGAAGGCCTGGAGCGTAGGATACTTGAAGGTGTCCTAGACCATTCTCGTGCCTTACTCATGACGAAGTCCTCCTTCAAGGGCCGCGAAGCTATGAGCCGCAAACGAGTACCCGGTGCTAGATCTAGCTTAGGACCTTCCGACGACCTGAACTCTACTCCTAAACAGGCCAAACCTCGGGCAGTTAATATGGCTATGAATAATGGTCGAGCTAGTCTTGTCCCACAAAACCCTGCAGGCACCGGTCGCCGGATTCTGAGTCTCAGCCAGATTACAAATAACGTACCTACGGGTGGCCTTAAGCGCAGTCAGAGCGTTCGTACCCCGGCTGGTACAGGAGTACGAAAGAGCAGCTGGGCACCAGGGAAAAGCGGTGCTCGTAAGGACTATGGCGACCTGGACATGGACAAGGAGAACGTGGACCTAGTACGCGAGAGTGATGAGGAGGCGCGCGAAGATTCGCCTGCTGCCGAGTCAGAGCCTGACACACCTGTAGGAGAGGAAACTGTAATAGTTGGAAATGATGCAACTGGCAAAACTCCGGCCGAGGAGGACCCTACGGAGATGTCACCCGAGCCCGATGGTGAGGACGTCTACGACGACGAGGAAACAGAAGGAGGAGAGAGCGAGGCTGGGACGACCGTTATGACAGGTACGGCAACTGAGAGCGGGTACATTAGCGATGACCAAAGTCACAGTGAGTGGGCTGAGAGCGCCGTCGGCGTAGACAGCGTCATCTCTGAAAGCATTGCCGATACTGATAGTATCACAGGCGATGGGGAAGTTTTGGTGTATAATACCTAATGGATCTCTTGTATCACTCGACACGAGATTCTAGCTCTTGGGGGTCAATTGGGGAAAGAAAGGGGCGGGGAGTTCTGTTATGGAGTACGACGGGACGGCTTCACCTGCTTCTCTTTTTTTCCCGGTCACGTTTTGCTCATCACGGTCGTTGGATGAGGTTGGGGGGTGGTGGGTTCCTTATGCTTGGGAAGGGGACGAGGTTTTATGTCTTTGGTACGTCTGCTTGTCTTTCGTCGTATGAGGGCGTCTGGCACGTGGATGAACGAAAGAGGTGTCGGAGGGGGTGAATGGAAGGGATATCAATTTTGTTATTTTTTTTTTATCGGGGGGTTTTTTTCCTCCTCACTCGTCGTCGTTTGCGTTTTCATCCCTCTTGAATTGGTTTTACGTCTACATACCTAGTAGTAGTTTAGTCACGCTACGTATTCAAATGGAAACGGGGCATGGATCACACTGATTTAAACATATACCCGTCTAACCTAAGGCTTTAAAGTCTAGGTAGGCAGGTGGCCTGCTGCTCAAAGGGGGGAGAGAGATTATTAAGATTGTTCAAATATCGGAAAAGCAGCAGCAGAAGGGGTCTGGAGGAGGTTGTATGAGTAGGAGTAGGAGTTGGAGTAAGAGGAGACGGAGGAGCAGGTCCTGCTTCTTCATACCTAGTCTTTAGTACATAGGCATATTCATGATAATGACGACGAACGATATTTCCATTATTTTTCATATGAGCGACGTTCAAGTGACTTACCCCCTTTTACTGTTGCCATTGCCCTTGTGTTATTCGTTTGCTCCATAAGAGATGTAGATACTGTAATTCGTGCTATGTGCATCATGCCTTGCTCCGCCTTCCCGTCGTTGTTTTAGGAGATATGTAATTTACACAATGTTTGCCCACTTCGCCATTACTATTCAACCACAATCAAGCTTTTATTCAGGTAAAGGTGACTAACGAACCTATTCCTTCCCTATGTACGTATGTACGTATGCATGCATGTATGCATGTACCTACCTACCCACCCCCTACTGCCGTCGATGCTTCATCTCAATCTTCTCCCTCCCACCCATCCACGGCCGCAGGATCTCGGGTATAGTCACACTCATATCCGCCTCATCCCAGCCGTTCTCCAGCACAGCGGCCAAGACACGCGGGACAGCGAGCGCAGTCCCGTTCACGGTCCACGGATACGTCATCTTTTTTGCCGTCCTCAGCCGCGTGGCGAGCCGGCGCGTCTGGTAATCCGTGCACACGCTCGCGCTCGTAACCTCGCCCCAGCCATCGCGCTCGCCCCCGACGTGCTCCGGGTCGCGGCGGCTCGGGAAAAACGCCTCGATGTCGACCTTGCGGTAAGCAGAAGCGCCGAGGTCCGCCGTCGGCATCTCGAGGACGCGGCAGTGCAGGCCGAGCCCCCGCAGGATCTCCTTCTGCAGGCCGAGCATCTCGTTGAAGACGTCCTTCGTCGCGGCCAACTCGGGCCGCGTCCACGCGAACATCTCCACTTTCGTGAACTCGTGCACGCGGTACAGGCCCTTGGTGTCGGCGCCCCGCGCGCCCGCCTCGGCGCGGTAGCACCGCGACACGGCGACGTGCTTGAGCGGGACGTCGGCCTCCTCGAGGACGGAGTCGGCCTTCATTCCCGCGAGCGGGATCTCCGCCGTGCCGGCGAGGCAGAGCTCAGGTTTCTCCGGCTGGCCCTTGAGCGCGTAGATCTGCTGCTCACCGTTCTGGTCGCGCGGCTGGAACCCGCACGCCGCGCCGATGTGGCTGTACACGATGCTCGGCGGGGACACCTGGCGCCAGCCCAGCCCCTTCTTCGTTGCGACGGCGAGCGCGTAGTTGACGAGCGCCTGCTCGAGCTGCGCGCCCTCGTCCACGAGGAAGTACCAGCCCCACCCGGACGTCGTGGCCGCGCCCGCGAAGTCCAGGATGCCGAGCTCGGACCCGATGTGCACGTGCGACCGCCAGACGCGGTCCGACGACGAGGGCTCGGGCTCCGGGTGGTCGTTGATGAAGCTCAGGACGCGGGGCTCGTCGCCGCGCGGCGTCTGAGCGCTCGTCAGGTTCGGGATCGCGAGCGCGAGCTCGGTCGCCTGCGCTTTGTAGCGGTCTTCGTCTGCTACGATCGCCGAGAGCTTTTTCTTAACGATGCGCGCTTTTTCGATGAGTTGCTCTTTGCTCATGGATTTGATGTCGCCGTCTGGGGTTGTGCCATCGGGTGTCTCTCCCGACTTAGACTTCGATTCCGTCTCTTCGTCCTCTTGTTGGATGGTTGCCGCTATCTGCCGGCGCAGAGCGTTGCCTCGTTCGCGCAGGCTCCTGCTGTCTATCCGGCTGGCTTGCAATTGCGCGAATAACTCAATTATGCGCGAGGGGTATGCGCTCTGGGCCTTATAATTCCGCTCTTTGCAGTTTTTTTTGTACAACGAGGGGTTCCCCCGGATGTGTTTGATATCTATATTAGGCTTTGGGGCGGTTGGGGGTCGCGATTGAATGAGGATGTCATTGGATTTGGAATTGGCACTGTCTGTGCTAGTCGTGGAGTTATATCTACGGCTAGAGCTAGAGAGTAGACGTGTTGTTGTGAAATCACGGAGGAGTCGTTGCCTTTTGGGAAGCCGAACCAAATGGCATTGAAGGCACATAAAAGGTGCTTTAGGAGCCTTGATCATGGCGACAGAGATATGCAGTGAAAATCTCAACGCATTAGAGATAAATGGGAAGTAAAGGTATCGAGGATTAATGGCGCAACGTGGGACGTTGAAGTTGAAAAGCTGAAAAGTTCAAACCTGGTTCGATTCGCGGATCTTTTTTGGAGTAGCTTCCTTCACTCCCCGCACTTTACAGGGGTAGCTCTGTCTCCACATCCACATCTCCGGGGCCACATGCTGGTCGTGAATGCCGTGCCATATATAACCTGGGTTAGGTTCACAAGGCAGGAATCATGTAGGTAGGTACGGATGAACGGGTACATGTATCTACGGAATAAGAGTGAGAATTGTCCATAAATACCCGAATATCCAAGAAATTCAATATGTCAAGTCGCAGAACAAGGCAGGAATTAGGAATAACCGGGCTTTAATAAGTAAAGCTTTCTCTAAAAGTCCCAAGACATGTGACAGGGTATCTCTACAACCAAAACTCGTAAAAGTCCCCTTTTCATCGTTTCTCGTTATTCGGAAAGACATAATCATTTCTAATCCCTTAAACGTTAAATAGAACCCCATACTCCCAGAGTCCAGTTGTTACTGGTTTGGGAGGCCTGACCCCTAATCAGACCTCCTGCACCCATACTCTGCCTCTGTTGTGCCTTAATGTCGACTTCGCTAGGACGGCTTGCCCCATTGACGCCTTGTTGGAGCCAAAGCTCGCGGTCAATCGTAGCTAAAGCTGGGACCTTGAGCTGCGCTGCCATGCTAGCACCACACCAAGGGCCCAGTGAATCGAGAACCCGGAGCGTTCCTTGCACAATGGGCTTATAATTCCTATCCTTTTTGATCAATTCCTCTACTTGATCAACCTCAGGGGGTGCATGGGCCGGATTAACAGGCGGCGCCGTTTCTCCCCCTTCTGTATTGCTACTCTCGGCCTGGACAGGTACAGGAATGGGTCCTTCGCCCGATTGACGACTGCCATTCCGTTGTAATTTCGGGTTTGTCTTGTATTGTTCAACCCCTTTTCCCCGAATAGGGTCCCAGCCCTGTTCTTTAGCCAACGTGGAAACTTCGTCAAAGATGCGCCCTTTAAGTCCAATGATATTGGAGCAGCCGCCTGTAAAGATAATACGTGACATGCAAATTGCGCGTACATCTAATGGCAGTTGTAGAAGAGCCCTGTAAGCGAGTAGGTGCACAGGAATCTCATGATCGTCGAAGCAACATGGGGAAAGGTGAGGTTCGAAAAAGACGGCTTCGCATGGTTCGGCCAATTCCGCGAACGGAATTTCCACCGTCTTTGGGGGCTTGCAAGAGTTGAGGGTAATTGTCATAGGAGAGCGATCTTCCGACGGTGCTACTGTTTCGGTCTCGTCCTGTTCGTGAAGCGTTGCCAATCCTTCAGGGGTGTCTTGTGCCAGTTGTCCTGGGGCCCGTTTGCACCAGAGCATACGAGTTGCGAATTCCTCGCACTCCTCGAAGCTTACAGCATGATCCTCTAACTTATCCTCGGGGTGCTCTGTACGTGCTGTACCCGGCCGCCCACGGATAGTATTAGTCAGGAATTCGAACGTCTCTTCTACTAAGAGCTTGCCAGCTCTGACAGTCCTCCAAGTATGCACTTCTCTATACTCATAAACAGCAGTAATTGTCGTCTCATGCCAACCAATATCGATAACAAGGGCTGATCGAGAGCCCGCGGCGAAGGCAGACATGACGGGAGACGAAAGAAGCGATATAGTAGGTGCCTGGAAGCGGTTGAAGACGGTGTCGAAAACGGAGGAGATGAGTGGTATAGGGAGTGTCGGCGGTAATACTAGCGTTATTCTTCTCGGTCGAGAATCGATGAGCAGATACCTAGAAACGAATATGTCAATTCCAACGACTTGAATAATATAAGAGTATCAAAACGAGCAAACGTACTTGGTGAAAGCATCTCTAAGCTCGCGCTCAAGTTTATCTCCGATTAAAGCCAGATCCTGGCCCCTCACGTCTAGTTGCCACAATTCGTGATCGGCTCCCCAAGGCTTTCCGGAAGCCCTCTTGCGCCAGTCAGCCTGGTAGCCAATATCCCAAGCCCTAAAATCTCCGGCACGTCTCTGTTGCTCCGGACCAAACGACACAATCCTCTTAGGAGCTGGGTCGCCCGCAAAACCAATACGCAATTTCCGCGATCCTAATTCGATGATGATTAGTTCATCATCGGCGCGTAGTGTAGAGGGCGATCCAAAGGACGAGGGCACAATCGTTCGCGGAGGCGTGTGCGGCGTGCTTGGTAGCGCTTGAACTGACGAACGGTCGCCGGCTCGTATACTAGATACAGTACGGTGGGGGAGACTGGCTCCTGCGCTCGACGACATTTTGGATTTATTCGTGTGTAGTAACTTTGAAGCTTCCTTCCCTACGCAGGTTACATGTTGGAATTTAACAACGTGAGCCCATTGTGTTTCGTTTTATTTCATTTTATTTCTGGTCGTTTGCAGGTTTTAGATTTCATTGCTTCAAACCCCCTGTACCTGGTGCTACCCGACCTAACAGCCTAAGCATGTTATGCACGTACCGATGGGCGGGTCTAGCTTGCTTGCAGCAGATGTTCCACTAAAGATCCCTGCACGGACGCCGTTGCTAGTGGATACCAAAGACGTCAAAGTCAACATTAGAGTTCAAAAACTTCAGTCCTTGCATACCTAGCTCAATACTTCACCGACCTAATTCCACTTTTACTTTTTAAACCCTTATTTAATTGTCTTAATCCCGTGACTATTACACGTCGAAATACTCATACTGCAAAGTTGTAGTCTTCAATTCTTATTATCAAACCACTCCTCGAAAGCGGATTCGTTTGTAAACAACGCCCATGGCTAGGTAGCTTGTCTCGCCGATTCGGTTAAAGGGCCTTCACAATGGGGATCAAGGGGTCGGTTCTAATGACAATCTTGAGCTACACATTACGGATTATTGAGCTAACATCGACATAGGATATATAAGGAGATTGGCACTGGAAAGCGGATATCTCTAACGAAGCTTGCCGTCGAGAAGCTCGAAGAGACAGGCCGACCCTTCCGTCTAGCGATAGACATATCCATTTGGCAGTTTCAAGCTCAGGCTGCTCGAGGTGCGACAGTTGACTGCTAGCTCATACTTAACTGGTATACTAACAACACCAGGCGGCTCCAACCCCGCCATTCGGACGCTGTTCTACAGACTTGTAAGACTACTCGGCTTGTCCATACAGCCTATCTTCGTTTTTGATGGCCCCAACAAGCCAGCTTTCAAGCGGAACAAGCGGTCTGGTCGAGGTGATGGCGTTGCCACCTCTATGGCTAAACGAATGATCAAATTGTTCGGCTTCAAAATACATGACGCCCCCGGCGAAGCAGAAGCTGAATGCGCTCTCCTGCAGCAAACAGGTATTGTTGACGCAGTTCTCAGCGAAGATGTCGATACCATCATGTTTGGATGTACACGAACACTTAGGAACTGGTCTTCTGAGGGTACAAAAGGAAGCAAAACACCCACTCACGTCTCCATGTACGACACCGAAGGGCTACAGAAGAGCGGAGCCGGACTGGATCGAGAAGGGATGGTCCTAGTCGCACTGATGAGTGGTGGTGATTACCTTCCAGAAGGTATTCCTGGTGCCGGTGTCAAGTTAGCTTGCGAGGCTGCTCGGGCAGGATTCGGAAAATCCCTCTGTAGGTTGAAGAAGTCTGATGCGTCCGAAATAGCCAGCTGGAAAGAGTGGTTGACTTTCGAACTGCGGTATAATGAGAGTGGTTTCTTCAGGACAAGACATAAGGCCCTTTCCGTACCTGAGAGCTTTCCAAATTTCGACATTCTCGGGTACTACACTCATCCTGTAGTATCGCGCGCGTCGACTCTAGATAGATTGAAAGGCGAATCCTGGGATCATCCGGTTGATATTCAGGGGTTACGCGAATTCGTGCGAGAAACTTTCGACTGGAATTATCGAATAGGGGCGATCAAGTTTATCAGGGTTCTAGCACCATCTTTGTTGGTACGAAAGATGATGTCTCGGAATACCCAAGGTGGCAACGGAACAAAACCAATTGAGATCCTAGAGAAGGAAGAATCGGAACTGGTCAGATCGATCACAAGCAAGCGCGCTCATTTCAGCACGGATGCCACACCGGAACTACGAATATCGTTTATTCCAACTAAGATCGTCGGTTATGATTTTCAGGAAGAACCGGACGAAGTAATAGAATACGGGCGAGATGGTCTGGCACTCAACAGTGACGACGAATTTGATGCTATGGCTGAGGAAGAAGGAGCAGACGCCATTGCGAAGAGCAGCAGCAAGAAGCCATTCAATCCAACTGAACCAGATCTATCTTGGATACCAGAGACTATAGGGAAACTCAGCATACCTATCACCGTTGAGGACTGGGAGGAAGCACAACGAGCCAAGGTCGCGAAAGCCGCAGCTCGCCAAAAGCTAAAGACTACGAAGCCAAAGGGGAAGTCTGCGGGTACGACCGCCAGCTTAGACAAGTTCGTCAAGGTCACGAAAAATATCCCACAAGGTGAAGAAACAAATAAGACTATTGCGCCAACATTCTTGGGACCGCCATCTCCAGTCCGGGCTGGGAACTCACGTGGCACTTCTGCGGTACCTTCGCAGATTCTGGCACCCCTTCTCTCCTCTAGCCAGACCTCACAAAACGCGCGGCCTACAAGATCCAGTAAGCAGTCCAAATCCAAGTCCAAACCCAGGAATGCTTCCCCAGCATCAAGGCCGGACCCGAGCATCAACCCCTGGACGATTGCTGGCTCACAAACCAGTCCTAGAGTTGCCAAGACCAAATCTACCAAAGCTTCCGAGCCCATTACCATATCCTCTAGCCCCCCTACGTCGCCTACCGCGGGTCATAATTCCTCTATGAGGCGACCCGGGAACCCTCCCGCAGAAGAGACCCCCCCAGCAGCGGTGTTGCCCTCGCTGCCGAGGCCCCATAGTTCTGTAACACCAACGAGAACGCCTCAAACGAGTAGTAGACTACTAGGTCGCCGTACAGCGGTAAGAGCCCTTAGTCCATCGCCCATGTCGAGCGAGAAGAAGCCAGTACGGAAGTTAGCAAGGACGGAAACGTTGCCCGTTACAAGATCACCTACAGAAAGTAGAGGCAGTGAACGGCAACTCGCGCGGGCACGGACAGTAGCAGTTGAAGCTGTACAAATTTTAGACTCGGAAGATGATGATGATTTCGACCTACCGCCACTTAGCAGCATTCTCGGCCCACTTCCAACACGCTCTGGTAGGAATCCATTCAACTGTCCTACTGTAGCCGAAGAACAAACGCCTCCACGGCCAACGAAGCAGAAGCAGCAACCAGGAAAGCAAGAAACGAAACAAGCCACGCTAAACAATACGTTCAACGCCACAAAGCGGACGACAAAGCTGTATATGCCTCGCAAAAGCGAACCAGGTTTCTTTAGGGAGTTAGAAGTCGACGTCGATGAGGCTAACGAGCTGCTAACGAAGGCCCGAGGTTTGGATGGTGCGGAAGCTAATGGTGGGAGAGGAGCGGCATGGAGGCGTAGCGATCTCTCGTGTATCGACTTGACGGGCGAAGATTAAGATTCACTTGAACACCTAGTCAAGGGGTACGATAAATTCAGCATATTGATGGTTAATACTACATGGACGCATTCTGGTGCGAGCATTTTTACATAGAACGCATGGTTTGGGCGACATTTGCATAACGGAAATCGGGAAATTCATAGATGCATAGAATACACTAGGATAGGGGTTCACGGCACACATAGAATTGCATAGCTAGATCGACCAGGGATCAATCTAAATTCATAATAAGGATGATGTTTATTTTTTGATAGTAGTGAATACATAGTTCCATGCTGCGTAGGCAATGTTGATAACTTCTAAAAAGACGTATGTCTTTTACCTCTCCTGTGTCAAGGGTTGAATCGATTAGACTTAAAGAAATTAAAAAAAGAAACAATTGTGCAACCTCACAATTGCGGGGATATACCCCTCCATCCCACATTAGACCGGAACAACTATATACTGTCACTCCAAGGTGACCCAAGCTCCGGGCCAACCGTTCCAAGCTCTGACATGGCTTAGGCCATGACATCCTAGAGACACCGGGGAAACGATCCCAGATATGTATGTACGGTATGTACAACATTCGTGGCTGTCCAGATTATCTTCTATGACGGAAGTGTTGTAGAGAGCTCCCTGTTGGTTTGACTTAGGTAACGCGTTATAGTAAGACAAGGTTAAGTGCTAAACTTAGGGTTAACTAGCCTAAGTGGCCAGTCCCTCATAGCTGTGGTTTGTCTGTCGGGTCCACATGGCTGTGGCGTAATCCCAACACTCCCAGCGATTGTAGTTGATTTCTTTATGGAATTGGCCGCCAGCCCGACGCATCCATGATTATCTGGTTCGGTGAACGGGACAATAGATAGGAATGCATGCTGGGTAGGATGCCGCACACATAGGCCCTTCGAGGCATCCGTCCTCGTTGAACACCTCAGGCGACATTCATCGAAATGTACAACCTCGTGATTCCAATCCTCGCCAACGAGGTGTGCTATGGCAAAGTCGACAGCTCGTACCTTAGCCTTCTCTTTCTCGGCTAGCGAGGCTGCGAGGGTATGACATTCAATTCCCACTCCTTACTAGTTCCCTTCTGGTTTCTGGCTTAATCGGACTTGATGATAGCCCTTCACGCCGTATACCCCTATTATAGATCTACGAGAGAAAGCCAGCGCTTCTCTCCGGTCAGGAGGTTCTTGTCTCTAACCAACTAACCAAGTATTGTTTATCTTCAGTCTGACTTCGCGTTTGATGCTGGAAATCATCGATGGAGCGATAATAGGAGGTCCGCCATGATGCTGAATGTCTGCGATATCGACGCTAAGTACGGAAGCCAGCATATGGTCGCTACCAAGACGTGGCCTTGCTTAGCAATCTGGTCGGCAATCTTTCTCTATTTGCCACTCCTTCTCTCCTCCACCTCCAATCGCAGTCTTTGAGTTGCGCTTCGCTGCGATGCGATGCGATGCGACGAGACAAGGACACCGATATTTGGTTTCCTCATTTAGCTTTTGTTCCATCACAGACTGGAGACGACCATCGTCATCTGGGCAGGTCCTGGTAACTTTAACCACAAAGTCCGTTTTAGGTACATGAAGACAATCTCGGTGTCTATAGTGAGGGTAACTTATCGGTCGACCCATTCAAATTCGAAGATGAACGGGCCTCGATAAGTTGTGAGTCCTCATAGACCAATGTGAAATCGAGGTGGCAACAGCGCAGTGGAATGCTTGACCGCTCATTGATATTATTCGGTTCCAGTACATAGGCTCTCATGTAGGTAGGCTTGACTCTGTGAAGCTACCATATGGAGCATTCGGCCAAAGGTGGTTGTATTTTCTGTGTCGCACGTGGAGTGCGCACACTGTTAAGTTTACCTAAGGTGGCTCTGGCTTCTTCCCCTTCTCAAACCATCCGTATCAATATCTGACATGAATGAAAGAGCGAAGAGAGCCTTTTTATCACTCTCTTCATTAATCGAAAAGTTCATTCGAGGGATAGCATCGGTTGTCGCCCACTTTCTTTGCGCAATTTTCCACGAGGAAAAGACGTCCTTGTTGTTGATCGTTGCGCGCTGAGCTCACTGTTTCACGAAATTGAGTGCTTTTCTGGCTGTCCTGCTTCTTGCTAACATTACACGTCCGGGTAGGACCACATAATAAGTGTCGTAGTTGGTTAAGAGCTTTGTGGAAATTTGAAGGCTTGAAGAGGTTATCGGCTCCGGGTGAGAAGACTTCTTCGCGCATGGTAAACGAATATATTCATCTTCTTAGGCGCTGCCGTCTATACTTAATCACTAGAGCGTTCGTGGTTGCTTGGAAGGATAATGGCACCCAAATGTTCCCTCCACAAGGACGGCTCTTATTGTATTCGGCACAGCGGGTTCCGCGCACGGCGTGTCTTGTTCCTTTGATTGGGGCCTTCTTCGTTGGTGCCATTGCAAGCTGCCCTCTCTTTATACCAGTTGCCCAGGGAGATGCGGCGTCAAGATGCCCACCACACAAAAACGGCAGAACAGTCGTCCTCAGGCCCACATCTTCATGCAATTTAACAAGCGCGATTAAAGATTCTTAAATGTACGTTGAAAGAATCTCATCCGCCTAGATAAAAGAAGATGAGAGGTATCCCTGAAAGATCCCAGGTTGGGTGTACCATGAATGTGGGTCCAGGAGCGTTTTCTCTATTCCAGGGCATCCTGGATAATGTTGAACGATGATCGCCAACTTCCCTGTGTCTCTCTTCCTCTGGATCTTCAGTTATCTATTGTAACTGATGGTTCTATTCGAAGCTAAGCGCCGATAATTAACAGGGACGAGTTAAGATTGATAAATCTTATTAAAGAATAAGGAGAGGGTCGTTAATAACGTCTCCATCCTGTTTGTTAAATATTAGTCGTATACGCCATACAATGATGAAGCTTGACGCAGTGTTAGTCGATTCCCTTGATAGGTACCGTATCAAGGGGGTTATATCACATTCTTAAATGTGAAAGCTTCCTTTGCGAGCTGGGAGAAACAGATGTCCCTTTCTTTAGCCCAAGGCACAACTCCCGACAGCTTGAGCGCAGCTTTCTCTTGCTGGCCATAGCCTTTTGTCCAAGGTACTTCCACTGCAGGTTTCGCAGTGCTGTCGAGCATTTCTCCGTCTCTTGTATCATACCGTTCAAGTGGCCCGTCTCCCAAGTTCACTGTTTTCCCGTCTTGAGAGTGATCTCTTGGGATGTCTTGGGAAGCTTTTCTCATCGTCCTCGACGTTTTATCGCGCATAATGAGAACGTCCACTAGGTACATATTGGCCAGTGATGAATCTGTTGGAGTAGTATCCTTCGGCGTCCGGGTTAAGGCCACGTAGGTATGTACTAAACGCCCAGCGATTGGTCGCCATTATTTTCGGATTGGGCAACTTCCCAAGATCCATTAGCATCCCGGTGGTTTTATTAACCGTTGCCAGTGGTTCTCTGTCAGGATCCCGGCAACCAAGCCGATATGGCCGAGATGGTCAAGGGCCGTCATAAGTATTTCTAATTGTGCATAAAGACCCGAGCGACACTTAAATCGGATACGGTACTGCTCACTCCCTGCCACCTCCCTCTGCCTATGATGGAGGAAGCGTTCTGAGGTATTGGAAGCGCTCTAAGGATAGTAGAGTGAGCAGAATAGTATTCCACCAAGCCTCTTGTCGTTCTGCATCATGTATCCGCTTATAGATAGCCTTTATATATGATCATGCCTCGCAATAAATTAGCATGAGTTCCACATACTCCTTCTGAATAAAAGAGAATAAGAACTGCTAATGTTTCTAGGTCGTGTAAAGCACCGCATTCAATGTAAGCTTTGGCGAGCTTCGACCCTTTGTAGATAAAAATAGCTTGAGCTGTCTTGAACGTGACCGAGGAAACATGAATAGTCTGTTGGTAAAATACCACACTATGCTGAAGAGCTGTGGGAATTTGATAGCTCTCGCGTTGAGATCCGTCGAGTGTACTGACCGGTTCTGATTGCTTCGTCCAACTTGGTGGCATGAACCACACGTCGTCTAGGTTCCATGGAAGGTTCCGGATTGGCTGCGTCGGTGGGCATGCTGAAAACCTCACTGAAAGCACAGGTTGTTGCGGAGTTCATTCATTGGAGGGATCTGTCAACTACAGTTTTCCTCACTAACATTAGACGCCATTGTGAATTTGCGAACACAACGGCCCAGCACGCCCTTGATGCTTGAAGGCGAGACACTCCTCTCTTCCGTAATCTTGCAGATGTTGCAACGTGACTGTGGAGTGTGGTCGAAAGTCACCGCGGAGAATTGACTTGAACGGGCTAATTGTTGATAGGCGCTACAAATGGGCGCCGGTGTTCTCAGACTGGCCTTATCTGTACCTAGCAAATCGACAATGCCGGTAGGATGTAAGTCGATGGTTGCAGCTATCCACTCCCAGGTGTTTTGTTAAGATCATCATCGATGATATGGTGGAGTAAGAAAGTTGGACTAGGATCAAAGTTGTAGTCGTCTCTGCTTATTGGGGTCTTTATTAAGGTAATGATGCCCGCGTTCATCGTGCTTCTTCTTAGGCACTTCTCCAAGATGGAGGATTATGAAGAGAATATGGTGAGAGATGTAATCGTCAAATTCTTCACACAGCCTCCTACTCATCGCAATCTTTCTGACGCGACGGAGTATGTAGGAAGACGGAACCGAGGAAACGTGAGTTTTTAGAAGATAGTATGTGCACAATTAATAGAATAAATTACATTATTAATAGTTTGACTCGGCTTGCGCGACTTTTTTTTAGATAGGTATTATACAAGGATAGGAACCGATTTTGTGAGTAGGAAGAAGAATGTAAAGGAAAGCAAGTTCAAGGATCTGGGGCTGTTATATAGTTTTCACGTCTGGTACTTTATAGCAGGGCAGGTGACGACAGCCACCGTATAGTTTGATCCCTAGCGCCGTGTAAATAGATCACAGAGGGAGAAAGACACGATATCGCTGTTCTATCATACTAAATTGTACACAAGCATAGTGCGAAGTTACTTTGAACAAGGATCAATTATCCTTAAGGTAAAGAATGACGGTTATAAAGCTAGGTATGACGTTCAACATGGGACAACTACTGAACTTAGACAAGATATGCTCATATAAAAGCATTGGGAAATAACGTCATTATATAGGATTCATCCCATTTGCTATGAACTTTACACGCACGGTACCCTTTCTGCCATTCTCTCTGCGGGGAAAACTTCTCATGATAGTAAAATTTTGTCCCTCATGACCTATGTTTGTCATATTTAAAACAGCTCATGATATATAATTACGTAAATAGCAAATGTTCCTAATGGACAGTTGTCATCACTGCTTGCCAATTTCAAAGGATACTTCAACTGCTTATCATTGATACATCTTGCTCAACCTAAGAAGATTCTCCTAGCAAAGCCTATACGGGTATTCCAACCTTAACTGGTAGTTGTATATAGGCGGGGTTTTATAAGTAAAATGCCATTCATCTGACACGTATCTATTCTAAACTAATCAGAACCGAGGTAGTATAGACTTCTGTTTGGTTACTATGAGTGCTTAGGTGTATCATGCTTTAGTACTGAGCAATTATATAAAAACAGCAACCAATCAAGTGGAAGTGTAATCATCATAAGAGCCAAGGCGAAAGTGGCTAACTAAAGCAATACACACATAGCATTGCTTGTATGTTTCAACGTCTTCACAATTTCATTGAATTAATACTTAATCTTCTGATTCAATCATTATATTAAGAGATTGCTATAGCGGCTCTTGTTTCTACATCCCCTATGACTTTTATGTGTATGGTGTATGTGTAGTGAATACAGTAGTAGTAACATCGAATCTCAGACGACCCAATCGTGTTTATTCTATGACACACTTTGGGTGCTGAAGAATTACCACTTCTCAGAAATCCGGCGTATCAAACACATTATATTTGCTATTCAATATGTGAAGGGTGCTTAATTCAGGAGCTGTAGGTAACCAGGAAAAGGGGTACCACGTGACCATGATGGGCTTACATAATAATAAAAAGTTTGGGCGTAATATGTCCTTCGGACGGAAAAGGGGGTAAGTCCAAATTGTTACATAACACTCAACGGCAACAACTTTGGGTAGATCAAAAAACTATCAACATCTTTCCAACTCAAAAGATTTCATTTATTTCGTATTCTAAATAGATATAAATGTGGACATAAAAAAAGCAAAAATAAATAGATATACGTATCGGTGGGTATCCTAAAAGCGATTTTTTTCATAAAAAAGATTCCGTCCATATACAACACATTGTAACGCAAATCCCGACCAAACCTGGGCCGGGCTTCTAAGGAGTAATACTGCGTCATGGTGCTCGAGGACACGTATCGCGTCCGCCACATGTAGCCAGTTTATATCGTCAACTTATATTGTTGTAAGAGAGATCACGGTGCGTGATCCGCATGTCAACGCATCCCTCGCCCAGCTCGGGAAGACTGTTTCTTCACGTCATTTTGTTTCATCTCAACCCGTGCCGTCTCATCGTATCATTTCATGTCGTTTATGGGTATGGCTCCCATAATCATCTTGTTCCGAATTTTGAATCGGTCCCTCGCTAGTCCTCAATAGCCCAAGGAAGGTCCCTTTCCATGACGCGAACACACGTTAGATAACTCGTCATCCCACTCGGGGATACGTGAACGCCAGGCCCGCCGATACTAGCGGTACTCGGCGTGGCGGCGCCGCGTTCTAGCTCGAGCTCTAATCCACTACCCATAAGCGGTCGGACGATCTCGCGAGCAGCGTGTTTCAGCTCGTCGATGCGCTTCTCGAATCGCCGAAGATTGTCACGGGAGTATAATTCGGGCGTCAATTTGAGGAACCGCTTGCAATCGTCGTGGCTGAGATATCCGGCCGCAGACCCGAGAGTACGATAGGTGCGGCCTAAGCTTGCGAGGTTTGGTGCTGTCGGTGCCGAGGCAACCACGGCATTACTTCGAGGATTACCACCGTCACGCGACGAGTGTCCCCTAGTAGAGGCGGGAGGGGGCAAAGGCGCCGGTGAAGTGTTATCAGCGAGCCACTGACGAAAGAAAGATACGGCGAGCCAATCGAGGTAAGAAGTACTAGGCGTGATGCGCTCGCCCCGGGAGTTGGTTAGATTGAGGCGGAAGAGACGACTTTCGATCCTGGATACCGTTTCTTCAAGCTCGTCTACCTTGTCTTCGATAATATCGAGTACGATATCTGGAAACGATTGTCGAATGCTCCGCTCGCCGGCGGGCCACTGTCCGACAACGTGTATCAACGCTTCTTGGAAAATGATTTTGCTCCTGCTTAGATATCCTAGTCGTAAATAGCTGACAGGGTACTTAGCGATCTGCTTCCATAACCTGCTTTGAAACTGCAACAAGTGATGATCGACCCGTGGCCCTACAACTGCTAACGCATCGTATTGGTCCGCTAATGTTAGCAGCGATTTACATTGCACGTAGGCATCGGCGATGTTAATGCTGTCTAGCATCGGCGAGTAGTTATAGAATATACGGAAGAGGTTGTCGTAATCACGAAGAAGGTCGGCGTCGGCTTGAGAAAGAGGTAGACCTTGATCGACCTTGGTTGGCACTAGAGAGAGGTTGGCGACGGAGCGGAAGAACGAGTTTGTGGAATGTGTGTGTGTATGGCTGGCCGTTCTTCGTGTAGCAGGTGTGTTTGCGGCCGTGCCTCCGCCTCCGAATATCGAATTTGATTGCGTGGAATCGGTAGAGCTAGAGGTGTTGGCTTCTTTCTGTACCAGCATCGGTATATCGTCCGCCCCACTCCCAGGATCTAATTCATACCGCCACCGTTTCCGCGGGATAGGCGAATTTGCACCCGGACGCGTAACTTCACTTCCGCCGTTAGCCGCGTCTTCTTCCCCTATCCTACTCAGCTCTCTCGAGGAGGCTTCCGGCAACGGCAACAGACTCGCTTTGGACCATTCCTGGCTCGTGCTTGCCTCGAAGAACCCGGAACATCTCGTCAACGTATGCCTATGTAGGAGGTATCTATTCTCCTTCCCGCCAGCTCTTATAAGTATCTCGACGTCTCCTGAGTGACTAAATACGGGGAATTCATTTTGCGGGACGTATGAGCTCCCTCCGGCGTGGGAGCGGTTATACCGCTTACTGCGAGAGGACGCATGGGGGCGGGAAGAGGTGCGCGCCGAAACGACGGATGAAGGGCCGCGGAGGGTAAGAGACTGATCTAATTGTGAGACCATGAATACTGGTAATTAGACGTAAATGGGGAAAAAGAGGAGCAGGCGTCTTGGATCGATGGATAGAGTCGGGACTCTGGACTTGGAGGCTTGTGAGGTCTCTGTCGTGCTCGATCCAAGTGGAAATAAGCTCGAAATAGAGACCTCCACTCGCAAGTTGGCGAGCCAGCTAACTTGTCGGTCAACTGGCAAGTCGATTAGAAGTGTTGGCGGTATGCGTAGATCGTGGATAGATCCGTCTGGTTGCGATCGGAGGAGGGAGGCGCAGTCGTTGTGGCGTACGAGATTAGCTGAGACCGTCTCTTCTCATAAACATGTAAGTTGCCTGGGTAGATTAATCGTTGATTCCTTGGAGCTAGCTAGTCCTCAATCCGAAAATGACAATGGCATTTCCCTATGTGGCTTATATGGGTCTGAATAAAAGGTGATGAGATTGAAGAATAAGATTCAAGCAAAAGAACGACCTGTCAATTCCCTTGCTTCTGAAAGTCCAGTGTCCACAGCTTGAGGCAGCTGAATGGATACGCAAAAGCACGGGACAATATGTATGCACAATATGCAGCGGGGCCAACTACCCCAGTAGCATCACGAGCGACCAGCTACCAAGTTCGGACTGTTAATTGCGCGATTGTTGTCGATTGATAGGCCGCCCGCCCTGTTGCGGCTGTGCAAGGATGCGCAAATGTTGTATGGTGTCTCTCACGATTTCGCCACAACAAGCTGGTTCATTAAGTACTGTATGTATATATGCAATTTGTTGTAGGCGGCCTCCATGAAAGGGCCAGCAATTGAAACGTTCTAGAAGAATGCCCGGAAAAATCAAGCAATAAAAGAGAAGTTGGTTGGGGAACGCGTTGTAAAAGTCGTTACGGACGAAAGCCAGATCGTATATAAATCTGCCAAACGTCGCGCTTCTTTCTGCCGCGTCCTTGTTTATTGTATTACCTACTCGAGTTTGTCTTGCACGACATGGACGTGAGCATCTATTGCTTCGACGCCTAATGCATGTGTCTTTAAAGGGATTTGAATTGGATGGTGGTCATAGCTATAATGTTGATATCTGACTTGCCCCTCGTCGCTTTCAGTGGTGGGTGAAAGCATGGATCCCGGATGCAGCGATCGGCCAGCAACGGATATCCTATCGATAGGAAGATTTATTAGCGCGAGTGCTCCGGCCACTAAGAACCAGTTGCTTGCCCGTCACCTCGACGACCTCGAAACCCGGCTCCTCATTCCTTGGAAGTGGAGGGGGGAGCTCGTCAGCCTAGCTTTTGCCTGCTTGCCCTAGTTGGTAATGCCTCGCCATGATTGGTAATCCCGGTAACGACATATTGTCTGCATAGAAGACGTCCAATCGCGGGTGGTGCGGTCGAAGCCGAAGAGATCCATCAGAAGTTGTTGGAAAGGACAAAATCTATTTGAGCAGTGGACGGAACAATGATAAATATGGTTAGGTAATCGCAACTTATAACTACATAATGTCTGTTAAATACTTAAGCGGAACCGATTCTACGTAGGTAGATTTATCGTATGATCAACTCTTTTTAAGTTAATATCTATTTATCCAGTTATCCGCACAGCGAAAATCTGCCTTGCCAAGTACATACAACGGTAAAGTTTCTTAGCTCATGCTGTCCTTTCTTCATGGCTACAAACCTGAATTTAAAGCGATATATGATAGGATGTCTATAACCATTCCTTGTGGTATAAGGAACCCTGGTCTGATCCTATTGTCTACTGGATCTAACGCTTGACATCCTGCATCCCGATCCGGGTTGGTATTGGCTTGAGTCTTGAAAATCTAACAAACGAATGCGACGCTATTGTCGCCCAACTACCTTTTTCGAATTGCTAAGGCAGCATTCCATGGGCATTCACTGGTATAAAATCTATTGGTATGCCGAATCATGGGTTAAAACTGATGAAAATGATTTCTCTTGGGCGAAAATCAGTGATGTAGAGTTCTATCGTACAAGTTAAGTATACAAGCGCCGTCGAAAGGAATAGAACTCCAGGTCCCGCGAAACTTTTTGTGGCCCAATATCCATCGGCTCGAAGTCGTGTATGTGGATGAAACCGTTAAAACCGTTAATAAAAAAGGATTAATTCAAATGAACCCGGGCCAGAACCAGCCAATTTCCAAGTTACCTCTCGCCAAGCTACGCCGGCATGTCCTACATCAAAGCAATCAGTGACCTTCTTCTCTCAGTGGTTTAGCTCATATCCATTTCGATGTCCAATGGGGCAACAGCAGACCCTTGGGGCGACGAAGCTCTAACTGGCCTGGGCGATTCAGCAGCAGACATAACCTCAGGTCCTTCGAATGTGGGAGGGGACGTCTTGAGGTTGGCGAATGTTTGGTTAAGGTCCTTGCTGACGAGTTGGCCTTGACGTAGATTCTCGGCGAATAGGAAGAAGCCTTCGGCAGCCTCAACAAGGTAGGATTGGAGGCCTTTGCTTTCCAACTGAATCTGAACATTGGTGACGGGGAAGTGGTTTTCGATGTATTTCGCCCACCCACGAGCTGCGGCTTGGATGTGTTCGTCGGTGCTGATGCGGCTCCATCCGATCCCAAGGTAAAGTGTGAAGTTGTCGATGATGGGTTGGCTGCTAGCGTCCGCTGATAGGCCGGAGGTGGATGTAGTGGGATCGATGTCACGGACTGGGCTGGAACGATTGATCTGAGGCTCGCTCTGGGGAACTGAGATGGAGTTCATGTCTAACCGCTGCGATTTATTGCTTCTTAAGGATGGTCGCCATTGTTGATTGATGGCACGGGCTTCCTCGTTCTTGCGAATATTGTCCGAGGCTGCTTTTTCTTCAACCCAGGTACCAGACTGGCTTCCTGCGTCGGCCACGTATGATGAGGGTGATTTGATGAGCACCATTCCCTCGCCATATACCCATTCATCTTCGGGCTCCTTGACGGGCTCAATCGTTTCGAGCTTAGCCTCTTCGACGTCGAGATTAACGCCAGCCTCGTCTCGGGATCGCTTGCGACCAGCGGTCGAGGAGCGGTTGATGGGAGATTGGGACCATGGCGAAGGAGCACCGAAAGCCATGGACCGGCTGAAAGGAGAAGGTTGATGCGAGAAGGGGGACATGCCGAACGCACCATGATGAGCGGCGCTTGGAGACATGGTAAGAACTGGCGACGAGGTACGTTCGAAAGAACCCATTTTGAAATCGGTTAGCACTAGATGTCAAGTGAGATACACAATAAAAACTGGTTAGAAATCAATTCCAAGTCGACGACTTGTGTGGTGTGATGGTGTCGCGTGCTGGAAGAACCGCGGGTATGGTTGGTGGTAACTGCGAGGCGGCCGGATCAAAGAACAAGAATAAGAATAAGGATGACCAATTGATCGAAGAGAAGTGAGTAGGGCTCTGGAAGATAAATATAACCTCGACGACGTGTGGCTCGACGATTATCGACAGCCTGGAGGAATTGGGGTGCAGATGGCCGCCGGCACAGTTAAGGACGAAGAGGAAGAGGTAGAGGTAGGGACGGACGGATGTATAAGTATGAGAGGGTGTGACAAGATAAGGAAGAAGCGGTATGGAGATGATCTATGTATGGAATATGTCCTGCGGGAGAGGTCAAGGACGAGGATGGGACGGAGAAGACGAGGACAAGAGAGAGGGTGAGCTATGGTTGGGTGGTGGGAGAATCATGTAAGAAATAGGGAAAGAAGAAAAAGAACCTTCAGCAGCAGTAGCGAAGCTTTCATGCGCGCATGGGACGGGACTAAATGGGAGTAAAGAGACAGGTCAGACAAGGATGGCTTGTGTTTCCAAGTTAGTGCTAGATGACGGGACCTGAGAGGAAAGAGGCACCAGAGCAAATAGGTTACACGACTAGCAGTAGCGTAGCAATGAAGGGACGTAGACGAGGAAACGGGTAAGAGTCGCAAGTAGGCTGGATGTAGGCAAGTGCACTGCTGCTATATGTGTACATAGTATTGTATGCATGTAAGCTGTGAGACGATAGACCCGGGCGGGCTGAGACTAGACCGTGTGTGAAGGTGTGACCCGCGGAGGCGTAAAAGAGAAGGTAGTGATGGGCAACGGCGCAAACGATTATGCCTCCGTCGGCTGTCGCAAACGAAGAACAAAGTACCTTTTCGCACTGAAAGTGCTGCGGAGATACATTACGTACATGATCTTAGTAACCTTAGTGAGGGTGGATCCCTGTTGGTGTGCAGCTGCAGAAGGTACGTCAATTTGCTCTCTTTTCGAAAGGCTGCTCAGACCATTCTCATGTTGAGCCTTGGAAGGAGGATCGGCGAATGCAGAGCATTCGGTAGGGCGATGGATAAACTAGGGGTACTGAGAGGACCCTGCTGGTCCTGATTGGCTGAAGGCTACTACGGCTTTGCACTAGTGTCAAGCTTAGCTTCTTGGCAATCTGGGGCCAAAAAGTTCCCACAGCAACCGGAATCTTATTGGCCGAAAATTGGCCCCGTTCTGCCCCATTCAAGAAAACTAAGACTCGTTTATTCTTAACAAGAAGAACATTGAATTATCCACCGGTTATGCCCATCGAATCATGTTGATCGCGATTTGCTGCATCGTTCCTCAAGCGCTCGTGCCAGTTTTCGTGCCGGTCCCGGAAAAAGATCCGCCTTTACCTAGGTACTCAAGTACTGATTCCAGGAAAAACTGATTTACCGATTCTATTATTTATGTACCTCGGTACACGAGTTAGGAGGGTACATATGTACAAGCAACGATTCCCACCATTACCAACATCACCAATAGAAACAGAAGGATCGTCGGAAGGATTACATTGAAGGGAAAAATGGAAGAGGTCGCGGATACGGATCTAGTGCCCGCTTGCTTCTCCTCATCTACTCTTCTCGATAACAACCCATCATTGACGATAGTATTTAGATCCGGTTTGCCCTCCAAGCTAGCTGGGCAACCTGGGTATGATCTGTTTGCGTCATCTCTTTGTAGCATTTATGCGTACCTATGCCTGTCCGCATGTTAAATGACGAGAGAGTGGGGCGGTGGTGAGATGAACACATTCATTCCGCAACAACAACACTTTTGGGGATCGTCAAATACATATATAAGACAAAGTGGGTTGCGGTCGCGCTTATGCGGCGGGCTCTGCGTGAGAAAAAAGAAAAAAAAGCCGAAGGTTTGATGGTATGCTAATGCTTAAGCCTGCTGCTGCTGCTGTTGTTGTTTCTTCGTCGTAATAATGCTGTCTTGGCCGGAACATATTCATAAGCGGTTAACCCTCAGGACACGTGATTCAACTCCAAGAAATACCCTCGCATTCTTGTTAACCTTACTCTTCTTCTCCGAAGCCTTCATCCCGGTATCTAGACGCTTCGTGGAATAATGCCGAGTCTTCACTATTCTCCAGGCCGCCGTAGAGGCCTTGAAATCCGGGTGTCTCGAGACCCGATGTACTACCAGTAGTATCCATCATCGTTCTATCGACGCTAGACCGGTGGGAGGATACCGAAGTTGAACAGTGATGAGGTGCAGTGTATGATCCGTAAAGACGGCTTCGATGACGTGCTTCTGGAAGATTGTGTGGCGTCTGCGGTTGCGATGATGCCGGAAGGGCGTCGTTGTAGATTCTGAATCCAAGTTCGGCCTCTCGCGCCGACGCATCAGAGTCAGGCCTGGATACGTGTGGTGACGGTGATGGCGATAGTGAGGTAGAGCTGTGTCTAGGAGAAGGAATCATGGATTCCATGAATCTAACCGCCGAACTGACAAAGCGCCTTCTACCTCTTAAGGGCTGAGGTAACATAATTAGTTATATCTCGCAACGGGTCTTCGTAGAACCCACCGGCGAGCTCGAATGGATCTCGGTGTGTGCCACTCTGAGAGACGACCGTCTGGGAGGAGTTACTGGCGGCGCTTGACTAACGTCACCGTGACGAGGATGTCCCTGAGTGCTCTGGTGGGTCTATTTGATAACCTGGTTAGATGTATTGAGAGCTTGGAAGAGTAGCTGGAACACACCGAAGGTAAAGACTGAGCATCTGATACAGTTCTCTTCTCCGTCGAGAATGGTGGTGGTAGAGTCATTGGTAAGTTTCCCCAACCAGTAGGTTGGGGAGTATTCAACGAGCTTGGAGTCCCGCTTGGAGAGGAGTGTGCTAAACCTAGGGAGCCGCTCTTAGTAGAGTCACCACCCGATTTTGGTGGACGTCGAGGGGGGCATGATAGAAGCTTTGGACTGTCCTTGACTTCAGTGATAGATGAATCTTGAGGGAGAACTTCCGAGCTTGGTCGGCCTACATCGCCACCTTCCGACCCTGTGCTCTTTTGAGCAGCGGTGTCATCTTTCTTGGTACGAATAGGCAATTTACCGAAGGTGTCCTCTTTAGCAAGATACTTTTTGAAGCGAAGATGACGCTCAAAATCTTTGACCTCCGTTATAGTCAAGGAGAGCGTGGTTGGTGATAATCGTAACATGTCGTCGGTCGAGGGCCTTGGATCACGAAAGCTGATGAGATTCTAAATATTGGATTTAGAAACGAATTAGAAGAATAATCTGCATCCAAATAGTTATTTTGATTGGTGATTTTGGAAGCTGCGAATTAGACCAGCGTTGGATATGGGTATAGCCACTTTCAATGTTGTGTTTTATCTGTGATATCAGTCGTCCCCGATATCGAGAGGAAGCAACTAGCAACAGCCAACACAATTATCTACCCAGGCGAGAGCGATTTGCTTGGCTGTTTAATAACTCTGATGTATTGAGATTGACCTTATTAATGTTCTTTCAGGCACTTGAGGTTTCTAAGTACGTAATCTACTATGTGTATATATATACTTCTATTTATTTGGGTATACCTAGAATTGACGTTTCCTAACGCATGTCGGTTTATCAAGAGAAGCGTTCGGAGATACCATTTTACTGAGGACATGATTATGATCGAGATTTCCTATTCATGAGCCTGACACTGTATGTACCTAACAGAGACGAGTAAAAAGACTTTAAGAATGGAGAGAAAAAATGCAATACGATTTCATAGATTGAAGGTTAATGATGATATTTGGTGATGCGGCTGGTGATGCGGCTTTTACCAGTCCAGCATAATCGGGACTAGCCGCCAGATAAGCACATTGGCCAGTCACTTAAGCAGGTACTCGTAAGTGCGTAATATTCAATTAATTTTCTGACTTATATCTGCTAATTGACTATTTTGCTATTTGCTATTTCGTTATCAGCTCAAAGTATATTCTTATGACGAAACACGTATGCCAAAGTAATATGTTAAGGAGCGTATCTTCTTATCCCGTACATCCATTGTACGACCAGTACCACGTATCCGTCTCTTTACCTTCTCACCTCCACCGAGGCACTAAGGGCACTAAGGTGTTTTTAGCACGGAGCCCCCTGAAGAAAAAAAGCTCCAGTGGACCGCTAAAGAGTTGCGACTAACAGGTTAATAGGCTTCTAGGCCTTGGAACCTTGGAACCTCGCAGCTTTGCCTGACCTGCCACTTTTCGAAATTAGCATCGACCAAAACCGACCAATTCATGCCATTCGCCTGCTCTCCCTAACCCCATGCTACTTTTGCTCGAGTCTGCCCGTCTGCCAATGTCAATGTCGGTGCATGGGAAGAGCATTGGATTTTGAGATTTGAATGACCTTGTCTACTTTTTTTTTTTTTTTTCGTCCACGGTTTTCGTCCACGGCTAAGCTGCCGTGTCGAAAATTACTTGCGGAACAATCGATGTACGATGTACGTGCAGTAATTACAGACATCGAACCAATACCAATACCAATTTCGATTTCGATGTTCACTTTTTACTCTACTCTGCACCTTTACCTTCACCTTTACTCTGCTTCATTCCTCCTTCTACCCACCAAATAATCCCTCCGAGCTATTCCTGGATTGGACATGCAGGTGTCCTGATGCTATCATTAGACGGTCCCAACTTAGAGAACGCCACGCTAGGTACCGCATCTAGCATTCGTCTGCGGTCGGGTTTTCTTAGAGACTCGAATCGGCCCTGCCAAATCCGTACAACCTATTCCCCGGTGGATGGTAACGCGGATCGTTTAGGAGGATAGGAAAGAGGACAGGACAGGACAGGTCAGAAAGACAAGAGCACCGCCCACATTCGAGCATCATCGATGGTCTGAGGTCCATGGTCTAAGCCTATCGACGACAAGCCGTGGATACTTAGACATTCGTAATACTATTCTCCGTCCGATACGAACCGGCAGGGGCATCGCTCATCCGCCGCCGCACCGCCCCCCCTGATATTCCAACATTCCGTTTCCCACTTGAGTAATAAACTTAACATATAGTTAACTTACCCATTGCCCGTTCCGCATTTCGGCTCTCGTCGTGACCATGAATAACGATCTTAGTCTTTCGAGGGCTTTGGGCGGCCTACGCATTGCAAACCCTGACGATGCTGAACCGATCACTTCTGAAGACGTCGACGAAGACGCTAATGCACTTACGTCAAGCCAGCCCATCTCCGATCTTCGCCTTGCCGACCCCGACCTGCACACCACGCAAGCCAGGCCGCAGGCGACAGACATGTCAATGGGAATCTCCGGCACACCACCCGACCCCCAAAGTCAAATATCCGCATACGCACAAAATGGTGCCATGCAATATGGGAACCTCTCCCCCTCCCGTCCTACCTCTGCCCTGTATGCCGCTACCACGGCCGCAGAACGCGACCAAGCTGCGAACTCTTATCACATCCTAAGAACCGAGCCCTCCAAGACACCTATGTATAATATGTCGGGTAAGATTGAGTCGAAGGCGCCGTCAGAATATGCGCCGAGTATCCCCTCCCGAGAGTCGAGCCATCGCGAGCGATCGTACAACCCAAACCGCCAACTGCAGGCCGTAGCCGGGAGCGGTCCTTTACCCCCTAGGAGGAGTTCGAAAGGCATGGGCGGTGGATACGCCTCAATTCCCGGTGTCCCTACCGTACCTGAACCGCGCGGACTCGTATCGGATATGGCTGTATCCCAGAGCAGTGAAGAGTGGAAAGACAAGGGGGCAGCCGTGTCGATACGAAAGGAAATAGATGCCAATGGGAAAACCGTCATGAGGCCAGTGAAGAAGGGCGTCCGGGACTTCTCTTTCGGTCGAGTTTTAGGTGAAGGCTCGTACAGTACGGTATATTTTGCTACGGATCGGCAAACGCTAAAAGAGTACGCGATCAAGGTCCTGGAGAAGAAGCATATCATCAAGGAGAGGAAGATAAAATACGTCAACATTGAGAAGGATACCCTCAACCGCCTCACGGAACACCCTGGTATCGTTCGACTTTACTATACCTTCCAGGACGAGAACTCGCTGTATTATGTTTTGGATCTTTGCAACGGCGGCGAGCTTCTCGGTGTTTTGAAAAAGACGGGTACCTTCGACGTCGAATGCACGAGATTCTTCGGCGCCCAGATTTTGGATGCTATCGAATATATGCACTCTCGTGGAGTCATTCACAGAGATCTAAAGCCGGAGAACGTGCTTCTGGATGACCAGTTGCATGTCAAAATCACCGATTTCGGTACGGCGCGGTTATTAAGCGACCCGAGGGCGCCACAGAACGCCCCCAGGCTTGAGGATACAGGAACCAGCTCCAGGGGTAAAGATTTCGATGATGATAGTCGAGCGGCGTCCTTCGTGGGCACCGCTGAATATGTTAGCCCTGAACTTCTTACTAACAAGAATGCCTGCAAGGCCAGCGATCTGTGGGCCTTTGGTTGCATTGTCTACCAACTGCTAGCTGGTCGACCTCCGTTTAAGGCTGGCTCCGAGTATTTGACTTTCCAAAAGATTGTCAATCTAGATTATGAGTTCCCGGCAGGGTTTCCGCCGGCAGCGAAGGATCTAGTGGAACGGTGTCTAGTTTTAGATCCGGCAAGGCGACTTACTATCGAGCACATCAAGAACCATGAGTTTTTCGATGGTCAGCAATTCGGCAAGGGTTTGTGGAGAATGAAGGCACCTCGATTGCGTCCATATGTACCACCATCTCAGGAGCCTAAGATTATTCAACTTAATGGAACGCCGAGTAGTCAGCAGTCTTCGTCTAGACCCCCAACAACAGGGAACGGGTTGAATGGACCCTCTCGCGCGCCAGGGAGGATCATTACTGATATCCCTCCACCATCGCAACTAGACATTGAATGGTCACCTGTATTGACGAGGACAAACGAGAGGATATTGCGACTTGGCGATCTTATGGTTATGTCATCGCCGATTCCGAATAGTCCACACGGGAAAGGCGACGAGGGGCATAGAAAATTCTCTAGGTTCTTTGGCGGCAGCACTACGAAGAAGAGGCAACGGCTAGTCATGATAACGTCTAGTGGGAGGATCGTCTTGGCACCCGCAGGGGGTGAAGAGAAAAAGGCGAAGCTGGAGATCTCACTCTTGGCACCGGACTGCTCGTGGAAGACTCAAATAGATGCGAAAGGGCAGACAGTGTGGTGTGTCGATTCGGTAAAGTTCCTTTATTCCGTTTGAGGTATGTCTATGCTCACAAATCCCAGGCTGGTATTCACTATACCTTCGAAGATGTCAAACCCCCATCTTCCCTTGAACCGCCTCGACCGACGGCAGATGACTGGCTCGAGACTTTACAACAAGCTAGGGACTTTGCAGTATCCCTTAACCTCAGTCGTTCATACACTAGCGACAATGCGTTTGGAGAAATGTCATCGTCGATGTCAAGCCCGGCGAGCACCTTTGGCCCGGAGGGTTACAATATCAACGATAGGTCTCATCGTAGCCACCTGAGTAAGAGCCAAGCGAGCTTGGAGGATACGGCGACTACGAAACGCAATCGATTTAGCAAACGACAATCCAAGCAGGGATTAGGCTCAGCTTTCTAGTGGCGGTAGCTTCATTAACCACAGCTTGGAAAGTCTTAGATATCCAACATTCTAACATTAACACGACCCAACCAAACATGACTAGGACCTACCTAGCTTCCCTTTCTAAGCTTCTTCGTTTTCTTTCATATGCGGCATGTTCTAGCGCGGCGTAGGCTTTGGTAGCTTTTGGTGATATTTGAAAGAGGGGTCCAAATCATGAAACGAAAACACATGCATTCTGGGAGTTTTCCTTATCACCAGTCTGCTCCTCCCGCTGAAGCATACAATCGGCATCTCATTTAGAAGGATTAGAAGGATTACACCACGCATGACCCACATCTCACATTCCCTAATATAATATCCAATTCCAATATCCAATATAAAATTTCCTTCGCAACCCCCTAAGTTGGCGGAAGGGAGGGGAAAGGGGAGAGGGGAGGAGAGCAGAGGAGGGTAAAGAATGTCGAGCCCGATTGATCGTAACCTTACTTAGGTACTTTTCAGGGCGAGGAAGGGGATTGAGAGTTGCTCATGTTGCTTTGCATCGAAGGTCTGGAACTGCGAGGGCAAAGGTCCAAGAATATTATACCTAGTCTGAGTGGTCCGAATGGACCCAATACGCTAGTTGTCTGAAGGGTGACATAGCTGAATAACACTGAAATGGCAAGATCGTAAAGACCAAGTTTTATGGTTTCAACTGACTTGTTGATTTGTCTTGGATGTCTTTGCAATACCTCACCACCCAGTAGTCTAGGTACGGCGTTGGACATCTCTTTGCTCTTGATTGTGATAGGGGTTACGTAGGACTACCTATGCAGGTTTCTGTCTCTTGTACTGGTATTGTATATTATGCACTAATTGTCTTATGTAATACATGAAATATTACGTAATACGTCCAGTGCGAGTTAAGGTATTACATAACATCACCAGCCACCACCGCCACTTAGACTAACTCTTAAGCTTATGGTTGACCGGGAGTTTTATCTTTCAATTGCGCTTTTAGCCAAGCCAGCCAAACTCGAAAACTGGGATTTACCTACTTTCTCCAATCATTCGAGCATACCGCGACGAGGCGGAAACGCGCTTCTTCGACGACTATCCAAATCTCCGGCCTAGATAACTCGGGCCAACTTCCCCCATTCCCACATTCCCAATCGCGATCGGAACTGGCGTCGCACGTTTTATCGGTGGAGCTACAAGCATCCTAAGCACCTGGGCACCGTACCCAGTTCTACAACCTCTACTATTCCGTATTCCGTATCCCGTATTCCGCGCAAGTCTCACAAACAGAGCTGTTAAAATTGTATTGAAAACAAAACATAAAAATACAGGAGAGGACGTTTCCGGCACCGAATCAGTCAAGATGCAGCCTGGATACCGTCCTTACCCGCAGCAGCAGGTCGCGCCGCAGCGTACCCCCCATTCGGCCGGACAGCGACGAGGAGGCATTGGTATGTAACTTTGACTGACCATACGATCTACTTTTTGATCCTGTCTTATTTTTATTTTAATTGTCGACGATCCAGCGCCAGACAAACCCCACTACATCCGCATCCACATACGTCCACTATAGGGCCACTATGAAGGCCCCCTTTGGCTCCACCGCTTCATTAAGTCCTCCATTGCCAACCTACCACATACTACCACAATATGCACATAACATACGTACATCCATACCTACATACACGTCGTGTACCTACAACTAGCACCTTTTTCCCTTCCTCTTTATCCTCGTCTTCGGACCCGTAAGGGGCCGTGTTTCACCTCTCATCATATACCAATTTCTAACCACTTTGTTGACACACAGGTCCCATGATGTCTTCCGGCCCTCATCACCAAGTGCCCTTGACCCAGGCGCAAATCGCACAGCAACAACAAGCTGCCGCCATTCAGGTCGAGATGGCGAAGCGTCGCAGTCGCAAACCGACCGACAAGAATCTACCCGACAACATTGACGATTGTACGGTTGGCGATATGGCCGCTAGGTATCGGGAGCTCAGAGACTTTGAGAGAAGACTCGATGCAACGATGACGCGAAAACGATTGGATATTGTGGATTCGGTCAACCGAAGCGTTAAGGTATGTCTCACGTGTTATCTCGAGTAACGTTGGGAATTGTGTCGACTAATCGTGGTCTAGCGATGGAAGACGCTTCGAATTTGGATCACCAATACGGCAGAAGAGCAAGTTTGGCAGGGAAATGGTCTCAATGTCGATACTTTTGACTTCAGCTCCAACCTTGAGCCCTCATATCAGGTCAAGATCGAGGGTCGATTGTTGGACGATGACGATGACCTCGACAAGGATGATGACAGTGAAGATAGCAAGGAAAAATCTGACGACCCCGATCGTATGGAGGAAGATCCGAAACCGAAGGCGGCGAGCGCGCCCAAGCACAGATTCTCTCACTTCTTCAAAGCGCTTAGTGTGGACTATCCCGCCAACCGGAAAGGCATCGATCGGGAGGTAGAGTGGAAGAAGCCAGAACGTACTGGTCCTTCGTCGAGTCTCCCTGCCGCTGCCGACTTCGACGAATTCACGTTTAAGCGTAGCGGTGATGAGAATCTCAACATCACGATCAACCTTTACAGACACGAGGAGCCCGAGCGATATGCCGTCAGCCAGGATCTAGAAGACATCATTGACTTGTCCGAAGCCACACGCCAGGAGATTGTCATGGGTATTTGGGAATACATTAAGCTGATGGGCTTGCAAGAGGATGAAGAGAAGAGAAATTTCCGCTGTGACGACCTCTTGAGAAAAGTAAGTCTCGTCTGCGTTGATTAGTTTATAATTGACTAACTAATCGGATTACTAGGTCTTTGGTATTGAAACCGGCATGATCCCCAAGTTACATGAATACATCACCCCGCACTTGAAACCATTACCGCCGGTCAAGCTTCCGTACACGATCCGACTTGACGAGGAGTTCCATAAGGATCCTCAACCTACCGTATATGATGTCCGCGTTGCCGTCGACGACCCACTGCGCGAGAAGATGCTTTCTTTCCTGAGTAACGCTGGCTACGCCAACATGCTGAAGGAAGCAGCAAATCTCGACGAGCAGCTTGCGACGATTATCCAGGCTATTCACGTGTCTAAAGCCAAACATGCTTTCCTGTCTTCCCTTAGCGAAGACCCTGCCACGTTTGTGAAGGACTGGCTGAGCTCGCAGAAGCGTGATCTGGACGTGATCATGGGAGAGTCGATGAGAGGTGTGGGCGAGGATGCAACTGGAGACGAGTGGAGAAAAGGCGGCAAAGATAGTATCTGGTCGACCGTCAACGCCCGCGAAAGTGTCACGGTCATGTTGTCGAAGCAGCCTATTCAGGTGCAACGATAGGATCGTCGCGAACATAGCCCAACATCGACAAGCAGTAAACCGGACGTGGCTCGGCAGGTATCTGGTAATGGCGTTAGGTGTCCCAGTGGTTTCCCGTTATCATATCCCAAGATTCTTCCCAAGATTCTTCCCAACAGAGTCGCACTTATTAAGAGTGAAAAGGGGATCGCTTGAGGAAAATGTCGTATATCCCTGTATTAGTATACCGGCTCTCTTTCTATAGGAGGAGGCGTCTTAAGGATGCGTTTCTAGGTTAGGTTACCTAGGTAGATACCGTCTTGGAACTTGGAATCTACATTCCCGAAAACAACTCACGATTTGCTTCTGCTTCATGTAGGTATTCACGAGCTCTTTATAAGAGGGTTTGATAATCCCATTGATGGCTACATATTAATGGCAATGCAACGCACGCTACGTCATTTTGGTGAAACACATATGTATGTCGATAGCTAGCATCGGGCTTTAAGGCCTTATCACCGATTATGGGTGGAGGGCCGGAAGGGATATAAACTTCGGAGGTCTCTCTTTCTTCTCGAGAGCTTTCCGTGTGATTAAACTCTATTCCTTACAGTGAAGGGATATTACTAGGTACCTAGGAATACCTAAACGCGAGATTGAGAATGTCGGCAATCTTCAAGAAGGCCAACACCGCCGTCATCACGGGCGGGGCGTCGGGAATCGGACTCGCGCTCGCGCAGAAGTGCGTCGGCTACGGCATGAAGGTTCTCGTGGCCGATTGGGATGCCGCCGGCCTGGATGCGGCGAAGGGGAGCTTGGGGGAGGCGGCGACGACGCTGCGTGTTGATGTTAGTAAGACGGAGGACTGGGCGACGATTAAGGGCGCGGTTGTTAAGGACTTTGGTGGTATGTCTTGTTTGCTTTGCTTTGCTTATTTATTTATTTATTCTATTTATCATGCATTACCGCCGTTATTATCATCATGTGTCTGCGTCCACGCACATAGTTTCTTGTGGCGTGTTATTCATATTTGTACAGGCCAAATCAACCTCCTAGCCCTCAACGCCGGCGTCGGCGCCCGCACCGCCTTCGACGGGCCGGAAGCGGACATCGCCAACTTCCGCAAAGTCCTCGACGTCAACTTCTTCGGCGTCGCGAACGGCATCACCTCCCTCTTACCCCTAATCAAAGAGAAGACTACCGCCGCTGCTTCTTCCGTCGAGTCCGCGATCGTGATCACGGGGTCCAAGCAAGGCATCACAAACCCGCCGGGCAACCCGGCGTATAACGCGAGCAAGGCGGCCGTGAAGAGCCTCGCGGAACAGCTGAGCTATGATTTGAGGACGTGGAAGGGCGTCGGGGTGCATTTGCTCGTGCCCGGGTGGACGTGGACGGGGCTTGCGGGCGCGGCGAGCGGGAAGGCGAAGCCGGAGGCGCCGTGGACGCCGGGGCAGGTCGGTATGTATCTGGTTATCCAGAGTTCTTTCCTTCTCCTTTCCCGCTTTTGCCACCGTCTTCGGAGTCACTGCTCCGAAGATGTTCCTATTAACTATTACGCTCGTACTATCCCCCTTTTTCTTTACCTAAGAAATTACAACAAGAAATTACTAACACGCCGTTTCTACGTATTAGCGGATTACTTGGAGGCGAAGATGGGAGAGGGCAAGTTCTGGGTACTGTGTCCCGATAACGAGGTCACGGAGGAGGTGGACCGGAAGAGGATGCTGTGGAGCTCGCAGGACGCGCCGACGGGGCGGCCGCCGCTGAGTCGGTGGAGGGAGGAGTATAAGGAGGAATTTGCGAGGTTTATGGCGAGTGATGTTTGATGTGACAGGAGAGATTACTGGGGACGTATATGCCCCGGATAACATAACTGTTCCGCTTCATTTGATGCGTGAAGAGCTTAGCTATAATTAAGACGAGAGCTGCTACCTGTACGACGACAAAACGTCGACTGCCTCAGACTCTAAGGAAAATCATCACAGCACATATAACTTCCATATCATGGCAATTGACAACATATATTAGCAGTAGACACAGGCTCAAAAGCTAAAGACGGGAATGTATGATTTCGTTTTCATTGCAAAGTTAGAGCTCTTCGTGGCTCTGGTGATGGTGATGACCTAAAACGCCTAACTACATGCAATAATGTCTGCCATGACGGCTGCTTCGTACGTCTACAGTTAATTTGTTCATCGTCGATATCTAGGCTCCCCCCCTCTGCGAAGCAAAGCAAGGCTTTTTTCCTTTCCTTAAAAAAAAGAAAGCCAGCAAATTGAAGCTGCCCTGTGCCGTCAACAAGTACCTAGGTTAAAAAAGCAGTAAAAAGCGACCTTATATGCACACGCCCCTCTCGGCACCGCCGCCAGGCTCCCTAGGGCACCTCTAGACCGCCTGGGTCATCTGGCGGGCAGGGGGGACGGGGTTCGAGGGCATGTTCCGGATCTGCTTAATAAGGAATTCACGCTCGTCGATGAACTGCTCGTCGTCGGTGCGGTCCTCGAGGAAGTGGGAGAGGAAGTTGAGCAGCTTGTCGCGGTTCATCAGCAGGATCTTCTGCACGGCGATGGACTTGTGGGGGTTGGCCACGAAGACCTTGAAGACGTGGAAGCCCTCGTACTGCACCATCTTCCGGTCGCTGCGCAGCAGGTTCATGCAGATCTTCAGGTGCTCGCCCCGGTCCACGTACGCCGTCATCACGTTGTAGTTCGAGCGGTCGAGTAATATCTCGCCGAGCAACTTGATCGACTGACGCTTCGTCACGTAGCTGTTGGACTGCACTAGGATGTAGTTGTACTTGTCGAAGAAGAGCTCGAAGTTGATGGTGAGGTAGCGAGGCACGAGCTCTTTGTGTTTGGTTAATAATTCCTATAGCGGTATTTGTTAGAGGATATCTATCGCGTGACTAGTCTGTGTTGCCCGGATTGGCCGGTTAGTTGGACCTACTCGGAATGTGGTGAAGGCGTCGGCGGCAACTTCGAAGGAACTCTTGTCTATCCAATCGAAAAAGCGCCAGAATACTCCGTTGCCACTTTGCGGTCGTTCCCTATCGATCGCCGTGACACCTTTCAAACTAGATCCTGGCTCTTCTCCATCGTCGTAGAGTATGATGGCGGCGGCCGCCTCGCTCTTTAGGACCTCACGTAGCACGGTGCCGGCGGGCGTCGCACTCTCTTTATGATCGTAACCTCGGCATAGCTCTAACAATACCTGCGGCTTGTTGTTGACCACGTAACTCAATGCGACCGGGTCGGTCTTGGGCGACGCAGTTGGGGGGCGGAAACGGAAGACGTAGGAGAATATGACTTGAGTATCTTTGCGGGATTCGAAGGGAAGGCGATGGAGGTTCTGAGCGAGTAGAAGGAGGAGGTCTTCTTCTATTAGACCTGTGACGAGTTGATATACTTGTTCGGGAGTACTCTCTACTTCTGTTGTCGAGGCAACGTTGATGTTAGTATTGGACGGTTACATGTTGGCGCAAGAAATAGGGGATGCGCCACCGCATGCGACGGGTTTGGCCTGAGGTTAATAATACCTGGTGTTCCTTGGAGGATGAGTTTCATCTGGCTGAGCACCTTGGCCAGTTCTTCGGCCTAGGGGAGAGTGATTAGCATAAGAATCGATGCTATCAGGGGGCGAAGCTGTGGTCACCTTGCCGAGGCCATCGAGCTTGAGGATATGCTCCCTTGCTTGCTTGGGAAGATCCAGAGTGTTAGTCCTGGTCCTCGCCCTGGAGAATAGGAACGACATGTTTGCGATTATCTAGATTGGTACATATATCGCCTGCATTCAAGAGGTCTCAGATGATCGGACGAGGTCGCAAGGTCAGGCCGGGGGCTGAGTATAGAATTGGTTCGGTAAAGAGTGGCCGAGTACCAGCCGCAGAGAGTTCCAGGTTACAATAGATTCTTTGAGCCCCCCAAAATACAGATGGTGTTGTTGTTTTTAGTCTACCAGGTACGTCATTGTTGTTTGGATGTCTGTTGGATAAGTTGCCCTTTACCGTTATCCAGAAATTGGGGTTGCCTTGGTGGTTTTGGTTAGGCTTGAATGCTGCCATGTGCCTCCTGTGCTGGTTGCCGCAGTGTTTATCGTAAATCCGGGGATCGGAATGTTTATTTACGGGGCAAAGTTAGGTGGTGCACACTTCAACTCAGCTGAGACATGGGTCCTATCATATCGGGCTCTCGGTTTCCTAGTGACATGAGGTAACACAGTCCAAATTTGACTAAAGAACTCTTTTATGTGATTAATTCCTCTTAAGCTCATACATTTAATATATCGTGATTCTGTAAACCGTGTTATGTATTTTGTGATGAACGCCTCTGATAGGCGATCGGTTACCAGTCCTCAAGAACTAACAACCAATGTCCCGTCTGCTATTTGACGATGTTGGACACCGAGGGTAACTAGAAACCTCCATTTCTATGTTTTTCCGTTTCCGAAGGAATACAGTGATCTCCTATCATCATTTGGCTTATGTCCTGTAGAGAGAAAGATGTTGATATGCCATCATCATCATCATCATCGAGTCTGTTTCGATGCTTTCTGCTGTCTCGCATGAGCTCATCATGGCTTTGATAATATATAAGGATATCTATGTATAACAAACTGTAGGACTCACTAGGAAACAGTCTTTTAACCTGAGAAACTCATTGGCGCATTTGTCTTTATGAACCGAATTATAATCGGCGACAATGCATTTCCCATATACGCTTGCCTATATAATGATAAGTATCAAATTCTATGGTTTGGATAGAGTCATAAGAGCGTATAACCTCAGCAGAGCATTGAGAAACGGCCGCGGCAAACTTTTGAATGGGCCGTTGACGTGGTGGCATTGTATCAAAATCTTCTAGAGTCTTAGATATGAGAAGTCAATGGTATCGCAACTCAGTAAAATCCAAGAAGTTATGAGTTGGTTATCCACTGTCCTTACGTCAATTACCAGAAGTATGCGATTATGAGGTACTGCCTAGTACATTGTACTCTGACGTATCCATAATAGTACAGTACGTACCACACCGTCGCTGTTACACCGATGGTAGCCCCACTATACGTAGCTCCAACCTCAATTAATTGTTTCCGGGTCGCGACGCGACGTCCTAAAGTTTGGCCCAACTCAATTCCATGCTCATGACAAAGTTGCTTTCCACCAAATCAAAGTTGTCTTCTGTCTCCTCGGATTTTGAAATCTATAACCCTTTTCAATCAATTGCTCTCTTTTTCCAATGATGTCGCCCAATCGTTGACTGATTTATGACTAGCACCTTGCACTGACCTTCCAAACTACTGGAAAACTGCACATGTGGATATAAGAAAGCTACAAGCTAGACGATGCGCGGACCGAGGGTTGTCGTGACTTTATCACAGTTCTATTATGGCTATGTTATACGACCTTCAGCCATATGTCACCGATTTGTCTGACACTTCTGATGAAACCGAGCCTCATGAAACCATGGCATCGTCTACTATGCCCTCGTCTGAGAGTCTGATCATGGATAGGGACAAGTACTCTGATAAGGGTATGCTTCCTTTTTTACCAGATCCTCTGCCCTGCTAATTTCTGTTAGACATACAGATTCTATACCAGGTTGTAACACGAGCCGAAGAGATATTAAACGACTACACCCCTACTTCTCGTCTACCTACCCACGCCTTATATAACGCTTATGATGAAGTCCTCCCTCAGTACGGAATCAACCCGGACGACGACCGCCTTATTAGCGAGCTCGTATTCAAGGTCGGGGGTGTTAGAAATACCGATTCGCTTAGGGAGAAATTCAAGACCGTCATGTCCCGGTTAGGAATCACGGTCCAATGGGATGATCTTCCGACGCATGGAAACGAGTTTGACGATGCGCACTCGAGTTCTGCCTATGCCTCCGATGAGATGTCTATTGTTGATAGCGAAGATCCTCATGCCGTCGTTGGTAGGATTGTGCATAAGGAGAACCCCCCTTTAGTAAACGGCAAACATGGCGGTGACGATTACGTCGTCCCAACGAATCACTATGATCATCATATGGATGATGTCAATGGCAACATACCTACCATGGAGGACCCCGGTAATCTTTCGAAGATCGAACAGCAACTCGAATGCAGCGCCATTGCCTTCCAGAAGAAACACCATGACAAGTTCTCTGCTGTGACGGCTGTCCGTGAATGGCAGAAAAGGTCTAATTTTATCGGCACCCTATCTGAGCAGTTCGACGCTGCGCGACAGGCTGACCTGGAAGAGGATCTCGAAGCCAGATTTGAAGAATGGAGAGCTTTATCTGCCGAAGTGGATCGTGTACCGCCGCATTATCTTCCTCCCAATGTCTACTCGAAGCGCCTCGAAGGGATTGCTATACGAGCTCGCGAGATCCACAATGCCAAAATCGCATTAAGGCGTTGGCGACAAAATACAAGGGAGCAAAGTCGCAAAGTTCGAAAGGTTGAGGAGTCCTCAGACCCCATCGAACGTGTTGCAGCAAAGGCGCACAAAAATTTACTGTTATCGCGTGCATTCACGAACTGGTCTAACCGCCTGGAAGAAGAATCGGATAGGGCGAAGATGGCTGCGAAAGTTTATGAAATGAGATTAAAGTCTAAAGCCTTTGGCATACATCGTCGACCAAACGAGGATGCTCCAATGAGTGGGACTCGCGATAGTCCCGTCGACGTTTCACCTCCTGCTTATATTGCCAGTTCGGAGGACGCTCCCAAGCCCCTACCACCCAGCGAAAATCCAGCATCTAATGTTCTTATCAACCACGCCGGGCCACCTAACCTTGTAACTGATGTTGATGAGAAGATGTCTCATGAGGCCCCTGCGAAGAATATCGGCTCTAATGGCGATCCGGATGATTCCGATGACGACGAAATGGACGAAATAACATTACTTGCACGGCGGCATATCCTTCGTATGCGTTATTATGATATCTGGGAGAAGTACACGGCAGATAAACGGAATAAGGCCAGAGAATTTCAAGTCGAGCAACAAATTGAACGGGTTGCACAAACTATTCCCGTGTGGCGCACCCAGGCAGAGGAGGCTTCTCAGCAGCAAGAAACTCTGCGGTACAATGCCAAAAGGGCTAGCTACTACAACAAGGCTATAAAAGCGATAGACGTATGGAGGCAAGAGAACGCGGAGAGAATGCAAGGGCATGATCAGGTTCTTGATCATTATGCTAGGAGAGCCAATTTTTACTACAAAGCTACCAAGTCTGTGCCTATCTGGAGAAGCGAAACCGAGCGTGCTGTCAAGCAGCGAGAAGTTCTCGAGCTTTATGCCGATCGAGCTGAATATTACAGTGGAGTTACAAAATCGCTTCCGATTTGGAGAGCGCAGACAGAACAGGCGGCCGAGCACGAGAAGAAAACACTCGCGCACTATGCTCAGCGAGCCGACTACTATTACCGGACCAGGGATACCTTATTATCATGGCAAGAGTTAGCTAAAAAGAAGCGAAGGCAGAGGTTGAAAGATGCGCATCTGGAGACTCGCCGCCTTGTAAAGAAAGGTATGGGAGAACGGTGTATTGCACAATGGCGAGAGAAGCTACAGCCGAGCTTCGAACGGTACGAAGCAATGAATGTAATTTTGGAAGACATTATTGCGGATCGAGAATATCGACAAAGCATGGATACATTCGACATATGGCGTGAGAGGACGCGAGAACGGATTGAAATGGGTGTCATGAGCGATGCAATGGTTACAGAAAAGGCCTTGCAGCAATGGAGAGACCAGTCAGGACGTCATGAAGATTTGCATATTGAAGCTGAACAGCACTGGGAGGAGACGGCTAAATCTAAGGCTCTGAAAAAATGGAACCTTACCACACTCCAAATGCCGAATCGACCTCTCATGGTAGCAAATGCGCTGGAGAAGAAAGAGAGAAGGTTGCTGCGAACACGATTTGAGAGTTGGTATGGTCGAACAGCAGACAAACTTGTCCCCGTTGAGCTCCCCAATGGAAACTACAGGAGTGTGGATCAAGTAGTGGAAGACGCCCAGCATCGAGCTTCACTTAGCCAGGCGCGAGGTTTGCTTGATAAATGGCAAGCGGCTGCAAAGACTAAGAGCGAGACTGTTCAGGAGGAGCCATATATACCAACTCCAGGAAGACCGCGTCTTTTCCTAGGAAGCTTGGGTACAACTACCCCTTTAGCACCCCCTCCCGCTCGACTAAACTGGCGGGCTAGCGAGATGGCGCCTAGAGGATCAGCCATTAGAGGCAGGACTAATCGTTCGGGTCGTCCGGAAAAGAATCTTAGGGTCTCGTGGGCGTAATAATCAAGTAATGGAAAGCATTGGCGGCGTTGCGGGTTCGTCCTATTTTTATACTACGGGAATATGCATGGAATAGGCTAGGCTTACCGGGCCTACACAGTGATACCCCTTATTCTGTTGATTGGGAGATCTGGAATGTTCAAAGATATCCATAATAGAAAACATATTGAATTATGCCTCGGTCCTTGTCTTAACGTGCTTGGATAATATTATAAAAGACTGATTATGGAGATATTTCTTTTGCACTTAGATAGCCTTATGCATATATTGCATTCAGACTTATTCTAGTGTGGTTCGAGTTATGCGATACCATAGCTAGGTAGCCGCGGATCCCTATTTATTTGATTTGGGCAGGGATTCACGGGGGGTCCCACGTCATTTTGCAGGCGCAAACCGACGCGAATGGCCGCTGTAGCAGCGACATCTGACAACCAGGAGAGCACCTGACGTCTCAACATCCTCGTTAGAGCTACGTCCATAGCTGCGCACATCGGCCTAAAATATTTCTAAGGTTACACCTTCAACTTGCGATCCTTGACAGCTTCACTAGATCAAATCAATTATACTAGGTACTAAGAACATTGAACCAGCCATTCTGCCGAACGCCGAAAGCTTACTTCTCGTAAGTTGCAAGGGGCAATTTTGAATCTTGAACCAACAAAGTCGATCGCCCGTTTTGTTGCTATTCAACTTGTCGCATTGTCGCATCACTTTTCCTGAAGCTTTAGACATGTTATTACTGAGAGAATTGCGACGATAGTATGAAGGCAGTCCTTCCAGGCCAGCCCGAAGCTAGCCTTCAAGCTGTGTCGACCGGCTACTGGGACGGGAAGCGCATTATCGTTTACATCACAGGCAACGCTCTAGCTATCCTCTCCGACCCCGACACGATCCTCCAAACCATATACGACGATGATGAGCGAAGTCTTGAGGCTGTCTCCTTCGACGAGTCGTCAGGGAAGATAGCAGCTTGTACAGATGCGACAGTGAGGGTATACCGACCCTTGAGCCATGGCGACGACGGCGACTCACCAAAGGTACTACTTTTCCCCGTTACCAAGAATTGCACTAGGTTAAAACGATACCTAACCGGATACAGTGGGCTTTACAAACATATTTCGAGGTTGGCCACGGTTCAACACCCCTAACACTATCATGGGGAAGCTCTGAAGAGCTCCTCGTCGGACGATCCTCTCTCTGGCTGTACGATACGACTACGACGCCCGCTTCTTGTCATTGGCAACAGGGGCTTGCTAGTCCTGCGAAAGCCGCGAACCTCTCTTACGACTCATCCTACATTGCTTCCGTCGGATACCACGATCGGCTAGTGAAAGTGTGGCGCAGATTGAACTTCGGCGCCGAGGAAGTGCACTTTGACTTTGGCTATCTTCCGCACCCGAAAGCCGTTACTACTATGCAATGGCGGCAGCCCTCCTATGTTGGCCAAACGATCGAAAATGTGCTCTATACATTTTGCGCCGATAACGTCATGCGCGTGTGGACAGGTGCGGATGGCTCCAACTGCCAGTCGCTACACCAATGGGGGAAATTGGATCTGGCCGCGGCGATACGGAACGAACACGAGACACGCAAACACTACTTGAGATGGGCCTTTATCCTCAGCCAGCGGGACCTTGCCAATGCTGCAGAAAGGGCTGTCCAAGAAGAAAGGGATGGCGAAGCAAAAGAAGACGTTGCTCTACAGTACTTGCTATCCATCGCAAACAGAGATACGGAAATCTGTGTCGTCTTTGACGGACATGGAAGTATGTCGTCCTGGGCCTTGGAGAATATAAGTAGCAAGTCCAGGGGTACCGAGAACGTGGACAATGTCGCCTATGTTAAGTCGAAGGACTTTGATTTTCTCGGGTCCTCGACGGGAAACTGTCATGTTGAGATCCTCAGTTACTGCAATAAAAACGCAGGCAACCTGCATATGCTATTTCATCACTTCGATGGAAAGGTAGAAGTTTTCCAAAGCAACATCGCAGATTTTCTCGATCCTACTGCTCACCCCAAAAACCGCTTGGTTCCTTGCGCAACCTGGTCTGGACATTCTGCTTCCGTTAAGAAAATTGTGCGAAACTTTAGCGGTCGTGCGGTCGTATCGAGAACCGAGAAAGGGGAAAGTATTGTATGGAGACATACTCCCGGCCCGCTGCGGACGAGGTTGTTACGACATAACGTGATTCCAGAGACACGGCACATTCATCGAATATGCCTGATCAGAGGCGGCAGATTCGTCGTTTTTCTACATCACGACAGCATCTCAGTTTGGGATTGTAGGTCGTCTACCCATACACTACTTGCAGACTGCAAATTCGATCTTACTGGTAAACCCCTTTGTATCCTCGTGCTTCCTCGGGAGAGAGCCAATGATGATTCTGTTGCACATCTTGCAACTGTCACTTCAGAACAACGAGGCATTGTCTGGGAACTTCACTTACCTCTGAAAGACGGGGATGCTGCTAAACCACAAACCAATGGTTATGAACCGCGCCTTCGAGAGTTCTGCACATTCAAGTTGGATGATGCCGGAGATCTCGCTTATGTCTTACCAGTTGACCCTGCAGGGTCTTCGCCGGTTATATCTAGTTCTTTGGATGTATTTGCTCGTGACGTTGCCATATCGTATACTCACAGCGGGCGCGTCGAATTTTGGACTGCTAGAATATCTCGAGAGAAAAACCGAGTTGAATGGCTTTCGACATCTTCAATGGAGACAGGCGTGTCCGAGCCTACGTTAGCTAGCGGTAGCACGATGAAGAAAGCTGCCTTAGTGAACGGAGACCGTTCGGAACTGACAATCTGGGATATTCGAGGGGCCCGATTGGAGTACAAGCAGGATTTCGAAAACAACAATACCGTACAAGATCTTGATTGGACGTCTACCCCAGACTCACAATCAATACTTGCTGTTGGATTTCCGTATCGTATTATTCTACTCTCACAAATGCGATTCGACTATCTAAATAAAGGGCCAGCATGGGCTCCTATCCGAGAAATCAGCATCCGGGATTTCACACCTCACCCTATTGGGGACTCGACTTGGCTTAGCGATGGCAACTTGGTCATTGGTGCCGGTAATCAGCTATTCTTATATGACAGGACGTTCGGGACAACCGACCGATTAATATCACACGCCCGAGTGCCTCATCGTAAGAATGCAACGAGAGACCTATTCGATATTGTTCAAAGATTGAACGGACCGTTACCCGTCTTCCATCCTCAATTTCTCAGCCAGTGTATATTAGCAGGAAAGCATACTCTGGTCAAGCGCATACTCCTAGCTTTAAACCACACATTGAAGTATCACGTGGAAGGAGACGTGATCGATGACTATTTAGGTCTCGATCTGGCGGAATTCTACATAGGCAAAGTAGTAAGTATTACGAGACATTCAGAATTCCATTTACTAACGTTATAGGTCTCCATGTCTACTAATGGAAACGGCTCGTCCTATCTTGTAACTCAAGCGTCGTTTGATGATAATGACGAAGTCTTCACTGAGGACATCGCGATGACTATCTGTGAGAAGCTCCAACAAATAACAATACCTCAACTCTCTGGCCACGAACAGATTCAGTTGCTCGACATTGTTGAGTGTTTAGGGGTGGTAGAAAAACAGCGTCGCTCGATGGACGAAAACGGGTCAAGGTTCATGCTGTTCTTCCGGCAGCACGCGTTGAGGAAGAGAAGAACTAACGAAATCCACATGTCGTGGAGGGAGATTAACTGGGCTTATCATTCCACCAGTCAGGATATATTAACAGACTTCGTATCTCGTCAGTATCATGGCACTTTACTGTGGGAAAATGCGCGAGAAAGCGGAATGTTCATGTGGCTTACGGACGAGGCTGCTGTGGTGAGTAGAACTGCCTAACAGTATTTCTTGCCCATCTAACAAATCTACAGAAAGCACAGTTTGAAATCGTAGCTCGTAATGAGTACACGAAAAGCGAGATGAAGAACCCCGTAGACTGCAGTGTCTTTTACCTTGCCTTGAAGAAGAAAACTGTCCTTCAAGGTCTCTGGCGCATGGCAAGTTGGAATAAGGAGCAAAGAGCAACACAACGACTCTTGGCGAATAACTTTGATGATCCCCAATGGAAAACCACGGCATTGAAGAACGCGTACGCCCTGCTTAGCAAGCGCCGTTTCGGTATGTCTTGAAAGATGCCCCCAAACAACGAAGTGCTAACATGAGTTTTAGAATATGCCGCTGCCTTCTTCCTCCTGGCAAATCACTTGCAAGATGCGGTGAATGTCTGTCTAAACCAGATCAAAGATCTTCAGCTTGCCATTGCTATTACAAGAGTGTATGAAGGCGATAATGGCCCGATACTTAGAAGGTTGCTCGAGAATGAAGTTCTCGCCGTCGCGGCTCAGGAAGGCAACAGGTGGCTGGCGTCGTGGGCCTTCTGGATGTTGAAGCGGAGAGACATGGCCGTTCGCGCTCTGATTGTTAGTTCTCACCCAACTTCGCTGCGCGAATGGCAAGCTAATTTCATCAAGACTCCCGTTTACACATTGCTGGAATCCCCAGTCTCGTCGAGCAATTTGGAGGCCAAGCTCTTCTTAACGGATGATCCGGCCCTGGTCGTATTGTATTCCCAACTTCGACAAAAGACCTTGCAGACTCTCCGCGGAGCGTCGAAGGTGATGCCAAGGACTGAGTGGGAATTCGTCTTGCATAATGCGAGACTTTACGATCGTATGGGCTGTGATCTGTTGGGTCTTGATCTTGGTGAGTCGTACAGCTCGTGATACCTCGATAATTTGCTAATTGTTTAGTCCGCAATTGGGAGTTTCTTCGACAACTGCCATCGACGGAACCGAGTTTTGGCGGAGAAATCGATCCCAGGAAAATGCTCCGACGTCGCAGTTCGCTGGTTGTTCAAGACATGCCTATGTCGCCCCTTGCTCCGGGAGAAATGAAGACGGGAAGTCATGGTGTCAGGCCGCCGCCGAGCGTGTTTGAAGAACCGGATGCCAACTCATTGCTAGACAGTTTTGGATTCTAAAAAAAGGGATTACCTGTAGTAGGCAGGCTAGATTGCAGTGGACGCTCCTCAGAGTAATATCCAGGTGTCGGTATTGCATTAGCGTTGGTGGGCTGGCTTCCGATGGTGTATCTATCTAATTGTTCTGGCTGGGTAGGTATGGATACGGTGTGCGAGATGGCGTTTATAAAATGCGTCTAATGCGGATCATATTCTACAAATACGTACTTGCAAGACCCAAGTATAGATAGACAAGAACTGGGGATCTGGAAGTGTATTATTAGTGTATTTGGAGGTATACTAACAGAATTCGAGTACTACTAGAAAAGGGGGGTGTGTATCATGAGTCAGCTACCCCAGTTAGCATTAATAAGCACCTGCATTCGGAGTTCAGCATCATTGGTTGCCCATCGTCAACCTATACCTACGACGTAGTAGTATTAGTAACACAGCGTGGCCGTCCCATCATTTCTTTCGGCAGTCATAGACGGAACTAAAATGGCCCGTCGGAATCCATCTTGTGTACGTCATCCGTGCTTGTCTCCGATCAGGGTCGGAGGTTAGGAATGGGGCGTTGAAGATGACCTATTACGACGGCGCGGATATATGCAACAGCACGGAGCTCCGGCGAGACTGGATGCTCACGGCTTCACCAACTTGCTTCCTGTGTAGTCCTTGCGGAGGTTATGAAAATAGGAGATATATGAGATGTTGGCGTCAGTAACGCCTAGCTAGTAGCTCTGGTCTGTGTTGGTATATTTTTAAGTCTGATAAACAAGCCATGTGTATATATATCCCCCCGTTCTTCACCTACCTCATTTCACTTCCTGCAAACCCACTGAATTCTAAACCTCCAACTCCTACACCCATATCACCGCCATTTACATCCACATAGTCAACCCCTGGACCAAAATGTCCACCCCTCAAACCCCATTCCCAGACCTCCCCAACATAGACATCAAATTCCCTCACTCCCCCGTCGCCATCGCCGCCCTCGCATACGCGAAACAGCACACCCGCGAGGCGACGTACAACCACTGCATCCGCAGCGCGTACTGGGCGCTCATCCTCGCCAAGAAGCTGCCGCAGTTCTCCCCTTCCCCTTCGCGGCGGGAGCTGAACATAGAAACCGTGCTCGTGGCCGCTATCTTGCACGACATGGGCTGGGCCACGACGAAGGGGCTTCTCTCGAAGGATAAGAGGTTCGAGGTCGATGGTGCGAACCTCGCGTACGAGTTCTTGGGACGGTATATCGGGGAGGGGGACGAGGGCGCGCTGGAATGGGATGGGAAGGGGGATGGAGATGGAGATGGTAAGAGGCAAGTCGTCTGGGACGCGATAGCCCTGCACTGCACGGGCTCCATCGCGCTGCACCACCCGCGGCCGGAAGTCGCGCTCGCGCATCTGGGGATCATGGCGGATTTCGTAGGGCCTAGGTTCAGGGCTGGAGACGCCGAGGGACGGGGCCAGGGCGAGGGTAATGGTGAGGGGGAAGTTATTACGCTGCAAGAGTACAGGGAGGTGCTCGCGCGGTTCCCGATGCGAGGGTTCGGGAGCGACGGATTTAGGGAGGTTATGTGTGGGCTCTGTCGCGAGAAGCCGGGGACTACGTATGATAACTTCGTGGGCGCGTTCGGGGCGAGGTTCGGTATTGATGGGAGGGGTGGGGGCAAGGAGGAGTTTAGGAGGGAGATGGAGAAGGTTGATCCGGTGGGTATGCTACTTGGGGGCTTAGAGTATCTAGAGGGATTGTTGAAGGAGGGTGAATAGGCTTGGGGTGGCCGTGGTTTAGGAAGGGGAGAGTTAGGAGGGTTAGGGTTAGGGTTAGGGTTAAGATGAGCGGTTGGTTGACAGGTGAGGAAAGAGTACAAAAAGGGTTTCATGGAGTGGAGGGGTATATTAATACTAGATGGTTAGGTTTTAACTGTTGGATGATGATTTCCGAAGATTCCATCCATCTCTTTGGAGTTGGTCACCATATAAAATGTTATGACATGCTTACCCCTTTTCCTAGGGTTGATCTCCTACCTAAAAGGAGACGTACGATAGCCTTCGCCTTATCTCAACAACTTTCACGTGTATATTGCGTATAAAAGAAAATAACATATTTAACTTGATTATATATAGATATGCTCGTTTATCCAACACCTATTAAGATATCCGTACTTACCACGTAAATAAAACACCCTTATATACCCCCCGCATCCCCCCTCATCCCAGCCAGCACAAACATGGCCATGGTCAACCCCATACTGACGCCCCAGACATTCGTCCGGACCAAGATCCACTTCCGGTTCTCCTGGCCCCAAATATATATCCAGGTGTAAAAGATACGGCTAACTAGATAACCAAGAGATAGGTTATTCAGGGTCTCGGCCGAGACACCTCCCGCGTTGCCGGCCGTCACGGCGGCGGCGTAAAAGCCGAGCGTTTCGAAGGCGTTTGCCGTTGCGGCTTCGGCGCGCTGGAGGCGGCCTTTTAGCTATGTGGTTTTGTTAGTTATATATCTATATTATAACAGCTCATACTGCCCATCTAAGTAGGTAAGGAGGTAACATGAAGCTGACGCCATTGCAATGACTAGCTAGGCATTAGCGCATGTGGGGCCCGAAACTTACTCTCTTGTCGAGGTCTGATTTCTCTAGCGCCTGCGTGAAGAGCCGCGGATTGTTCCCGTCGAAGACCTTCTTGCCTGGGCCCGTAAGCCCTGAGTATACTCTCGGCAGCAAGGCCTAGTTTTCACGACGGAGGTTAGCCGATAGAGTCTAGGACATCTATACGAATTAAGAGTAGGGGAAGTCATACAAGGACGACTGCTGCGGGAATCTGGATTTGTGTGTTAGTTCAGAGTTCTTGGTTAGGGTTTGGAACGTCACATTGACTGACGGTGTAGTAGGATATGTTCTTCTCGAGACCAAGGTACGAAGCCATTGTATGATTAGGACAGGTACCTATTCTTAAGGCACTTGAATATTTAGGTAGGTATGAATTTACATCCGACTGAGTCTGAAGGGAGATCCTAAAGCATTGAAGATTACGGCTACTCCTTACATTTATGCTACTCGAAAGAGAAGAAGGCTGTTGTCCATTTAAAGTTGGACTAAAGCATCAGGGAAGGCCGGCGACACGGTTATACCTAGCACCTACCTAGGTTTCAGCCCAAGGAGGTAGGACGCTTGGCAAGACCGACCCGCTTCGGGTCTTTTGTTAGGGAAGTCTATTTCTAATTCTTTCCTAATCCGATACGGCTCCCGGTAATTATGTAAGGTCCGTATAGGACGCCGCGGCCGAAATTCGAAATCGAGAACCTTATAAATGGGATTGCTCAGCTCAGTTCGCCTAGACTTATCTGATTCTTTCTATACTCCACTTCGCCGAGAAGCTTCAATAGGGAGGTGATGACTAATCAACCGGGGTTGGATTGGGCCGCATGCTAGAGCCGTTCGCTATCCCGACGGGAGCTTTTGCCAACCCCGATCCTAGAGGTCTTCTTATTAATACTACCCACTCTTTCTGCTTTACTTCTGCCCATGATGACGGCCATGGTATTTATTTGGCCCGTAGCTGGTTCTTTCCTAAACCTAAAGACACCCGAAAATCTACGGAAGACTTTTTGTGTTACGCGCGTATCTGACCAACCCCCAATCCCTTGGACGCTAGCCAGGGGTAGCTTAGCAAGACGGACGGCTTGGATTTGGACAGTCCTGGCTATCGAAGGATCCGAACCCTGCATGGAACTATTGAATGCAGCGTATTTCGACAGTTCGATACCTATACGCGAGGCGTGCTGCAGCCCCCACGCAGGGCTGTGCCTTAGATCGTCGGAACGATGACCAAATCGAGGCAGGATGGCGTAGTGTCACTGCCGAGGTATTTGGTGAATCTAGAACAATGAGATCCTCATGGTCAATTTGGACCGTCGGTCAAGGGTGTGAGTTTTATATTGAATAGCCTTCATGCTCAACCAGTTCATGTCGGGCATCAGGGTATCTTAAGCTGTATTTTCCGTTCCTTAGATAAAATTGAAAGGTGAAGCAAATGATATTTCTACAAATCCACCAATCCACCAGCGCCTCGTAAATCAAAGCATTACTCCTCTAGAAAACCCCCCATACATATTTCTTAGAAGTCGTTTTATGAAAATTCACCACCCCAATCTCCCCACAGGTCATTGAGATCGGAACCAAGCATCTCAAAATTGAAATCAGGGTTCGGGACTGGTATTTGGCTAGAATCTGATGGAGGCAGTAACCATGGCATCGATATTGGTAGCCCATCCCGTTGTGGATATGGCGTGGTGGCCATTGGCATTGATGGTGTCGCATCCATAGGGAACGGCGTGATAGACTGTAAATGATTATTAGAAGCGGCCTTCACACGGAGTAGATACCCAACATACCTTAGGTCGGCTGATCGGATCTTGAGCTGTGTGTGGTGAAGTAGACTGAGGGTGTGGTGGATTAGGATAAGGTGGGATTTGGAATGCGAGTAGCTTGTAGTGTAGACTGATGAACCGCTCAGCTGCCGACGCCTTAGCATCTCCCGCCGTCTTGATGCCCATATGGGTCTCCAAGAGGCCAAAAGCCGCGCACATCGACGAGTAACCCCATGGATCATTATTGCCACATCTCAATACACGATCCTCCTTCATCGTGATGCACCTCTCAATAAGCCTGAGAGTCTCTTGTGCGTTCGACATCACCAAACTCATCGAATCTAATCGTATCTTGTTAGTCTCGTTAGTTGAACTCGAAGAGAGGACGATTTTACCTTTGGGTTGATGCAATGTCACGTTGCAGAGGTTGATGACGGAATTCATTGTGTCTTCACGAAGGAAATACAAGGTTCGAATTCCCTTTTGGTAGAGCCTATCATGCATCATAACGATGTCCCGCGCGGCAGTATAGTAAATGAGTTCTGCCGTCTGGTATTTTGAGTTGAACTTCCTAAGCTTCAAGTACGGTTGATGCAGTGGAATGAGGTACTGCCTGAGTTGGAGATGCAGCAAGGTGTGAGCTAGGATCGGCTTTTGATCCGAATCCTTGTCAGTTTCCAGATCCCACGACGGCAACTGGTCAATCTCATGAGTGATCATATCGCCGTACTGGAGGACCTGCTCCCATTCGAGTTCCACCGGAGGACCGGTCAGTATCTTGTTGAGCTCGACCCGCAGTGCGAGGCTCCGACGGCTGATATTTTGATACGATGTAGATGTATAATGGCTTGCCGGAAGTGAAGCCGGAAGATCATGGGAATTCTCGTCAAAGCAGTCATCTTCAATATTTCTAGGCGCGTCTGCGTCGTTATGAACCGAGTTGAGAAGTGTTGGGAGTCCTTGGTCGAATGATGACTGGACATCGAACTCGACTATGGTAGCCCATAGCCTTCGTCGCATTTCCGCGATGTAGGGAGAGATTTTCGCCGTTATATGTTCGGGGTCTTGGTGAAGTCCTATCGCGAGTCCTTCGCGAACCATCTTTCCAGACGTGGTCCAAAATCGCTTCTTTTTGATAAGATTGACCTTCTTAGCAAGGAAGAGTAGGCATGCTATTTGGTAGTGGACAAGCTTGCGATGCTTCTGGCTTTGCCGTTCATGCCACTCATCACAAGCCCTGACCCACTTCTCGGCCATCTGAATTGAGCTGGACTTGACACCTACAAATTTGCTGGATGATTGCATGTCAAGACAACAGGAAACGGCAATCATAGACAGTACAAGGGCGGTGAACGACGCTGTTTTTGTCTTGGAAGGATCCCAGAACGCTTCATATTCCGCTCTGAAGGTGGGTACGTGAACAATTCGATGAATTTGTTCAAACTGATCCAGGTAGACAGCAACAAGGGCATCTGTTTCCTCCCTGGAAGGAAGTAGCGACTCTAGAACGATGTCGCCTTCAGTAGCTTTCTTTTCGCGATCTTCTTTTCGCTTCCTGCGGTCCTTCTTTTGGATGTTGAGAGGTTTAAGCCACTCTTCTGCCGTCTCTCTCATAAAGCCAAAGATACCGGTGAGTTCCTGAAGTGAAGACCAGGCATTGTGTGGGCCGAAATACTTAGTCTTAAAGTCGTGTCCTCGTAGATGTTGATACTCAGGCGCCTCGAAGTTCTGTGGGGTGAATGAGGGATTAGATGGTACAGATTGGCCATCTTTAATTGAGTCCTTGAAAGTCGAAGGCGAGGCTACTACAGTGCTTCCATCAAGTGAGGACTGCTTTGACGATAAAGCACCCCTCAATTGAGCAACTTCGAGCTCAAGCCGACGAATTCGCTCATGGTCACGTGCAGCGTCTCTGAGCAGCGAAGGCTCATTTTGACGTGCCGGGGGGAGGTTCACAGACGGACGGCGAATGTCAGAACCACCAAACACTACCGGAGGGGCAGCGGGAGCGAGAGATGTCCTGTCCCCTACAGAAGCCGGTGCTGCCGTTGCGCCAGGTCTCGATTCATAAGTGCACCTGTCCGGTGTGCCGGACTTGATGCAGCGATCGCATGGCAGCTCCCTAGAGCACGAAAGCTTTCGACGACGACACTCTAAACACGAAAGCCTAACTCTCTGACGTTTCCGAGCTGGACCCTGATGATGTTCCTCATGGCCGCTCTCATGCTCATGCTCATCGTCCTCTTGTACAGGAGGCATGTTGTTGGCCTGAGCATCAGCCATTGTCCCGGTGGTGAATCCACGGATATAGGGAATTGCACGCAAATTGGCAAAGCCCCGGGGGAGGTCAAATTTACTAGATTGATAAGATCAATAAAGAGATTCAAGGAAAAGGGAACAGGGTAAAACTAAGTTAGTATATTTTTTGTTACTTACTTAGACATCGGGGACAAGTTAATGGCAAGCAACGTTCTAAGAAGTAAGCAGCTCGGAAATCCGAGGTAAGGCTTCGGATCTCGGACTTAGACGCCGTATATTGTCAGGGTGTAATCCGTAAATGCGCCAACTTTTTAGGCCATGACGTCGAGATGTTGCCTAATCTGACAAGTAAGTGGTTTTCTATTGTTCCGAAATATAAGTCCTTAGTTGTCGCGCGACCTCGAAACAACCAAACGTCCTGACCGCTTGGCTTAGGTACACGAAGAAGAGAAGCTGACACAACGACAACTTCCACGCAACCGACAAAGAAAAGACGGCTGCAGGATTGGGAAGGATGGTACTACGTCACGTGGCTCCTGTATTGATATGTAGGTACCTAGTGACTTACTAATGGCTCCCTTTAAGGTTGCTCCCTTGCTCCCTCGCTCTCTCGCTCTTTCGCTACAAAGCCACATCAATATGCGGGATTTGATGTGGCTAGAATCAATCGTGGCTTATGTAGGTACATACCTGCACTAGTCTTCTCCCTCGATCCACGGTCCAATGATTTCGCTTGGCTTTTCTGACACATCACATTCTTAGAATGCATCAATCAGCGAGATTGTTTCAGCAATCGTCTCCTTGTGCTGTTCGCCTCTCATGATGAATTATTCTCATATACATATATTGGGTTGAGTACTCACCTTTGGGCCATCGCGTATGTCACGAGCGAGATATCTATCAATCAATAACACTCTGTGTAGAGACTACAAAGCTACCTGTAGACCGGTTGGATGATGTTGCTCTCACTATCCGTAGGCCTGCTGGGCTTCTACTCGTATCTAGTCCATGCTAGTATAGTGCCCGGGAAAGCTTTTGATAGGTTCATAAGCATTTGGCTCGAGAATCAGGTTCGTAGTGATAGGTACCCATGTTCCATTATGTATCTAGCGAATCGCTAACGGCCTGGACGATCGTAGGATTTCGCAAAAGTCGTTGCGGATCCAGATTTTGCGGATTTAAAACGGTTTGGTATCCTACAGACTCGATATTATGCGCAGACCCATCCAAGTCAGGTTAGTAATTAGATCTATTTCGCCTAGCTTAGCTTACTCTCATTATACGCGATAACCCCGTCTCCAGAGAAAAATTGCTGATTTTTAAAAGCCAAATTACATCGCTGCCGTAGGAGGTGATTACTTCGGCTTGGATCATGATGAAGTTGTCCGTATCCCTTCCAATGTCTCTACTGTCGTCGATCTTCTTGATGAGAAACGCATTTCATGGAGCGGATATTTTGAAGGAAACCCCGGTCCTGGTTACATGGCAGAAGGCAGTTATGATATTAATGGGATGTGGGATTATGTTAGGAAACATAAGTAAGTCTGCGGGCCCCTATTTTCCCCCTTCGTGCGTGGATATGTGTGCAATAAGCTAATCTTAGGAATAGCCCTTTCGTTTCCTATGATTCTGTCAATAAGAATGGGACCAGGCTGATGAAGCTACTCTCATTCGAAGATTTCAAAAATGACCTTGCGGCCGGGACTGTCCCGCAGTTCGTGATGATGTCGCCAGATATGTTAAATGACGGACATAACACTACGCTAGACTACGCAACCAAGTGGGCCCATAAGTTCCTGCTCCCCTTGTTAGTTGAAGGTATCTTCAAGGAAAAGACCTTAATTCAACTTACATATGACGAGACGGAGGATTATTCCGAGCCGAATCGAATTGTATCCCTCTTGCTTGGCAGTGCCGTTCCGGACAGTCTTAAAGGGTCCGAAGACGACACATTCTATACCCACTATTCCATTCTCGCCACCGCCGAAAATAATTGGGACTTGCCGAACCTCGGAAGATTCGACGTCGGCGCGAATGTCTTTGAGCTTGTTGCCGGCGTGACAGGCTATATTAACAAGGATCCATCGAACATAGCAACCCTGAATAATTCCGTGTCATATCCAGGCGCATTGAACAGGAATCACACCACCAGGTTAACGACTATCCCTTCACCGAACTTGGAGCTAATTGGAGCCGGTGGGCAGCCTGTCCTTGATTATATCCGGGGACAATGGAAGGCCAACGCGAAAGTCGACACCCCTTACGATGGCAGCGGTAATGTGTACGACGGGGACAACGTGCCTATATATAAGCCGCAGGCACGGAATGATGTAATATAGTTGCGTTGCGTTTCCCCCTTAATGATCACGTTGGTCTCGTGATATGTCAGGTACAACGAAACCCATTTGACCGAGAGCAGCATTCAGATGTTAAATCAAAATGAACAACATATATATCAGCATAGGTACATTCACAGTGAGTTACACTGTGTCAATTTGACTTGCGTTCGGGGTTATTGCGGCCTGGTGACACCCGGGTCTGCCGGGTCTGGTTGTGGCGGGCGCGATCTTCAATTAGGTAGCTGCAAATCACCCACCGTAACTACGCACTAAGGCCCTTATAACCATAGCGCTAGGTAGCCCTTGAGCTCTCTATAATTATAGAGCTCGTTGATGAACACAGCATCCCACGTGTGCAGCCCCGGCACACAGTTTCTTGTACCTACACACGGGCTGTAAAAGGAAGTCAATTGGCGGTTTGGTGGTTTTGATCCTGACGTCGTCGGCTGCTTAGGTGGGGTTCTGTTAGTGACCACTCACTTTCCAACCTACCACTTAGACCGGTGTATGTAAATTTATGAACGGGATTTACGGTAACGTGTTTGTTTCTTTCCACACGAAACGCTTAGCCTCTGAGATTGGTTCGATCTTGTTGGGTTGGCATAGTGCCGATTCTCCGGGATGCCTCCTTTTTACCTCCCTACCCCTTTTCCCTAATTGGTACACCGGCATAACCTATAAGTTAGTGATACTCTAATCTCGTACAAGGTAGGCTGGATCAATAAGACTAAAGGGAAAATAGACATGTAGCCTAGGTGGTTGGTTTAGTCATGAATTTTTGATCAATGTCATGAGAACGTACTCATTGCTCATTAATCCCTACGGCTTTAGACGCAGGGACAGGCCACAAGATATCCCGGGGACGAATCACACGTCACCATCTCAAACTATGTAATTACCAAGTGAAGAGCCTTGCAGGAATTGAAATGTGAATTTGAAAAAGGAAGGGGTGGTGATATCATCCAATTGTTCATTGCGGCCCCCTATTATTCGCAATAAGATGGATTCTGACAGTCTGATATGCCGGGATAGCGGGAGCAGTAATGTGGCGAACGTTGCACGAACGCGGAAGCATGCAGACGGTATGTAGCCCAACAACGCGCCAAGTCTAATAGCGGGGACCTCAGCTTCCCCCGACACAACGCAGTCTCACTACGATCGGCCCTAGCACAGCGAGAGGTCGGCAGCAAAAAAGAGTGACAAGAGTTGCTCGACGTGGCGAAGAACAGCCAAATTGCTACGTGCGAACGTCATCCGCACAATCGATTGGTGCCTATTTCTAGATCTCCGCGCGTGTTGTCCTCGCCGTTTTGTCAGCTACCTACCACGCTATTCCAAGGATCATGTCCCATATCGTTGGGGATATCGCGGTGGGACGACAGGCCCATCTTGTTCCATGGCAGAGATATCCTGGGCCTTTTCTTCTGAGTATTGCTGCCACCAATGGATAAAATGCTCCAGTGTGCGATCCTTGCTGTCATCTGCTTTGCTAAAGGCCCCGATGGGCCAACGAGACCGTAATTCCTGGGCCATGAGATTCAGCGGACCATCGCCATCCTCGACCTCAACGATGTCTCCAAGGATGGTAACATCTTCTACACTCATGGATTGCCTGAGCATACGGAAGACCGCTTCTGATAAGTAATAATTCTGTCCCTGCTCCCATAACCCTTTGGCACAGAGCATGAGCGTGGATCGTATGGCCTCATTTGCTGCCGAGCCGTTTTCGGTCACTGAAATCTCATCCAGAGTACTGAATCCCAGTAGGTGCAAGAATTGGACGAGGGTGGTGTCCAAACACTCGAAACCGTGGCGTAGGTAGTAGATTCTCATGAGAGTCTCAAAGCAAATTCTGGACTGGCTGACAATCATATCCGGGTTTACCCCGTTGTATGCATTATCTGTGTGCAGATGTGGTTCGAAGAGGCTGATAAGTACAATATGATAATGAATACTATGAGTCGTCAGCAAGATTGATATCTGACAGATTTGATGCTGTGGATGAGCTCACTGTATCTTGAGATGGCAAGGTAAAACGATGTGGCGAGCTTGGAGTGGCTGTGGCAAGTCCTCATACCAAATTCGAAGTTTTGATCTGAATTCTATGGCAGCTTCAAACGAGATTGGGCTATACGTCCGAGAAGGATTGAAAAACGATTTTGTGATGTCGTTCAGAATGACGCGGAATTGGGAGATAGCCTTGAAAACTGAGCCATTGTATATGCGTACCGGTTCTTTCCCGAAAGGGTACTTCACGAGTATTTCTCCGTAATACGCAGGTTCTTCGTCAACATCAGGAAGTGGCCGACTCGGTGGATCATTGATAACCGGGGGTTGAAACGTGTGGAAAGTTATGAGACTGATAGTACAGATACATGTAAGTGTAATCGTCTCAACGAGGCAACCCCTTGAAGACAGGGGCAAAATCTCAAAGAGAAAAACCTACGCTTGCCAGTTGAACAAACACCAAGCAGTCACCCCCGCCACCATCTGCCACTCCGTACTCTCTTCAGGGTTCGGGGTGAAGAGGGATATCTTCTGGGCCATCCCAAAAGACTTGTGTGTATAAACCCAGCCCAACTCATCAATACCGTTCAGATTATATACCAAGTTGATAATAGCCGCCGCTTGGACCGTGGTGATTGTGGGGGTTTCTTGTTCTAATTCGAACAGCCTCAAAGCTTCCGCGAGGAATCGATATCCGAGGTTATGGGGTTGCCAATATTCGGCCCTGTTCTTCATCCGTGTATATCCGTGCTTTTCAGAGTGTTAGCGAAGGCGGCACCTAGTGTTATTCAACCAAAAAAAAGTGTGGTGCTAACCCATGCAGTAGCAAGGACAGCGTTCACCAGCAGAGGCGAGCAGAATCGGGTTATACCAATGAACATATCCTCGAGGAAAAAGTCTTTGTGGAAGCACGGATGGAAGGGAAACTCGAAGACGAAGTATATCTGCAAAAGCATACGCAACATTGGATTGTCCGAGGAAACTGTTGTCCAGTTTGACACGATCATGGATGATATTCGAGGGTCGTCAAGTTCGACGGTGTGGTATGGCGCAATATACATTTTCTGAGACTCGTCTGAGATCTCCTTAAGTGTTTCTATGTACATTGGCGGTTGGACTAAATGTGTGACCGTCTTCTCGTACAGGAGAGAACGAATATATGGATTTTGCGCGTCTTTCAAATGGCGTGGCATCTCCCCACTATAGGGAAATATATATCGGAATCGAAATTCAGGCTTGAGCGAAAGCTGTAACAGGAGATCGCCGTCTTGAACTGTCTTGACGATGGTTTGGGCATCCTCGCCCGTCCGAAGTCGTTGAAGGATTTGGGCAATCTCTTCTTCGGAACGGGATCGTAGGATGCCAAAAAGATCCTCATATGCTTGGCACCTAATCTCCAAATTGCTTAATTTGCGTCTTTGCGCTCTAAGATGCGTCTCAGTTGGGAGAGTTGTGTATTCGCAAGGTGTTTGTCGTTCGACGCAGACAGAGCATCGTGGCCGCTCAGCACTACACTACGTTCGATCAGTCTCAAGCTAAGAATATCAAGTGAATTAGAAAGATCTAGACCTTGCTCTTTCTTCTTCGGCAGGCTTCACAAGCTGCCGGGGTGGCTACTCTCTTGGTGCGGTGTTGAGACGACGATGAGGACGAAGACGAGGTTTCGATGCGAGGAGGGTTAGGGGAGTTGGGCAACAGTGGCCGCATAGAGTGCGACATCCGGAGAGCGGTTACCTAAAAAAGAAATAAAGTAGAAAAAAGGATCCTACGTTCAGTGATGGGAATATTCTTGTCGAAACCTGCTTGGTCTTGAACCCTATAGCAGGGAGTATTTTCGTTTCGAAGGGAGAGTGTTATATAGGTACGTTTCTAGGTACATTTGGAGATTAAAAATATGAATATCTTACATGTTATACAGAGGTATTCTATCACAGTGTAGCTGGGCTCGGATTGGGTAGATCTAGCTGTGAGGCTGGGTGGTCCCCAATGTGGCGCCTCCAGCACAGAACAGCTAGAATGCAACCGGGACAGGTAAATCTAGACCCACATGACGATGAGCTTCTTCTACGTACATAGTACGCCGCTTGGCAACTTACCTGCCTACCTGGTATGTAGATCGGGAATCTATCTCTTCTCGGCAACGACGCTTTGGGGTCACAGTCCGAACTCCTACCTAACAATGATATAGTTATTACTATTTCCGATATAAAGAGTGTATAACAATCTTAGTCAAACTTGAAACTTGATGGTTTATTTCTACCGAATTTCGAGTAACAAACTAGGGAGGCTCTTTATTCATATAAAATCAAAACGGTCTATGCGATGTACGTAATTAAAAAACGTATCCTTCACCCGTTTACAGAACACTAACCAAAGGAACAGTTCATAACCAGTTACTAGCTGCCTTATTCGCGGAGTAAATTCTCCGTATCTGTGCCTGGTTTAATATTGACCGGGTGACTGTACCCTGACGATTCCGCGGAAATAATATCCGGCTGGAATATCATTGTATGTACAGTTTAACATTAACTTAAAATGATTATTCATATAGGTACCTAGGTGTGTGGTGTTGGTGCTAAGGTTATTTAAATTTTAAGGGGGGATACGGTGCGTGGAAATCCGTCGGCGATACTACATACAAATCATAGGTCTATGATATTATGCGCCAGTGCTAGTGCGAATAGAATCCTATGTCTATTATGGGACACAATAAGGTGTATGTAACTTCAGCTTTGCTAACTGCATAGCAGACAGAATCAATGAGCTTTTTTCGTTGCTTCTTTTTGTTGTTGCTTCAACCTCGACAGTTACCTTCGGCGAAATCCTTCGATATGAATCAGCGGGTTGAAAATAGGCGCCGGGAAGCCACAGAGTCGGGTACAGATCGGGGAGCTCCACCTCAATATCACTAATTTTCCCTGCGGTCGCCACAGCAGTGTTACTTAGACTATTACCGGGTGCATTCAAGCGGGTGAGCAAGTTCCCCATTCATTAAAATAGAGCCCGATCGGTGTAATGTCGTTTTACTTCTCATACAATTTGGTTTCGAAACAAATACTGTCCTAAAACAAAATTTATCGTAACCAAAATCTCTCACCGTCACCGTGTACAAACGCCTCGCTTGCCTGCCTGAAAAGGGCGATCGAGATCGGATCCAAAAGGTTTGTGAGACGAAACGATCCATCAAGTATCCTAATATCACATAAATCAAGCGATTTACCTGGCGGCTTCAGTTATATACTTCTAGATGACCTCATAATCGCACCCAGAACATCCCAGAACTTCATTTTTGAGATCGAGGAATTCCAACCACAACCCTTCTGCCCTAGATTTCGACACGTCGCGCTCGGCTTCTACCCCCCTCGCACTTGACTTGAGGATTTCTTCCTCTGTTTCTCCATCTTCCGGCAATTGCTGGACGCCAAACTATTCCCAATGAACTTTCCACCGTCTTCATGTTTTCCAGCAACTCCGATTTTCTCGGCGTTCGAGGGAGGCGACGAGTAAGGCTAGAGTTGACATTGTACACGCTTCTCTCGACGCGGATGCTCCGTTCCCAAACTAGGACCCTCGTCCTAGGCTACTCTCGGTATAAAAATATTCGTCTAGAATCTGATGACGATGTGGGTCGTTGCCAGCCCGATAACTCACTTACGGGGCAATTATTCAACATGATAAGATAGTTTCCCTGGGCAAATCAGATGAGAAATCCGAAAGACGTGCAGAAACGAGAAGAGGGGGCTAATATACGAGGTAATAATCCACGTCTACGAGATTCGCCAGAGGATCTAGACGACAAATCATTTCGTTGAAAAGTCCTTCATTTTTCTATGGCTGGACTTTTCCCGGGGATATCCCATTGCATGGGCTGCAGATTATTGACGCCTTCCAAAATTTCGGCTTAGAGTCGTTTGCCCGGCTGAAGCAGGGTAATACCATTAGCAGTGTGGCGAGGACTGCCCAGCAATTCTACTGGATCAGCGTCGGGCATCATGACCCCTAGTCTGATACTGGAAGGCCAGTAAAGGCCAGGCATGGTTGGAAGGGAGATAATGACGATGAATGAGTTAATGCATCGTTGTGATTACAAGCTCTCCAATCTATGAGTATGATGGGAGGGGGCTGGAATACGACAAATTATGTCAATATGCCGTATTATCACTTACTACACTAGGTATTAGGTAGGTAAAGTTCGCGTACCCCGATGTGTTCTGCGCTCTAATCGGCAAGACGGACAGGATTACCTAGAAAAAGAGGTGCCTTTGAGCTACAAAACGTTTCTATATGGGTAAGGTCATGTACCTTGCTAACCTAGCCCTTGCTTGTATGTCTATAGAAGATTTTCTATAGAGATACTTTGCTAATTACCACCAGTTTCAACGATTAAGTCACAATCCCCAGAAAGGGGCATAATGAATATCGATAAATCTGAAGTTCTGCTCTCTTGACGATTAATTACATTGCTACCTACGTACCTAATGAGCGAGGAACATCTGATCGACACTCGAAATCTGATATACTCGACAATCAAGCTACCTATGGTGCAACGAAGTTATCGGCTAGTTAAGGTCAAATACGGACCACTTAGTAGGCTGGAAGAAACGCCGGTCATAGAAATCGTCTTAAAAATGGGTCGATTTACCAACCGGTGACGACGCATTATCTACCAGCTCTATACATACCTAGCCATGAAGGTTGCAATGGAGCTTAATGCAAGTCACTAGTTGGGATCCTCAACCGGAAACAACTCCTTCTCCATATATTGGTCAATTATCTCGGGAAAGCCGATTACCAACAAACCACGTTACCTTGCTAGTATGTGCGCTGTTGGTATACCCCCTCGTACAACTGTCTGAGCAGACGATGATTCATCGTATTTCCTGTTGAATTGCAAAATTCTCGATATCTTATTACGAGAAATGCTGTTCCTTTTGGGGTATGATATAACGCGATGACGAGCTGCATATTCCAGGTTATTATATCTGAATAGCGCTGGTAGTTCTATTAGCTACATATATCTACTGACTTGTCTTACGTAATAGCTATTTATGGTTAGCCATATGCTTAAAACCGGCAAATGGCATTTCTAAATGTTGTATTTGCATACTCTGTACAAGAATATGCATGTTCTGAAACGTTTTGCGTATTTGGCGGTTTCAAGCATATGACCAACCATAGAGGAAAGAATTACGCCTGCTTTTCTAACCAATTTTCCGTTAGAAATTCGTTTGTTTCAACTGTTTCTTCTAGCTTCAGAAATGTAAGTGCGGCTCTGCCGTATTCAAGCCCACCAAACTCCGATTAGCACCAATACTTAACCGACCAGCAACATTAACTAGATCAACTAACTGTCATTAGAACCACCTACATAACATGCTATAATACCAAGTATTCCATATATGGAACCACCTCTTTAGAGGTAGGTAGGATAGAATTGGACGATCACCGATCACCGATCAGAAATTACGGCGCGGGTTGAATTATGAAAATCGAGCCTAAAAGCAGGTAATCTTTGAATCACCCAGGTTGCTTGCTGCATCTATGAATTAGATCGCACTGCGATCGATCTAAGTATTGCGGTCCTCCATGAAATGCATTGGATTGGCGTTTCCTTTGCTTCCGCGTTAGGTGACCAATCATGAATAATCCCTGTTTTATCCCACGAGACCGAGCCTACGGGTGAGATCTTAGGCCATCATTCATTGGCTACTCGGAGCCGACTCCGACAGAATTTGGCGACCCTTCCTTACCTAGCTCCACGCTGCCATCCTCCTTAGAAAAGATCATGTCACAAACAATATCGAGTCCGCGGCGATGATGATTCATCTAGTCTGATTGGCTCAGCTTCTATTCGACGATCTTCGATTCTCTCGATTCTCTATCACATATCTGCCTATTCCAGAGCAGGATTTACCTATGTCTTCAACTACGTGTTGGCCAAGCTGTGTATCCCATGGAGCCACGGAGTTTCAAAAAGCTCGCCCCAGCACCAGCGAAGCCTGGTAACGAATCCCCGGTCGCCGCCCCCACCCAAGGAAGTCGAAGAAGCATAACGAGAAACGTATGTAAAGTTCCCATTTACCTAGAAGTCCTTCCTGACAGATAACTCGCCATTGCCACAGGCCTGCTCGCCGTGCAAAAACAAGAAGGCAAAGGTAAGCAGGTGTTGTCTCTAATGATAAGCAGTATGCAAAGTCCAGGAACCCGATGCTAAAAGCACAGTGTGATGGAAACCGACCCGAGTGTGGTAGATGCCAGAAGAAAGGCGGTACGTGCCTATACGAAGTGAATAGACGGGATATCGCCAAGCTACAACTCATGAGTGACTCTGATGCCGCCAGATTGCAGAGTCTCGACATGATATTCGCGGTATTGCAACATGGAACCGACGAAGAAACTGCCGAGCTCCTAGCCCAAATCAGACTTGGAGGACCAGCCGAAACGCTTGCATCTGCCTCTGGTCTTCGAAGTTTTCATCATCCGACCTCGGTACCCTACGAGACATCTGCAGTCCTACCCAATTCTGGACCATCCATTACATGCGAGGACCCCGATCACCCCTCCGCGGCAAGGACGCCTCATGGGTTCCTAGACCTTCTCGGTCGAGATGATTGGTCTCAGTCCGCCGAAACCAGCACTTCCTACAGCAACCAAATACCGGAAGGCGAAAGTGGCGATTTTCTAAATGATTCTATTCATTCTCGACTTCGAAAAGCCTAGCCTACGAATGACTTGATGGAAACCTCGACAATAACCTCTTTACCCGAGCCGTGACACACAGAGTCGCCAGATAGTCTAGACTGCTTGTCCGGGTCTGTCTGGGATATAGTAACTTGCAATTTGTCAAGAATATACCTCAAATAATCTGGAAAGAAGTGTTACATTGGCAGTCACCGCAGTCTAGTATGTCGATTTCTAGTAGGATGACCTCGTCCCAACGTTGGAGAAATCTATTAAGGAAGGGATCGGAACCAATGTCGTGTAAGTGGACGATTCGGTTCTCCGCAAGACGCTGATATTTAATTCTAAGTAATGCTTAACTAGCTTGAGAGGTCCGCTTTTAGATAATAGTTACTAACTTGATACCATTGACATCTAGTGCTTCAATTGTTCCGACTCGGTCCCACTCGCTAAGATCGATAACCCTTCTGAGACCTGTCTCGGCTTTGCCTAAACTGACCAACACCTTGCTAGCGACAAATCAACGCACATGGATATCGAGAGATAGAACAGAGAGGAGAGTGTTCAGAATCTCAGCAGCTGAACTCTCTAAAACTGCTAAAATTAGGACATCAGCTGAGCGGGTACGGTATATCGATATGTCGGCGTGTTAAATAATCGGCTTAGGTACCATATGGTTGCAAAAACAATTATTCCCATACCTACCTATTCACGAAGTTATCACCGTCGGCTGGATTGACTAGACTATCGAACACATGTACAGAAATGGGTGCCGGAACTACATAAGTAGCCAAAAAACAAAGGAGCAAATTGAAAGATGTCTCCTAAATAATGTCGCTATACACTGAATAAGAACCTCAAACTATGCCACCCAAAACATGGTAGTTCGTGATAGTTTGTCAAAGTGGACCACTGTGTCCGTCTTTCACGCTCCGCAGATTAATCCTACCATGTTTTTAGTTACAAATACTTGCTCATCGTCGTGTAGAATCGAAGTCTGCAGGGCGTACTCCAAAAAATACCGAATGCAGAGACATGTCTAGCATTCATCTGATTAAAGCTGCTGCTTGGGGGCATATTCGCCCAGCCGAGTTGATAAAATCGTCGATGAGACGGATTCGTAACCCATGGTTCCAATCGCTTACCGGGGCGTCGCCGACCAACCAAAATAGGCCAGTACCATCGACTAGGATAGATAACAACGCAAATGACTGAACTCTAGGCGTTTATGTCGATGCCACGAGTACTGTTGACAAGCAGTGCTGGTGGATGTAAGATAGTAGGGGCTTTCTGCGGCACATCGTCATTTTTTCGTCTAAATTACCTCGCTCATGCCAACTAATACAAGACAACTCGGCTTCCGACCGAGCCGATTTCTCGAGTTTTGTGATTTTGGTGAACATGATTTGATAGTTTGTCTCCGATCGACCCGGCATACGATTTGCCTATGACGAAATACCTTAACCATCGTGACCGCACGAAGCTACGACGAAAATCAATCTAACCCCCCCGTATTCATGTACGAGACGATTGATCTACGCCAACTCAAGCTATGACATGGGGATTCGCTCCCAAACGGAACCGAAATTGAGGCTGGGATTGGGCGTTGTGGGGGTGTTTGCTCGATAAACCCCCTGTATGGTCAAGAGAGGCAAGTAATGCGACAGGAACGAAATCCGGGGATAGAGTTGTTGCAACTTGGCGCCATTCACGTGACACCCATCAAGACACTCACCTTCTGAGACACCTCCGGGGCATCTGATTGGCTACAATCTTGACGGAGCTGGCTAATCTGCCGATAAATAACCGGCGCGAAATCCGCGTTACTAGTCTTTCGTTCAACCTCTATCCAAAACGTCATTTTAGCAAGGAATTGGGTTTCCTGCGTGCTTCGAAACGTGATGAGCCGGAGCGTAAATGCTTTCGTAGCCCTTATCCGGACGCACCATATCACGAGCCGTAAGAAGCTCGCCCGTGTCAGGAAAGCCGCCGCTCTGTACGATCTGCATGTCCTAGTCAGGAGCGGCGGTTCGCCCGGCATCATGTACGCGGAAGGACCCGATGAGGCTGCCGTCAACAATTGGGTCAACGGCGTGCAGGCTTTGAGATATAAAGATTTTCAATGCGTCCAGAAACCGGCCGCTAAGTCCATCCAGGTCGCCGATCGCGCAAGCGGTGGCGGTTTCGAAGAAGTTGCTTCCGTAGCGGATTTCGGCGAGAGGATGGAGAGACGGGGTCTGGGAAGCTGGTGGAAAATTGGGAGTGAGTATCTTCTAGGCCTGACTTCAAACAAGTCTTTCCCTCTCCGGAACATAATTGTCTTGCTGAGCTAAGCCACGAGACAAGAATCGTTATTTTAAGCAGCTCCGAGATCTTCATACGATAATCATGACTAACATTTAATACTGTAGTGGGTTATATATCAGAGTAGACGTCAATCCGGGGATCTCTGACGCTGCCTCCGTCCTCCGCTTTGCTTCACTTAAGTGAATGTCACGGACTTGGGCTGAGATGACTTACCGATTCTCTCCACAACTGCTCACACAAGGCAATCGGGAGTCTAGCTGACAAATGCGCGACTAATCCCATTTACCAGACTACCAATCACAGCACGTCCAAATTATGATTCTGTTGAAAGGGGAAGTAATATCGAAGAACCGATAAAACCCGAATGTTGAACCTTTGAAATGCAAGTCGCGTCCGGCTTGTTGGGTTATCAGCTCTCTATGATCGAAAGGATGAGGCTTCATTATCCACGTCTCGCTCTCAATAACAATACTTCTTGGTTCAATCACAAGTTGAGGAATCGCGAAATTGTTATCTGGACTCCACTGAGAGAATGGTGAACGGTACTTCAATGTTGGTACTTGGGTTTCAAATTTTCACCTCCCTTAGTCGAGTTCATGGTTGGAAGGCTCTTTTCTCTCGCCCGAACCCAACATGGAGATACCAAGGCCAAAAATAGATTGGCAGCGAATTTTTCGCCTGGTTCTGCTTCTACTTCGATGCGCTGTCACATTGCCGATGCGTATGCTCGAACCCAATGCGTGCAGCGAGACTGTGGGGAAACCTGGGGAATTCATCCGCAACCTTGGTTCATCAGCCGGTCCAATGATAGTTACTGGATTTATTGGCTTCTACTCTTTCAAATGAAGAATCTGGCCGAATACACCAGACGGAACGTATTGATCCTTATATTAACAACTGTTATCTGTCCGGGTTATGTCCAGCGCCACGATGGAGGGCTGCAGCTGGAAGCATAAAATCTACGACACAACTCACCCGGATCGTCAGTCAACTTTCCCCTCTAAACAAGGTCCAGCAAATTCGCCCCAAATTCATCTCTTCGTTGGAAAGCTTTGTTCAGCTTGGCAAAATGAGAGCCTCACTTTATGCTGCACTTGGTGCCATAGCTGCCACGAAGGTGGCTGGGCATTCTCTGTTCCAGGCCCTTTGGGTTGATGGCGTCGACATGATAAGTCTCACGGTCTCGGTGATGAACGGCAGAAAACTAACTTCGCCAGCACGCTGATCAATGTGTTCGGATGCCCAGCTCTAACAGCCCGGTCACGAATGTTAACAGTGCCGACATTCGATGCAACGTGGGAGGCACCAGGGGTGTTTCAGGCAAATGTGCGGTGAAGCCTGGCAGCACCGTGACAATTGAGATGCACGCGGTAGGACACATCGTAAAGTAATATGTCAGCAACTTGCTAACTATTGCAAAGCAACCCGGTGACCGAAGTTGCGGCAGTGAAGCGATCGGAGGAGCCCACTATGGCCCGGTTAACGTCTACATGAGCCAAGTTCCAGACGCCTCAACAGCAGACGGATCGACTCCGTGGTACAAGATCTTTGCCGACTCCTGGTCTGCGAAAGGCTCGGTAGGCGACGGTGATAACTGGGGAACGAATGATCTCAACTCCTGCTGTGGCAAGATGGACGTCCCGATCCCCGCGGATACTCCTGATGGCGACTATCTCCTCCGAGCCGAAGTCATCGCCTTGCACACGGCATCCTCGGCCGGCGGCGCGCAATTCTACGTTTCCTGCTACCAGATCACGGTCGCTGGCGGCTCCGCCAGGGCTGCCGCCCTACCAGCCGGCGTTTCGCTTCCCGGAGCGCTTAAGAGCAGCGACCCGGGCATCCAGATCAACATCCACGCGAAGATATCCGAGTACGTGAACCCCGGGCCGGACGTCATCGCCAGCGGTACCACCAAGGTCGCCGGCTCGGGCTGTGCCAGCGGCTGCGCGAAGACTTGCTCCGTCGGATCCGGACCCGTCGGGACTGCTATCGGCGCGGCCCCTAAGCCGACTTCGGGCGCTGGCTCTGGTGCCGGTGGCGAGGTTGGCTGCGCTCAATCGAGATATCAACAGTGCGGTGGAGAGGGCTATACTGGCTGCACGACGTGTGCTGATGGCCTTACCTGCCAAGATGTCTCTGCGCCGTACTACTCGCAGTGCGCGTAAGGGGTTAGAGTAGGTAGGGGGTATCTGAAGGACATGGTCGTTCGTTGATATAGGGGTCTAATGAAGATACCTTCTATAGCATATAAATTCAAGATATAGCATGCGTTACATGAGTCAAAGTATAACGATGTGAAGACGAGCTTGTGGTATTAGTAATAAACATTGAGCTATCCTAGTACCGTATGTTCACTCCTGGATAAATATTTCGGGATGAGATGATCTCCGTGTTTCCGTCAACTTTTTGCACAATATCATTACGTATGTGGTTAGTACGCGCCGGGCCCCTGCAGTTTCCCTTCACCTGTTTCAAACGGAGCCAATAAGAATAAGCCAAAGCTCGGAAAGCCCCGCAATCCAAGTCAACGACCGTTGCCAGTTCCCTTAATTACTTAGCTCAAGCCGAATTTATTCCTCATTCACCGTCCTTCTAGAGAATAAATATATGAGAGGTGGAAGGTTGTCGTCGACGTTCCATTAGCTTCTTCAGGATATTTCCGCTCCGGTTTTGCGCCCGAATGATACCATAGTCGGGATCGTCGGGATCGATAATCTTCTTTCCTACATCACAATCTAGAGCACTTGTTCAACTCAACTCAACTCATCTCATCTCATCGCACCCCGTCTCATATCAGGCTCTAAAGATTAACGGACCCTCCCTATATATTCATATTTACATACACGTATATACACACATATCTCACAATGTCCCTCAACGAACCCCACAAGTCCCGCATCATCGGGCACATGAACGCCGACCACGCGGCCGAGATAGAAGAGTACCTACAAGCCTTCAACGGGCTCTCCGCCTCCGCCGCGGCCGGCGCCCAGATCACAGATATGTCGCTAACCAGCATGACCATCAAGTCCGCGTCGGGAACCCACGCCGTCGCCATAACCCCGCCCCTCAAGTCCGCGGCCGACGCCCGCGTCGTCCTCGTCGACATGTCCGCTACGGCGAAGCAGAAGCTCGGCCTCAGCTCCATTAGGGTAACGACCTGGACCCCGCCTTCGGGGTTCGGAATCCTTACGTTCGCGGGCGTGGCCCTGTATTTCGTGTGCGCGGCTACGTATCCGCTTGTGACGCCTGACTCTACCCCGGTGGTCTGGGGGTTGTTGGATGCGGTTTGGCCTGGTGGTGCGCAGGCGTATAAGTGGCTTGTTCGCGCGATCTTTGTGCCGGTTATGGTTATCCATGTTGCGGAGGCGGGGTGGATGGCGAGGGGCAGGTTGAGGAGGCATGGGGTTAAGACGGGGAGTAGGGTTTGGTTGCTTTGGACGCTGGGGACGTTTGTGGAGGGGTTGCCGTCGATGAGGAGGTTTGATCGGTTGGTTGAGGCGGAGGGGAAGAAGAGTCATTAGGGAGATATGGCTTCTTTCCTTTCTTTGAAAGAGCGGACTGCGCTTTTCTTTTAGAGGGGTGAGTATTGGAGAGAAATGAGATGAGATGGGCTCGAGAGTGTCGTATCGTGTTATGAGGCTGAGGAGAGATTGCCCGAGCAGATGAGGGGCACGAGTTTGAACTCCAACTAATGAAATTTCACATAGCAATGGGATCAATTAGGTGGTTTTTGGTCAATTAAAGAGCATTAATTAATACCAGTCAGAATCTATGCATCTTGCGAATGGCAAGGTGTGCCTGCCATTTGGACCAAGCATGGGCTACGGCTTACTTCACGATAGTCACATTAAGACAACAAGATGGTGGGGTGAACCTCTCAATTCATTTCCGTCATTATCCAAGTGGATATCCCTGCATCCTGCATTTCAAATCGTTGTCCCTGCATATTCGCATTTCAAACGTCCCTTCCTTTCAAGAGATTGACTTTCTCAAGAAGCCGCCACGAGAACGGGTAGGGATGCTGTCGCCTAACTACCCGACCCGTCAAACCCAAATTTTCAAACGCCCCAAAACTCCCAAACATCGAGGTTCTCCCAGTTCCCAAATCCCTTTGAACGCCCAAATGATATCCATTCCTGATTCCTCTGAATCGAATTTAAACGCCGTTTCCTAAATCGGGTATCTCATGTCGAAAGTGAATACCGAACTCCTGTTGTATATGCAATATGAAGGATATACCATCCAGAGCAAGCGCGAATGTGAGGGCGACGAGAGCGTGACGGGAGAGCCACATCGTGGTCAGAGATATTCGTCTTCAACGCTCACTATTAACCCTTTGGGTAACGTGGAACCGCTCTCATGGCTTCAAGAGAGGTCGTGGGTAGATTGGTGCCGTATGTCAACCGAGCCAAATTGTCGTAATGGGGAGGTGTGTCCTTGTCTATTGTAGGGCCTGGTGTCTAAATCTGCCATACTTGGCATCGCCCAAGATCTGGTCGACATCCCTCTCCGATATTTCCTTGCTCGCCACGCGGATGCACACGTTGTAGAGCGCCCTCATGACCCTTATTCCATACTCGTCCGCCTCCTTGATCGCCGCCCTTCTCTCCTCCAACTTCTCAAACTGCAACGTGTGCTTGTTGAGTTCGCGCACGTTTTCAACTGGGAAGTACTCCGAAGGCCTCTTGTCGCAGCATTCGAGGATCTTTGTAGGGTTCCAAGATTTGCTGAAGAAACGACGAGCCTCCCAGTGATCCTTCTCGTTGTCTCTGGCCCCTCTGTGGCTCAGGAGGTACAGAAGGGCGACGGATTCCTGTATCAAGGCGTGGCTCTTCTTGAGGACTTCGTTCAGTTCGTCGCCGGCGGACTTGTTGGTCCGGTGGTCGACGCCGCTCACGACACACTGGAAGCCCTTTTCCTCGCACCGCCTGCACTTTTCCATGCTCGGCGTGTGCAGGCATCTGACCTTCGAGCGTCGGCATCTCTCGCACGAGTTCTTGCCGACGACGCGCGGCTTCCTCCTCCGAGGCTGCGGCTCTGCCCCCTGGTGACCCTCAGATATCGACTCTGGGGTCGGGTACTGTTCTTCGGATGGGCGAGCTGTGAGATATTGCCCAGGTGCCGGCAATGGCGCGGTTGCCACCTGGGACTGGTTGCTTGTTTGGCTAGAAGGGAATGGGGCCCCTTCTAGCGGCATCGTTAACTGTGGGAGCGTGAGCTGGGCCGCCCCCGGTTGTCGTAATTGGCCCTCCCCTTGTTGAAAGGGCGCCGATGAGGTGGCTTCAGCCAGCACGCCTTGATACACGGAAGAGCCGAAAAGGCCTCTCGAGTCATTGTTGTCAATGGGGAGGGGCTGGTTGAAGTCGAAGCCCGAGTTCTCGTTCGCTTGTGTGACGAACTCGGCTTGGCTCTCTTGGGACTCAGGGGCGCCCCAGAGGTTTAGATCTTCATCCCCAGGGACGGGAGGGGATGAATTGGTTCCGGAAGTTGTGCCAGATGACTCCCCTAGTTCGTTGAGGTGGCACTGGGAGTCGTCCACAGTAGAGTGGAAGTATTGAGTCCACTGGCTGCTTGCATCGGTGGACATGTCCCAATCGAAGCCGGATATTGCATTAATTGGCTCGTATTGGTGCATCTTTGGGTCGTTATCGAGCATAGTAGACATGCTGGCCTTGAATTTGTCGGTCTCGTTGGCCTGTGGACCCGGCATGTGAAGTGTTGGGGCATTTCTTGAGTCGTAAGCCCAAGGATATTGATTTGATGTGCCCATGGCCATGGCTTGGTAGTGGGCTTTGTCCTCGTCGTCGTCGAAGTGGTAGGGGTATGTGTAGAGACCCGACATCTTGGGTAAGGAGTATAGATGTCTTGATGGATTTTTTGTTTTGTTTTTATTTGAGCTTTGAGCTTTTCTGTCTGTTGTAACTGTTGTTTGAGCTGAAGAATTCTGATAGTCTGTTTTGGAGCGTGCTATTCGTCTGAGCAAAGCAAGACGGCTATGATTGCTAGTGAAATATAAGAATGTGACTTTTCTAAGTATAAGATGTATAAGGGGTATTAGGTATTTGAGCGTTTGAATAGGTATTATCAAGTGTAGCTTCTAATGATCCAAAGATATTGGAGCAGGTGGGTTGCTTTTCAGACGATTGTTGTGGGCTCTTCTGGTCGACTTATGTGAACTGGGAAATAAGAGAGAAAGAAACAGAACCCGGGGGGTATGGCCATATTTATAATATGGAATTGGAATTAAACTTTGGAATACTCCCTCTTCGATTGTTTACATTGGGAAACCTTGACGTCGAAAACATACAAGTAAACATATGATTTGCCTTCCATCTTGTAAACAGTCCCGGTGACTCCTTTCCCTTGACCCAAATGTTAACGCCATGAACTCAATCCTCCCAGATGCCTTGACGTGCGTCAACATCTATCAGTGGTTACCTAGGTGGCTCATTGATAGTGATTTTCTAGGAAAGAGCGGGTTTCGAAAGTTTTGGGTGCGGCGTCGAGTTAGATATGTTCTCGAGCAGTTTCCTTAGTAATCATATCGACAGTAAGGCCCCTGTGACCAACACGGAAACTTTGTCTTCTCAACTTTCATGAGAGAAGAGGTACGGTATCAGAGATATTAGTTTTGTTTTGCCAGGGCGTGTTCAGGGGCTACCTATGATACGCAATTCCATTTCTACAAATACAACATTCTACTATCTACAAGCCTCGAATAATACGAAACCATTCCGGGTTTTATAATATATCGCTTTCAGATTACCTACTTTATAGGTCAATTGGCATCCTACAGCCTCTGTGCCCTCGTGTAGTTGGTCTACATGTACAGTGTACTGTGTATGCCTATTTTCGCGTGTTGGGACTATATTAGACGCATCTCTTTATGAAGTTTAATCTTTGGCAATTGACTTTCCTTGGGTGACCACCTGATTCCCTACTTGCAGAGGCGACTCTATGAGCTAGATAATGACCCTGCATTTATTTTTAGTTTACATAGTTAACAGGGCTCCATAACTTTGGACATGCCATTAAACTCGTCCCAGTCCCTTGTCTTCGGTCCCCAGAAGTTAAGTTTAGGAATGGCATGATCAATTGAGTCTATTCATCAATTCTCTTGGTTAGTCCTATATTGCGCCTTCCCTGGACAAAGCTCCGGAGGTGTATTCCCGGATATCAGGCTTTTAAGTCCTAAGTATGCAGGTAGGAAAGGAATAACCTGATATAGGGCAAACAGATACTTGGAATCACTGCGTCTGGCTAGGACGTACCAAATAATTCCTATCTAAGCACTAAATAATCTGAGTCTTTCTCAATTGATCTTTATGCTAACCCTATCCCTCCACTTATTTCCCAGACCCCTGCCGTTGGGGATAGGTCGTTGTGGAATTGACCTTCGAGATGTTTACACTGGGCGTATTAGTGTAAACTTACTTTTTCTCGTTAAATTTCATAAGCCTTACCCGAAAATATTGTCTGTGCTTACTATTCTAGCCTAGAAGTATCGACCCGGGTAGGATTCCATCTCGTTACTACGGCAGGTACGATAAAGCACCTACGATATGGAGCCTTATCTCTTTAACTGGCAGTCGTCAACATTTAGGGGTTGGGAAGTAAAATACATCAAAACATCCATAAAAGCTCGGTTCAGGACACTGCTAGTATAAGTCAAAATAGACGTGAAGTCATGTACCATTCATACTCTATCCTGGGTCTGGTCATGTGAAGCTGTATTTTGCCTCCTAATCCCTGCATGTTGACAACTGCCAGTTAAAGAGATAAGGTTGGAGGTACCAATAGCTCTGGAGGTATTCATAATATTACCTAGGTGCCCATTGCTCATTCAAAGCTCGCCAAGGGGTAGTGTTTAGGTATGTACTAAGAACATTTTCAGCAGCCACATAAAGATGTCCGTGGCAAAATAATCCTGAATTATGCTGTCGTTGCCGTCAACAAATGTCAAAGGTTAACTATATCTAGACCAACATCCCGTCTTGCGTAGGAGGCTTCCTCGACTCTTCCACAGTCCCAAGGTTCTAAGACTCGCACCGTAGGACCCGACTAGGTTATAATTCGGGTTCACACCCGGACCCCATACGACTCTAACGCCTCATATACGACATCGCCCCAAGATAAGCGGTCCGCCTGATAGTCCTATGACTGGCAAGTGCAAGCGCCAGACGGGTCTTGGACACAGTGTAAACCAGGGTCGCATAGAGAAGCCGGGATCCAGAATCCGTCACTGCAGACCTGGATCTGAGATGTGTAATTCTCTGGGCTGCGAGGTATTTGGCTGTTAGTCTTACTCTTCTTAATACTTTATGTTCGGGGAGATGTAGTCGAGAGTATTCAAGTTTAAACATACTTAAAACATCGATAGGTACCCGACGTGCAACCCGACTGTCTGGGGGCAATGGCTGCAAAGACCGGCGCAACGGCTAGAGCCAAAAGGGCAGTGGACGTGTCAAGTCTCATGACTCTTAGTTGATCGTAGGTTTTGGATCTGATCTAAAGATAGGGGAAGCTGGAAGCAATTGTTTTAGATGGTAGAATGGAAAAGTAGTAAAGTGAGGAGGGATTACCTAGTTTATAGATTTTCACGGCAATCCATTCGAATGAAAAACACAAATTGCTTCGGTAGATACCTAACTATTTAAAACTCTACGGTGATGTCACCAGATCGCGCCGGCACTTATTTTCGCGTAACGTTTGCATCACCAAAGGCCTTAGTAGTTAAATGTCAAGGATCATGGGAGGAACTAGGGGCTTCAAATATATATCTACTAAGAAGCAATGTTGAAGAAGAGTGGAGCGACTAAATTTATTTCATCCCACAATTCGAGTATTAAACCCCTTTTTGCTCTTAGAAAAGGGGACTAATCCACGGTATCGACATCGGAACATGTAGTCGATTTTAACTTCCGTCTTACTACGTTGTTTGCCTATATGTCCGTGCATTAACCCTACAGTTCAATCGTTTCTACAATATCGTGGAACTAATACCCGAACGATATATTGTCATATCTATTTTTAGAATAACTTGGAGCTAAAAGACCCGGAATCTAAGATGAGAGATACGTTGCCCCCATCCGGGAAACGGCTCTTAGCGAGACGGAGACGGGACGCCTAATGTGGCATCCACGAATCAGAAATCGGGTATATCCCAATACGGCAAGTACTCGTTCTACATTTGATGCCAATGCTACAGCTGATTCCGCGCATATACTAGGAAGAGCTATAATGTCGAGACTTTGGATTACGGGACTGATGTAAAAAGCTGCGATATTCTTAAAATTACACAGTCGCCCTAATACCCCATCACTTCCCCCTCATTCGCCACTTAAACCTTTCATGATAGTGCCAAGTCATAAGACATCATCCTCGTACTAAACTATTCTACCAGCCGGAATCCTTACCTGTACTCTACAGGTCCAGCTAGTCGTAGCCACTCTCTTCTCCCATTTCCACTAGACCTTTACTGAAGAGACGCTTCGTCTTGATTACCGGAAGTGATATATGCAACTCTCTCCAATGAATATGTTCATCTCCAGTTGTTTGATTCTTCACCAAGGCCGGTTGGTTCGATTCTATGGTTCGGACCATCCTCGAGGTCACGACGACCATTCTGGATTCCACTCTCACCTACGCCCGCATCGTCCTCGTCATCGTCAGCAGCTTGGTTTTCGAGAAGCCCCTCATTAGGATTTGCACCGACGCTCTGCGTAAGACGCCTGTAACCGAGTCTAGCTCGAGCACCTCCAGAGTTACGCAATCGGAAGAAGGCAAGATGGATCAGCTACATCTAATATTAGCTTGTAAGAGCTTAGTTTATTCCAGATGATATTTACCTGAAGCATTCCGACAACCACCACGACAGCAAATTCAAGCCCCGCAGTCCTCTGCTCTGCAGCTTGCCAAGGGACAAGGCAGTTGGTGGATCTACCAGGATACGTCTCTAAACATTTATGAGTTTTCGGCCAATCGCGGTCCTTAGTGGAACGGAGCCCACAGCAGTTAAAGGCATCCTGGATTCTCATGATAGATTGGCCATCGTTAGCGCTATACAGGCGTTGCCAGTTCCCCTCAAGGCTACACTCGAGCAACCTCCCTGGCACGAAACCTTGGGCCGAGAGTGTCGCCAGGACAACTGTCAATATGCCTTGGATGACTTGCAGCGCGATAGGCAGGAGCTGCTGTGTTGCGAGTGAGCTGAATCGAGACCGTAAGAACCTATGGAGAAGCGGGGTGTAGAAAACGTTTGCGGCTGCGATGACAGGTAAGATGATGGCGAGCACGGTTGCACCAGTCGGTAGGGGGAGCGATAACGTGCTCGAAGTAACCTGCACGTAACTGAGGCCTGTTAATATCTGGCCATTGAATGGTGCACAATGAATTCTACGTGGATCGCGGGGGAATCCAAGAGCGAAACAGTATGTAGCTTACATTGCAACAGCTATCGCAGCTAGGAGCAGCTAATTAATTGTGCGTCAGTCCATCATGCTACTTCAACAATTATCAGGGTTATGGACTACCTACAATGGGATAAGCAAGCGCGAGATTCACCATGATGGGCAGTCTTGCTGACGTATTCTGCCCTCAATTCAAATGACCTTCAGTCAATAGGCAGTTAGACAGGAATGTTGAAGAGTAGATAAAGATGGTGGAAAGATGATAAAACTGGAGGAAAAGTTTATTTCGTTCGCACAACTCTTGCCCAACCTCGTCCCTGCCTGTTCATGAGGTGACGTGGATGCGAGTTCCCGCTCCGACCGCCTCCCCGCATGCGCCCGCAGTCGCTGTGTTACATGAGCCTACATATTCTTTTCTGATCTATCATATTTTGGTTACTCTTCGGCCAATTGTTTCACCCTCTACATTCGGGGGCCAAATTTTAATCAGTTCATTATCAACCACAAGGAGCTATCGATAAACTTATGACTCACGTTCACGAGATGCATTTCCTCGTCGCCTTGATCAAACATGCGTCGGGTTCGTACTGGAACTCTTGCGCCTCCTACGTAGGCATGCCCGCACACCGAGACCCTGCGTTCCCGAAGGAAGTTTAAGGTAATTGTGGATACTATCCAGGTACGAAAGTATAAATATCAAAATTTCCCGATTGTGGTTTTAACGTTATTCTCGTAACATCTTCCGGGTCTTGTCGTAGGGTGGCTTGATGTTGTCAACTGAGTTTCTTAGCTTAGGCGTTGGGAGGACCGTGACTTTCACTCCTTTTCTCTTACCAGAATGAATGTAAGGGTGGCAAATATCTTTTCCCACGTCTGAGAGTGCTGAGCACCTTTCTTGGAGGGCATGGACAAATCTCCCTAGATGCACAAAACTGCGCGTGTCATCTTAGGGGCGCGGAGAAAACAGTATGTACGCGACGATTCTCAATAAAATATGGATCGAGAGCGTGATCATTTCTCTCCGAGTAGATATCTTATATCCAAGCTCACAAGCCCTCTCATCCAGACTATATTTTACATTCAACGAATACAGCTGCTCAAACGTGTCGAATATGTAATTAGGTCAAACGACGCCTTCAGGTCTGTGCTGAAGGCCGTATCGTACCTATGCGGCCTCCCACCCATCCTGGTATGTGAAGAAACCGTTCACGGCATCTACTATGAATTGGGACACCTCACTGCCTGTTTGGTTTCCGTCGGCGACTCTAGACGAGCAGTCTGCGTTTGTGATGCTCACGAGATTTATAACTTTGTACATAAGTACTTAATTTCGTAGGCTAGATTTCTGAAGAGCATACCTGTGACAAAGCCGAGGTGCATCTTGGTCAGACCTTGGAAATACAACGATTTCTGACTCCAATTTCATTGAGATAGGTCACCTTTGCTTCATCAATATATGCAACTCGTATTGGAACCTGTTCAAGGCCGCCGTCCGAAGTTTTGTAAACAAATCTAGTATCAGGGATTGAGAATTCCCAGAGCTGAGCATAGACGTCACTCCCACGCGGCTGCAAATGGGACCGCCCCTATCTCATTGGAAAGAATAGCTTTCGAATGATTTAGTTTCTCTAACTTCAGTCTTCTTGGTAAGAGCATATCCAATGTCGTCGCGCCTCTTAGGTCCCCAGGAGGATCGTACAAAAGACAGCGCATATGGAGGGTTTTATATTAGACAGCATTGGCTAGGTACGCTAGACACTTCTCGAACGAGGTTCCGAATAAAATACAAAGATCCTGGGGATTTATAGAATTTTCAACCCACTTTAAGAATCTTGAGAAGTACTAAAGTTCCTAAATTCCTAAACGAATACTAGATAGAGAGACTAAGACGGCATATTTGGAGTACCTGGGTACCTTGAGCTTTCAAATCCGGAATTAATCGAGCCTCAAAAGGGGGTTGTGAAATGACAGTACCGGAGTTCTTTAAACAAGGCAGGCAGGTATAGAAGTATTTATACCCATATTGAGTGGTTATTACATACTCTTCTGTTATTACCTAACCATAGAGATTTGGGGAATCTGCTAAGACCTTTGTTAGAGCTTGAGATTCTACAAAACGAGGTGGTTACACGTACTGCGGTTTGCATTGTGTTTACTAGGGACATAATACCTATCAACGTACTGTCCCAGCCAAACGAGTAAAAGCCGCATAGAGTACTTCGTTATTACGAAGTGCCAATGAGGGTTCATACAAAGTTTCAATGATTGCCTTTTTCTCGTTCTCGTACGGAACTCCTGGACATGTATGTCATCATTATGATTGATAGGGCTAGGTGCAAGGTGAGGCTCGAAGGTCTCAATGAGACAACGAATGAGGTTGAAAAAGAACCTTGGAAGATTGTAAGTTATATCATACGTATTACTAATACTTCTAGCCTTGATAGACAAAGTATGTAGATCATCACGTAAAGGGCAGAACACGCAGAATCAGGGGCAGGTGTTGGATGTTTAAATGCTAAGCCTCACCAAATAACTGCCAACGGTTACATTGGCTTCGATGACATAGCCACATAACCCAATTCTAATTCCAACCTATCACGACGTCCTTTCTGAGATCTGTCCGACATCTGTCGAATCCACGTGTGTTCTCCACGAAGTTTTAATTCTGGTGCCTAACTCGATATACAAGGGCCCGCATGCTGCCAAGCGCGTACCCCTGAGCAGATCGTGGTAATCCCCTTAAAAACCCGTCGACCTAGAATTACCGGAGCGCGGTAAATGTCAATCAATCTCGTCTTGGCGATAGCTTCACCTTCCTATCAGAGACCCGTATCGTTTGCGCCGAGAGTCGATCGCGCCGTTTAGGCCCGAGCAGCCAAGGTCGCATAGAACCCGGCGATGGCGGTGTCGAATCAACCGTATTGGGTGATAGTTTGGCCATCGCAAACCGTCGACGGGAGATCGTCATGTTTGTGGAATCTTAGATCCCTTCTTTGGCCTTTTGTTTTCCAGCTATAGCCTACTCGCCGATGCCGAGACTACGCGACCTCGTGTCTAGAATTTTCTTGGGAAACCCTTCGCGCGGAAGACAAGACGCCCAGACTGCCAGGACGCCATGTAACTAATGTAGCTTCTTGGAATACCACCGTGCCAACTTAAAATTAGATGCCCATGTGGTGGCTATCCAATCGTTTACGGCCGGTTCGTGATACAGCTTTGGGATAGACATAGGACCCGCACCTATCGGATCATGGCGAAATCGACCCTCACCTTGATCATATAGCAGAAACGGAGAAGAATGCGGGGCCATATGGATCGATCGGAATTTTCTCTGATGGACTTCCTGCCTGAAAAGCCGTGCCTCACGCGCCTCGTGATCATCGTCGATATTACATGGTTGAGCCTAGTAGAGGAGAGACGCAACCTTCCAACATAAGAAGTTTGCTACAATCTCATGTTTGTGTATAATATCGTGGGACCTACATAAGAAAGCGCAAGTTCTTGTTTGGGACGAGTCTGGCTACCTACCTAGGCTTTGGTTGTCTTCTAGCTCAACTACCACATCAATAAGTAGCTCGCGGCTTCTCTTCATATTGCTAAGAGATTAAGCATCAACAATCTCCAAAAGTTTCAATATGGTTCGCTCAATACTTATTGCGGCTCTAGCTGCCACAGCTACGGCTCTTTCAGCTAGTCATCATGCGGCCAGGAATGCAGAGCTGTTCACGATCGACCTGGGACGCGGCGAGACTCGTATCGTGACCGAAGAAGAAAAATGGGCTCTTAAGAAAGTTAGTGGCCAACACCCCCGCAAGATATTCGCTGATGACATTAACTCGTGCCCAGGCGGGAAAAAACTTCATCGACATCACACACCACCCAAATTTCGCCTCCTCAGCATCGCCCAAGAGAGCCGTCGCAGCCGTAACCTACCCCTCAGGAATGGCCCAAGAAGACACCGTCAAAAGCCTCATCAACAAGCTCGACAAGACGTACATCCAGGAGCAGCTGACGACCTTCTCCAACTTCTTCACCCGCTTCTACCTGTCGAACGAAGGGAAGCAGGCCTCGGACTGGCTGCTCACCGAAGTCCAGGGCGTGATCGAAGCGAGCGGAGCCAAGGGCGCGTCCGCGAAGGCGTTCCCGCATAACTGGATCCAGAGCAGTATCATTGCTACGATTCCCGGGAAGTCGGCCAACAAGATCGTCGTGGGGGCTCATTTGGATTCGATTAACCAGAGCAATCGCACTGGAAGGTCTCCTGGCGCTGGTAGGTAGTTTTTGATATGCTCTGGTACCTATAGTCCGTAGTAACTGAACCCGCTGATAAATATCTGCCAGATGACGACGGATCTGGCTGCGTTGGAAACCTGGAAGCTCTGAGGGTCCTCCTGACCGACCCTAAGATCGCGGCTGGAGAGGGAGTCAACACACTGGAATTCCACTGGTATTCCGGTGAAGAGGGCGGCTTACTCGGCAGTGGTGACATATTCGATGCATACGCTGCTAACAAGACTGTTGTCAAGGCCATGCTTCAGCAGGATATGACGGGTTTCGGATCAAACCCTAGTAAGTGTCAATGTCTGGGTATCGACATTATGGTACCATATAAACCAAAACAATTGATCGCTAACTCGAACCGTCATATAGTGGGCGTCATAACCGACCGAGTTGACGCAGGCCTCACAACGTACATGCGCAAAGTCATCGATGCCGTAAGTCAACATCCCATTTCTCCCGCCTTCCCCTCCACTAACCCATCCCTTCTCGAACCAGTACACAGAAATCGGCTACGTAGACACCGAATGCGGCTACGGGTGCTCGGACCACGCCTCCGCCATGGCCGCCGGCTACCCGGCCTCCTTCGTGATCGAGTCCGCGATGAACATCACGAACAACGACATCCACAGCGACCGCGACACCCTCGATAAGATCAACTGGGACCACGTCCTCGAGCACTCCAAGATGGTCGTCGGATACGCCTACGAGCTGACCTTCGCCGAGTTGTGAGTAAATGGTTGGAGGCGGTTCGTTCGGGACTTGATAGCTTGAAATGATCTTATTGAAATCCTCGAGTCAAGAGGTGGGGTACTGGTTCAGGGGGAATGGGGGTGACGGAAGGTTAATACTTGGTGTTTGTGTTACTAAGGTGGTTGAGTAATGTCGGTTGTATATTTCTGCGATATTTTTACTATATTCTTATGTTCCTAGAAGAGGTTATGAGTATACATGGCGAAAAGCATCCTCGCCACACGCACGTATTAATTGTATATAGTTGTTAGCTTTTTATCATGCCGCCATTTTCCTGGCTCATACCACGAGATTCCCCCGTGACTTGACCGGGGTGCTCTGCAAAGTTAGATATATGACAGAGAGCAGGTAGCAAAAGAACTTACCACTGATACAGAAAGTTCTTGCCATTAGGAGGCATCTTAGACTCATACAATCCATTATCCTAGCCCCGAGAACTCGAAATTACTAGAGATATAAGGGTCATATATCTTAAATTACGCTAGCCTCCAAAGTCGTCCCTTATTAAGCTCCAACCCCTTAAGCGATGTGGGCTAACTTCCACCACGTCTAGGTGTGCAGTCCCAGCTTACAAACTTTTTTATATCATCGTAACACATTCAACCATTCACAGTCAGAATTTCACTAAAAAGAATCCGAAGGAAATTATCCCATTGAGTGTACATAAGGCTGAAGGCCATCCACCAGATGGGTATCATTCCGCATGCGAAGGAAAACCGGCCGTGACGATCGTAGATGTCAATCGCGAAATACACCCAGCGAAGCAAATTATGTGCAGTAGTAGGAACGTGTAGTACAGGAGGGTATGGTAAAGGGATGAAAAATAAGGGCGAAATATTCTGGAATATCCCCCTTATTAAAGGAACCATAGGTTTGGGCAGCCACAATATCCCAATTAAAGACATCCGTCTCCACCCAAGGACGACTAAACATAGAGGTGATTGGGACGAGTAGACATCTAGAGAAGACGACAGTTCATGAGTTTATCCCCCAACTCCACGCACTGTATGATACGTTAGTTGAGAACAAGTGACTCGTGTAAGCCATACAGGGGACGTACTAATAAAGGACTACCTAAGTAATCCGGAAATCGTAAATACCTGTCTTCATCCTCGATGACTCGTTAAGACCGGATAATAATGGCCCTGAATCAAATCAATAGTCAGGACGGCGCACAGCCTCCTTGATCTGGCTCGCCATGTTAGTCATCGAAGCGAGACGCGCGACAATGGGGTCATTCGGCGATCGGCTGGTGACTTGGACATAGAGCTTCTCAAAGCGGTCTAGGTAAGAAGTCATTAGGTTCGGGACAACGTCGCGAACTTGGGCATCCTGTAGAGAAAACTTGTTAGGTAGGTCAACTATCGGACAAGATATGAGACTAACAATGCGTGGTAACTGGGCGATCAGAATGTGGAGTACCGTCTCCAGCCAGTTCAGCTTCTCTCTAACAAGATGGGGGTCAAGAGTGTCGATGACGACGGATCCCACTGAGAGCGAGACTAAAGTGGGCACATCCTGGAGGAACTGAGGGTCCAATTTGTGAAGGTACTCGTCAAAAACCTCAGCTTGGCGACCTTGCTGGATCCATCGGACCAAGCCGGTCTCATACTCGCCTCGCTCGATGTATGACGCGACACTGGCAATCATATGCTGGAGCTGTGGGTCCCGAGCAATCACTTGGTCTCTAACACTTGAGTTGTTGGATTGGAACGGGACTAGTTGGTGAGCGCCCGAGCTTCCTCCCGGACTTCCATACAAATAGGATTGCGACTGTATGGACGAGGGATGGTGAGATTGGGCCGGCTGAGAATGCGCCGAGTGCGTAGATAGCGTAGCAGAACCGCGATCACGAGAGGTATGTTGCTGCAACTTAAGCAGTCCGTCCTGAAACTGGGCTTGGGTAGTAGCCATAGCGGTAACTGTGTCGGAGAGGCTGGTCACTAGTGCTGTGAGCTGGTCAATCTTATTGCCATCAGCGATACGGCGTTGCTCCATTTCCGTAATTTGGCTGGAGGTACGATCCTGTACCTCCTGCACAACCGAACGCGAAACGTTTACTGCTGTGTCGTTGATCAGTGGCGTAATGTTGGTAATAAGCGTTTGCCGAACGCTCTTCTCAATATCATGTGCCACATTGCTCGCCACCTTGTCGGAGATGGCCTTGGAAATTTCAGGTTTCTGTAGAGCTTGATTGACGGCATTGGGGATGAGTTTTTGCATCTGGTTTTGGATCGAATGAGAGACTCGGCCAACCATCTTGCCATCAATTTGTTCCGAGATAGTCTTTGTGATTAGACCACTTAGAACTGGAACCACACCGCTCTCAAACTGCTCATTGATTGTCTTCGTAAGCACGGCCTGGACATTGGCGTTGAGGACATTGGAAACTTTCTCGAGCAACATATGTTGGTTCTTGACGAACGTCTCGTCGCGAGCACGGAACTCAACGTCGACGTTATCTCGATGATCCTTGAACTCGCTAGTGATAACTCCAGTTAACTTATCACCAAGAGATGAGACAATCTGCTTAACAGTAGACTGGATCGACTCATGAGACATTATCGACTGCGGCGCAGACGAAGACTTCGTTTCAACGTGTTTAGTACCGCTAGGGGGCGACTGTGAGTTGCCATTGGATTGCACGTTGTCCGTGCCAAGCTTCTCCGCCGCTGCTGCTGCGGCAGCGGCAGCTTTCTCGCGCTTCTTTCGAGCCTTCTTCTCCGTCTTGTCTAGTTGGCTGATCGGCGCACTAGGAGCGACAGCTTCCTTACGTTCATGTTGGCCCGCAGGTGCATTCTCATCACCCTTCTGCAAAACCAATGCGTTAGACGGGACAGAAGACGGTACTGGAGGAGGCGTCTCCTTGACGGATCGAATTCGAAGTGGCAATGGTGCGTGCTCATCCACGGATTGAGGCTCGGTGACTAAAGGACTGGGCAGCTCCTTCAGCTTAGCGATCTTAATCAAGCCCACCTCAGCAGCGTCAGCGCCATCGATAACCTTATTATCCTTTGACCAGCCAAGCTCGCTCTGCTTAATAACAACCCCGGTTACGCCCTTAGAATGCATCGCGTACAATTCAAACAGGCTCGGTTCCTCAACATCGGAAGCTGTGGCGGGATTCACCAGTATATCCAGGCTTCGGAGCATACCCTTATTTGCGAACGAATATTCGCGTACACCGCTAATGACAGCGGTTGAGTCTGGCTCCGGAATTGAGTCCCTAGCTACCAATTTCTGGATGTAATCAACTTGGGATAAACCCTTGATGGTGTATTTGGGAACCGACAGGTGCAAGAAGTAGATGGAATTGCGCATGGGATGGCCGACTACAATCATGCCAGAAGGCGGGTGGTACATCACGCTACACACCGGATCTGACTCTTTCGTATGCGGCATATTGAATTCCTGAACTGGTTTGCCCAGAGCAAGATCCCATAGCTGAAGGGTATGGTTCTGCTTCATGCCCACTATCATGTAGCGTAATGCCCATCCCTTCTGGTAAGGCCGTTGCTTATCCAGCAATAACACAGAAGTTGGCCACGCTTTCTCGCCCTCCGGCGTTGTGTTCAGCGTCATTAGTGGCTCTTTCACCTCGAGTGACGTGTGAGCGGGAAGAGGCGACCAGGGGTCCGAATTCTCATCGGCCGCTGTCAAATCTCGCACGTCCCAGAACTTAACACGACCGGACTTGTCGAGGGAAACAATTGTAGTATCATCCTGACTGAAGGTGAAATCTTTGCCGGCTTTGCCCGTGCTAATCCTAAGAGAGCATTCCTTATAAAGTCTCTGGGTATCAACAACGCGGTCATGGCTGGATTTGAAAATACCGTTCTGCATAATGTACGATGGCCAGATGATGTTGATGGTCTTGCCGCGGCCGACAGCGAAAAATTCTGGATGGGTGGAAGAGGTCCTAGCTCGAGTCTTCAAAACACCTCCATTGTCGCCGCCTCCCTCGTGTGAAATCACAAGCGGAGGAAGAATGAACCCGTACTGTTCTGGGTGAGCATCTTCTAAATGATCCTTGTCACCGTTCTTAATCTGAATGTAATATACGGTGCCGCTGATGCCGGTGCCAATGATGCTCTCCTTTGGTGTGACGTGGAGACTGAGAGACGTGGACGACATTGCGACATTGAAAATGCGGTCTTTAGTGTCAGTGAACAGTTTGGCGTCCTTACCGTCATCCTGTCGTATCACACGAAGTCCACCAGCCTTAGACATGCCATAAACCATGTACGATTCAGTCGCAGTGACGAGATTACGATCAATCTGGTCGAATTCCTTCTTGAGTCGGGCAATGTCGAGGATTACCTCGTCGCGGAACTGAGGACGAGGAGTATCGGTATCGAGCATGGTGATCGAGGTCCATGGTTTCATGGGGAAATTATACACCTTCACCGGGTTAGGGACCTCCTCAATAACGACGATCTCATCAGCTTCAGCGCTCTCCCAGCTATCCGCAACGGGCCCGTGTGCTGCATCGTCAACAATATCGCGGATCGCTTGCGCAACTCTAGGCGAGTATGTATCTTCAAGAATGTGGGCATTCTCCTCCTTTTCGAGCTCTGCGTGGATGTCTCGCGCCGCAGCCTCGGCCGAATCCTGAAATTCAGCGTCAGTCTTGGCCCTCATCATGTGTTCGAGTTCGTCGCTAATCTTAGCTCGTACCTCTTCGTTTTCAGCTCTTTGTAGCGCTTCTTGGGCTTCTTTGTCTGCCTGTCCGGCAAGAACCGTGAGAGCGTCTGCCACCGTCTCCGTGCCTTTCTCCTCTTCATGAGCAAAGCCCGGAGCGATTCCCGCCACGATTCCATGCTCGGTGATAGAATGGGGAGATGCAGCATCATCAAGCTTTCGTCTGATATGCTCGGGGCTCATGATTGGGCTACGCTGGCTGCCTAGCCGCTTATGGTCCTGGCCGAGTCCGGAAGAAGACGCAACACTAGGGGTCTTCTTAGCAACTCGAAAAGTCGACGAAGCAGGCAACTCAGTCGGGGCTTGGCCTATGTTGTATGCCGGTGCACTGGGGGTCGACGATTTGGACGCAACATCCTTGGGAGAAGAGACTCCAAATCCCTCAAGTGGATTGGCATAGTCAAACTTCGAGTGTTTGCGGCTCCCATCGTATTGGGAATGCTGAGACGACGGTGAATTGTACTCAAACTTGGTCGGGGGCGAGCCAACGTGCTCGTTCGATCCGAAACGGAAAGGCATAGGTGTTGTTTCATGGGAGGCATTGTCTGCTCCTGCCGGCTTCAGCGACGTGTATTCTTTCAGGCGGTGCTCCGTTGGCGAGCCATTGGCTGACTGAGGGGTAGGGTGAGACGACTCATTGGTAGACGTGCGATCGGTTTGAGAAGGCTTCGGTCGGTGAAGTAAGTTCAGAAGATACGCTTGAGTATCTGTAGGAGGCGGACCTGCGTTCCAAGTTGACTGGGCCGGCGCCTGAGCAGGAACTTGAGGTTCAGCTCTGGCAGACTCATTCTGCAAATTTCCCTTCATAAGGGTTGCAAGAAGGCCTTGAGGATCAGCAGGCATAGGAACAGGCGCGTGAATTGGAGGTTGACTATGCGACTGGGACAAGTTAGGAAGTCCGTCGAACACATCAGGTGCCTGGGTGTGTGCCTGGTTATGGGCATGTCCAGGAGGAGAGGTGTGCGATGGAACTTGTTGTGCGTGAGGTCCACTATTCTGTCCGCTGTTCTGACCACTGAACTTGAGAAGGTTCAACAGGTTCGCGCTTTGATCAACCTTCCCTGTAGGGTTCGAAGGCATCGTGCCAATCGGGCCCAATCCCATCGGCCCAGTCGGATGATGGGAGTGGCTAAAGTTGTTACTGGGCGGCGTGGGGGCAGCAGGCAGGAAGTCGTCAATGCCAGTCAGAGGGGATTCTGCAGCAGAATGACCATAGTAGTCTTGGGGATTAGCGGCCTGGTTGTAGGAGTTAAATCGGGACAAGATATCATTAGCAGGCGCAGAGTCATCATTGTCTTCGCCATTCCGATGAGCTTGTAGGCGAGCAAGCATCGCATGCAAGCCGTTCGGGTCGGTGCCACCACCCGGCGGGTTATAACCCGCCATGATGCGTCTCGTCGATGATGCTGGAATGAAGCAAGCAAGCTGTCAATCTACCTAGCTAGGTAAGGAAGATGATTCAGCTTTTTTTTTTCTTGGCTTCCTCCGCACTTCCTGTCGCGATTGCGCGTGGCCTGTTATTGATGACCAAAACAGGGAATGTGTTTGGTAGGAAAAGGTTAAAGTAAAAGTGGGATCAAATGCTCAATGTAAAGTGAAGGAGGGAGATGATTATTTATTCCCTTCCTATCTACAACGTGAGGTTCAGATGGAAAGTCCTTGGAGCCCCGTCCTTTTTTGACGGGGAAGAAAAAAAAAGACAAGGTACCAAGATAAAGCTCCTATCGGCAAATCTGACGAATCGAGACTGGAACAGTGTGAAGAGTAACGAATAATCCAGACCAATTGGTCAAATGAAATGACCAGTTATTACTTCAGAAAGAAAGGTCGTTCCGATCAAAGTATGTCTGGATGCGACGGGAGAATCGGATTGAGGACTTTTGTGGGTGGAGGAGAAGTGAAGAAGCTTAGAAAATAAAATGTTGTCAAACGGAAAGAAGTTAAGTGATGTGTAACAGATAGGTACGGACGGTGGGTGAACACACCAAGCACTGAGCAGTCCAAACGTTGGGCGGCGATGCAGCTGTGCGCTAGCTGACGATTACACCTGCCAATCGACGAAGGTAATGAAGTGTGTGGAGTGATAGGAAGTGGAGGCCCTAGCGGTACACACGCATATATGTACCCATACAGTCGATAGAACCTAACTCAGTGGAGGTGACTTCTGCGAGCTTCTGTAATGCACTGATTATTTACATTATTTGCATGTACCCCAGCCTTAGGAGATCCTTGCCGGTTTGTACTTGTACCGTACAAAAGCGGGGACAAGGGTATGGATGTATTATGTAACCAGGTATATGTATCCTTAAATAAAACATTAAAACCTTGAACGCCAAAGCATTACATAAGTCAAGCAATTCCAACCTTCGATTAGTTCGTTGGCCCGGCGCATCGTGATACTAATTCGATAATTCTCCACAATCATTTTCAGACATACAGTAGATTAAAGTACATAATCGGTTTGGCTTCCCACTCTCGTTACTTCGTACTTATTCCAAGCCTCTACTGGATAGTAGCGATAAAGGCTTAATTACCCAATTCGCTGTTTGCCGTCTTAAGGCACTTGGCAACAAAGAGTGGACGACGTCTGTCAGCATCCATTGTTTGCCGCCTCCGACATATCACCGGCGCTTCAGTCAAACGTCTCACTTACACTACTTACACCATTTACATCACCAACAAGCAAACGCTATCCGACACATAGCACCATGTTCTGTCTCCGAAGGTATGGGACCTTTAAATCGATTCTCTGACACACATCCAGGAGGTATACATACAACATATATCTATAAATAGAAGCTAACATGTCTACTCCCTCCATATAGTTGGCTTCCTCTTCTCTTCATCCCGACGAATGCCTCCCCTGCATTCATCTTCCTCTTCTTCGTCTGCACATACTTCCTCAACCGACCTTGCGTCTACTGCTCCGTCCTCCTGCTCATACTCTTCGTAACCTCGTGCTACTGGTCAGACCGATGTTTCTTCGACTTTGGTAGTAACTGGTTCGCCCCGCGGTCTCCTGCGTCATCATGTCTCTCCAACTCGACGACGATACCGGATCCCGTCACCGATAGCTTCAACGCAACCGCCGTCGAGATGCTGAACACCACGGCGAACGCCCTGGTCAGCGTCGCCGCTGAAGAGTTGTCAAAGCGGAAGGAGGAGTGGACGGGACTCGGAGTGGAGTGGTTGCGGAGCTTATTGGGACGCAGGGAGTGGAGGATCGAGTGTATGGATCTCTATATACGACTGTGATCGATATACGTCAGGTACGGAATTACGGTCAAGACTCAACACCCTTAACTTTGGACTTTCGACGCTGTACAAAGGGGAAGGGTGGAGATATGATAGCATACATGCATGGCACCGGCGTTGGTTGACTTGGCGATTTGGCCTTGCCTTTCGAGCATATACACCTCACACTATTTCGCGATTCGGCCTATAACCCACTAATAGGAGGAGGCTGCTTATATCCCTCCTAAACCTCAGGCTTCCGTCTTCCTCAGGCACAGGCAGGGGCTCAAGAAGCAGTCAAAACCCACATATCAATAAAAAGGATAAACTATTAAATGACTGTCTACAGTAAGGGAGTGCCATATCGATAAGTCGTTATTACTAAACTCGAATCTCGAGACTGTTTCTAATAGTGAGACATTGCTAGCTCATGCATCTCATGGCTAGATCTACGTGACTTAGGTGCTAACCTACATATGTACCTACCGTCGATAAGTTTACTAAATTGCCCCTTTCCCTCGATATGTTATAGGACGACTATTCACGCAAGCTTCTCCTATCCATATTGTACCGTTAAGAGTTGTAGCATTTCAGGGGTAAACTACAGAATAGCTTATAGTAGGAAAGCCACACCAAATCTTCCCAAATTTCTCCACGCAGTCTACGATTAGCACTTCTAGCTACCAAATACCCAATTAAGCAACAGAGGCATTATATCTTAAGCTTCCAAATAGTACCTAATCATAATAACATCATACATTACTATTATATCAAAATCCACTATACCCTCCGTTCCCCCCGACCCCTTTCCTAATCCCAACTACGCCCCCCTTAACCATCCAACTTCATATTCTTCACCCACGCCATCCAAAACCCGTAGAGGGTATCAGGATCCCTCCAGCCACTCCAATCGGCATTCGTCAAGCCCCACGTATCCGCAAGCCCCTGAACGCCGCTCCGGATCCTATAACTCCCCGCCAGGCTCCACATCATCCAGCTAACGCCGTGCTTCTCGGTGAAATCGCGGATGCAGTTCGGCACCGTGGCGCTATACAGCGATTCGTCCTGCGCGTTTCCGAACTCCGAGAAGATGACGGGCGTCAGCCGCGCCGCCGGCGGACAGTCCCCCGTGATCCGGCACCCGGGCGGCGCGTCGACGCCCAGCGCGTTGACGCCGTTGCGGTACAGCCCGGCCTCGATGACCGCGCAGTTTCCCGTGTCGAGGTCCTCGCTCGACGGGTACAGGTGCAGCTCCCAGACGATCTTGTCGGCCCAGGGCTGCGCGTCCAAATCAAAATACACGGGGGCCCGGCGCGCCGCGTCGCGGATCGCCGTGCACTTGTAGCAGGGGGCCGTCAGCAGGTTCTTGCGCGTCGTCAGCGCCGACAGGTCCTGGTCGTACTGCATGCCGGACCAGGTGATCAGCAGGTCCGGGTTCGCGCCGTAGATGGCGTCGGCGCCGGCGCTCATGTTGCCGACGAGCGTCTGCCAGTTGTAGTACAGGTCGGTCCGGTTCCAGCTCTCGCGCAGCTCGTTGCGGAGCGACATGGAGACGACGTTGTTGTGGCCCTTGGCCCACTTCGCCACGTGCGAGAGCCCGCGCAGCCAGTTCGACGTGTTGAAGGTCACGTCGTCGAACCAGGCGTTGCCGTCCGTGTGGCTGCAGCACCACTGCGCCTTGCCCACGTGCACGTCCGGGTGGATAAAAATGCCCTTCGAGGCGGCGATCCGCGCGACGTCCGACCAGATCTCGAAGCGGGTCGTCGTGCGCATCCAGGATGGGTTCTTCTCGAGGATCTGGTCGGTTACCTTGGTGCCGTTCTCGTACCCGAGAGCCATTATCATAGCTGCTTCGAGGGACACGTCCTCGCCGCCTCGGTCGTAGATTTGGTCAATCATTTCGATAGCGTAGCCCCTATTTTCGAGTCAGCTGGGAGGAAGTGTTTAGGTATGCTGTATTTTTGGGTTGCTCACATGCGGATGAAGTTGAAGCCAACGCTAGCGACATCGTCCAAGATATCATCAGCCGACTTCCATTCCAGACCTTCCGGAACCATAGTCTCGCCTATCTCATAATTAGTCACATAGCTCTCCAGATCACATCTATTCTATTTTATTCCTAAGTACTCACCGCTCAAAGGCCAATTCACACCGGCCCAGGTGATCACCTCATCAAGGGTATTAACCACATGTCTGCCTTTCGTCCTAAGCGGGCCATATGGCCACCCGCTGGTCGTAGCATTCTCCTGGCGACGACTTATGCTTCTCTTCCGCCGCAGCTCAGGATCTCTTCCAAGCGGCTGCGACGTAGGAATCCACGAAGCACAGGTCAGGCTCGCGCTGAGCAACCACAGAGCTGTCGATACCTTCATCTTAATGACTTTAGAAGGATATAACTTGGACAGACGTGACTAGTAGGTCCAATTGCACAAACGTGTTAGGGTAGCAACCGAACTAGCAAAATGCGAGGCTACCTAGCCATTTTATAATTCGTTTGGCAGCTCCATCTGTGCTGTGACAAGGGAGAACAGCTTACCACCGGACATCATAAGAGTAGGTCCATCCAAGAAAGCTCTTTGTTCCTCGGCTCTGGTACCTTTCTAGGTAGTCCAAGCTACCCTTAACAGGAAACATGCTTTCTTAGGTGATATGTTTCCCTAGCTCTAGGACCGTAAGAGCCAGAGCTATAAGAGAGCCATTGATGTTATCAGGACTATGACCTCTCAATGCGGCGCAAGAGCGTGCCTTGCAGATGTTTGTTAGTGTATAGTGAGGGGATACGAGAGGGTATTGGAGCTGCTGGGGGAAGGATGGGGAAATACTCCACCAATTCAATGGGAGGGAACTAGCCCCAGTTCCCTGCGGATATACCGGGTTATGGGTATGTCGCTCTCTATTAGTCCGAAAAGTCCCAGTATGCGGGCTAGAGCCGGGAGAATTAAGTTCATACCTAAAAGAAGCCGTCTTGGCGCTAGACCCGATGCAAGTAGATCCCGCAGCCAATCTTAATATAGCTCCTAAACTGTAAGCAGGTAGCTTGAACAGAGATCTTGAAGGTTGATAGTCGCACTTACACTGCTATAATTCTAACCAAGATTGCTCTTCTTAACAAAGGCTGGAAAGTCCAGACATACGGAATCAACACTGTAAGATCTTGCCAAACGTAAAATATATTGACGTGGAGGCACACATATGTACAAGCCAAAGTACCTAAGAGCTCGCCTTTATTTCGCCTTTATCCATGAAACTCTCATTGTGAATCGTTGGTATGCTCAGCAACCTAAAAACGCCATGCCGCATAAAAGCTCTATCTCGTAACTTCTGCAATTAAAGGCCAATCCGTAACATGTAAGATAAGGTATCTTTTCATGGTGGTATACATAGTCATAGCATGGCTCAAGTGCCTCACAGCTTTGCCTTAATAGCTGATTGAGGTACACTTGAGGCCTCCTCATTGACTAGTACAGATCCAGTCTTCGGTCCATCGCCGAAGAAGATAACTTGAACAGTCAGATCATCCCTATTACATTGTTAGCATTTATCAAACTCGCGAGTTCTGCGAATAGTTCTTGTTGACTGACCTGTAACGTCTCGAAAATGGAGAAACAAGTGTGAGCAAGGCACAGACCTGTTCCTCATTCTTACCACCGAGAGCATTGCGGATGAGATGAGTAGCAACGTTCTTGTCCTTAACAATGAATCGTTCCTTCTCATCAGGCGAGATGCCCCATTGTCGTAGACGAGTCGGGGTCTTCTGGCCATCTGGACCAGCTTGATCGGCGGCTTCAACAGGAAGATCTTGGCCGGGGCCGAAGAGTCTGGTCCACACGGAGCCTAATTGTGAGTTTGATGATGGCGATGAGGCTTGCGATTCAATCCACTTGCCAACGAGTCCCACCACTTCTTCGTTGGTCAACATCTCCCAGAGCCCATCCGTAGCCATGACTAGGAAATCACCTTTCTCAGGTTGGATGTTGGTCGTGGTGACGACGGGCTCAGCTGTTACGTAAGGAGGGGTCTTCAGATATGGGGAAGAGCTTCGGCCAAAGAACGAGGCTCGGAGTCGGTCAGAGATCTCTCTGCTCCACTTGTAGCTAGCGTCACCAAACGCTCGGGTTGGCTCTAGGCCACCAAGAACTCGACCATTGTAAATAACACGATCCTCGCCTGGATGGGCCTTGCGCATGCGGTTCTCCTCGTTGGGATTACGCCCGGTTTGATCTTCTGATAAAGGAGTTGCCGTCCATTTTCCAGACGAACTACGACGACCAAGGACAGCTCGAGAATCGCCCGTGCAAGCCACGCGCAATGTCTTGGTGCTGCTGTCATAGAATGACAACAGAGCGCAAGAGCCAGATAATGCGGGGCCAAGAAGTTCGGCCGCGACCCGTTTGGAGTTGGACTTTAGAACTTTCTCCACACTTTCGTGCACGATCTCGTGGTCCAGGCGGGTAAATCCTAGCTTAATGGCCGTATCAATTGCCTCCGGTGACGGCACTGTTCCCAAGGTCCCAGCAGCCTTGTAGGTTGTGTTGAGTTCTCGAGCAACAAAGCTGATCAAAGTTTGTCGAAGCTTTGCTGACGTCGTCCAACCACTGTGAGATTGTCAGCATCCATAATTATGATTGGAAACGCTATAAGAAAATACTCATTGAACAATACTTACGCATGGCCGTCAAAAACACCCCAGAACATCCAATCGTTGGTATTCGTCTCATCTCCCTGTCCAGAAATCTCGACAATCTTCTCGGCGTGATCGTCCTCGATTGGGTTGTTGCTCGCGACTTGAACTACATCATAGCGCAAGACACCCTGCCCTCGATTGACCAGGAAGGAAGCCTCGTTCTCTCGCAGCTTCTCGGTTGCCTGATCCGGAGTGAGCATCTCGAGAACGTTTCTTCCACTTCCGTCGAAGTTCTTCGCTATCGGGCCTTCGCCAACAAATGTGCCGGTATGGAGTTCGTCGGCTCCAACTACGAGGACATTACGGGTTGTGGCAGCGGCGTTCGACAACTGAGTTGGTGTGGTGGTGTATGATTTAGCCCCGACCTGTTCTAGGGAATTGCCTCCCTTGTACGTATACCAGGCGCCGTAGCCAACTAGGCTAGATACCAGAGCGACAGAGAATCGGCGGATATACATGGATGATCGCAAGGGCTCGCTTACAGCATAGTTGGGACGTGTAGTAGAAGATGAGGATGCCGAAGCAGATGCGGAAGCGGATGCAGTCGAGGCGGCGGAGGAGGAGGTAGCGGATCGAACGCCCAGACTGGCGTTAAAACGATGGTGGGGGAAATTAATGCAGCGTCGCGGACGACTAGTACGAGTGAGGCCCCGGACGGTGCATTGAATAGTCGTCCGAAGGGCTCTAACAGGTACGCGACGCATTTGGGAGAAGTTCGCGGTCTGCGTAGAAAAACGAATCTAGCAGTCTGAGCAGAAGTCGTCGTCGCTAAACGAACCAGAAAACAGAAAGTTTCGGTTTATGGCTAGCAGTAGAAGTGGAGCTGCGGCGAGGGTCGACTTGCAGATTCAAAAGATTATGTAAGCCCCGGAATGGGGTTCGTGACCTCCTTCTGTTTTCGTTGAATTGCGGGAAAATGCGGGACGATCTGATCCATGTCAATGAGGTAAGGAATCCTCAGTCACATGCAGGAGGAGGTACATACAGTACCTCTGAGCACCACCTTCACTCTTTCTCCAAGCCGTTATCGATACAGAATCCTGCCTCGGCTTCCAACGGCAGTAGGCTCAACATTAAAAGGAATCAAACACTCAATCAAAAAACATATATTTGAAATACATATTCACCACTAGGGCTGAATGAATCATGTCCGGTCCGGAGGTAACCCTGGCCGACGTTCAACGTCGTGCTGCCGGCAATCCTAATGCAAGGTACCGGGCCTTTGATACCTATCCGTGGGCCAAAGACCCGGTGTTCACTGTGAGTTGGAATTATAGCCCCTTCAGTCATGTATTATCATGGCTAAGTACTTGCAAATCAGGAACAACTTTCAAGTGCTCTGGACAATGCCAAATCCAATGGACTCAGTCTTTCTGAGACTGCTCTACAAGTCCGCATTCAGCGATTCGTGCAGCAAACTCAGATCGAGATTGACAGCGAGGCGTATAAGCAATGGCTTTCTCAAACAAATTCACAACCACCAAGAATCATATCTGAAGAGGCAGTTGCGGTAGAGGTGATGACTGTGGTATGTCTCAGAACTAGAACCACAAGGCTACCCCTTCACATTTGGTGTGGTAGAGAGAGAGAGGCTGTTAACACTAATCCACTCTAGCCTAAACCCGAAGACAGGAAATTCGCACATCTTCTGGTAGAGCTAGGCGATGCCCTTGGCCAACTTGCTCTTGACCAGGCTGTTCCTGCGCCAGCAGATGTTCCGGTTCCTAGTTGGCAAAGTGCCGCACCCACAGCAGAGCTCTATATCAAGAAGGACTCTTCGTCAACAGATCCCGGCAAGGAGCCCTATCCCAAGAAGTTTGAAGAGATAGTGGCATTTTTACAGAGTGGCAAGCCAATTCCAGGAATTAGACAGATTCCCGACACGGTTATTGAGGACCCGGCATTCACAACTCACGGTCGGCTCGCAGCACCACTGAAACCCTGGGAGATTGGACGAACGCCTTCAATTGAGCATTCCGAACCCTTAGCTAATGAAACTTGAACATGTAAGCATATTAGGTAGATGCAATAAAGTAAAAGCTTAGCAACATTCGTTACACGATGCAGGAATTAGTACATGAAGTGAACTACTCTCATAGGCCCTGTCTTCATAAGCTCAGCCACCATTAGCTAATATCCATCCTGTCCCCAGGCGCAATTCCCATAGAGCCAAGTCTCTTCGACAGTGCCTGGTTCTCAAGCTCTTTGGACTTCGCCTCCTTGACCCCTTTGACATGGTTAGCCAATCCCTCCAACTTCTGAACCCCGTGTTTGGCTAGATTCATCACCATCTTCTCAGCGGACTTGCGCGGTGTCTCACCAGGAGCTCCAGTCATCACGTGCAAGCAATTGGCGTGGTTAAATCCTGGCGGTACCTCATACGGACCTCGCGCCGGCTCGGAACAAAGCGATCGGATGAAGAGGATCTCGTCCATCTCCATTGCGTTGTCGGGTAGGCAGGATTCCTCTCCTTCTGCTAGGCCGCGCTTGTCTCTAATGTGACGAGGAAAGAGAGCCTCTCTTTGCTTGCATTCTTGCTGGATGCGCGTCTTCTCGCGGTCGATCATGTAATATATGTTGTCTTGCACGGCGTCTGCGTGCTCATCGATCTGAGAGAGGGCCTCGCTACGTCGTATGTTAGGGTCCGATGATAGATCCGGAGGCGGTTTTGTGAAATCTGTCTGTGCAGGAACGAAGATACTAGGTGCTATGCTCTGATAGGCTGGGATTTCTTCTTGTTGCTGTCGCTCCTCGGGTGCCCTACCTGCATCATTTGTAGTCGCCATATCTGCAGCAGGATGTAAAATATTCGGAAATAGTACTCCACCTATGATGATGTTATTATGAATGGCGCATATGACACGATTGATCTCGATGCGTTTGAATTTTGTTCATGCATTAGCTGCTGTTGCTACTTGGTAGTTATCATTAGTGACGAGGGTAAGTGGGGAAATCTACAAACATATATGCAGGCGAGTAAACGTCCCATCATTGGTGACCTCTAAGTGCGGCGCTCATGCCCTACTCCCCACCGCGAGAGCAATCGTCCGGCCATTGGCTCCCCCACACGCCTGTCTGTAAAGGTAGTATACATGCAAGAACCGGCGGTGACTGACGAGCCTCTATACTGATCCAATATAATACTTTCAAATTGTTGTAAACATCTATAAATCTCGTTGCAGTGTTGCAAAATGCTTTTCCTTTTCCTATTTACTCAAGCATTAAGCTTTATATGCGATTTAGTTTGTATAACCAATTCCGCAAAGCCGTTCGTTAGGTATTGCTTTCCCTTCAAAATCTACAGCCACCTAATTATTAATATACCACTACGAAATCGTTACGATGAACCGCAGCACCATAATGTCAATTATGACAATATGGACCACGGCTATTCTGTTCGTCTTATTATTGCAGATTGACAGTGCTTTAGCCCGCCCTTTAGTCGGTTTATGTCCCATCCTCGATGATCTGCTAATTATAGCTAATATATCGTAGTATGCCGCTACTAGCACTACAACATATCCTCTACGCCCAACAAGCTTAGGTCAGCATATACAATTTCTTTTTTCTCCTGTGAACTATTTTAATTCTAGCAGTCATCATGCCAAAGGACCTCTCAGACAAGTGTCATGTTATTACCTCTTCATAGTGAGTGAGTTGAGTTCGTGAACATTATCATTTTCAAAAATTACCATTGTTGTCTTCAAGGCCCCGTCGTCTTCAAAATATTTGGACGCGCTTCAATCTTTCCTTAGCTTTGTGGGGCACTGACGTTTATCTCTAGTCAACACAGCAGGCTGGCCAACTAGGATTTCCCAAAACAACGATGCTTCAGAGATATTAGCCATAAAAACATACCCTCTAACCATCACTGGAACCGCTTTGACTGCATTGAGCCTCTGTCTCTCTATTATCACTACTCTCATCGCGATCATTGACCTCCGACTCAAAATAAAAGACCGCACTGAATTACGCAGACAGAGGATCATAGGAGCACCACGAAATCCTATCAATGATGAAGCTAGCAGAGAAGCTCGAGATGCGCTCGCACTGCCTCACCAGATTGAAAATACGAGTGATCGTCATGAACTAGAACTTGCGGTTCTTCCAACTACTCCGAAGGTTGACAAGGTCTCGACTCCGCTACCCATGCCTGCTGAAAGGCCTTCTAGCATTTGTCGTGCTGAACCACAGAGTTATGATCATGGAGCTGAAAGACCGAGGCTGCGACGCTTGAAGTCTCGAGAAGATTTAAGATCGATTATGTGACAATGGTAATTTTTGTTCTGTGCCGAGGTATAACTCTGAATATTAGATATTTAGTGAGGTTTGAATTTAGCCTTGAGATGTTTGGTCTAGAAGACCCGCGAATGGAAGTTCTTGGGGCAATGTGGATTGAGATCTAGGCTTGTATACAGTGATTCAGGATAGAGGCTTGGAGTTCCTGGTGCAACCACGTCGTCGTTACCACATTTGCATGGTGGAATCTAGTATAGGGGTGGAATATAGAAATCGGCGAGCTTGTATGAGAAATCCTCTTCTAAGAAATTATCCTATGCAATGGTCTATGGAAATGAGTACCGCTGAAAGAACTACGTTTATTAAACCCTCTGAAAGGATTTAGAACTCACTCCATAAAAGGTAAAAATTATATTCTAGAAAGACATGAAACCCTCATAAATTAATGGCGTTCATGTAATTAGTTCTTCTTGTAGGTCAATCCCACCCATTTAAGATTTATACTCCACAAAATAACATTTAAGACCCGTGAACAAGTTACACTCCAAGCAATCATAAGTAGGAATATTAGATGGAAGCAAAGCCAGCATCGAAATGTGATTTGACATGGTATCTTCACATGAAGCCCGCCTTGTTTACCATAAATATTGCTTCGTATCTCCAATGACAATTATTGCGGTGGAGACTAAGATATCTCACCATGCCATGAGGTTCCCTTATACTAATATTAATGTCTAATAGATACCTGATACCGTTTATAACTTACCTATCTCCTTGACTGGCACAAGACTACAATTTCCACAAAACCAGTAACACATAATTGTGTATTGGCGATAGCGCAGGCCAGTTAAACTTGTAAGTGTTGAGGCTCTTACAGTGATCTTCAGAGGGGTCTAACAACCAGAAGTAAGCTTCTGTGGGTGCCAGTGGAGCTCAGGGGCTACTAGCAGTGCAATTACTAATTGTAGGTAGTGGAGTTGTAAGTCTTATGCTGACTATGTAGTCGAGGAGATAGACTATCATCCATACCAGATAATACATATTAGCTTTGTAGTCGAATTTAATCATTCCCCAAGAGTTGGTTCTGCTAACCTTCTCTTTATGCTTATTTAGTTATCGAGGCTGATCTGGTTCTAAAGCTGGGTACGGACATTTCGGCTATAAGAATTAGTCCGACCGTATTAAGGGATGAGCTCAGCCAACAACTTGGAAAGCTCTGAACATCAAACCCCTTACTTTTCGAAACATTGGAATGGAATGAGCAACATACATCTCCATCAAACATCTCAATTAGATTTCGGATGACGAGGATGTTTGCGTCACCATGGCGCCCCAGCAGAAGTTCCAAATTACATCTGGTAGTAAAGGTTAGACTCTCATTCACTGACCACACTCAATATATCGTCATTTAACCAGTCTCTGCATAGAATACATCAACAGGACCATTCAAGTATTAACGCCTGCCTTCCAAAACGACCCGGTCTTCGCATGGCTCCTACACAATTATCCCCTGTCTAAACACCAGTCTGTTCTCGCAAAGCTTTTCCGGGCTTTCTTCACTCAGGCCTCGCTTAATAAAGCGATATTTATCGAGGTAGACGACTTTTCCTGTTGCAGCGTTCTCATACCACCAGGAGCGAGTCTTGATAATCCGCGGACCCTGTTGAGAGCAGGACTGATCCCAGCCCTTTTTACTATAGGCCCGGGATCATTTAAGGTATACTATCTCACTTTATTTATTCATTAGGTAATTAACCGTACGCCACGCGACTAACCAAAGCCTTCCCAGCGGTCTATGTTTGAGTACTCCAGCGGCGCTGAGCCTATGATAGAAAAGGCCTTGACCAAGGAGGAGCAGAAGAACCACTGGTATGTCTTCATTATGGGGACAGCAGTGGACCGTCGTCGACAAGGCTTTGCGAGCTCGTTACTTGTACACATGCAAGAACGTGCCACAAGTGACGGGCGACCTCTATGGCTCGAGGCTACCACACCAAATTCTCGAAACCTTTATTCTAAACATGGCTTCGTGACTGTCGGCGAAGTAGTTCTAGGGAAAGGCAAAGTCGGTCCTGACGGCTTGGCGAGAAAAGGTGGGCAGGGGATTACGATTTGGTCCATGTACTGGAGACCCTCAAGTTAGAAGATATCTAACTGGGTAGTGTCTGATACCCTCATTGAGTGGATGTAGTGAACCGCTATAATACGCGTCTATAGATATTGGTTCGTCAGTGGACTGATGATTAGGTACTTTTCCGCTTCTCCCTACCTCCTTATTGAGATGATATGTTTATCAAAATGGAAATGCGACCAAAACCCCAGTAAACTGAGTACACTATGCCTAGCTGAATATCTAGGATCCACCCCAGCCCTAGAGTGGGTTCATCGTAAAAGCCGGTGCTTAGCCAAGACTTTATGAACTGGTTCCAATGCCAAGCGAGGTGGATCAAATAACGAGGCTGATCGGTGGGTTAGGTATGTGTTAGGGGTGGCGTAGTTCTATTCCATCAATGACTGTTACCTATGTTGGTAAAGATGAGCCCATTGGGCAATGCCACGGTGATTCTTGCAAGCCTCAAGATCAAGCGGCACAGATATAACGAATGTCTTAAGAATTTTTGTCACCGATAGTGAAAACTTGACGTCACGTTCGAATAGGAAGGATTCCAGAAGCCTTCTCTACCTACACAGTGCTAGAAAAGATCTGAATACCTAGGTAGTAGAATTGAGTCGAACCTGAGACAAGATTGCGCATCCTAACAGCCTAAATACCTTCTAAGGGATAGAGATTGTGGTAGTTTCGAATATTGAGACCTTTATTCATATACAGATCGACGAGATCTATTCGGTGGCTGAAACACATTCGCCGTTGTGAGGCCGCGATGTCTTTGACGAATCGGGGTTTTGATTTTCTTCTATTTTTCAGTCAAAAATGCCTCTCAAAACGCCTTTCGAATCAAACTTCTAGGTTTATTCGAAGCGAGTTGCTCAATCTAGCAGTTCGTGAGACTGCAGCGTAAACGTGGTTCGTGTGTAGGTGAGTTGCTATTATATCATAGAAACCGGGCGTCGCAAAGGGTAGGATTGGGAATTTGAATTGAGGCAGTGCTAGAGTCACGTTCACTACCTAGCTGGCAAAGAAAGCCTGCAGATTCAGGGAAGACTGATTCTGATAATTGGATAGAAATATTCAGTTCTCCATTGATTGGAGGTTTGAAGGTGTATCGAAATGTCTGTATTTATTTCTTAATATGTTAAGACATGACTGATGTATTAACTTGAGATAGGTACTTGATGAACAGCAATACGTAGTAAGTAATAGAAACGAGGCATCACCAATGGCTACATTGGGACAATATGTAGAACGGTGGTATTGGTTGTTGGAGTCAGCAATTGTGGGAATCTTTCCAGAAGTAGTCAAATACACTAAGCGTGGCCTGCAAATCGGGTTGTATCTTCCGGCCCTTAAAGAGACGGAATTCGGCACGTGGTAGTGCTGCGATCTAGTTTCTAGGCTTAGCTAAAATATGCACCTACCTGGCACGCTCGAATACTACGCGTAGGATTTCTCTTAGCTCCGTAAGAAACTAGCCCGGCATTGCCTCAGTGGATCTTACGATGTTGAGCTGCTGACCTGGAAACTGAAAACGTGATTGTCGATAGCCGTATCCGCATCCCGTATTTTAGCGGCTGAATTGAATCGCTTCGAATCTATGATGTTGATCTCAAGATTCTTTGACAAATACAGTACGTATCTCGAAATATAAAGACTTGAACATTAAATAGATCCATTGTCTCCTGCTGTTGTTCTCGCCTCTTTGCCCCTTCCCATTACCCCGTGTAGCTTCCCCAACTTTTCGACAAAAGTACCACTTTCCATTCGCTGGTGGTTCCACAACATTAACTCCTCACTGTGTTACAAATCGACCCAACCAATCAGACAATTCCCCAAACCCTACCTAGGTGTCATTCAGAACTTACATGTAGCTACCCCAGCAACGACTTCACAATTCAGCTAAAGGTACGTCGCACAGCCTCTGATTAACGTGACATCATCCCTCCCATTTCCTTTTACAGACGAATCAATAAAAAAACCTAATACACATCTCAAACCACCTAGACCATCTAGTCTAATACATACATATGTATGTATTCTCCGCCTGATTCGTATCGTCTTGTTTCTTCTTTCTCCAACTCTCAAACTTGAACTCATCCTTAATCGCATTATCGTTTTTTAACATCTGGGAATAGTGATACGTCTTCTCGAGAAGACTTAATTCGACTACCTAATCTAACTCATATCTCGAATCCTAGAGTGCTATCATCATGTCCGATCCTTCTAGGAACAAGGCCGTCGACCAGTCCAATGGATCTAGCTCTAGTCAAGCTGCTTTCAGACCGCAGCCGAACATGACTGTTGAGCGTCCCAAGCAGGAGGATCTCCAGGCGAGCTATGCGTCTATCGTCGGAAACGATGCCAACCCAAAGGGCTGGTATGGAAGCATGAGTACGATTCAATGCGATCACTAATAATATCCCTGTATTCGTGTTAATCTTGTTCATAGTTAACGCTTTCGGTTCTTGTATGGGTACACTTGGAGCCATCCCTTGCGTCATCTGCTGCCCCAATCCCTATAAGCAAGTGCACCAGGGCAATGTAGGACTTGTTACAAAATTCGGCAAGTTCTATAAGGCCGTCGACCCCGGTTTAGTCAAGATCAACCCTCTTTCTGAGCGACTTGTCCAAGTCGATGTCAAGATCCAGATTGTCGGTATGTATATTCTTCTCCTGAAAACCAAGCGGCAACAGAATAGGATCAGTTCTAATCAAACATGCGCAACCTTCAGAGGTCCCTAGACAAGTTTGTATGACCAAGGACAATGTCACGGTTGACTTAACATCTGTTATCTACTATCACATCACCTCACCGCACAAGGCCGCGTTCGGCATCGCCAATGTGCGACAGGCCCTTATTGAACGCACACAGACGACCCTCCGTCATGTTGTTGGCGCGCGTGTCCTTCAGGACGTCATCGAGCGCCGCGAGGAGATCGCATCGAGCATTCGCGAAATCATTGAAGATGTCGCCGGCGGCTGGGGTGTGCAGGTCGAGTCTATGTTGATCAAGGATATCGTCTTCAGCCAAGAGCTCCAAGGGTCGCTATCGATGGCCGCGCAGAGCAAGCGTATCGGAGAGAGCAAGATCATTGCGGCCAAGGCCGAGGTTGAGAGCGCCAAGTTGATGCGCCAGGCCGCCGACATCCTATCATCCGCACCGGCCATGCAGATCAGATACTTGGAGGCGATGCAGGCTATGGCCAAGTCAGCCAACTCCAAGGTTATCTTTCTGCCCGCCCACAACCAGACTATGAGTGGCCTCAATGAAGCTATCCAATCAGGCAAGCCGTACGAAATCGGCGAGTCGAGTGGGTCTCAAGCCGGCGATTCAGGCTTTAACCAGGCAGTGAATGCCCATGTCATCGAGAATATCTAAGGGAATAATCTCTCTCTAGTTTCGATGTTACCTTGACTGTCAAGGTTGCAACTTGTACTTTTACGTGTTGACTTTGGTTGGAACATGACCGCAATGACGGATATGACCCGGTTGGACAAACGCGGAGATGAAAAAGCTGTGCTGGTTTCGAACCAAGCAAAGGCCACAATACTTGAAAATAACGAAAATACGTGTCTGGTATTAATCAGAGGTCCGTGAGATGGAACTGGCTGGGCGAGGCAGGGCGTAATTCGATACCCGTTAAGGATACCCAAGATCATTCGCTTGATACCGCAATTCTGTTTCTATGGTCTCATACCCACAAACCTCGAGATATTTTTTACTGGGATTGGGGATTAATAGGTAGTTTAATGTTGAGATGAATTTTCCTGAGCTTCTACTGTTGATTATGTTGACTGCGCAATCCGCAATGCTCTGAAATAGTGGGCATTCGTACATTACCTAAATCTTTTCTCTCATAACATACTCGGAAAGGAACAGTAAGAGGGCACCAATTATTCTCCTTCACTTCCATCTCATATTAAATGGGTATATATCTATAACCTTCTCCCTTCTCTCTAATCAAACCCCGAAAACTCATCACCTCCTCCTTCCCCAGCATCAGAAGCGCTAGCAGCAGCATATTTCTCCCTATTCCTCCTCCTCACCTCCTCCAGCAAACTCTCGAGATCCCTCTCCTTAGCCTTCTCCTCCTCGCTAAGCCCCTGCTTCCGTCCCGCCTCGCGCTTGCGCCTCTTCTTATCGCGGCGCTGCGCCCTCAGCTCCTCTTTCTCGTGCTTCCCGCTCCACGCCTCCGCATTGCGCCTCTTCTTCGCCTTGTGCGCCTCCGCGCCGTTATCATCTCCCCCCGCTTCCCCTTCCCCGCTTTCCTTCTTCTCGATGTACTCCCGTAGCGCGGTTAACCGCAGCTTCTCGCGGTCCTTCTTCGCGTAGGAATACGCATCCCAGTCCATCTCGACGCCGAGGAACTTGTCGCCGGCGAATTTCTTCAGTTCCGGCATCTTCGGCAGCCGCAGCAGGCCCCACGCGAGCCCTAGGTCCGTCCAGTCCTGGGCGCCGACGCGGAAGATGGAGCTCGCCGCGTGCTTGCTGTAGCTGCGGACCCAGCTGACGAACGCCTTCTGCGCCTTGTCGTGCAGCGCGCGGTCCGCGCGCACCGCGGCCCGTATCTTCTCGGCCGTGTCGCGCGCCTCCGACTCCGCGACGATGATGCGCGGGAAGGGGAGCGGCGCGATGGGCGTCTTGCGCACGTCCAGGAACGCGACGTAGTCCTCTTCGTTGGGTTGAAGGAATACGACGCTTAGACCGCGGCGGCCGGCACGGCCTGCGCGGCCGCACCGGTGGAGGAAGGATTTCGGGTCGGAGGGCGGGTCGATTTGTACTACGAGGTCTACTTGAGGGAAGTCGAGGCCGCGGGCCGCGACGTCGGTTGTGAGGAGAATGGAGGGCTGGGCTGAGGTGAGGAACTTGTTGAAGTTCTTTTCCCGCACCTTGGCGTCGAATTTACCGTGTAAGGGTACGAGGTCGAAACCTGATGGTAGAAGGACGGGTAGGATGTGCGAGAAGTAGTCGACGGCGGCGCAGGTACTGAGGAACACGATGCTCTTCTGCGGCCGAGGGTCGAGTTTTTCGAGGAGTTGGACCAGGCTTGGCAACTTGTGGCTGGCGGGCGTGGTTAGATAGCACATCTGCAGACTTGCGGGAGTCCGCCGCTCTTCGATGATACCCCCGGTCTTAAGGCTCTTTACTTTCACGGCAACTTTGACGGGGTTCCGCAGACCCACTCTTATGATTTCGCCCACGGCCTCGCTGACGCTGGCGCTGAAGAGCCCCGTCCTCCGTTGTTTCGGTAGCCGTGACAGGATTTTCTGCAGATCCGCCTTGAAACCTAGGTCCAAGAGCCTGTCGGCCTCGTCGAGGACTAAGACTTCGAAGGAGGATTGCGGGCAATGCACATGCGGCGATGAGAGCAGCTCCACTAGCCGACCCGGGGTGGATATAAGGATATTCGGCGACGCGCGTAGGAAGAAACTTAGGTCCTGCGCCGTCGTCGTGGTGCTACCACCCGAAAGCAGCTGTGGTACAACCACGGGAGTACTGGTCTCCGGCCGCTTTTCCTCGCCTGAGAGGAATGGGAGCAGGTCGGCGGACGCGGGGTGAAATGCGATAAGCGACGTTAAGGCGCCGTGGATCTGGCCCGCGAGTTCTTTCGTGGGCGCAACGACGATAGCGGCGACATGGTGCCGTTTTGTGGGTTCATCCTGGCGTAGGATTCTATGGACGAGGGGGAGGAGGAACGAGAGAGTTTTCCCGCTTCCTGTTACTGCCTGTTACTCCCTTTTTAGTAAATATCTTATAATCATTCGGAAATTGGCGTCTTCATACTTCGACAACTACATCCTTATTCCCCCCTCCAAAGAGAGGCCATACGCTGGCCTGGACGGGAGTGGCTCGGGCAAAGCCCATACTCGAAACGGCGTCGAGAATCCATTCTGCCAGCGGCGGCGTTAAAGCGTCCCAGGCCCGGGGATCCTTTTTCGGAGTCTTAGATTCTGGCGCCATCGTTCAATGCGCCGGCGCATACAGTTTACTAAGAATTGTCGGATGAAGCTTTATGCATGGGAAATTTTTGGAGACGTTCAGCGTTCAAGCCAAAAATTGTTATCTTATCAGTGAATAATCTTATCTTAGCGGGGTATTACTAAAGTATCACAGCGAAAATGATTATCCTTTTAAAGGGCCTTATATAATAATTTTTCGATGCTTTAAAAGCATATCATCTCTTTAGTAATCCGTAATTTGCATTTTATACCGACTAATCATCTTCATAGAGACCACGAATTCCGGATCATCTAACATAATTTGGTCTAAATTGGATAATGTCAGAGCGAAAATGAGACTACAACTTCACCTCTTGTATTAACGCCGCCGCACTGGAGCAAGTGTTTCGAGATCAACTCCAATCGTAATACTTGTTGGAATTACGATACTTTAGCCGTTGTTACTACATGTTACTATCTTGCTATAGTCTTACGTAAGGCAAATTATCGCTTCTTATTGGCTAATCGAGGACTAGGTATGTTGGGAACGTGCTTAGGGCCCGACGCTGTAATACCGAAAAAGGACCAGGGACTCAAAATTTCTTGAGCTCGAAGTTTAACTTGAACAGGTTTTTAGCATTCCCAAATGCAAAGTTGTCCAAGTCTTCCTTCGACAACGTTCTTTTCTCCGCGAGTTCTTGGAGATACTTCCACCCCTGAATGTTTTTGCTAAAAGGGGTATCGATGCTATACATGATCCGATCCTTCTTTGTTACCTTCAGGAGCATCTCGAGGGCTCTCACGCTGAACATGCCGCTTGAGGTCACCCATATGTTCTGATCCCAGACATCATAGAGGCTACGTCCGCCCTCGCTTTTCCGGTATCTACTCAGCAGTTCACTCGCTCTATCAATCATCATAGGAATCATCTCGCCCATATGACCGATGATGATTTTCACGTTGGGGAAGCGATCGAAGAGGCCGGCTGAAAAGAGCTTGAGAATGTGCAGTCCAACGTCCTCGTGCCAACCCCAAGCAGCTGTCGATAACCCCAGCGCGACGTCAGCGGCATAATTGCCGCCATATCTTTCTTCTACGAAGGTCTCCGGGGGTGGTCCCGGATGGATGTAAATCGGAACATCAAGACGTTCGGCCATCTCAAAGACGGGCCAGAAGCGTTCGTTGTCGAAATGGGTCATGTCGTCGAGATGACTGTCGATCAAAACACCCTGAAAGCCCAATTCCTTGACAACTCGTTCTAGTTCCCTAGCCGCCTCTTCCGGATGTGCCATTGGGAGGGCAGCGAAACCACCAAAACGAGTGGGGTTCTTCTTGATCGCTTCGGCCATCTCGTCGTTCGCTTTTTGGCAGGCTTCGGGCCTGTCATTGCCCGTGCCCGGCAAGTGAGACATGATCTGGTAAGATATGTGACCCTCGTCCATAGTCGCGAGGCGGCCGGTTGAGTGGTCTTCCGCCTCTTCTAGGCATTTTGGGAATACCTTGAAGGTATCGCGAAAGAACGGCTTATCCGCTCCCAGAGATGGGAATGCAGCGTGCTCTTCAAGTGCAATTGAAAACGAAGGCGGAAGCATTTCGTACTGTTGTTACTCTCAGTGAGAGAAGATGTTGAATCTATGAGTTGCTGCGATTTTAAGTGTGGTGTATGGAAACGAAGATGCACGTTTATAGACAGCAAGCTCGCGTCGCGGAAGGGAAACGAGTGCCGACTTTTCTGCATCAACGCCACAATGTCTCAAGGGGTTCGTATATACGATCTCCGATCGAGTTGTTGGCAGGCGGAGATAAAGTGAAACTATCGGGAACGCGAGCCGCCGACTTGAGATGGTTCGGGCAATGTTCCACTTAAACATCGACATCATGAGTCCTTTCTGACGATTTGTACCCACCAACGTATCATCCTTCATCGCGTCAATCACCACCATATTAAGGGTAACCGTACCACCTTTAAGCATTGTTCATAATCAAAAACTAGCAGAGCAATTAGAAATGAATTCACCGCGGCACACAATGAACTAAACAGCGAGACCTCTTGCCTTGATGAAATATCAATTATATAAAGGAAATCACCACTTGACGGTGAATATTGAGAGATCATAGACGCAAGCTTTCAGCCCTTTACTTGCCTACCGAGATTATAGTAGTTTCTTGACTACCTATCCGTTGACTAGGCATTGACAAAATTGAAGAGGAAAGATTCTGTTTCATGAATCCAGGGGCGCTCCCAACCAACCAAAATTCAACTTCTATCGGTGTGGGTGGTTAGCTATGTATGCTTCGCCCCATTATACATCTTAAACACTGCTCGCAGACGACTTCGACCAAAAGAATATAGACAGGTCATGTTGTATTAGGACTAAGTACCAATGGGCTTTCTCTCAATGAATCGAGCCTCTGACGAGACGAGCCCCAATCCTGTCGGATGTAGAACGACTTGCCCTCCAAGGGACTTTGCTTCTGACAGTTGAATATGGCAAGTCGGACGGGCACGTTGGTAAATCAGGATACGTCTTTGTACTCCCTTAGTATTCTTCTATAAATATAACCACTAATTTTCATGTGTCGTTTGAGAGCATGAGTCACATGGAAGCCGGTAGAATCTGGGTGCAGCTTTGACTTATATACCCTAAAAACAATTCAAATCCCAGCCGACTCCCTAGTGGATGACTTGAGGCCAGAGAAAACCTCCTCCTGACCGAGGATTGCGTACCAAGTGGTGGAGTGGTTCTTTCGAGCGACCACGCTCGACACCTCAGCAAACCCAACAGGTTTTTCGTAGGTCTTGTATTCGACTCAGGACTGAGCTTTTTTTGACGTTTTATATTACCGATATTTTTCTTCCTTATATCTCTCTGTCTGTCCCCAGCTTCTGATATTTTCATATTTCAGCTGTATCCCTCCGTATCAATTAATTCCTTTATACATTTTTATGCCTCAACCCCCTAACTCTTTTCCCTCGCACTGCATCATGTTGACTTCTTCTCTACCCGCCCCTTTATTATACGAGCAACCTTGCCACAATGAGATGTAGTAACTCTTTACGAATATTACCTCTGTCTGAGTCTCATCATAACTCGGCCCTCGGGATCCGGGAAAACATTTTCGTCGGCGTACATATTGACAGGCCGGGACTTGCCATCCGGGAACTTGAATTCGAATTGATGGATAAGTCGGGCGAGGATGAGTTTGATTTCGCCCACGGCAAAGGCTCGCCCTGGGCAAGCTAACTTTCCATAGCCAAACGATACGTTATCTGTGTTGGTCTGCCCCGCCAGGTGTTTATTCATGTTGTCTGCGGAAGAATGGCGCTTTCGGTAGCTTCTCATAGGGTCGAAGAGCTCCGGTTCGGGAGTTACGGCCGGGTCATTCAGATGGTGATGGCCAGCCCAGGAGATTCTAGATCCGGCGGGAATATACGTCCCATCTTTCAGCGTGAGAGTCTCCAGAGCGACTCTTTGGGGTCCAACTATTTGGAATGATGTTAGTTAGAATTCAAAAGATTATCCTGTTTCAAAAGTGGTTGATGACTTACGCAAGATAGGTGGGTTGAACCTCTGGCTCTCAATGAAGAAGCTGTCAAGCTTTTCCAGACGCGAAAGCCAATCTTTTGCTCCGCATCTTAACCCTGATTCGATGGGCCCTAGTTCATCCGTAATCTGACTGATTTCTTCTCTCAGAATGGGAAACCACTCAGGCCAGGCACAAAGATCGAAGAGGATATTTGCAACCGCTATTGACGTTGTGTGGATGCTAGCTAGGGTCAATATAGCCTGTCGCACCGACATGTTCTCAGGAACATTCTCCTTCTCGTCGCCGTGGTCCATCATCCAATTCAAGAGCGTGTCATCTTCGTCTACCTGTTCTCCCATGGCCCGTTTCCGAGCGGCAGCTCTATGCATATCCATAAGCGGCCTGATTATTCTTTCCGCAGTTTTGAGATTCCGGTTGATCCTGTATCGTGCTGGGATGAGATGAGCAATAACGGGATGAGTGTAAGGCGGGAACATCCTCAGAGTGAAAGCTGCTGTGAACATATCGATTGAGAAGTCTATCGAAAGATTCAACCACTCCACGTCTCTACAAGCAGGGTAGCCCATGAACACTTTGGCTGACATCCGGGCCACGAGCATCCTCATCACCTGCTGAATGTTGACTTCTTGCCATTCTATTATATATCAGCTTACTCTATATCATTAGGGGTGCGAATAGTAGATTACCCTTAGAGTGGGGGATTTCAATCTCCCATGCATAGTCTAGTTCTTCTTTGGCAATATCTAAGTACTTAGGAAGCTCGGGGATGAGTTTGTTCTGGATAACCCGGAAATGGAGATTGGATTCGGTCATTATGGTTGTGTGTGTCCATTTGTGACCAAGGTTCTATGCAGTCAGTTCAAAATAACTGGTCAGGCATAAACCTAGGTACTAGGTATTAAAGGAGTTTTTGTGGAAGGGGCTCGGAACTTACATCTACTTGTGCCTTTACTGCACTCAGTTGAGTTGGTGGGACGAGACGCAGTTCGCTCAGGTATTTGTTAGGCAACACCGTAATATCAACGTCGAAACGTCTGACTACGAATGGTCTATGTTTGAACTTAGAGCGGTCAGCTAGATACCTAGGAAAGCAAACAATGTAGGCTTCAAAGTTACTTTACGATATCCGGCTGCAATGATATCACGAGCGCCGAAGGTGAATCTAGATTGCGTCAGAAGGCCTGGCTCCCACCACCAGTGACTGCCGAACGTTGGCGCCCCGCGGACTTTCGGTTTTCGATGTTGAGATAGCAGCAAAGAGAGCCAGAGACCTGCTAGCAGGATGCCAATGATTTTGGCATAACCTGAAGAGGATATAAACCCTTGTAGATGGATCAGCTGGCCCATTTCACTATTTGCCATGGTGTTTAAAAATGCCAAGTATCAGACCAAGTACCTAGGAATGGTGCTCTGTCAAAGATAGATTCCTAAGTTATGCGGTCGAATTCGCAGGGCCCAATTCTGAGCGCTGAGGTTCACTAGGTACCCAAGTACTGTTTACGTTGAACTTCGCTCTCAGATTCAACTCTTGGACACGTTTCCAAACTACTTCTGTTCTCGTCGGACCCCAGATTAGTATGATATCGCTTCCAACAGTTGTGCCCCTGTTTGAGACCTCAAATAATAATGTGCGGGTGCACAAGAATCGGACGTCTACATTGGGACGGCCGACGGATTTCCCGATGTATTCGTGCCGTGAGATAACATACCAACCTAGTACCTAAGCACTTGGTAACTACCTATGCATCATATTGGATACGATATCGGTTTTGATAAGAAACGGGGATGGGGAACGAAGTGGTTTGACGATGAAATGGCTCACCATTCTACTGAAACTCTTTCTAGAATGTTCACAACAATTACGCACCAAGATCTCAACGCTCAGGCGAGAGGCCTTCTCCAACGCATCTCGGGGCGACGAGATCCTTTGTATGGGTTTGGGGGTATGAGCTGTACTGTTTACGACACAGCATGGGTCTCCATGATCGCGAAAATAAGCCACGGACTAAAACGATGGCTCTTCCCCGAAAGCTTCCATTATATCCTAAACGCCCAACTTGAGGACGGGGGTTGGGAGACAACGATGTCTCAGACCGACGGAGTTCTCAACACTGCAGCCTCGCTTCTCTCTCTCATTAAACACGCAAGAGAGCCTCTGCAAATCCGTCAGGTCTTGGACAGTGAGCTACGAGAGAGAATCGAACGCGCATCAACTGCTTTGCAGTTACAACTAACGAAGTGGGACGTCTTAGCTTCGTCTAATGTCGGGTTTGAAATGATCATTCCTACTTTGCTTGAGCTTTTAGAGAAGGAAGGATATATATTTGAGTTTGGCGATAAAGCCGAGTTATTTCGACTTCGTGCAGTAAAGCTCAAACATTTCTCTCCAGAGTTGCTCTATGGGACGAGTAAACACTCGCTTATACACTCCCTTGAAGCATTCATTGGCAAGGTTGATTTTGACCAAGTAGCTCACCACAAGGTCCATGGCTCGATGATGGCATCTCCTTCCTCGACAGCGGCCTACTTGATGAATATCTCGACTGGGAATGACGAGGCTGAGGAATACCTTCGACATGTCCTCAATGCGTCCCCAAATGGAGATGGGGGTGTCCCCAGCGCCTATCCATCCACTTATTTTGAGTATACTTGGGTATGTCAATTGTACCTATATAGGTAGCAAGCTGTTCTCTTCTAAACACCTTTTCAGATTGTCTCAACCCTCCTTAAATCTGGATTCTCGCATTCGGACCTAGAATGTCCCGGGTTCAACGAGATTGCTGAGACAGTATCTCAAGCTTTCCGAAATCAGAATGCAGTAATTGGATTTGGTATGTTACATACCGCAGCCGGGATCATGTCACGAGGACTAATTGCTACAGCGCCTTCTTTGAATCCAGATGTCGATGACACATCCAAAGGCATATTGGCTTTGAGCTTATTAGACCATATGGACTACGAAACCGTTCCTCTAGATCAGATGATCTCTATGTTTGAGGCAGACACACATTTCCGCACTTATCCCAGGGAGAGAGACCCGAGCTATAGTGCAAATTGCCATGTGCTACTAGCTATACTTCACCATCCGAACAAAGCCCTATACGCAAACCAAATCAGGAAGATATCCCAGTTCTTGTGTGAACAGTGGTGGACAACTGACGGTAAAATCCGTGACAAATGGGTTAGTATATACGATGGTGATAGCTATCGATATCTAACTTGGTCTCCAGCTGATTATTTTATCCTAGAACCATGCTTGCCTTTACCCGTTCCTCCTCTTAGTAGAAGCTTTTACAGATCTGCTAGCATTAGTGGATGATGACACGATGCTGGACCTCCTGGACTCAGAGTTGCAATCCAGGGTGTCTATCACTCTATTTCAATCCTGCTTGCGAACAATGCTACTACAGAAGGAGGACGGTTCTTGGGAAGGTTCAGTAGAAAGAACCGCATATGGTATTCTCATCTTATGCGCAGCCCGTCGTTTGATCTTTTTCGAAGACATCCAGGAAGCGGTCGATTCTGCTATCAAGGAAGCCATTGATTTCATGCTCTCAGCAGGCGAAGCAACAGAACTGTCAGATCATCCCTGGATAGAGAAAGTCAGCTATAGGTCCCCATTTCTTACGGAGTCGTATGTGTTGGCAGCGCTGAAAGCGTTCACTACCCCGATACCCCGACCCAGAATAGAATATAGGAGCTGGGACCCTACTATACGCAAGCAAATGCAACCGTGCGTGCACATTTTCAAGGCGACACCGTTATTCTCCGACCTGCCGGACTGGAAGATTCACGCTTCTCTGACAGAAGCCTTGCTTTTCCGGCAGAAACTCGATCGTCTCCGATTACAGATCTTCCCTAGGGAGGATATGGAGACAGATAAATACTTTGCTCTTATTCCCTTCACCTGGACGGCTTGCAATAACCGCTCATTCACGTTTGCCTCAACATCACTCCTTTTTAAGATGATGATAATCTCCTTCCTCAATTATCAAGTCGACGAATATATGGAAGGCGTTATCGCACTCCAACTTGGCGGCTCTGTGGAGAACGCTCGAAAGGAGATCGGGAATCTATTTATTAGCGACGTCCCCGATCTTGAGAAACCCATGGACGGAAGGCTGTCACAGTTCGTCAAGCATGTCCTGGCGGACGAAGATGTTGTGAAGGCTAGCTGCTGGGACCGCAAACATCTCGAACAGCAACTACGCGCATTCCTTCTTGCACATGTTGATCAAATCGAGGACAATCTTTCTTTCGGGACCCAGTCAGACAAGGATATATATAGCTCGGCGTCCCGAACATTCCACAACTGGGTACACACCACGTCGGCATGCCATACGTCATGTCCTTATTCCCTCGCCTACCTGTCGTGCTTGATTTCTGCTTCTCTGTCTCGAGGCGCGGACTGTTTCCCGACCACATGTCAGAAATATCTTGCCGGGGACGCCTGCCAGCACTTGGCGACAATGTGTAGGATGTATAACGACATTGGATCGATTGCGCGAGATCGGGAGGAAGGGAATTTGAACTCAGTAGATTTTCCCGACTTCAGCTCTACGAACATGACACCTGCGTTGGAAAAGCGCAGCACCATCGACGACAGGAAGCATACGTTATTTGAGTTGGCGGAGTATGAGCAAACCGCGCTTGAAGAAGCCCTTAGGCGCCTTCGAAAAGAAGCTGAGATGCCAGGGATTCCGCCAGCGGTTGCTAGGGCAGAGCAACGTAAAATGGCCATCTGGGACATGTTTGTTGACGTGACAAATCTTTACGGGCAGATTTACGTGGTTCGCGACATGTCAATTCGAATCAAGCCAAAGTAGATACCTAGAAATATAGGCACCTGCGAGTGTTGCCCAGAAAAGGCCTTAGATGCAGTACGCTTTTGACTTTCTCATCTCTCATAGATGTATTAAAGATACCCCTTAAGGTGGACGTCATTTACTACCCATATCAGGTGGGATTAAGTGGCCGTATTTTACTACATTATAAATGGAAGCGTAGCCGTTTCTGTCCGTTTGCCTCCGTTTTGTAGCTGAGCTTAGGTAGCGCCACAACATTTTAAAAATGACCAAACTTATGCTATCCCTTTAATTGTTAGTTGTCTACAGCCAGGGATTAGGAGACAAAGTACATCTCATATGACATGTTTGACCGGATCTAGAATATAGAGCATGAATGGTACATGATTTTAGATATATTTTTCCTCGTACAATTTGTATCAGCAGTGCCCTGAACCGAGCTTTTGTGGGTGCTTAGATGTATCTTACCTTTTAGTCCCTGGTGGTAGACAACTACCAGTCAAAAAGATAGGTCACATATACAATCCAATATGTCTCGTCCTACATGTCGCGGGCAGGTTGAGAGCGAGGCGGTAACTCGATGGGACTCGACGAGATCGCACAAACATGGAGCTACGCCCCCCCTATTCAAATCTTTGCAATATAACTAACAGCGAAGGATAGGCATGCCTTGGCCCTTATTGAATGGTGTGATGGGGCACATACGGCCATGTCACACTTGAACGTACCTAGGTCTCCTCGGAGACGCCATGGCGTTCTTGGCTGGGCGGAGGGGCATTTTGCTCCTGTTTTAGTTCATGGATGATGCAGGCTCTCGATAAAAAGTGCTACAAAGCTACGACGAGGCGAATTTCGCGTCCCTCAGGAAAGTAGCGGTGGAGTACGACAAGGCTGGGACGTTCCAGAAGCTCTAGAATGTATGCAGGATTATTTATATATTGATGCGTTTGAAAAGAGGCGGCAGGATGTTGCGAATTGGAGGATTCGAATGTGTGCTACGCGCCGGGCTGCACATAACGATTTTTCCCGCGTCGGGCAGTCCTAAACTAGCTCTCCGGTATTATTCATTATTGCAAACCCAAAGGGGGCGCCACTGCGGCATAGAATGAAACAGTACATTCTGTAAAAAGCGAATCGGCGACATTGCACTCAGTTCGCCGTGGCTGCCTACCTTGGGAGGCGTCGGGAAACCTCTTGTCTCGCAATCTTTCATTCTCCGGTGGTTACAGGGGAAGATATTAGAACGTAGTAGAGTACTTGGGTTGCCTGGTAGTAATATGGCCACAGGGGAAAGCAGAGGAGGAGCAGATAGGCATCAGAGCTATTCAGACATACGAATAAGATCGCTTAGGTACGAGAGAATCTAGCTTGCGATAGAGTTCATTTAGGTTTCTAGCTAGCTATGAAAGGATCAAGGTCAAGTCTCGCTTGACACATTAGCTAGTAGACGAGGATAGGTGCAGCATCATCAGCCACCCCATCCCAAAGGTCGTTCATGCCCTCGACAAGGTTTGGTGGGAGTGGCCCTCCATGGATTGCAGAAGCATAAGTATCTAACTGATTCTGACTGCGAGGTCCCACGATAACACAATCTCCTTGTTCCCCGTCCAAGATAGAGTGGTTCAATATCCACCGCATGCTAGCATCGATCATGTCGACTCCATGAGCCTTACAAAGCGAATCCAGCTTGCGAATTGCGTCGTGAAAGGCTGGTTTGTCGTACCAGTGCCTGCCTGCCATACCCATAAGATTGTCCTTGGAGACCTCAAAGCGAGTCCCCCGAAGAGCATCGGGGTTGTTTTTCGATAAAGTGACTTTGCCCGTCAACATACCCCCAGCTAGGGGTGAGTATGCCACGAAAGATATGCCGTACTTGCGAAGAAGAGGGAATAATGTCGTCTCGTAAGTACGGCATAGAAGGTTATACTGCCCCTCAAAGACGCGTGGTTTCACATAACCCATTTCTTCGCATATGTTAAGGTATTCTTCGAAAGACTCAGGTGAAAAGTTGGAGATGCCCGTCTTCGTGCATTTGCCTTCCCGGTACACGGCATCGAATGCGGCAGCTTGATCCTTGAGGGGAGTGACATGATCTGGACCCTGAGCGTAGAAGGTGTTGACCTGGTACAGCTGGTTAGGGCTTTTTGAGACTTCAGGGACAGCAAATCTAAGGGAATATACCTTTTTGGTTTTGAGGCGCTCTAAGCTTTCAGTCATGGACTTCCGGACCGCGTCGACTGTAAGGGTATTGTTGCCGCCGTCGAACCACATCGTCTTGGTGTCGACAAGAATGCCCTCATGTCCAATTTCGCCGAGGATGGTCTCTGCCACACCTGGATTGGTAAACGGGTAGAGAGCGGAGGTATCGATCTGTTGGCAATCTAGCTTATCTAGCTGTGCGATCTGGTCACGAACCTGGTCTATCCCATAGTTGTGACCCCAAGTACCAGTACCAACCAGGATTTTCGGGGCCATGATGAAGGTTCGGGTGAGTTTCGTAGACTATTTACTCTGAATTGGAAATCTTGATCGACAACGCGCATCAGGAAGGGCGCCGGCTATTTTTAAGCACCTAGCATTTTATTACTTTTGTACCTCCAGCATACCTATAAGTACATAAGTATGTATCTATGTATGTAAGGGCCCGCAGTATTCTGTGTAACATCCCCTCCAGTGGCGCTGTCTTTGTCCTGGGCTCTGAATCAGGGCTTCCCAACCAAGAATCCATTATTTTGTAGGTTTTGGAAGAGTCCATTGGGGTCATATCTCTGTGCAACTGACTTGAGCTGATCAAAGTTCGCTTCGCCGTAGCTCTCGAGAACCTTTTGCGTTGGCCCGGCATGATTCATGAATTGGAAGTCGAGAAGAAGATCCCTATCCCTAGATAGCCCGTCGATGCTATCCTGGAGAGCCTCGATCGTACGCTGTGCAACGGCGTCGTCCGCTTCATCTTGCCACTCTACGACTAGAGACCACCCTAAACCCCGCGATTTAGTAACTGCACGTGGCGTATACCTCCCTAGGGTAGGAAGAACGTATACTTACACGTTTGTGAGACTTTAGGTAGGCCACACAAGTTCCCGCCGAGGTCTTCCCCCTTTTGTACCATTGCTGACGACATAGGCTCAATAGTATATGACAGATTTGCAGGAAAAGACATGCTAGACGACTGTGCTATTGACAAGAATTGTTCGTAGAACTTGATATAAAGATCGTAATCGACCATAGTAGTAGCTGCGGAAGGCGATCGTCTAATTGAATTAGTATGTATTGTCTAAAGTGCCGAGGACCTTGAGGTCGGCCTTTGAAATGCTTACCTCGCATCATAGGGGGCGCTAGAAGCTGCAAAGGCGGACGTCAAGGAGACAATTATTCCATTTGCAAGCGGAACAGGTGAGCCTATGAGACTCTCGAGGTTATAAAATGGCTTAAATACCGCGGGTGGCTCTACCGCCCAGTCTGCATAGAATAAGCCCACGTTGATCGCCGAGGGGCTGAAAGTAACAAAGATGTCAATTCTTGAGTCGAACTCCATTGCTTCTTGGACTTGAACAGTCGCATTCAAGATATAGGCATAGTCGGTGGTATTATAAGTATTGATACTATACTGTGTATGGAGAAGCGGATAGGTATCGATATCAAAGCGGGTAACAAGGCCAGTATATTGGTGAGCCCCTGACTAGGTAGGTATACAATACGGGCGACGAGACGTACCAAGATTGGAGCCACCCCCTTTTAGAGCGCGAAATAATTCCGGGTTCTCTGTAGCATTGGCATAAATGATAGTCGAGTTCGCCAAGACCACCTTCGAATGATTTTTAGCTAAGAAATAATTGGCACTTGGAAAACAGCTTGCAGGCTTACTTCATAGTTCTTGACGTTATCGGTGGCTAGGCCATATTGGCTGGAGAAATATGGCATTCCACCTAGCTGGAGTTAAAACCAAGCTACCAAAGGCAGTGAGCGCGTCATTACCTCCAAGCAGGCAGCCAGATATTCCAACTTCTTGCTCTCGGGCCCCCGCTACCGTCCTATTGCTAGCTTCGGCGGCATCCCATAGGTCCCCCCATGAATTACCTGGGCCAGCATGCAAGACCCCTTTCTGGTCCAAGGCAAGCGAGTTCAAATCCCGTAAATCGAGAAGTATGCCAGAACTGTCGACACTTGAAAACCCGGGGTTTGGATTGTGCCCACGGCCTCTGACGGCAAATTTACATCCAACCTTGGCGATGACCTTGAGAAGAAGAGCAACTTCTTGCGCGCTCCGTGGGCGAATGAAGCAGTTTGAGGGTAGCCAACAAGTCTGAGACCTAACAGATAGTTGTGATAAGTCAGAACATCGGCATAATGAATTGTCAGTGATAATTTTCTTACCAATTGACATCCTCCTCCAGTGGGTACTCTGAGCTCGTAGAATTAAAAACTTGAGCGGGAAAGATCAAAGCGGCGATAGTACAAGAAGCAGTAGCACGTTGGACGTTGGGCGAGCTAGTAGAGTCTAGAATACTTGCTGCTGCCGCATTGATGGCCCCTGAAGACTCGGAGATGAGCTTCGCAAGGTCTGTACTTGTGTCCTCGGGAGACTTTTGGTTTCTCTGTTGGACATTTAGAAGATCGTCGGATAGCAACGCAGTCGAGTACGCCACCAGGTGCCAAACCACACAGCAGAATAATGCCGAAATTCTTGCCATAACCCGTGGAAAGTGACAAAACATCGATACTCAATGGGAGTTTCCACACTATCAATTGCTCACACGGATTCGCAAGACGGTTTCAGCGCCTACATATATATACCTAGTTAGATATATAATCCAGGTACCTAACCAATTCAACGCAATCCATCACGAAAGAGACTGAGACCCGACCCCAAGAAAATTCTATAATTATGAGTGGCACGGAATTTCAGATAAGAGTTCGTGATTACTGTTGGCGAAGCGGTGAATCATTCTTCTCAAGAGCCACGCACCACGACAGTAACTCATCGTGAGGAAGGAGTTCCAGGCAAGGTTACATCAGCGCCCAATGCAAGCCTCCATGGATTTGAAACCGAAGATAGGTCGGTAGGTAAGCGACTAGAAAAAGCTCTCACAGCTATATAGGATTGCCGCGACAGCATCCTCCAGAGCTATGTCTACGAAGGTAACGTTGATGTGTACCTTGATAGGTCTGTTTCAAAGCCCGCAAAGTACCTACCTACCTAGACTCGCCGAAATGATGGTTTGCTGTTATCAAGAATGCGCCGTAGTCGAAAGAGAGGATTGTGCAACATCAGATCTATCTTTAGAACTATGCTATTTACAGACTGCAGAAACCTTTCATTTGTCGAGTGTTCGCAGAATGTTTCTTAGGCAGCTAGTACAGCTAGTAGGTTTGCCCCACCCACCTTGAATTTCAGTTGGTATCTGAAGCTATTCGCAACATCCCTGCTGATCAACTAATTTAGATTCAAAGGTACCTCCTATACATCCAATTACTTCAAATTAACATGTTTTTGAGGATATATCAATACTCACGAATGCTTCCAATACCTTTAACTCACCTCGATTTAACCTAACTCTAGCCTGACTTAAGCTCTGCTCTTATCTTTTGTTCGTACGGCTTCTCAGTGACATTATGTAGTAGATGTAGCCGTCGGATCTGTTTTGGCGGACATAGCTCCGTCTACGGTTCCTAACTACGATACATTATCTCATAGGAGTAGACGCCACTCTGTGAACTCTGCAAACAAGAGATTTTTACATTCTGCAAAATAACACAGCTCTATATTTAAATCGTCTACCATTGGAATGCCGACGGCAGGATCTGTTGGACGCATAGCATTTCACCGGTATGTGCAGTCCCGGATGAGGGGTGGAGGAGGCGGCGCCTCGTCGGCATTCTGTAGGTCCCTCCATCTCCAACGCCCCCACCAGTTTGTCGGTCTTCAGCCAATTCTGGTGAGCCTTGCCACTCATGTACCTGCGGGTCGGACTGCTGAAATGGTTCGCTTCCGAAACATGGCGCTCCTGGTTTAGCTATCATTCGAATTAAAAGCAAACGTAACTCAACATGGAAGGATTGGACCTACTGAGTATCGACGCGATGAAAACCAGACCCAACCAACTGCGAATTATATCTAAAATCCCCTGCCATGATAGGTTATGTGGTTTCTCTGTTGCTCTTCCTTTGGTTTTATTCGATGTTTCACCCTTTAAATCACAGGAATAAACGAATTTCTTGTGCCCCTATTCACGGTTACCGGTCGTTGCTTGAGCCAACCCTTCTCCTACAAGCTAGATTTGCCTCTAATGCACCTGAATTAATCAGGAGCGGGTACGAGAAGGTGCCTAAACCTTTACTATGTAAAATCTTAGAGATCATCGTAGCCAACTTTGCATTCAGTTTAAGGACAGACCTTTTGTGGTTCGCCGCTATGATGCCGACATTACAATACTTCCGCACAAATATGTGGCTGAACTCTGCTCAGCCCCAGCCAGTATTAAGATGAGTGCTGTAAAAGTTCAAGTCGCGGTACGCCCTATGCCCATTATTCTTTTGCTTATCTACCTAATTCACCTTGATTGAATGCAACTGATGAGTTACTTGATTAGAACTTGGTCCACAGATGGACCTATTCATCCTTCATAGAACATTCAGACCTTCACTTTCGCGTCGTGGAGAAGAAGCTCATTCCTCAGCTGCCTAAATATATCTATGCGGCCACGAAGGAAATGGAGCATGCGTGGCTTACCAATGTTCCCAAGCCCCAGGGTGTGTCATCTATTTGTGTCATGTTAGCCGGTTCTAATAGCATTAGATTGGACCGAAGTTGACATACAACATATAATTCGTACCCTCGTTTCTCAGATGTCATCTAGGATTTTTCTGGGGCTCCCTACGTGTCGAGACCCAGAATGGCTTAACTTGGCACTCACCTTTCCCGCCGACGTGAATACCACCGCGTTCACGCTTCGAGCCTTTCCTCCGTGGATGCACCCGATTATTGCCCGACTAATCCCCGCAAGATACAGGGTGAAGAGGAAGATTGACTTGGCTACGGAGATCATCAGACCCTTGATTAGCAATGAGGGCGAGAGACAAGACAAGGGAGACGGCGGAGGAGACGATACGCTACTGGACTGGATGATGAGTAATGGGGACGAGAAGGAGACACGCGTTGGCGAGATGGCGACTCGCCAATGTCTCTTGGCACTTGCAAGTACTCATGCGACATCAATGGCGGCGGCCAATGCTCTGTTCGACCTTTGTACCCATCCGGAATGGTTCGCAGTACTTGAAGATGAAATCAACGATACACTCAGAGATCGAGGCTTCCTAAACTCGGAGAAAGGCGCCAGGGAATGGCTATCAAGCCTTGAGAAAATGGACAGCTTCCTCGTGGAGAGTCAACGACTACATCCGCCGATTCTTCGTACGCAGACCATCCCCTATACCTAGATCAAGGCTATTCTATTCTAACTTAGCAATTGCAGTATCACCTCAGCGGGAGGCAATGGTACCGTTTATCCTGAAAGACGGTACATGCATACCGAAAGGATGCCGGGTTGCATGGGCAGCCAGTAGTCACCTAAACGACCCTCACGTCACACCGAACTCGGAAGTTTTCGACCCTATGAGAAGTTACCGCAAGCGTTACTCCTTAGACCGACGGAGTAAGCACCTTGCTGGTCAAACTAACATAGATAATCTGGCATTCGGATACGGGAGACTAGCTTGTCCAGGTAGGGCGTTTGCGGTAGCCGAGGTCAAAGTTCTTCTAGTGAAATTTCTGACTGAATTTGACTTCAAGTTTCCCAAAGGGATAAGCATGCTACATTATAAGTCAGCGGATGAGATTGTGTTCCCAGACCCCAAAGCAAGAGTATTGATGAGGAAGAAGCTCTGTAGAAAGACGCAAGCATGATCGGCAGTAAGAAGATGCCTCGTGTCTCAATAGAATGCGATCTTGGTACTGTTGACTTTCTATACCATAGGTATTCATGTGATAAGAGTTGCGTGTTGTGCGCACATGTCTCCTATTATGATTAATCCTGAATGAACTAAATTTAGGATTAATGATTAACTCGAGAGGAACGATTGCCTCAGCTGTCGCTACTACTAGCCAGTCATCTACATCTACTTTTCGTTCCGTCTTCGTATAAGCACCTTAGCCAACGGGTCCGGGTATATATTCTCATCAGAGCATAGGTTACGCGGCCTGCCCTGGCCGAATGGGTACTTGAAATCGTACAGTAGTATCAAATGACCAAGTATCATCTTGATCTGCTGACCTGCATAGAAGCGGCCGGGGCAGGCGTATTTTCCATGCCCGAAGTGAAGATTGTTGCTATCAGTTGTCGCAAACTGATAGCGGTGGACGTTCTCGGGGTGCGCGGGATCATCGCGCAGACGGGCCCATCGAAATGGTTCAAATTCAGTATTCTCCCCTGGCAGGTATTCTGGATCGTTAAGGATCGCGTCTGAGGCCATGGCTATGTGCGTCCCGGGTGGGAGAATCGTGCCATCAGCAAGCCGCAGAGGCTCACGCACGATGCGGTTGAACGCAACTATCAAATATCATGACTTATTAGCCACACTTCGAACTGTTTTTCCTATGTGCCGTGTTGGTGGAAGGATCCTAATAATGCAAGCTTACATGAGGCGGGAGGGTTGACCCGCTGCGACTCCTTGAGAAAGCTGTCTAGCTTCCGGAGCTTGGGCATGGCAGGCTTTGTCCAGCCACCGCTACTCTTCAACGTTGATTCCAGCTCCTCCCTAAGGGGGTCAAAGTACTGAGGGTATGCACAAAGGTCATACATGGCGTGGGCAGCAGACATGCTTGAGGTGTGAACCGCGGCCATACTCAGCAACAGTTGTCTATGAGCCAGTTTATTTGGTCTGCTCTCGCTAACGCTTCCCATGTGCATCATCCACTGCAGAATATCCTCCGTTCCGTCATAGCTAGCCTTACCGTTCCCGGCAGCCTGATGCTTTCGCACGATCGGGCCGATGATGTGCTTCGCAGTTGCGAGGTTCGCACGTACACGCCAGTATGCGGGCAGTAAAGGAGCCACGAAATAATGCATGTACGTTGGCAACATGCGCAAAGTTAGTATCACCCCCTGGATGTTCTCAGTATATCGGATGCTAGTTGATAGCCATTCTTCGTTTCGGCATGCGACTGGGCCGAGGAAGACGCGGGCCGACACTCGGTTCACGAGACGGAGCAGGATATCGTGGATCGATACGCTAACCCATTCATCTTTACATATAAGTCAGCGTCCCGAATGGGTATGTGTGAGCGGGTGACTGGAGGTCTGTAAATGTAGACAACGCTCTATGTTACCTACTAACCTTGACACTCTGGGACCTCGACCTTGATCGCATAATCCAGTTCTTCCTTCATCCACAGGGCCACAAGGGCCAGATTCGGCGTTAGTCTCTGCTGAATGACGCGTGTAAGAAGATCACCCTCTAACAATATGGTCGTATTGGTAAATTGGCCAGATAAATTCTTAACATGGGCAGCGAGGCCGCTGACTTGATGCTCGGGCAAGCTGCGAATATGATCTGCGTGCTTATTTGAAATAATCAAGATTTCTCCATCGTTGCGTCGTATCTTGAACATTGAATTCTTATACTGATCACAAGTAAGCATAGAGGGATGACATTTACTCCAATGATCGGGCCATGTTATTAATCACCTTCCCATATCCCTCATTAATGATCACAACACTGTTGCGGAAGAACCGCAACCCAACAAGCCAATTGGGTTCAGCGAAAGACCTATAACCAACGACCGGCGCCTTAACCGTAGAAACACTCGAGGCGACGACCTTCAAGACGTAGATACAAAAGGCACCCGAGATCAGTAGGAAAATCACGGCTTGTTGGTCGAGGAAAAGCCACCGATTCTCTGTAGCGGCACTATCCGTGCTGAAGTGGCGCGAAAAGGGAAAAGGAAAAGTCATGTTGCCAAATGTTACACTGAGAGTGAACCTCTGACTGAAGCATGTAAGGGGCGTGTCGGCGCACGCATAATGTAGGTATTGTACGTATCACCGGCGGACTTCCCGTTCTGATCGAAACCGAGTGATATCTATTTTCCGTCATAACATCCTGATCCTGCACTCCCCTTCGCATGCCGTGTGACATAAAAGATTTGGCCATAATGTTGGCTTCGTGGAGAGATTGGTCTATCTCGCCCCTACCCCGAGATCAAGGGCGGGCATCTTGTCAAATTCGCGTAACCGGGAACTGGCACTTCTAGTGCAGGGGCGTTGGTTGGTGGCGACAGGCTTACTGTCTCACCCACTGTCTTCTCAATGCTTGACAGCCTCACTCATCACCAAGTTCATTCCCCTCTCCCCCCTCCCCCCTTTTCCTCCGTCTTTATTGAGAACCACCAATATGCCATCGACGAGCCCATCTTCGCCTGTGAACCCCAACGATCGAGGCCGTGGACCGGCGATTCTTGGGGTAGCGTGGGCTTTGACCATAGTCTGTTTGATTTTCACTGGCGTTCGAATTTATATTCGTCGTCGAGCACCATCCGTTCTCGGCTGGGATGATTGGCTCATCGTCGTCGCAGCTGTATGTGTGTTTACATGCAGCGTCGGGTTCTGTTAACTAATAGCCACTCACCAACAGCTTATCCAAATCGTTCATACGGGGTTCGTCACGGAAGCGTGCCACTGGGGCGCCGGGATGCACGACGCCGACCTTACGCCAACCCAAGAAATTAACATCCTGAAGTGGTTCTGGATATCTACCACCCCTGCGCTGTTGGTATCCATTATATCGAGGATATCAGCAGCGATCTTGCTGATTCGCATCTTCGGAAAGAAAATATGGTTCAAATGGTATTTGATTATCTGCACCGCTCTCCAGATTCTTAGCGGCATCATAGCCATCATATTCATTTGGATTCAACAAGCGCCAATCGAATCCGTTTGGAATCCGATGATCAAACCAACCCACAAGAGACCGGCTCATCTTAACGATTATTCTGCTTACCTAGCCCAAGGTGAATTAAATCCTTTTGATTTCACCCTTTTTTTTGGCAGCGGAAGTTGACAGTGGTACCAACAGCGCTCTTTGCATTTGCCGACTTGTCTTATGTCATCCTTCCTGTTTGGATCATATGGCGGCTGAACATGTCGCTAAGGACGAAAGTCGGACTTGGCATCATCCTCGGTCTATCGTGCATCAGTTTTGTCGGCTCGGTTATGAAAGCAGTGACCAGTTCGGAGGCAAAAACCGAATACGCCTCCAGCTTGGTTATCCTCTGGTCAGCACTCGAACAAACTCTAGTCATCATCATCAGCTGCGTTCCGGCTATCCGCCACGTAGTGCTCGCTGAAATTCCGCTTGTCAAGTTGATCAGCGCATCGATTGTTCGTATGATCAGCCGGGATAGTTCTAGGAAAAGTTCAGCGCTATCATTACCACACTCGGCCCACTCGCAGTATCAGGATCTAGAAGCTTCTGGTGGCAAACTGCCTCTACAGAGCCTCTCTGTTTCGGAGGACACAGTCGCACATAAAGCTACGCACGAGGGAGGAGGCAAGATGGGCATAGAGATGAAGAATTTCACTTAATGGAACGAATAGTCCACTATTGGGAAGAGAGAGGAAGCTAGGTCAAAAATGTCAAAATGACTGAGCCGGATTGGGACAAGTATCACTTCAATATATCCGCCTAAGACGCTGCTAGAGATAAAAGTTTCGAGAACACCTATTTCTTTCACTTGAAGCAACTTAGCGCCACGAATGATAAAATCTAGTGGATGTTCCTTAAGTCAAACCACCTTATTACGCTCCACCCATATCCGCCCTACTAGCTAAAACACAACGTAATTGCGTTAAAATAAATAAACCTTTTCTTATAAATCTTGCGCCCTTATTATAAACTTAAAAATTTTTTTTTATTTTTTTATTTTATAATTTTTTAATTTTTTAAAATGTTTATTTTTAATATTTAATTATATTATATTTAAATAATAAATAACGTTTTAAAAAAAAGTTTATTTTATAAAATATTAAAAATTTATTTTATTAAATAAATTTATTTATTTTATTAATTAATAAACGTATATATTTAAAAATAATATAATTAAAAATATTAAAAAAATTTTTATATATAAACAATTAATTAATTTAATAAATTATTTTATTAAATTATTTTAATAATTTTTTTTAATATAATAATTTCGAATTATAATATTAAAATTAATTTTTTAAAATAATTTATAAATTAAATTAAAAAAAAATTAATATTTTTATTTTTTAACCCGGTATTTTAATATAATATTATTTAAAGTTTATATAATTAATTATTAAAAAATTAATAATATTTATATTAAAAATATTAATATTTTTTTTAATAAATTAAAAGTTTTAAAAATAATTTTTATATTTTTTTATTATTTATATAATATAAATAAAATAAAAATTATAAAAAACATTAAAAATAATAAAATAATAATAAAAAATATTTTTAAAAAATTTTTAATTTTATAAAACTTTAAAAATTATATTTAAATAATAATATTTAAATGTTTTAATAATAATAATTATATATTAAATTTATTTTTTATATTTATAAATTAATTTATTTAATAATAATAATTTTTTAATATAAAAAATAAAAAATTTAAAAATTAATAATTTATTACGTTAAATAATAATTAAATTAATAATAAAATTATATTTAAATAATTTATAAATTTTTTTATATTAATTATTTAATTTAAAAATTTTAATTAATAATAATTATTTATATTTCATAATTATATTAATTATTATTTTTTTAAATTTTTATATATTTATTATATTAATAAAATTTAATATATTTTTTATCCGGTATATATATTTTATATGTTTTAAATAATTAATATAAATATATATTTATTTTTAAAATAAAAATATCGTTATAAATTTATTATAATTTATATATTATATTATAATAATATTTTTAATAAATAAAAATTTTTAACCGTTTATTTAATAATTAAAAAATAATATATAATTAAATATAATATTTTAATTAATTAATAAATAATTAAAATTTTTTTTTATAATAAAATAAAAATTTTTAATAATTTTTAAATATTAAATCCCGGCGTAATATATTTATAAAACTTTTTTCGTAATAAAAATTTTTTTTTATTTAATTTTAATAAAATAATTAATTAAATAATTTTAAAAACGTTTTTTATTATTTAAAAATTAAAAAAATTAAACGAGGATTTTATTAAAATAAATTTATTTTTTAATAAATTTATCGCCTGGTTTTTATTTAAAAAATTAATTAAAATATTTAATATATTAATAATTAAATTAATTATTATAAAAGTTTAAACCGATTTATTTAAAATAAAAATTAAATAAATACGGTTTATAAAACGTAAAAAAATATATTTAAAATTAAATGAAAATTTTATTAATATTAAAAATATAATAAATAAAAAACGTTAATTATAAATTAAATTAAAAAAAATAAAAATAAATTTAAATAATTATAAATTAAATAAAAAATATGTAAATTAATTAAAAATTAAATTTATAAAAAATTATATTATTATTAAAGTTATTTAATTTAAAGTTAATTAAGTAAGTTTTCGTTAAATATTATAACTTTAAAGTAAGTATATTATTAAAATTATCATCAAAAATAAGAGTGGGGCGGACCTGGGTGGAACGTGGTGGGGTGGTTTAACTTATGTTAAACACTTTATTAACAAACATCCCGAGCGGTTCATTGTGAATTATGATTAAGCAAGGTCGGCAGCCTTATAGAACTACAAATTGGAGGAAGTCTTTATTCTAAGTAAGCTGCAGTTTATGGGTTTCACTTTAACTATTTTCTTATATTAACGGCGAAGTCCTGAAAATGAATGAGATGATCGGTTCTTGAAAAGGTGGTTATACAATCATAATAGCACAGAACAGATTTATAGATCATTATATAAATGAGGTTTCATCCATGTTATTCGTGATTTAGTTTTTAATAATCTCACATTGAAATGAATTCCAAGGACTAAGAACGCCTATCGACGAGAACTCAGTTGAGAATACGATACATTCAAAATGATTGGCCATATTAGTCAAGCTTTCAGTATGTTTGCGAAGTTCTTACCTGAGTACCTAGGATTTATCTAACTGTGTTAGAAAACGTCGACTTAAGATTCGTTGCGTATACTCTAATGGCGATCCTGTTGGCTTTTTATGGTAGGTGGTGTACGAAATCCACTGATAACCTCGCTTTATTGACACGGCAAGCCCTGGTCTTGACAGGTTGCTTATCTACTTCTCCAGTGGTCCCGGAACTTTTTCTGCTCAAATTACAAGCTAAAGGGCTGGAAGGGGTTGAGGTTAGAGTTGGATATTATGGTAAAAAAATCATTGCTGCTCTACTGCATATCGATGGCTAACTGGGGTTTATAGGGATGTGTGTAACCAAAGGAAAAAACGATGGCCTGACTTGCTTCGCAACATTTGCAAGAACGCCAGATACGCTCGACGGCATGTTTCTATCCGATTCAGGAGAAGTGGCTCAAGGAAATACCGCGAAAGTGCTTTTACTACAGGCCAATGTTATTCAGAACAAGATATTTTGCCCTCTTCTAGCCGTATCTGGTGGTTTATTTCTACTCAGTGTCATTTATATGCTGTTCCTCAAACGATACATTAAAGGCGATAATCAAAATGCATCAAAGAAGAAAGAGCGGTTCAAGTCCGGAATGCAATTCTTCAGGCAATATGCATTTGGTTTTGCAGTGGCAGCGGCATTCTCTACCACCCAAGCTACAGGCGCGTTGAAATATGCAACGACTACAATGGCCACCTCCGAATCAAGCATTATCTTCACCGGCGGAAAAGCTGTTCAAGGAATGCAGTGGACAATACTAGCTCTACTGTGCTTAGTTCATCTGGCGGTCTCGGCCATGTTCGACGGCGACGGCTGTGCAACTAAAGGGGATAATAGGCGTGGTGGAATATAAGGAGGAATAGGCAGAGGCTTTCCTCCCCTACGTGATCGAAGAGGAGGCGTACCACCACCTGTGTTCTAATTCACTTCAGTTTTCTTCAAGTTCGTAATAGGGAATTGGGGGTGGGGTTGGTGATACTTAGGACTTACATCTTGGAGTTGTGTATTGGACTACATACCTAGTATGGGAGGGATTACGGTCTTCAATGTGTTCCAGTTAACTGACTTATGTATTTCAACGGATGTATTTGTATAGCATCTGTAGTTTTCAAAATTTAAGTATTGCAAGTGAAGTGAAGTTATAATTGCCTGCCCAACTCAGATAATTGTAGCTAGTACAGAAATAGCTTTGCTATATCTTGTTATATCATATAATCCTTCGAAATCCTCCGGAATAGTTACAATGCTTTAAGAAAGTCAATATTTCACTAAATGAGTCGGCCAAGATCGATGTTGGACTTATAAGACGAGTCTAGCGTTTGGGATGTCATTACTCAGGCTTGGGCTATATAAGACGACAATTGATATATAATTATATGTTGGAGTAAGCAGTTGAGATATCAGATTTACCGATAACATGGTTTCTTCTTACTAGCAAAACCCAATAGGCACCTACATCTGGATATGAATATTTAATACCTGATTCTAATTATAGCATCCTATTCACGATATAGGTAGTTCCTTGTTGATGTTGGTCCGATATATCAACAACTCCTAGTAGGAATACATCATATTTAGCTCCTCTACAGTCTTGTCTCACCCTTGGATGTCTAGTCCAACTTCTACCATATAAACCTTTTGAAGCCTTTATTGCCAAGCTTTTCTGCTAATCTTTATTCGCTAACAAGTTCTTTGTTTTACAGTTTAATAGCCTTTCTGCTATGTCTATCGACAAACTTGTAAATAATACACTGAAGGCTTTATGCACAATCTGACTGTCTATAAACCATGGATCAATGCTATCCTTTTATAAATTACAAAGAAAGAAACGTCATAATCGTCGTAATCTTTCAAAATATTGAAAACATTGCTACATGTACTCTAAAACCGCCATTCACATAAAGTTTTAGTTTGGTAAGATACATTCAGTTCGATCTTTCTTTACACATTATGGCTCCAATTTTCAATTTTGAAGATATCTCATACTCAACCAAAAGTTTATGTTGGTTAAGTTCTTTTGCCTGCTCAAAACTAGCAGTGAGAGATAATTCAACGCGCTCGTCGTTTGCTTGGCCCCCTGAAGGGAATAGTCTTGCTCCTTGGATAGCAATATTCGTTTGCGTACCCGCTGGCTTGGTCCTTCTATTATGGGCGATCTGGGAATGTTGCCAACGGAGAAAGCAATCTGAGTAAGTGCAAATTAATGGGATAGTTGGCATAGCAAGACTGACAAGAAGTAGCTACGTGAAGAATATAAGCAGTAGACTGATGCTTAGGTCGTTAGTTACGATGGCGTACGAATAGATTGAAAACGAAATAATAGTTTGTTACTCTTAAGTGATCTAATTGTTTGACGCATGGCTCGGATGTCGCGAGGACACCCATTGTACGAAGTCGATGAGATGATTGATTTGATCTTCGTATGGAATCCACATACAGATATGCTGGGAGAAGTAAGATATCCCTCTATTGACTCCATACCAGACTGTTGGTGACGTGTCCCTGAACTTCGTTTCAATATACCGATCATCAAAGGAAAGGAAAGCAAGATCAACGCGTCGGTATGTTATGTAGATGATCAAGTGGTAATTAACGTTCCATAGATCAGCCCTTCATACTTAGAATCAATTCCTTGCTGTGACTTTAGTGCTTTGCGGCTATCCCTAGAATGTTGATCATCCCAACCCTCCACGCAGGTGTTGTGAGACATAGTGCAGAATCGTGAGTCAACCCAATCTGAATTTCGCAAGTTAAGGGACGGCAGGCATGCAATGACTTAAACTTCCCCTTTCTCGCGTAATGGCTTCCCTTGAGCCATCCGGATACAAAAGCCCTCGAACTCGTCCCTGAGAAGTGAGTTGACATTCGCCCAGCATCACCAATCAAGCTTCTAGTCACTCCTTTACAGTCACTCATTAAGTTTTACATTATCACCAACACCTCTTTCTTCCCAACTCTTTTTATCAACAACCCCCAATCACAGTCAAAATGCAGCAACGCCAACTCCTCGCTCTTATCTCCCTGCTTGCCGCAGCGGCTAACACTGCTCCCGTCGGCACCCCACCAGCCGTCAGCGCTCTCGGCCCCGTGGCCAGCGACATGATCGAGAATACCGCGCGCAACCTCTTGCCTCGTGCCGGCCCCGAAGCCGTCGCCGGCGGCGTAATCGAGGGCCAGCGTGGTGCTGAGCACTCCGCCGAAGCAGAGCAAGAGGCGCAGAGACACGGGCAGCACGCCGAGGGCGCCGAGCAAGGCGCCGCAGGCGGCAGCCAGCACGCAGCGGAGGAAAGCCAGGGCGCCGCCCTCGAGGCCCAGCACAAGGCGAAGCAAGGACAGGAGGCCAGCAATGAGGGCGACCACTCGTACGAGCAGGGCCAGGCGGCGCAGAGCCAAGGCCAGCACGCGGCCGAGGAGGACCACCGGTACAACGAGCACGGCAGCGGGGGCAAGAACGCGGGCAGTTTCGGAGCGAACCGTGGAGCCTCCAAGGAGGGCATTGCGTACAACAACAAGGATGGGGCTAAGAGCGGCGACAGGTTCGCCCACGACAAATCCGACGGCTTCCACGCTGCGGCTGAAGGTTCCAAGGAGGCTTCCGAAGGGTCCGAGGCCAAGGGCCAGGGCCACAGGATGGCTCAGGAGTCTTCCAAAGCGTCGGAGCAGGATTCCAAATCTGCCATCGAAGGGTCCCAGGGCAAGCAGGAAGGCTCCATGGGTGGCGCCGAGGGATCGAGGGCCGGTCGAGAGGGCTCCATGGATGAGTCCGAGGCTTCTAGGGCTAAGGACCAGGGTGCTGCAGGAGAGCAGGGCTTCGGTGCTTTCTTCAAGGGTCTAGGTCTGGGAAACTAGATGTAAGGCTCCTCAATACCCAATATTCCTATCTCGTGCTATAGCTAACCTCCTTTCCATAGAATAGGAAATCGCAATTGCCTCATAGTGCGCTATTAAGCAGATTGGCACCAAGTTAGCACGCTATATGAGACATAGGTAGTATGGGATGACAGATTGAAATCATGTAAGAGTTGCATAGCCGTGGCAAAGACGGGAAGTTACGGGTTGTTTAGGTAGTGTTCTGCTTTATCTCGGTCATGTTCCAGTTTTTTATGTATTAATACCTAACGAATTGATTGTTTCATCGTCACTATACCAGCTGATGACAACATGTATGGACCTGTGATCATGTTGTTCACTCTCAGAATACGTGTGGTGGTACTAGCATCTCCTTCCCTCCATGGATCCGGAAATTCGAGTAATATCTCTATACAACAGCGTTTATAGATCACAATTTCATGATAAACAATATCAGTAACCAAGCAATTAATATAAGTATATATACCTAATTCAAGTCCATCTCTTGTATATCTACGCATTCATTCGGTCTGCAGCTATCAATATAATACTCTAGCCGGTCTATGGTAAAGGACCAGAACGCCTCTTTGACAACCCCTGAACAATTATATCTTCAAATCAGGAACCCCTACGACCGAGAATTGCCTCGTCTGGGCCTCGGTGACTTGTAACCAATTGGTTTGTAGTAGTGTTCTCGTCATGGGATACCCAGTCAAGTAATCTTGGCGACGATAACTTTACGTAGTGTTGGATATTGCGGAAACTATTATACAACAACTTCGATAATATAAAGATAAATTAGAATATCCTGTTTACGGGCTGATAATAACGCATTATCCTTATTGCGTAATAGTGTCGAGATCAGCTCCTTTTTCGAAACTTACCCCGAATCTCTACCAACCAAAGTTCCGCCGAAATCCTTGCTAGACTCATGTGGACCTACCCCCTAGATCTCGGAATTGCTGCCCGAGGGTCAAGTCGCTCGGGACACGTGCGCCGCGTCGTAATTATACGAGGCATCTTGGAAGATGACGATGGGCCCACAGGGACCTCGTCGGTGACGTCCTAGGGCCCATGATAGCCTCGTATGGGCGTATATATATTTGGACGTTACCCCAGATTATTAGCACCTTCCCCGCACTCTTCTTCTCCGCATCCTCCAGTTTGGCGCTCTACTATCGAAGTTCTAAAGGAAAGTAGAGATTTTATTTTTCTTGGCGCCATAGCAGTAGTCCTACGTGGAACCCAACCACATCTAAGATGTCTGCGGATTCCGATATGGAGGCCAAGGTGGCCAACCCACAGGCCGACTCGCAACATGTCGAGTCTACTAAAGCTGTTCAAAGCGAGAGGCCTGTCTGGGAGGAGAGAGAAACGTATGGCAAAGCAGGTATGGCAACTATTCACATTTCTTGGCTGTGATGTTCGGTTTATTCGCGTGTGTTGCTAACATCATGAATAGGATTCCTCGGCATCTTTACCAACAAATATGTCACCCTGTGTGCAGCCTTTGCCACCATTGGTGGCGCCTTATTCGGTTACGATCAAGGTGTCATCTCTCTTACGCTTGTTATGGACCAATTTATCGAGAAGTTTCCCGAAGTCAGCGCCGACGCTGCCGGTGGTGGTTTCAAGAAGGGCCTTCTCACTGCGATGATTGAGCTTGGTGCCTTTCTAGGCGCTATGAACCAAGGTTGGATTGCTGATAAGTTATCGCGTAAATGGTCTATCTTGGTGGCAGTTGTCATCTTTATCATCGGTTCCACCATCCAAACGGCTTCAATGAACTATAGCATGCTCGTCGGTGGCCGCTTCGTGGGCGGAATCGGCATTGGTATGTTGGCTATGGTCGCGCCGCTCTACATTTCTGAGATCGCGCCTCCCGAGATTCGTGGCACGTTGCTTGTGCTTCAGGAGCTTTCCATTGTCACAGCTATTGTTGCTGCTTTCTACACGACCTATGGAACTAGATACATCCCCAGCGAGTGGTCTTGGCGACTTCCGTTCCTGATCCAGGTGAGTTACGCTTCGCTTACTTTAACTTGGCGCCTTTTTTGTTGATGGGGCCTCGCTTTGCAGATGATCCCCGCCTTCTTCCTGGGTGCCGGTGTCCCATTTCTCCCTTACTCTCCCCGATGGCTCGCATCGAAGGGCCGTAACGAGGAGTCTCTCCAAGTACTCTGCAAGCTTCGAGGAGTCCCAGCCACCGATGAACGTGTTCTACGAGAATGGTTCGAAATCCGATCCGAGGTCCTGTATTGCAAAGAGCGTAGCCAGGAAACCCACCCCAAATTACACGATGGTAGCCTGCTAAACCGCTTCAAACTACACATCGTCGACTACACCGACTGCTTCCGCCCGGGTGCCTGGAAGAGGACCCACGTCGGCATTGGGCTTATGTTCTTCCAACGTGAGTAGATCCATAAAATCCATCCTCTCACTTTATAGTAGTCGTTCATCATTACTTACGATTTTTGAAACAGAATTCGGCGGTGTAAATGCACTCATCTACTATTCCCCAACCCTTTTCGGCACGATGGGACTCGACACCCAAATGCAAATCGATATGTCCGGTGTTCTCAACATTTGCCAAATGATTGCTTGCTTCTGGTCGCTTTGGGGTATGGATAGGTTCGGTCGACGAGCACTGCTGTTAGGTGGCGCAACCTGTATGGTCATCGCCCATCTCATCATCGCTGTATTGGTCGGCAAGTACCAGACGAGTTGGGCAACTCACAAGACTGAGGGCTGGGTCTCAGTGGCCATGCTTCTTTTCTTCATGTTGACATACGGTGCTACATGGGGTCCTATCCCTTGGGCTATGCCTGCTGAGATCTTCCCTTCGTCTTTGCGATCAAAGGGAGTGGCCTTCTCTACGATGTCGAACTGGCTCAACAACTTCGTTATTGGTCTCATCACACCTCCTTTGGTACAGAATACCGGCTTCGGAACTTACATCTTCTTCTGCGTCTTCTGCCTGCTCGCCTTTGTCTGGGTTTACTTCGTGGTCCCCGAAACAAATGGTCGCACTCTCGAACAGATGGATCACGTCTTCCACGACAACACTGGTTCAGTGGAAGCGGCCCGCCGTGCTCGTATCGAGACAGAGCTTGCAAGCTCGGTTTGGGTTGATGGTATCCCCGGAAACGGTATGGCCAACTCAACGGGTCACGTATAGTCACGATGGGGAGCGAGTGTATGAACGGATGGGAGGGGCTGGCCTTGTTTCCGTCCAAGGTATCTTAACTAGCGCGATTCAATAGCTAGTGATTAGAAGGTAGAAATACTACTTGTAGATTAGACACACTATATCAAACGTCTCAATAAATAGAAGGTACATGGTTTTAAACAACCTTGTTTGTCTTGTGCTACATGTAGTTTGTAACAGCAATGATCTGGATCATAAAATGGGTGCTCCCGGTCGATCGGAGTCGATCTTTTGTGGACATTTGAGTCCGATCCCTGGTTGGCTGCCGACTGGCGCCAGTCAAAGAGACGAGCGAAATGCTCACTCCTCTGGAATCCTCCCAGTCCTCCGTACCTAGTAAGCGCAGAATTGATACCTGGTCAAATATGGGCAATGGAGTTCATCGACCAAGCTATATGAAATGCGTGTTTCATTCTTCCATGCTCATGTGCTAGCTGAGAATTTCGCTTCGTAGATTTCTTCTTGATGATAAATCGTTGTTATCTAATTTTCAAAGGGTTCCAAGCAGCCATCGTCTTTGGTGACATGACGTGAGCTAGGACGAGTTCGATCTAGGTAACCCTATCGCAAAAGTCAAGTTCACGAGTGTCAAGCGAAGATAAAGATATTAATCATGTGTTCAAAAATGGTATATTCTATATTTGAGTGTTCACTGCACTATGTAATTTCTATGCCCTAGCGTTCACTAGGGTCTTGTAACCTGCCGGCGTGAATACCGCCCGTAATCAGAATGTCGTCTGATGTGTGGTAGGCGCTGGCCTCCGATAGGAGATAAACCACTGGGACCTTCAGGTCGGCACGGTCGCCCATGCGCCTCATGGGCGGCTCATTATTCATAATGTCTCCCAGCCACGGGAAGCGGGTGCACTGATCTATCGTCATGTCTGTGACCATGTATCTGTTTTCGGATATCTTATCAGAGATTTGTTCCATGTACGCGGTGGACTAGAATCACTTACCCAGGCGAGATGCTGTTCACGCGGATGCCCTTGGATGCTAACTCCACACCTAGTGCCTTGGCCAACGCTACCACGGCACCCTTGCTAGAGCAGTAGTCGCTGGTGTTCTGGCCCTTGCTGGCTACGTGGGCAGCGATGGAAGCAATGAAGACGATGGACCCTCCTCGGGGGTTGAAGTCGGTCGGCTCTTGCTTTGCCATCTGAATTGCTGCCAACTGCGCTGCATAGTACGTCCCCAGCGTATTGATGTTGAAGGACCGAGCAACAGACTCGGGCTTGCGTTCCAAAAACGACTCGTCTACGCAGATACCTGCTGCGGTAACCCTGTAGTTGTGTAAGCACAGATGCTACCTTAGTTGGTAGTTGGTAGGCACTTTGAACTTACAAGCCGTCGATACGTCCAAAGTCTTGGACCACCTTATCAAAGACCCCCTTGAGTTGCTCATAGTTCGTCACGTCGGCCCTGTTTAGCGAGTCCATCTGTCAGCCGATAATGCCCTAATATGGAAAGGGTCAAGATGAAAATGTCCCATTCCCCACCCCTAGCGGCTCTCTTGGCACGTACTTCAGGGGGGAAGGGGGCTAACTTGCACCCTAGCCATTCACGTTCTTCAGACTTACTTGTAAAGCTCCACCTTAACACCATACTCTTTTTGGATCTTGTAGAAGTGGTCGTGGGGTTTGTCAAGGAGATCAAGCACCGCCACATTGCCACCAACCTCTGCGACGGCAAGGGCAAAGGCTAAGCCCAAGCCACGAGCACCACCAGTGATGACTATCGTACGTCCCTTCAGCGAGAGCAGGTCCTGCACTGAGTGGCGCAAGTAGTTGTCGGGGTCTATGGGTTTACGCGCTGGAGTGGCCATCTTCTCGGTTGGTTCGGGTGGCGAAGCTTGGGGGTAGAAGAAACAGGTTTATGTAGGTTGGTCGTGGAAAACAATCATGGGCAGACCGAAGATGGTGAACAGGAAGCCCTACTAATAATGAAAAGTCCATGACCGTAAAACCCTCGTGCACTGGGTCTGGACATTCGGGCTCACGGCCGGCCATGATGGGACACACACCGTTAACGGCGGCGGGGTCACGAGGATTACTACTTCACGCTGTGGGCGAGCTAGCCTAGGCACATCCTCCGGTCGCGACGCGGATTGATTTCCAGCCGCTAATGAGACATCGTCCATCGCCCACCCTCATTACCCCGTACTAGCTAACCTATTTGGGAACCCCCTGGGGCTCCGGGTTCCAAGACCCGCTACGCCCCCATCTCCATCCCACACATGAGAATGTACTGTGTGAGGCTCCAGAAGTGGAGCAAATGAAGACAGTTGCCTCCAAGGTTCTCTGTCGTAGTCACCTGGAATACAATCACATAATCTAGACTCGCGTCCTTTTCCTTAGGTATCTTCTAGGAGCCAAAAAAACCCCTTCTTTACCCTCACTCGAAGCCCTCTTGTATTTATCATCGAGCGAAGAACTTTTCATAAATAGTACTTCTTTTTAGCAATTTATTGCACTTTATTACCTTAATTGAGGGATGAGTTTTTCCTCGATCTGGGAATAAGTACATGGCGACGGGAATAGGGGTGGGTAGCGGATTTCCCAGTCCGATGACTGCTGACCAATAGGAATTTGCATTTAGACCAATTAGGAAATTAGATCGTCAATCCCAGGTGGTACATCCTAGGTCACGGAATTAATGGCCGCTTTCTGGAAGCTGGAATGGAATTTCCAACGCGCCTCTAATGAAACGTGCCTTGCGGGATGACGAACTGCCTTGCGATGATCGGTGTCTTTCTGTCTATACATGAGACTAGATTCTGGGATATCGGAATAGACTGCAATTTTTACGAAACTATCATCATCGCTGCGAGCATGCTCGCCCCGTAATATAATAGAACATCTCTGCAGATAAAAATCGCCATGTAGTTTGTATGTTCCTAAAATCTTAGTAAAGATCATATGCCTAAGAAAGATCAAAATGCCTTCAACAGACCCCTCTCCCGCTTCTCATTCCCTTACGAATGGCGATACTAAGGGTCTTAAAGTTAGCAATGCTCAAATCAAAGGCTGGAGAGAGCAGCTCAACGACGACGATTACGCCGTGCTTGCATTGCGCAACCTAATATTCGACATATGTCATCAGAATAGTGGCGGCCATGGCGGTTCAGCCATTGGCATGGCCGCCATTGGTGTTGCACTTTACAAGTACGTGATGCGCTACAACCCCTCAAATCCAGACTGGTTCGACCGCGATCGGTTTGTTCTCTCGAACGGTAAGTAGAGGCTTTCTCGTAAGTCGTAAGTTACGCATGATCTGACCGTCCTTGTTCACAGGCCATGCCGCCATGTTCCTATACGCCTTAAATCATCTGACCGGCTTCGACAACTGGACGATGGACGAGATCAAAGGTTATGGCAGTGCCAAGACGGACGGTTATAAGACAATATGCCATGCGCATCCCGAGATCGAGGTCCCCGGCGTAGAAGTTACGACAGGACCTTTAGGCCAAGGGATTGCGAATGCTGTCGGTCTTGCCATCGCTTCTAAGAACCTCGCCGCACGCTATAACCGCCCCGGGCATGATATCGTCAAGTCGCGGATTTACGCCATGTGCGGAGACGGTTGCCTTATGGAGGGCGTCGCTTTGGAAGCCATTTCGTTAGCTGGTAGCTTACAACTCGACAACTTGGTGGTCCTCTATGATAATAACCAGGTTACCTGTGATGGTCCACTCGACTGGATCAACACGGAAGACGTCAATGCTAAGATGAGAGCGAGCAATTGGCACGTGCTTGAGGTTGCGGATGGGAACTACGACGTACAAGCTATAGTCTCGGCCCTTAACTACGCAAAGGTACTCAAAGGCAAGCCCGTGTTCATCAATATCCGCACCGTCATCGGTCTAGGAACATCAGTTGCCGGCACGTACAAGGCGCACCATGGCGTCTTCGACAAGGAGAGTGTTGAGATCTCTAAGCGGCTCGCGGGACAAGATCCGTCTGTGACGCACGTCGTTCCTCCGAATTCCCTAGCATACTTCAGAGAGCGGAAATTCCACGGAGAGTCACTCGAAAAATCGTGGAATACTCTCCTAACCGAATATGCATCTGACTATCCTGACCTGGCTGCGTCCTTAACCAAGGCTAGAAAGGGAGATAATGGAACGGAATGGCTCGATATATTGAAGGGGATCGACAGCACGCAGTTCCAAGGGAAGGCCACCCGTGATGCAAACGGTGTCTTGATCGACAAGATCTGGAAAGCACACCCAGCGCTATGCGGAGGCGGCGCAGATTTGGTGAACTCCAACAAGGTGTCTTACTCCCCTGAAGACGTATTCCACCCAACGGTCGGCTATGCGGGTCGTTACATTCGATACGGTATCCGAGAACACGCGATGGCGGCGATCTCAAACGGTATCGCCGCCTATAACCCGGGCACCTTCTTGCCCATTACCGCCACATTTTTACTCTTCTACATATATGTAAGACTTGCACTCCGTCTTTCGTTCTTCATCTGCTGACATCATTGACTTGCCAGGCCGCACCGGGTGTCCGAATGGGCGCTTTGAGCCATCTACCTGTGATTCACTTCGCGACGCACGACTCCTTCGCAGAAGGCCAGAACGGACCGACACACCAGCCTGTCGAAGTAGACTCGCTCTATCGCGCCATGCCAAACTTGACGTACATCAGACCCGCCGATGGCGAAGAAGTCATTGGCGCGTGGATATTGGCCATGTCTAAGCGTGACGGACCCACACTATTGTCTCTCGGCCGAGACCCTGTCGGACACGTGCCCTCAACGAACCGCTATAATGTTGCCAAGGGCGCCTACGTGGTAGTCGACGTACCTGACCACAAGCTCACGCTAGCTAGCGCTGGCACGAACCTGCACTACGCGGTCGCGGCGGCCGAGTCGTTCACCAAATCTGGCATTCCTACCCGCGTGGTCAGCGCGCCTAGCTTCGAGCACTTCGACAAGCAAGACGCGGAATACCGCAACAGCGTTTTCCCTCTAGATGGAACCCCCATCGTTAGCGTGGAAGAATACGTAGCCACGACGTGGGCGCGATACGTGACGGCAAGTGCCGGCATGACGACGTATGGATACTCGGCATCCAACGCGAGCAACTATGACCGCTTTGGCCTAGATGCCAAGGGCATTGAGAGGAGGGTGCGGAAGTATCTCGAGGATCTAAATGGCGCCAACGCTAGACAAGCGGGCTGGCGGCAAATTTAGGGAGTTTCACTCGGACTCGGCTCTATTTACTGTAATTAATTAGAAGTAGGTAAAAATTCATGGGAACATTATGTAATTCAAGTTCGTCGTTTTGATTTCTGTGATTGCAAGGCACTACGTGAGAAGATTCGCATGGTGATTGGTGTTGTATTTCTTGAGTTCGAAATTTGGAATCTACAACAGGAATGATCCACTTATTCCCTCAATTATGTCAGCACGCTCACAGAAGCTGCAATGGCAACGGCCCCGAAGGACACTAACCTCCACGGAATTTTTAACTCTCATTGGCTAGATTTATCATCATCCCCTGAAGATCACTGTACAACGCCCTTTAATGCCCTAAGTTGATCCGATACTAGGTATCCTTATGGTCATCAGGGTTCACTCAAAAATTTCACATTTATAGCCAACCTTATGCGCGGATTTTTACTCTATTCAACTATAAATATCAACTACTAGAAATTTATTGTAGTCTTGACAACCAATGTGCCATTGCTATCGGTGGTTTTGCCAGCTGTCTTGAAAGCTTCTTCAACAGTGTCCAATCCATTGAACCGATGAGTGATCAGCTTCCGAATGTCTGGAAGCTTCGCTCCTCCTACTGGGGATCCGCTCACCGATGCGGCTGCGATCTCGATGGCTTTCGGGTATGCGTTTGCGTAACGCCAGCTTGGAATCAAAGTGATTTCGCGGGGCGTTGCTTCGGATATAGGAAGGACGTGGTTTGGCACGCCTAGGCCGATTAATACTACCGCACCTCCGGAGACGGTTGCCTGCATAGGAGAGGTTAGAAACGTTGATCTCATGCATAACCAATGAAAAATCGAAAAAAAGGAAAAAGAAAGAGGAAAACTGACATATATAGATGCTTGCAAACAAGACTCGGCTCCGGTGCATTCGAATGTAACGGATGGTCTGTCCACTGGCTTTCCGTCAGGCCAGTGCAAGTCGGTAATCTGGGCTGCCGTGTCCTTTGCTATCTCCAACTTCTCTTCTGTCGTCGCACCTCTTCTGGGCTTAACTGCAACCTTAAACGTGGCAAATCCATTGTCCGTGGCAAACTTCAAGCGGCCCTCGTCGATATCCGCCATGATGATGGTCTTGTACCCGGCAACCTGGGCCGCTACGGAGACCAGCAACCCCACGGCGCCAGCACCAAATATCAAGGCAGTGCCTTGTGTAGTAGGTAAAGCGACCTTCTCTGCCCGCCGCACCGCGTGGGCTGCGACCGCCAGTGGCTCCAGTAGAGCTCCGGTTTCGTAGTCCAACTCGGACGGCAGCTTATGCACCCACTTCACAGGGTGGTTGATGCGTTCTTGCAGCGTGCCCTGGTAGTGAGGGAACTTGGAGCCGGAGCTTCGAAACCGCAAGCTTGGACAGATATTGTAGGTCTGGGACTTGCAATATTCACAATCGCCACATGCGACACCGCACTCTACAGCTACCTTGTCGCCAACATGTAGGTCCGGGTTTATGGAAGCCACCTGCGAGCCTATGGCGGTAACCTCGCCGGCGGACTCGTGTCCGAGGGCCAGCGGCTCTCGTACGAGGATCGAGCCATTGCGGAAACTGGAATAGTAATGAAGGTCGGAGCCGCAAAGAGTAGTAGAACGGATGGCGATCTGGACTTCGTCGGCCCCCAATGGGGGGACGTCTCTCGTCTCGAGCCTGAGGTCCTGGGCACCGTGTAGATACTGGCCCGCGCTCTTAGCTGCTACAGACATGGTGATGATGATGATGATGATGATGCAAGTGACGGTTACTAATGATTCTCTACTTGAGCTAGTCTTGCTTAAAATGAGAGTATACGTAGCCTATTTAAGTGGTGCATTGCTACGAGACTTTTCGAGCCTGCGTGTACTTACCTGCCTACGTCAGGTGCTGATTTTTTCAACTTCAGTCCATGATACTGGTCATATTTTCCAAGCGCCGTCGCGACTGAATCCGAAAGTCGCAAGTGCTATTGGAAATTGCCATTTACTTTAGTCAGGTACCCCGGCTCGGCCATCGATGACGAACTAGGTTAGTGGGCTTGACGATCCGGGCCACAGGTTCGGGCACTCAATTCCGAAGCTACAGATTCCACCCTCAGCAGTTCTTGCGGGCACACATGTCGGAAGTATCGACCGCTGATTGACTTATCCGATCATTCGATGCTCATTGTGACAGCGGGCAATGAAAATATTGATGTGGGAAAAGATCCCTGGGGTCCGGGGTAGGCCAACCCCAAGTCCAACCTAGTCAAATTCGCCACGGCAAGCTGTAAAGTGGTGAAATTTATCGTGACTTGTACTTCGTGTCTTTCTCCACGAGGCCATCTGTCGAAGGTATAACTTCCCTCGCTGCTTCATCGTCAATCCTGAGCTCTCCTCTGCTCACATTCAAACTTTGACATTCATCCCTCGAGACATCGCTACATTATACCCAAGCGACGAAGGATTCAATATGCCAGAGTACACGAAAGACATTAATGCCATAGTCGTAGGCGCCGGCCCTGCCGGCATTGCTATGGCATACCGGTTGAAGCATGACCTTGGATTTGACAACTTCACGGTTTATGATAAGCTAGATGGTGTTGGTGGCACTTGGATGGCGAACACCTACCCAGGGTGGTGAGTGCAAGCTCCTATTACCTTAAAACGTTACAATTATCTAACCGAGCTTCAAATTCAGTGGTTGCGATCTCAAGTCACACCTTTACTCCTTCAGCTTCAACTTAAATCCGAATTGGTCGAAGGAGCTTTGCGAGCAACCCGAGATTCTACAATGTGAGTATAGTGGCAGATAACTTCAAGGCCTACAAGCTAACTTGGTGATCACAGACATGAACGACACAGTGGACAAGTTTGACCTACGCAAGCACATCCAAACCTCAGTCGAGTGTACGGGGGCTGTATGGCACGATGATCTGTCTAAGTGGGAAGTCAACCTCAAAAATAACATAACCGGCATCGAGTATACGCGCTTCGCTACCATGTTCATATCCGCCGTCGGCGCCATCTCCTTCCCCCGCGACGTTAAATTCAACGGCATGGAGAACTTCAAGGGTCCCATGTTCCACACTGCCCGGTGGGATCACAGCGTTGACTACAAGAACAAGCGTGTCGCCGTCATCGGCAACGGATGCAGTGCCGCCCAAGTTGTGCCGGCCCTTGCTAAGGATGCTGCCTTCGTCAAACAATACGCGCGAAGCGGTCAATGGTTCCACGCTCGGCCGAATCGCGATTATACCGCGTTAGACAAGGCTATCTTCAAATATCTGCCCTTACGCCAGCGTTTACTGCGCCTGAAGATTTTCTTGGACGCGGACGAGGAGACGACGACATATTTCCCCACGCCCCGGGGACTGAAGATGCGTGCCCAAGTTGAAGAGGAGTCGCGGAAATACATTAAGTCCATTGCGCCCGAGAAGTACTGGAAGTCTATCATTCCCAACTTCCCGCTAGGATGCAAACGCCGCATCTTCGACCCCGGCTACCTCGAGAGCCTCAACCTTCCTAACGTTGAACTCCTCCCGGAGGGTATCAAAGAGATGACAGAGACGGGTATCATTAGCAGCTCCGGCATTAAAGACGACTTCGATATCATTGTCCTCGCGACGGGCTTCCAAGTATCGCAGTTCCTGACGCCGATGCACATCGTCGGCAAGACCGGCAAGGCGCTGCACGACCAATGGAGGGAATGCCGCGGCGCCCAGGCATATCTGGGGACCTTCGTGCACAATTTCCCCAACCTAGCTATCCTATTCGGACCCAACACGTTCCCGGCGAATAACTCCGCGCTGTTCGCGTGCGAGACCCAAGTAGACTACGCTGTCAAGGCGCTGATCAAGCCGGTTCTCGACCACCGCGCCGACGTCATCGAAGTGAAGCAGGCGTACGAAGACGCGGAGACTAATGCCATCCACCAGGAACTTACAAACACAGTCTTCTCCGGCGACTGCTCCAACTGGTACATCGGCGACTTCGGTCGCAACGCGGCGTCCTGGCCGGGTCTAGCCAGATCATACTGGTTCCGAACCTACTTCCCTGACTGGAAGGCGTTTATCTTCACCGGCGGCAGCCCCTGGTGGCCATTCTACTCAGCCTGGAGGAACGTGACGACGTTGTCGCCGCTGACGAAAGCATTAGTTGTTGTAGGCGCATTTGTGCTCCTGAGCGGGAATAGCAACGTAGTCAAGGGCCAATCAGCGGCGGCCTACCAACTGCTATTGAAGAATTTACAGCCGGTGACGTTGCTGAAATGAAAATGCATCTTGTTTTCTTAGCTTTATATTATAGTAGTAAAAAAATCCACTTAAATAATGAATTTAAATGCGACTTTTAAAAACTTCCGCTGCCTATGCTATGTCTTCATGATCGAGGGGTTTGTTCGATGTGCTCAAAACCTCAAGGGTTCCAACTACGTCATTAGATTATAGACCCCTAAATTCTACTATACTGACTGGGCCTTGAGAAAAAGGGGACCAGCACGGGTTTTGCAAAGTCCCACTTTATACAGAGACGCGACGCACTCAATCAAAAGCTGCAGCACTATTCCGTAGAGCAGCGATGTTGAAACAAAGGATCTAGATCAGGGCGGGGATACAAAAGGGGGTTCGGACATATTCACGGTGGCCTGTGTGGCGTTGAGAGTCACGAGAACTTACACAGTAATGGGGCAGCGGGGAAATGGGTTCGGAAGAGGGGAAACCCCACTTATTCCCCAAGTTACGTAACCGCTCCCATGTATTCGGACCGTGTCTTCCCCGCACGGTGACCTCATGTAATGTGGGCACGTATATAACCCCGCAGTATTGAGAGTGGTGGGTCGTGGTCGGAAAATGACTTCCATCGGATGCCTTTCCCGTATTGTCACCTCAACCCCTCTTAGTAAACTAACGCGATTCTCTCCTCACCCCTCTAAATATGTCGTGACCGAAGTCGGATTCACGCGAGAGTAAGACTCTAATGCCCGATAAATGAGACCGACACGGGTCGCGGATGGCCACGGGCTGATTCGCGGCGAACAATTCGCATCGAGTATCGGATTTATGTAGGCAAATTGCCATCGAACACATGACTGCACTCTATTATAAGTACCTCAAGCCGTGTGCTGCTAGGATTGATAGGTATAGATACTTCATAATCGAGTTAAAATATTGAATTAGTAATATCAATTGATCTCTTGTTCACTGACGCAAACATGGGTTCTACTGACGGTTCAGAATATCACAAGGAGGCTCTCCGTAATGTAAGTTCTTCTAACCACGAAGCCGTGCTTTTCAATGGCTGCTCATGGCATTGACTACCCCCCTGACGATCGAAATGGCTGACCAGACTCGCGTCTACACAGCTCAAGGATCCCAGCCTGTTCATCCAAAATGCGTTCATTGATGGAGAATGGGTCTCCAAAGACAAGAAGTTCGACGTATACGGTTCGCACGGGACTTCCATCTCAGCCGTACCTAAAGCTAATTACCAGTAGAACCCTCAACCGGCACTGTCTTAGGCCAGGTGGCCGACGGCAGCCTTGAGGACTTCCAGAAAGCTATTCAGAGCGCGAACGAAGCACAACCGAAGTTCTTCGCCGAAACAACAGCCACACAACGAGGAGCGTTGTTGCGCAAATGGTACGATTTGATCGTCAAGCATCAAGAAGACAGTAGGCGAGCCCCTTTCCTCCGCTTTCCCCCTTAGCCATGACGAAGTCGGCGAATTCTAAACAGAGGCTAATTTTCGATCAATTTAGTCGCGACAATCCTTAGTCTCGAAAACGGAAAGACATTCGGGGAGGCAAGGGGTGAGGTAGTGTACGCTGCCAGCTTCATCGCCTGGTTCGCGGAAGAGGCCACTCGAGCCTATGGTGTCACGATCCCTTCGTCAACCCCCAATACCCAACTAATAACAATCCGCGAACCCCTCGGCGTGTGCGGCATCATTACGCCATGGAATTTCCCGGCTGCCATGATCACGCGAAAAATCGGTCCCGCGCTCGCCGCCGGAAACTCAGTCGTAATCAAGCCTCCCAGCGAGACGCCTTACACGGCGTTGGCGTTGACGAAACTTGCCGTAGAGGCCGGTCTCCCACCGAAAACAATCCAAGTGGTGCCCACAAAGAACCGCCAGGCTGCCACGGAGCTAGCGACGAACCCGCTCGTTAAGAAGATCAGCTTCACTGGATCGACGGGCGTGGGGAAGATGCTGGCGAAGCTGGCGACAGGGACCTTGAAGAAGGTCAGCTTGGAACTCGGTGGTAATGCGCCGTTTATTGTCTTCAATGACGCGGATCTTGACCTCGCCGTCGAGGGTGCCATGTTCTGCAAGTTCCGATGTTCTGGTCAAACGTGTGTCTGGTATGTTGGCTCCCATCTTCCAAGTGTCTGCTATACCGGGGAAGATACTAATATTCGATCTTCACAGCGCGAATCGATTATATGTCCAAAAAGGTATCGCCAAAGATTTCACGGCCAAGCTCGTTCAGAAAGTCGCCGCTCTTCAAGTCGGTGCAGGTCTAAGCTCCGCCACCACCCAGGGACCACTGGTGAACAAATCTGCGGTAGACAAGGTCACTGAGCACGTAACGGACGCCGTCTCGAAGGGTGCCAAGATCGAGATTGGTGGTAAGACCCCGGGATCGGCAGGGTTTTTCTATGAGCCCACGGTGCTCTCCGGCGTCACTCCAGACTCGCTAGTTAGCAAGGACGAGACCTTTGGCCCTCTCGCCCCGGTATTTGAGTTTGAAACCGAGGAGGATGCGATAAAACTCGCGAACGACACAGAGTTTGGCCTTGCGGGCTACTTTTTCTCCAAAGATATTGGACGCGCGATGCGGGTTGCGCAGCGGCTCCAGGTGGGGATGGTGGGTGTCAACACAGGCAAGATCAGCGCGGCAGAGGCGCCGTTTGGAGGTGTCAAGGAGAGTGGTTATGGAAAGGAGGGCAGTCTTTACGGGCTCGAGGAATACCAGGTTATCAAGAGCATTACCTTCGGGAACTTGGACGTCTAAACTACGTAAACTAATTACTGTATTCGGTTTGAGGAGGCCAAAAAACTACGCAATGTAAATTAGAAGTTAAACCTACCCCAAAACTTGTCAGGATACAAGATAAGTCGCGTGATAATATTCGCGAGAGTTGTATTAGAGCCGCGTGGACCTCGAGAAGATTCTGGACAAGACCATAGTATGATCGTCAGGGTCGAACGAAGGCAAGAGACGTGTAAGCTTCGTCCGATAGATCCAATCACGACCCCCAGAGGCCGAATAACGGGCGGAAAGCTCCCGGCCGTGATCTGCCCGATGTCGTGCAGACGCGAAGCCAAGCACCTAGTAGGCGCCTAAGCAAGAATGGCGAGGCGTGTTTAGAGGCAAAATACGTCAGGAACTGCATCTAAAGGACCGAGCATGCCGTCAGAAGGTCCGATAGCGGAAATCAGCTCCCGAGGGCATAGATATATATAGTACTGTGCAGCTGCAAACGGAGCAAAACGACCGGGCTACCAGTGTCTCAGGCAGATTCTGCATTCGAAATACCCATCATGTCTCGAACATACAATGTCGCATCGATACCCGGCGATGGCATAGGTGTGGAGGTCATCGAGCACACGGTCAAGGTAATACGGGCCCTCGAGCAGCGACTAGGATCATTTAGCGTACGATTCACAACGTTTGACTGGAGCTCGGAGCGGTATAAGCAGGTGGGCTCCTATATGCCAGAGGATGGCCTAGAGACGCTGAAGGAATATGACGCCATTTTGTTCGGTGCTGTCGGCTCACCAGGTAAGCATCTTTAAGCCGTTCAATGGTGTACTAGACTTCAGGAACTTTGTGGCTGATATGGATACTGTGAACTGATTAGATGTCCCGGACCATATTTCTCTCTGGGGACTGATTTTACCGATTCGCAAGCGAGTACGTGCATCGTAGACGAGAACGAAATGAGAAAAGGAAGAAATATCGTCTAACCGAGAGATTAGTTAGATCAATACGTCAACGTTCGCCCGATCACAGTTCTCCCCGGGCTATCTTCGCCCCTGAAGGACAAGACTGCCGCCGAACTAGACTGGATCATGATCCGCGAAAACAGTGAGGGTGAATATGCCGGTCAGGGAGGAACGACGCACGACGACACGCCATATGCGATTGCCAACGACGTTTCCGTGTTTACAAGAATAGGTATCGAGCGTACGATGCGTTTCGCATTCGAAACGGCGCAAAACCGACCTCGCAAGAAGCTGACCATGGTGACCAAGAGCAACGCGCAACGACACGGCATGGTGCTCTGGGACAAGGTCTTCGAGGAGCTAGTTCCGCAATACCCGGAGGTGCAGACAGACAAAATGCTGGTCGATGCTATGACGGTTCGGATGGTGCTGAAGCCCGAAAGCCTCGACACCATCGTGGCCACGAACCTGCACGGCGATATCCTGTCGGACTTGGCGGCGGCACTCGCAGGCAGCATCGGTGTCGCACCTTCGAGCAACCTCAACCCAACAAGGAAATATCCCAGCATGTTCGAGCCCATTCACGGCAGCGCGCCGGACATCACGGGCAAAGGCATTGCAAACCCGGTGGGAACCTTCTGGAGCGCAGCCGAGATGCTGAGATGGCTAGGAGAAGGCGAGGCGGCTGCCGACCTCATGGAGGCCATTAAGAAGGTGTTGGACGCTGGCATCCGGACGCGAGACGTCGGAGGGACAGCAAATACAGCCGAAGTGACAGACGCGGTCGTGCAGGCGTTGTTAGACGCTTCGTGAAGTACTAAGGTATGTAAGTGAAGTTGTGGGCCGGATACCCCCTGACTGGCACAAGACTACAATTCCCACAAAATTGGTAACTGCATTGGCGATAGTTACACATGTAGTGGAGCAGGCCCGTTAAACCTGTAAGCATTTGAGGCTCTTAAGGCATTGTACAGTAATCTTTTAGAGGGGGTAATACGAAATCTAGCCAACCAGAACTTGGAAGCTTTTGTGGGTGCCAGTCAGTCTTGTGCCAGTTTAGGGATAGATTGAGGATAGGAATATGCATGTACATAAGAAAGAACCCAGACCCATCCTACCGGTAACACAAGCAGTTTAGTTCCAATCGCGCAGATTACCTAAGGCGCAGATGATGCACGTTGCCATTTTTGTCACTAATCACCTCAACGTACCGCCTATGCTACGGTACACTAGTCCGCATGTGGAGTTTGGGCTGTGTCTCGTGACACCCGCTTTTTTCCTGTGTGGTTATAATTACCGCCCCACTCTGCATCCATGGATATTTGACGCGGTCGCTTCGCATCACTTACCCAGCTGAACTACTAGGTACCCCACACATCTCCGCAGCCAGCGTAGTACATAATGCGGGAAAGTGGGGTAATTAATGCCCCCATAAGGGGTCAAGAGCAGAAATTTCGGTACAGTAACTTCCTAATGGCTAGAGTTTACTATACGTTAGCTTAGTCCATATTTAGAAGAATACAACATCGTTTTTCTACCTTGGTTCAAGTAGCCCCCCCTTAGCCCTTCTTATCTTACCCCAGCTTTTCCCCGCACGGCCGATCAAGTTGAATTTTGCGGCCAGCACCTTGGTAATAATGCATCCTCTTACTTCAACGACTCAAAAACATCGCAATGTCTGCTCCCACGTCAGCAGCCTCCAAAAGGAAACATGTCACGACCGCCTGCGTGGCGTGTCGCGAGAGCAAAGTCAGGGTTCGTACATCTCCATCTTGACTCTTCCTATAGTGACGACTGGACGGAAGTATGCCTCCATCAATTACAAAGCACTGACATTGGCCTAGTGTGATGGTGTATCGCCTGCTTGCTCGAGTTGTAGGAATAAAGGCAAGGAGTGTCGCTATCAAGCCAGCGACGATAAAAGAAAGTATGCGGTGAAAAATTTATCATACCCCTAACTTTGTCATATGAGGCTAACCAGGGCTTCCAGGCTCTCTTCTCGGGTTGCCATAGAGTTATTATCTAGCCGAATCGATCAGCTATGCCAGTTCATACTCGAAAATTCTCTTCAGCCTCCCCCCATGGAAGAGGAAGCGGAGGCGACATTAACTAAGGTCCTGGCCAATTTAAGGCTCACATCTGCATTTGCTGGCAACGATAGCTGGAACAAGGCTGGCTCGGATAGAAGCACACCACCAAGCGAAAGTCTAAGTAGAAGTGAAGGGAAAATGCGCCATCGAGCAAACTCGGCTGTTACAGTAACGAATCCGACTATATCCTCAGAACCGGTCGAGTCAAGCAATCCTAGTCGGACTAGCCCGGAAAATCCGATAGCCCCAAGCCTCCACCATCTAGATTGGAATTGGAATCTCTCAGAAGATATGCCTATGAACCTACAAATGGCCCAGCCAACAGAAACAAATTCTTTAGAAGAAATGCTTCTTGATACTACGGTCTCCCTGAAGCAGCCTCTCCAGGGGGTCATGCAGCCCGGTTGTTCTCCACAACTTAAAGAAAATGCCGGTGACACCGAAGGTACAGAGGAACTCGTCGAAAAACTCTCCGCCCGAATGGGATCCCTGCAGATAGGACCAGGTGGACAAGTTCGCTATTATGGCCCAACTTCGAACTTCAATCTCGTAGATATGCCAGCGCCGGATAACCTAACGGTACATCGTACAGTTCGAAATAATGGTCAGGAGCATCTCGATCGCCTTGGTATTGGCAAAGAAGTGCCTCGAGAGTTGGAAGATCACTTGGTAGATCTATATTTCACTTGGCAAGGTCCAGCGCTCCACGTAGTGAATCGGGCCATGTATGAAGAGGCGAAGATTCGGTGGCAAGAAGGTGAAGAGGATACACCGTACTATTCCGAGGCCCTAAGGAATTCAATGTAAACCACCCCCAAGCCCCCCTAAATTCGTCTGAAAGCGACGAGAGATCAAAATAACGCTAACGATAAGAAGATGCTCGTTGGGAGCTGCTTTCGAGACACGCCACCATCCAACATTTGTAACGTTCCCCAAATCTCTGTCCGATTTCTTTGCGGACAGAGCGAAGGCACTGCTAGAGATCGAGCTTGATTCTCCATGCGTTGCAACGGTGCAGGCTATGGTGGTGCTCAGCGGCCACGATATCGGTTGCAAGAGAGACGCTCGAGGGTGGCTCTACAGCGGTCCGTCAAAATCCCGAGTCTACTCAACCAATTGGTCCACGCTGACGCGCAATAGGTATGGCGATGCGCCTCGCGTTCGACCTAGCATTACATGTCGATATGAGTTCCTACGTTTCTAGGGGATCTCTGAGCCAATCCGAGGCTGACCTGCGCCGAACGGTATTCTGGGGAGCATATACAGCGGATTAGTAAGGAGTTCTCGTCCCTTCAGTCGCGCAGGATTCTTGCTAAACTTTGATTTTAGCACATGGGGATTATATCTGGGGCGGCCTTTCCGTATTAACATGGAAGACGTTACCATTGAGAAGCCTGGTGGCAACCCGGCCACTGAGACCGCTACACAGTGGATTCCATATGGCTCTCCTAAGTCACTTGACGATTGCACGCCTTGTGTCGATTATCCCGAAGAGCTAAGCCGTTATCGTGCAATGATGTGTGAGATTATGGCACCTCTAGTATATGCTCTGTAAGATTCCATGATCTTTACTCTCTACGAGGGATTTATCTAATTTGTGGTGATTAGCTACGGAAGTCTAAATATCAAGCCCGAAGAACTGTACGAACTGAATACCAAGACGATTAAAGAACTTTTGAACTGGAAAGAAAATCTGCCCGGTGTGCTGCAGGTAGATCCGAACGAGCAGGATAGACCATATCTCCCGCACGTGTTACTACTGCAGTGAGTAGTACACTTTATGCCGCCGTAATCGACACCGGCTAACCCAGATATTATAGCATGCAATATTACCAAAATATCATATATGCCCACCGGCCATGGATGTCTAGACGGTATTCTCAATCATTAGCCCCACACGCCCTCGACTGGGGATATGCACGCATGATGTGCATCGAGTCGGCCACGGCCATAGCGAAGTTACTCCAACATTACGAGTCGCGATACACACTTCGCCGAATGAACATCCAAGGCGTCGGCATAACTTGCTCTGCTGCATTACTCCTGCTATTTACCGCAGTAACGAACTATCGACTACCAGGAGACGACGTAGAATTCCTCCTAAGCTCGTGTTTCAGGGCGTTGGACGAGTTTGGCGCTGCCTGGGAAAATGCCAAGCGGGCGCGCGACTTTCTAGTCCTCTTGCAGCGGCAGTGGGAATCCCGGGCTCGCGCAAGTCGAGCCCGTCGGCCCTCGCAGTCGTCGACATCTATATCCAGGAAGCGAGCGAGAACGTCGAGTCATGGCTCTATACTCGGCAGTAGTAGTATTAGCTACCCAGAAACGACACAGCCACTACCGCGACCGGGCTTTCAAGCAGGCAATTATAGCACAAACATGACTATGGGCTTCGATCTCGACTGGATGCCCCCTGGCGACGCTTACGCTACCACTCATTGAGTATAACGGCTGGGATCTTGATGATATCGCCGAGATGAGTCCCTGCGTTGGCTTCGGCCATCTGGACACCCGATATAGGCTGTAGTGATGCGTCACAAAGCCGCATAAGCGGACTTACGAAGTTATTCGAGTTTCACGTGATCCTTGACACCCAGGCAAAGTAGAGCGAGTACACTCCAGAAGATGACCGCATGGAACACAGAGTAGACGAAATCTGGTAGGAGTCTTTCATCATCACGCTCGCGGGGGCCTACCCACACTCAAAAGAGCATTCAGAACCCACGAAATTCGATAAAAGGTCGAGAATTGCAATATCAACGCGGCACCATTTGGAAGAAGGTCAAAATGGTCGTTTGTGTCTCCCTCCAGCATCGATGCCTGTGTGTATGGATATAAGACGTTAGGTGCGTTCGCTAGATATAATTGGCAATGTTGGTTCTGTCATCTTGGAGAGCTGGGGATTACTGCTACACATATCGTAGCTGACGGTCGATTGCTTCTCTTAGAAGCCTTTCCCCCGGAGCTTTATTTTCATGAACGCAAGTTCCATCCTTTCCCGTGGCAACTGATGAAAAAAAATCTAATATACCAGTAGCTGCTACGACTTATTATCAACCACAGAAATATACCACTGAGACTCTTGAAGGGTCTAATGGGTTTGCCTGCCAATTGGAGAAACGGGAACGGAAAAGGTTGATGGCGGCGTTTCTCACAATGTATATAGCCTAGTCGCAGGAGGAGGTGATCTACACTTACCCCTTTTCTTGGAACATTTGGTTGAAAAAATGGCGTGTTGATTATATAGGTAATTATAAGCACATAACAGGTACCTCATGAAATCAAACTTTATATTTATTATGGATGATTCAAACCAAACATTGAATAGGTGATTTATATGGATTTATTTTCCCATCTCATCACGAATCTCAATTGCACTGTGAAATTGGTTGGGTTTGGTGAGAAAATAGCAGATGTCTGCAGAAGTTTAATACCTAGGTACCTACACCTATCAATAATTGACGCCGTGGGAAATCACAAGACATACGAGGTTTATGACGATTTCCTTCCTTTTTCCCAAGCTATTTTCCATCCATCGACTACTAATCTTAGTCTATACCTAGGTAAGATGTCTCACAAGTACGGAGAGCCCGTGAGACCCATCGAACCAATACCTCTTTTTTTTACCTTCAGGTCAAGTGGAAAACACCAGTGCACGCTTACCTTTTGGCCAGACTGACAATTCAATATGGAGGTTCATGTCAGACACATGGCCTACTTAAAAGCTAGGAGTGAAGTTAGGAGGTAAGTATATAGTCCATAAGGCGAAGCAATTAGCAAGAAGAAGCCCCTTAATCATTACACATTAAGAGGGACAGCAATCAACATTATCAATTACTATATCAGTCATATCAAATTAATTAATTAATTATGTATGGATAAGGTGACTGGTTGCCGTGGTATGGCAGGTCGTAACATTACATCCGCATCTCTATTGTACGCGTTCATTGTTAGACACCGGTGTGTTCATAATATGGCAAGCATCATTTGTATGCACACTCCACCTCTATGTATAGTGGAATAGTTTCATATAGTAAGAATAACCGTCAACGTCGTCAGAAGCAAAAGTATCGGATAATCAGTTCAGGGGAAGACCTTTACTCGAAATATGGGCAACAAGGTCTTTGAACTGCTGTGCAAGGGTATCGACGACGATTGAGACGTCAGGGGCTTCGGGACGCGCCTGTTCATCTTGCTCGTTAAGAGCTTTTGAGTCCCAGCTCTCAGATTTGGCGATGGCTTCTGTTTTTCCAAGCGCTTTCACACCCTTCACTTCCTTTCCTCTTCTTGGCGGGCCTCTTGGAGTACATGGTGTGACGATGGTTTCATCGAGCAGGCAGTGCCAGCGTGTTATGTAAACACCTGGCCCGCTCATGTTACCGTTCGCCTCCACCCGGCCATCCACTCCGTCGATAATTTTCTGCACTCGGGCCCAGGACATACACTCCAGTGCGGAGAGATATTCGGCATGAGCATCAAGAGCGGCCTTAACATTGTTTTGCTTGTCTTCCGGGATTCCGTCAAAAAGGGCCTGGAGAGATCGACTCATCTCCTTAGAACCAAATGAATATCTATCATGGCCCTCTGTAGGGCTCTTGTCATTCTCTGGTGGCTGTCTGAAAAATTCCAGGCTACTCTTAGCCCATTTAAACCATGTTGTTCGTAACTCAGGACACCCTCCTGCGAACTCATGTAAATAGTCGTAGGCTAATTGACGATTCCGCTTTAAGAGAGCAACATAGTCTTCGACAGAAGGTGGCACTGTGCCATTCTGGGCTTGGCCGCTGTCTTTCTTCTTAGGCTTACTTGTTCTTATCAAGTCTGTCAAGAAGTTTTCGACCGAGTTGATATGTTTTCGTATATCTACGTTCCTGTGGATAGCTCGAATCATGGGTTCGAAAACTGACACGCCATCTTCTACTATGGTTGTCGTTAGATCCGGAGTTTCGCGACATAAAGCTTGAGTGATCTTCTCTCTATCACGGATAGCAAGCTGAGCGGAATAATACTCCAAACACTGGGCATGCTGCTTATCAGTTAGGGACTCTGTCAGAACCTTGTCTCTGGTCTCTAAGATGGCGACAATAATAGACATGTTGTCGTTTTGGCTCAATCCACGAATTCCTTCGTGTTCTCCTCTAGAAGCTTGCAGATGTGCGTCAATCACGGCTAGATGCGATTCGCTTGGCCCTTCTTTGCTCCGTCTAATACTGTCAACGGCTTTGCGGAAGTCGCTGGCGTCCCACTCTAACACAAGAGATATTATCCTGTTGAAAGTGAATTAGCCCTCTCCATTCATGTCAACTCAGTATGTATGCACCTTTGCAGTAGATTCATTCCGTCCGACGCGTTCCGTGTGAATCCGAGAAAATTAGATATGGCACCGACGCTGACCTTTGCCAAGAATAACCTGACCATAGCATTGATCATAGTCCCAGCATTTCCGAGACGTAATGTTTGCCCAACTAACGTATATGGGATTAAGCCATGGACGTTATCTATCAACTTCAATAAATAGGGGCCCTCGGCTGATAGGACAAAGAGGTGGTGAAGAAATGTAGCTATGTATATGATAGCGTAATCAACTGCGGCGTTGACTGCTGGAGAGTGGCCCTCAAGGTTTGGGGTCTTGGTTAGATGGTCAAACAGTTCGTCAAGAAGATTTCCATAGACCAGATGGTGGACAACATCGTCCCAAGCCCTTGCAAGGTCCTCTGCTGTGTGCGGGTCATACGTGGCATAAAGATTCGGTAGCTTGTCGTTGGGTATGCCAGTTAATAGGCCTCTAGTGACGGATTCATGAATGACGGAGGCGGCTGAGGCGAGTCTCTTCCTACTTCCCAATGTCCCTTTATCATAACTGTCGGATAGGTCTGCTTCTCCAAATCGCTTCATTATACTTCTGAATTTAGTGGCCCAGAATTTAGACGGTAGATCCCGAAGGCCAGGGATAGGAAGTACTAATCTGGTAAAGAGAAGTTGTAAAAGCGGAGATAATGATTTTGGAGATTCACCATCCTTCTGCTTCTGGGTGCATGTACCAAATGGATACCCATAATTCTCAATAGCCTCAGGATGTTTGAAGGTCTTCACTTCGGAGTATGTCTCATGGTGGACGAGAATATCGAATAAGGCTCCCAATTGCCGGGGAGATAGGGTGGTAGAAGACATAGTAGACGACGATAAACGGTGTACCAACCTTACGGGACATCCGGAATTAAAGAAACATGAACATAAGGAAATGAGTTTATCTATGTCGGTGGGGATGAATTTCATACATTTTGACCGGCGTTTTGGGGTTTCGTTGGACGGTGAACATCCAATGTTGTTTATCAAAAAGTACAAAATACACTCATCATTCATTTGAATCTTCATATGCTTTGTGACTCTTTTTGCACCACGTGCTGACGTCATCTGGCATGAGTGGCCTGAACTTACTACGTAGTAGGTGCCCTATTTGGACCATCGGGTATCCACTCAGGTACAAAATACGACCTTCCGGTACCTATTCTGGGTAGCTGCAAGCATTTAGACGGCGTATTGTGAATAGGTAGCACATGAACCTTAATGTGCTATCAACGTGATTCTTTATGAATGTGTCACCGGTGCATCTTGACACATAGGTGAATCTATATTCATTCCCAATATAAGTCTATAATTCACACCTCGAGTCCATCTTGCTGTGAAACAAACTGACTATACCGATTAGCTTCAAAGATTCTTTATGTAAACAATCCTCTTATATAAGCATATTAGTAGATCTAATATGCATCTAAACTGGTCCCGAACTTTTGGCGATAAGCTCCAACAAATCCATTGAATTTGATACGATTTTCAAACTTGTAGTCTTCTATTCCCCAGCCTCAGCATCAAAATGACTCGTAAGGACAATGCCGCCCGGCCGCGATGATACCAATGGCTTTCCTCGGGACTTATATACTGGTGTCCTTCCCGTCATACCACCTGAAGGCAGTCTAGATAATTCGTCGCGCAATAATGCCGCAACCGCCGCGTCAGCTGCCGGTGTTCGCGCCCTGAGCGCTCAGGCTATCGCCTTCTACTTCAGAGCTCCCGTCAAGGCTTTCTTCCGAACTCGAGTAGACTATCTTGCATATGCCCGGAGTGTGCACCAGACGCGAACGGAATCATTCACGCGAGCCGCTGCTAATGATCCAGCCGCGTCAAGGTTAGGCCTCACTCTTAGGCAAGCATGGATGTGGGCGCGGGGTACAACCCCTGGATTGCTCGCGTCCGTCATTCAGCAGCATGGATGGAGTGTCATACCTCATCAGATTCTTCCGCCGCTGATGGCGAATGTCGGAGTCGGTGCTGTGCTATACACTAGCTATTTACAAATATTGGCCCAGCTACACGAAGAGACTTCGAGAGCACCGAAAAGAATTTTTCCTCCGCCAGACCCTATTCACACCTTTACTGCGGGTTTCTTGGCTGGGAGTATCCAAAGCGTTATCGCGGCCCCACTTGATGCCATTCAGGCGAGATATGACCATCGCGATCTCATGAATGGAAATATCGACGGGAAGCCGAGGAGCATGTGGTCATTCTCAGCAGAGAAGCTTAGGGAAATTGGACTGCGCGGGGTTTTCGCAGGATGGGGGTTATCGTTCTTAAAGGATAGTTTCGGATGTGCTGTCTTTTTCAGCACTTTCGAGTACGTGAAGGCCCAGGCCTTTTACCGATTCATCACGTGGTACTATGGCGATTTGAAACCGGACGTCGTCGACGTGCTGGCCCAGAAGAGACCGCCCAAACCACACCATCTAACCGACAATGCGAAAGAGGATGCTGCCCAACCAATTATGATTCGACCCCATTACGCGATCGAACCTATGTTCTTACTACTCGCCGGTATCACAGCTTCGTTCACCCAGCAGCTATTTCTTCATCCTTTGACGCACATTCAAGTTCAGCATTGGGATCACCTAGAAGATCTAGATGCCAAGGCCGCTAAGATGAGAGACTCGAAAGCCGCAAATCCTGACAAGCCAAGACGTAGGTGGCGCATGCTTCGGGCTTATTACCATGCCTATCAAGAGACTTGGGCACAGTGTGTCGCAGAGGCGAATTCAGAAGGCAGAGGTTTGAGACGATGGTTGTATCGCGGCTTTTGGTGGAATACCAGTGAGTATATCTAGTCATTATAATACCATTCATGGATTACTAATAATCCACCGCCATAGTTCGACAGGTCCCAAGCACTAGTGCTGGGTTGATTATCTTTGAATTGGTTAGGCGGAAATACGGTGCCGGAAACGAACCAGTACGGGTTGCACAAGACGATTACGAAATTCTCCTTGATTAGAGATTCGCGACTGTCTCTAGATTTGAGGGCGTTGGAAATGAGACTAGAGAATCCCCGCTCGGCGCAAGGCATTCCTTTCAGCATACCTAGCGATGGCGACTATTATAATCATAGCGATATTAACATAGACATAGATCAATCATAAGGAGCAATCTCATCTCCCCTTATTTCCAGCACTACGAATAAACGGTTCAAGAGGAAAGACTTGGCCTTCCGGCGTGACACCCTCGTACAGTTGCGCCCATCGATAATTTAAGACCTCTGGAGTCGGCCACGCATTCTCTGGATCACGCAGCCATAGGCGTAGCAGATGACGACTATTTTCATCCAGGAAGAACATTAGCAACATACACAGCTTGGAAATGCCTTCAGCGCACAGTGGCGGCGTTAGACTTACCGTTTTTCTGGCGTATCCGTAAACCCGTCTCTTGCGTGGAAAATGGCAAGATTATTTATGTACTGAATGTCCCCTTTTTGGAAGTCGGTATTCACGCAGTACTTCTCCCCTAAGAAATGGATCGTATCAAGGGCCTCAGCTTGGGCTTCGGTGATAGGGGGGATATCGGGACTCCTCGGGAGAGCACCGAAACCAACAAAGTACCGACGGCCGTATTGTAGGGCTACCCTCTCCGGGGTAGAATCCGTTGCCGGGAAGTGGAATAACAGTGGCCTTTCCTTCCATTGCTTGTCGGCTTTTTCAAACCTTGCAATTTGAAATGGTTAATTAAACTTGCACATCACCTAGACATTATCTCCGAAGTATATTGTGCGAAGTAAAGGCATCATCTTGGGGCTTACTCACACTTCCATGTCCCAGCTCTGGGAAAGAGTATGAATGAGATCCGGACGGGTGGCGGCAATCTCATTGTACACACGCCAAGTGCTGGCTAATTTACTGGCTCCACCGGCCGCCGACGTCTCGAGCGCAAACAGAGACACGATATCACCCGAATCGGTGTGGAAGACCTGCTTGTCGGTAGTGTACGCAGGGCTGCCGATAGCGCCGTTATTTTGCGACCAGGATAGGTCTTTAATATGGCTGAGGACTACGTCGGCAGGTTGGCCGTTGTACTTGTGGTCCTGCCGACCGCGCTGCGCGGCAATGTGCGCGGAAATGCCCGCGTATATGATAACGTTCTCCTCGCGAGAGTGCTCGTCGACGCGAAGGCCGCGAATCACGAAGAAGCCGTGCCCATTGTGCAGTTCCGCCGATAGACGTCGCAATTCGCCGTGCAGATTCGGCAGCGGAAATGTGTCTGCCGTGATGTGGCCTAGTGATAAGCCCAAGCCTGAAATTTTCATTGATTAGAATCTAACGTCTTTGAGTCAGAAGTCGCTGGTTTCCTACATTTGAAATGCTCTACGGCTCGGTCTATCTCATTTAACTGGTCGTCGCTGAGGACGTATGTCCAGTCATACGTGTCTGCTACGCTGTCGCCTTCCCAGACCAGGTCGCCGGTCAACTGCGCCGGGAATCCTTTCGGGAGAGTGGTGGGTAGGTTCCCCTCCTTGAGACGCCGAGCCGCTCGGGCTTGCCACTTGTCGCGGTCCGGCGCATAGGATATGTCGGGTTGCCCCGCAGGAGCCGGAGCCGTTGGTGTGACGAAAGTGACGGTTGTCGACATTGTGTTTTCAGAGCTAGAATCTCTGATTGAAATCTCCTATCCAGCAATATTTATTGTTTTGAATTGTTTCTGCGTTTCCCCTCTTGGGTTTTATGTCTTTCGATATCTTGACAGTTGGTGCTACGATCGAGTTGGAGAATTGAGCAATACTTCGCCGAAATTGCGTCATCCGCCGCCTTTTAGGTGACATTCGGAGATAGCCACCCGTCACTATTTCTATCTTGCACGAAACTAACCGTATACAATGAAGCCGCATTATAGATAAGTTGAAGGAAAGTCTTTTAGGGTATCTCAATCATGATCGAATGCTACACTATAATCCAAATACTTCAGTCATGCATGCGGCGCAGGAATGATGCCACTATAGCTAGACAACTCATTCGTCGATCTAGCATTATGAGCCGACATGGTGTTTAGCAAGGAAAGATGGAAAGTCTGGCCTCAGATGCCACCAAGGATGCCCGATGAAAATTCGCAGGCCCAACACCAAGGAAAACGCCTATCCATTCACAACCCCGACACCCTCGCTCATAACAATTCATCCTCCTCCCATCAGGTTATTTCGCTCGGCAACAACCGGTGTCATTCTCAAAAGACACAGTTGGTTAGTGTCGACGGTAGTGTCGACGGTTAGGCTAAGTCGGTCCTAACATCATATAAGCGACGCCACATCTTTGCGAGGCTTCCGCTCACGTTTGATGTCCAGTTTGAATTTCGCCACCTCTTTGTATATACCAAAAAAAGGGTGAGTAACAAACCCAAAAATACCTAATACTGTTAGAACAACGCTCATAGGACAGTCTTGTACGATGTAGGTTTTTTTTCTTCGACTCACCTGCAGGTATTTTGAATAGAATACTGCCCATTCCCCTAGCGAACCCCTTGAAGAATCCTACGAAACCATCCTTCCTGGCGCACTTATAAGGCAACACAAACCAGTCGGTCATACCATCGAGAATACCAAACCATGCGACCTACAGTTGGATATGTTAGACCATCACTAGGTATGCAAGTTTACCGACAGAAGATAGGGCTCACCATAAAACTCGCGGCGCATGCTGATGGAAAACCGGTGATCCTGGGCCATTTCCGAACAGTATCGTCGTGATATAGTGTCGGTATGTAATGGAACGTCTTCGCCACGCCGTGCCCGAACACAAAAGGGATTTTAAGACAACCGATAAGAATGAGTCCCATTCCTTTAAATATGTCTACCCAACCCATCCAGAAGGGGTGACATCCTTCGTCTTTGTCGTCCTCATCATCCCCGTGCTTCAGACCTCCAGCTTCCATATATCGGTCCCAATACGTAGGAGGTTCGTACGTCGTCGCTATTGGTTCCCGGGGCACTATTTCCGGCTCCAGCGCTGGCTCCGGCATCTGTACGTAGTACACATTCTCGGCGTTTCCCACGTTCTCGGGATGCGCCCCGTTCTCCGAATGTCCCATGTTTTGTTGTTGCTGATGTTGCTGTTGTTGAGGGAAGTCATCAATCGGAGCTATGAACTTCATACCGAAATCTCGTCTACCAGTCATAGAAGCCCGGGAAGTGGTGGCGGAGGGCGGTCGTTCAACCATCTTGACCAAAGTGCACTCTGGCGAACCGTCCAATTATACTCGAAACTTATACACACGAATTATAGTTGTTGCCTAAAAGTTGGAGAGCAAGGCCGCCGAGCAAAGGAGGAGAATCGCTTGCGGTATATACAGATGGTGAGCGATGCGAAGTGTCGCGAAACGCGCCTCTCTGTTCACTTTTTACAACTTTGGGAAAATGCGGCGGTGCTCCTTGTCGATCCTTTAAGGCACCGAGATTATCGCTGGGGTGATTGGCCTGAGCCTGCTGAGCTATTGGCTTCTCTTTACGAGAGACCGTTGCATCCACAATCGGCTGATTCTGGCATCGCATCGGTGGGTTTTGCGCAAAGCCGGACGGTGGCGCAGCATCTCCATTCAGCTACAAATCTGCGACGGCTCCATGCCTATCTGGCCTATGTCAGAGCTGACTGAAGGCTGTGCCTTTCAATTCTTTTCCTTAGCTTAGATAATTTTGGCAGTTCACGGTTGAAGAACGAAGGATCCGGGTTCTCAATGGTACCCTGCTAATATGGATATACCCTGCTGCTCTGTCCCCATTTGGGTTCGGACCAAACGCTCAACCAATTCGTTTGTAGTGTTTGGTTTCAATATTCAACACCAATGGTGATAGCGTCTGGTCGTACTTATTATAACCTTCTACCTGGGCGAATGCCGCGCTCTTCTCAACGCTGTCTAACCCACCTGCGATGAAATACTGCTCAATGTCTTCGCCCTCGTCCTTCTCAATCTTCCAACCGCCTCTGTGACGGTAAGGCATCGCGAACCCATCTAAAACACCCTTAACCTTACCCAGCGCTTCCTCAAATCGGGTCTTATTCTCTCGATGCACGGACCATATTGTGACAACGAGAACCGGTGCCTCCAGCGCGGGTATGAACCCCTCCTCTTCAGATTTAGGGAATAATTTGACGCCATCAATATGCCCCGGCCTCACCGTCGCGGCGTGGAGATGAGGTTCCGCGTCCACAAGAATCTTCTGGTTCCTCGGAGTCGCGAGCACTGCGTGGTGCTGATCGATAGAATCCCAGTGTGCGGTGATTAGCACCACCCCAGGATCTTCAACTTGCTGGAAGAGGGCTTCCCCACGGTCCTGTGCCAGCCATGGCGCGTTCGTGGCGCACCATTCTCCTTGATAGGCGATCGCAGCTACGGCGATGTCGCGAAGTGTCTCGGTCACCTCTCCGGGAGTGCTGGAGGGTAGGAAAGATATTTCCGTGACCGTCATTCTCGATTCAAATGAGGCTTTAGGTAAGTAAGGAGGTAGTGCACCCGCTCTTCAGACTCAATGGTCAATACCTGTTCGCTTCGTGATCACGAGTGATTTCGTCGAGGTAGGTATTTTCGGAACTCCGATGGCGTCATATGGTCAGAGTAAATCGCCCGGTTGCTTCTTACGTGTGCTTCTTATATATAACTGCTGCCATGCTTATTTCAGATTTCATCTGCGTGTCATCTTTTTCTATGCCGCGAGGAGGTTATCTCCGCCCGTGACTTGACAGCTGTCCGTTAAGCATGTCTACGAGTTTCATTGAGCTTCGAGCTCTAAACTCCTTCTTTCTATGTCCAGTGTCATTAACTCCGCGTTTGCCTCAATTGGGATTGCATAATCCAGGCCCTCTACCAATTCGGCAGCCCTTATTCCCCCGATAGGTCTTAATCCGGTGAACTCTACTATCCCGAGCATAGGCAGAGGTAGGCGAACTTGCAGTCACTACACGTCTCCATTGGAACAAAGGTCTTGCCGCTTCAATCGTGAGTAAATCAGCAAACGGGAAACTGCGTCAATGGCTAGGTGAATTATGCATTACTCGTATTCAAGATTATCTATTAGATATCATATAGTGCTTTCATCACTCATTAGCTCCGATCCGGCCAGGCATCATACAGCCCCTCGTACACCGTCACATTTCCGAACGTTACTTCGCCGCTGCCGTCTTGGAAAAAGCGGATTTCCCTCGAAGATTCATACCATGATCTAGGTGCTATATTAGTATATCTGCTAAAGAAGAGTCAAGAAGTAGGATATTTACCGAGCCCAGGTAGAAATGGCAAATCGTCCATTGGCATGGACCTCAACGACAGAGTTGTCCACCACGATGGTCAAGTTAAGAGTTTCGACCACCTTATGCTCGCCCTCAACAATGTCGAATAAACGCAGTCGACCGTACTCGTTACGAGAGTCGATACCATCCGTGGTAAGGGCCGCGGCGCTCGTGTTCGTGCGGTCGATCATGACGGTTTCGTTGGAGAACTGGTAGTAGATCGTCGTGCTCTCGTGCTCGGATGACAAGATCTGGAAACCGGCCTTCAAGTCGCTACCCCGGCTCGCTTGAGGGAAAGAAAGGGTTGCGGTGATGACGTGGAATTTGTTCGAGGGCACGGTCTGGAATGTGGCGGCGCCTGGCGAGTTCAACGTCCGGCCGGGCTCGGTGAACGGAGTGCCGCTGGTAAGCTTGGCGAGCGCTTCGCGCGATATCTCCTGCTTGAGGGTCTCTAACGTCAATATGCCGGAGTGGTTGCTCTTAACGCGCCACGATCCAGTCTCGCGCGCAAGCTCGTTGTCGACGACATTGTTAATCTTCCCAATGCTCAACTCGCGCGGGAGCAAGAGCGCGCCGGTCCAATTCTGCTGTTCCGTCGGGAAATCGAGAGTACCGTAGTAGTCTCCGGTCAACCACACATAAGAGATGAAACGATCAGGAGCGCCGCTCTTCTGCGAGGCTTGGGAGCTAGCGGGCAGCACTTTTCCGGCAGCAGCGTAAGCAGAGTGTCCCCAGTCGAGCTTGCCGGCCATGTTGGGCGTGAACTTGACCTTTTTGCCGCCGCAGGTGGGAGAGACGTTTCCAGCAGCCCATAACATCTCGCGGAAATCCGATACTTGCGGCACGATGGGATCCAACGACCATTCCGCGCCCAAAGTGGCGAATACGTCGCCGTTCGCATTGTAGCCTTGCTCGTCCAAGCTAAAAATGTTGCCGACTTCGAAGTTGTAGCCCCACCGGCCGGCCCAGTCGCCGTTGCCCCAGGTCGAGTTGGCTGGCTCGTGCCACCATTGGCCTAGTTCCTCCCAGTATTGGAAGTCGGGGTCGTGCTGACGGTAGAGGAATTGGCTGGGGCCTTCGCCGTGGACGCCTCCGGAGATGACGGCGTACCATGTACCCGGGGCGCTCTTAAGGTAGGTGTCAAGCTTGCCGTTCTGGAACACGTAAGGGTCGCGGAAGCCCGTCACATTGACTGCGAAGGGAGGTGATGGGATGACCGGTCCTTGCTCGAGCTTGGTGAAGTTATGGCCGCCGTCGGTTGATACCGCAAGAGACTGCGTTTCGCTTCCTCTAGTGTATGCAATGGTCCACTGAATTGGCAGGTAGGAGACAGACGTATAGAGGAGGGTAGGGGTACCGTTGATACCACTAGGAATAACCGATCCATCGAATACTGCGACGGGATCATTATTCCCGCCCGGCACAATGAATTGCGCTCCATCTGCGTTGATGTCCTTATATGTGACGAGATCATCTGTTGTTGCACCCGCAGCACCATTGCCATTATATAAAAAGCCGACGTGGAAGAGTCCTGTGTTCGGGTCCGTGTAGTGCATACACGGATCGCCGATCTGGCCAGAAGGCGGGAGAACGTGGGCTTTCGGCCGCCATGTCTCAAAGAGACTTGAGTTGGCAAGGGTCGATAAGTTCGGCGGAGCCGAGTTGTAGTCAATCTCCTGTCTGGCCACGAGGGACCCCGCTAGAACAGCTGGGGAAAGCTTCATCTTGTCTTGGGCTGTTGTGTACGAAGCTGTTGGGAAGACACGCTCAGGATCATCGCAGTTCATGGTCACATCGTGTGGTAGCCTTCTACTTATAGACTGCTGCATCGAAATGCGTTCGGTCTTGCATTCGTATCTAGACTTCACCCGTAGCGTTTCCCCACTACGAAATTGCATTCACATCAGCAGGCCCGGAACTTGGAGTTCGTGTGGAGATTTGCGGAGAAACCGGGCTTGGGGTCAGGGGAGGATCAGGGGAGAGACTGGAGATGCGTGGGGTGTTACTTTGGCACTAGCTACAACAGTTATAGCCTCGGCCTTACTGGTAAATTCCAATAGCTTTTAGTCGCAAAAATTCTTGCTGTTCTACAAGCCGGTGAGGAGGCCCTTGGAAACTAACGTGATTTCTCCAAAACCCCTCATCCAGTTCTACGAATATCATAGACCGAAAGTTGGCGGAGAACTCCGCAGCTAGAATGTAAATATCGCGACGGTGTTATGGATTATGTTCTTCCAAGTCATCGGGGTTCCACTCTTGGCTCATTCATCGCCTCTTACCTAGATATTATTTTAGAAGTCGAGTGCTTCATCCGTCAAGGTAATCAGGTGGCGGGGTCGGCTTATCTGAGATTTTATCTATGGGCAGCCCATCTAAGCTTCCAAAACGCATTGTCCATCCTGCGTAGGCGTGGAAGACAACACCATTTTACGAGCTGCATGGAGGATAGGCACATAAGCCGGTAAACTTCTCAAGTTAACTTTTTCCAATGCCTCGAAAAGCTATATGATATGCTAGGGTCTTCGTGGTCCGTGATAAATCTAACCATGACCTAGTAGGTATGTTTTCAGGGAAGGTAATAAATACGGATTATAAATATAGTTTGACAGGACGTTTGTCACTTTCGAAGCGTGCACGGCGCGGTCCGTCGTCTCTCGACAACATAACAGCATCAAATATATACCTACGAAAAAACACCGCTGTAAGGCTTATGATCGCTAACCCCATACCCAGTGGGAACCAACTACGTATATGAATTGTCTACTCACTCAGACTTGGAAATAGGAGCATTTGTTGGGGCTGAGAAAGCATAGCTTCATTTTCGGTCCATGATACAATGGCTGCAACTTGTAGCGACTGAGCTATCTAGGTAGGTACGGTGATAAAAGAATGTAATTCGGCCTTCGGTGTAGTGTCTTCATTGATTGGGCCAATTCCCGAATGAATGGTAGCGCATGCAACAACCCTAACCCAGACGGTCTACCCCCTGCTTTTCAGGATGAATATGCGGCTTTAACAAGTAGACAAAATTATCGGTGAATGCGGTAATGACCGACGAAGAAATATACCAATCCTCCTCAGGGTCCTGCTATCCAAATCAAACTGAATCAAACAACATCTCCTCGTCGAAATCGTGTTCATGTGGTTTCGGAAAAGGTATCTTTTCGTTACACCATTACATAAAACCAGACATGTCAGTTTGCTGGAATTGCTGCATCATCGGGTCTTGATTCTGTTGGATACCACTGGGATAGTCTTCGATGTTAGAAGGATCCATCGTAGCTTGGTATCGGCCGGGGTTAAATAATCCGGTAGAGCCCCATGCAGAATACCCGAATCCCATACCAGAGTAGTTTGGAGTAATCGGCGTGGAGAAAACGAGATCAGCGTTGGCGGCGGTAGAGGTCCAAGCGGAACCGGTGACGGGAGCTGTTCTGGACTCAACAGGATTGCGCTGGAGGAGTTTGTCGGCAGTTACAATCCTATGAAAATTCTTTAAATGCTGGATAAGATGGTCTCGACGAGCAAAGCCATTGTCGCCCTGTCGATCGTAGCAATACTCGCATGGGTATTTCGGAGCATTGGGAGACTTGTCGGTGATGTGACGGTTGAGAGCATCTAGCCGGGTGTACTTGGCGCCACAGATACAACCGTAAGGACTATGCCCCTGTTGTTCGCCATGCTTCCGAAGCCCATTATTAGTTTCAAAGGTTTTTGAGCAATCCGTACAAGCGAGACCGGGAAAGCGTGCATGAAGAGGGTGTGTTGTAAAACTTATATATCAGGTTAGTAGTAAAAAAAAAAAAAAGAACGTACCCGACTCTACCCTCTCCCAGCTCCTGCAATGGGGCAACTGGTAGAGGAGGAGCAATGGCCATTGGCTGGAATCCATATGTAGTGTCAGATGCTAAGGTGGACATTTCGTCACCCGCATAGTCGTCGTTGGCTGGGAGGGTAGCGCCCGGTTGAAAGTAAGGTACCTGATTGTAGCCATCCATTATGTTGAGATTTTGGGCGCTTAGATAATAAGGGATCTTGTAATATTAGGGGGTTAAAGAATATGTCGATTTGTGGAGGAGGTATTGCCATACTCTTATTCCCAAGCTTGAGAAATGCCCCATCGTGTATACTATATCCCTAGGCGGTACATGATAGATACATGCATTGCCAAAATGAAGGGGTAAGGAGAAATAGGGTGGAAATGGGTGGAAAACATGCACACTTATAATAAAGTTCACCTACTGGCTGTTGTCAGCCATTCACAGCTTCAGTTCAACTAGAAGAGTGCGCCACAAGTACGACCCAACATCGAACCTGGTCTCAAAGTTATCCCAACCATAGGTACCTACCTAGGTACCTACATACCTACATCATGAGGTGTCTACAGTAGTTGGGCTTTGCTTTGGTTGAAGCCCAGCCTTTGGGACACTGTCCATACCTACCTAGGTAGGTATTCTCTCACGTTGCTCGATGCCGACACTACCCAGGGAGTTGGAATGACAGAAAGAATGTGATATATACATAGATCTTCACCTTTCAAGGTCAATGCGTATCCAAAAATTCTCGAGGTGGAGTGGAAATGCTAGAGCACTTTAAATCAACAGGTGAACACTAGTGTTTCTCACTTCCAGATGACATAGTCGCGTAATGAGTTCGCAATGGCAAACCCTTAGATATGCGCAAGGAGGTAATTTACACATGGCCAAGTAAAGACCTAATAAGAAAGTTACGGTCGCTTGCTATAGGGATCGTAACATCAATTCCAAGCGAGGTCTATGTACTATGCTACCCTAGGGCTTGCGGCCATAAACGTACCGGACCTTCATATATGCGTGCATAGACCTAGATCTAAATTCCCTGCGTAGGTGCGCAAGTGTTTGCTGGTAGCCAGGGGTATCTTCACCATGCACGATATTCCACGGAACTAGGACGTATCCTGCGTATCATTAGTCAGCACTTATTGTGGTTGCAAGAGCTAACTCAGAGATATCTCATGACCCCAACCCAAGGCATGATATTTAAGGAAATCAAGTATAGGTAGCTATGAAGTATCGTGAGGCCACAAGTAGTATGAAAACAGTTAAAGACTTACCTTCAAGATCGTTGATCAAGGTCAGTAAAGTAAGGCCTCCAATTTCAGCAAGCTTGGGATCCATGGGCCATGCCCCAATAGGTAGCTGTGGGAATATGTCAATTAGCATGTCGAACAACACTCGAATGCAAACCCGAAATTTTACTTGTACAGACGAGGAGGTGGCATGATAAAAGCAAATCGAGTTACAGGGAAATGGAGTACAAGCTCGATCAGAAACGATGTGTTCGTAGACACACATTTCATGCCACGTGTAATCGGCTCAAAAACGTACGAAAGGTGGCTTACCTTGAAGTTGACCTCCTTAATGTCCACGAACCCGGCCGCCTCAAATCCCTTATTCTGGAATCTATTCTCGAGAACTTGGAAGCTCAACCCTAGCTTTTTACCTAACTACATCGTATTCGAGTTAGCAAGCACTTCGCCAACAATGAGTGCTCATAGTATACATGAATAAAATGAAGGATAGCCGGATGAAGATAAAATATTGCATGCTAGCGCATGCATACCTCTTTATAAAGCGGGTTCCAGAATGTCGCGATAACACCATCTTCTTTGATACTACCGTCGTCAGAGCACATTTCGACGTCGCATTCGCATGACTGGACCCAGCCGCCAGGCTTGCAGCAGCGGAATGCTTGCTGAAGTAGCCTATTCCAATCGCCTATGGCTCCGAAGAGATAGCGCATGTGGATGAAGTCGAAGTGATCGGCAGGCCATGTCCAATCCTTGGTACAGTCATCGATCTCGAACTTCACGTTCGGCGGTACCCACAGCGGCTGTGTTGGTGACAAGTCCGTTCCTACGACTTCTGCGCTAGGGTACTGGTCGCCCACGTCGCTGTCAAAGAGTAAGCATTGGGCCGAAGAAGGGGTAGATAAGGGATCCGAATCAAAATTGTTATAAGAATGAAAAAGGGGCTATATTACATGGCCCATATTCCTATTAGTGATGTTAGATTAGTATCATGCTTGGTCTTTGAACATCAATCTAGGAAACTAGGGGCAGTACACACCGGTTCCAGTCCCAACGTCTAGCACTCTCTATGGGAGGTCAGCGTTTTACATTCGTATATCGGAGTTTAAGGTTATCCAATACCTCCATGTCGTCTTTAACTGGTGCGAGAAACAGCTTGTCGTCAAGCATAATTGTTAAATAATGATGCCTGTGGTGATATATTAGAACACTTAATAAAAATAACTTATTTTCCTGGACAGATTCATCCTTACGTGATATCCTGCGAATGCATCTGCTGCTCGTCATTCGGCGCAAAATACTGAGACTCATGTCTTTCACTGTGGTAGGTCCGGCCTTTGATAGTACGGTATTCTAGAATGCTCGCCGTGACGGAGTTGGTGCTGCTAGCACTACAAGCATAGAAATGTTAATGAATCACGTCTCTTAGGGGTAGGTAAGTAGTATATGAAAGTGAGCACTAACGCATCATTACCCAATGCTGAATCCGCGTCGTCGTCAAAATCATCTTCCAGCTAAGGGTGTGAATAGTGTGGATTAGAATTTAACATTTAAGTCGAGATAATGTACAAATATCCACACTCATTGTTTGAACTCGGGTACTTCGGCTTAGGAAATACATACCTCTTCTTCACCCTGAGGTGCGGCGATTAGCTCGGGTTGATTAATTTCAGCCGTCTCTGGTGGCGAGGCGCTTTGGGTGGCCGGAGCCGTTGGTTGATCCGCCATTTCCGGTATAACTTAGAGATGTGTAGATTTAGGCACGGACAAGTTAAATCTTGATTATGATGCTTAAAATGAATAAGAATTGATTCGAGTCGAAAGAGGACATATCGTCGCGTTGATAAGCCCAGCCCCAACCTTTTCAGAAGATCTAGCCTACTTAGGTTATGGCGGCGGGGTTGGTGAAAAAGCCATCCCCGATTGACATAAATCCAGCCTGGTAGCTCCAATATTGGACGGGATGTGGAGTGGTCCGTGCTCATTGAAAGGGGGAGGGGGAAAGGGGCAATTGTCGTTACCGAAAGCATGGGCCAACTCTCCAGACTCAAGCAAAAGTAAGGGGTCAGTTTGTACAGATCTTAGTGACGAAGTCCACAATGCCATCAACTCCATCTGGCTCATTGATCCAATGTCCCCCGTCCTGGTACTCATGAAACTCGACCATAAGGTTCAGATCGTGAAGAATGTCCCGCATTTGTTTTCCATTTCTGATGGGGACGACTTCATCGTCGATTGCATGACCTAGAAACACGGGTGTCGACTTAACAACCTCTGGGTCAACCCGATTAACAGGAGGCTGGCCTAGGTAGACATCCTGTAACGCATTGAACAGCACGGATTCTTCATGCTTCGATGTGATTAGGCCGTTCGCAACGCCACACAAAGGCATCCAGCTACAGAGTCCGATTAAACCAGCGAGCTCCCGACCGTCAGAGAAGAAAGTGGCCAGAGCAGTAGCGAAGCCTTGACTTATGCCACCGAGGAAGATGTTATGGCGAGGAACAAGCTCTTCTTCCTGTCGTATTACGTCGCGGATAGCGCCGGCACTCATCTGCAACCCTTCTTCCTGTAGCTCAGTCTGCTCTTCTGGGTTCTCGACGGACCACATATCAAACCATTGAGACATCGAGGCCCCAAATCGCGCCGACGGTAAGAGCGGAGCTGAAGGGAAGACCCATCTGACATATGGAAGACGATCTAGAAGGGTTCGCGGCTGTCCAGCAGGGGTCGAGGCTTCACTTTCGAAAAACTCGCTGGCAAACTCTTCACACTCGCTGTCTCGACCATGGAGGAAAATGATCGTATGGGTGTGAATATTGGGGTCTCGCGGCCCCGCAACATAAATTCTCTGAGACATCTTCGTATCGCGAAATGCGGTATTTGCAGGAAATGATGGTGGTTAGAAAGAAATCGGGATGAAGTCAGTACCTAGGATTTCATTGGGATTATTACAAGTGATTTCGAGCTTAAGTTCAACTAACTATCCTCAAACAAACCCAAAATACAATTATTTGCACCTTCTGTAAGAACATAAGAATAAAAGAACATTAAGCTTATTCCTGCAGAAGATGACACAGACCCCTCACAATGTGCATAGCACTTCCAGCCAATGTAAGTAGCTAGGCACTTAGCTACTACCTCTGTACACCTCCTCGCCCTGTCACTGTTTCTACAGCAAGGCACATATGAGAAAATGGAAGCGTATCTTTCAAGTATTGTGAGAGGCATACCGTTACATAGGTCCGGATCCGTCATCGTACATTGAAGTGGGTCAAATCCTGTCTTCTCCTTCCGACGGTTCGGCAAACACATTTTTTAGACTACCCATTATGCATTCGCATGTGGATGCCACTAGCATATGTAATAAGTTCAGACCTGCAAACGCATCTTGGACATCTGAGTATCCTTTCGCATTATGCTAGTGCCTTCGTCTGACATGGCAAAATCTTCTACGAGGCGTTAGCGTCGCCGATCTCCCGGGGAACACACATGAAATGAACTTTGACCGACTTATAAATAGTGGCAACATGCTTCGTTGCAGGAACATATCGTTTTGCTGTTCGGGAGTTCTGACCCAGGATTGTGGAACACCGTACCCAAAGCAAGACATGTGGGACCAGAGATCTAGATCGCATAAAGATCCATAAAAGGGGTTGGTGGGGAAATCGTCAGGAAGATTGGTGGACCTCGGCGTTCGTCCGGTCTTGAATGAAGGCACATCTTCTAAGATATATGTGCTAGGCGACAGCTCTAAATCGACGTGGAATGAGCGTGTCTCGTCAAATTCGACCATCATGTTGGAAAAGTTGAAATCTTGTGTCTTATCCGAGCTACTCCTACGACGTCGCTCTTCGCTGGTATCTTTTGATTCGTTCGTCCCATTGTTCCTCGACTGTGCAGCTGCTTTCCTAAGTTCTATACTTTGCCACCTAGCTTGGAAGCCTGAGTTGACCGGATAGGCGCAAATGATATTCTCGAAGAGGCATCTTTGACACCCACTCTCCACCAGTGCATTTTAACAGCATAGCGAGAAAGAGACGATACTTTCTGCTTGCCTCGGTGAAGTGGCCAGAATTAAAATGTGTTAACTGATCAAGGAAATGAACAAGTCGTTAGGTACCTACCTACTTTATCAGAATGATAGCTATTACAAGTACTTCGTTCTAACATTCCCTTAGGATCAACAGGTGAGAATGACGATTATAGCTTGTCGGCCGAAATGCTGTGCCTTAGTGCCTCTGGAATGCTCATCCTTCATTTGCCTACCGCTGCATAAGCAAGCTTCTTATGATTACCCGCTGTCTTGGGCTCGCCATCTCAAGAACTTTTATGAAGAAAGCTACATTCTCCTTCGCCTAGATCCTCGTAGAAGCCCTTAGTGCTGGTATACTACATGCACACGAGAGAACCCAGCATGCTGCATTTAATGAATACGAAATACGCTATATCGTACCTGATCTAGAACAAGATTAACATATCGCGATTTCGGAAGAGACGCCCGAGTCCGAATCCCGCTACGCTTTACACCAAAACCGTCGCTAGCGAGCCATTCCCATATCCCGGTCAAAAGACTGCTGGTTCTAGCCCCGCTGCATCTTTCAGCCATCAAGCACGGAGCAGATCCCTTTAATCATGCAGACCATCTAGCATACGGGGCCCCGCTTCACCATCCGCGGTGGTAAGCACAACCCGACTCGTGGGTGGGCCAGCGTCGACGAGCGGGGCATCCTCTTAGGCACGTCGCGCCTAGACGAGGTTGCCGTGAGCGCCGACACTTCGACGGTCGAGGTTGGTCCCGGAAACCGCTGGTTCCGCGTACGAAAAGCTCGAGGGCACGGGGCGCTCCATGCTTGGGGATCGCTCGTCGAATTTCGACATCGGCGGTCTACTACTCGGGTGCGGGATTCCGAGCTTATCAGTAAAGTACGGGCTTGCTTGCGAGTATGTACGGGAGTGCGAGGTAGTGTTAGGTAATGGCGTTAGGTAAAGGCACGATCGTCGTTACTAATAGGGAGACGAACGCAGATTTGTGGTGAGTCTTGAAGGGGGCGGGTCCAGTTTCGGTACGTATTAAAAGATGACGGCTTTCTAGGACGGTATTTTTCATTCTCTTGCGCGATAAAATCAGTGCTTACGAATATTCTAACCGTTCTCCTAGGAATCGTGGTGAAGTTCGCGCTCGAGACAGTTCCTCTCGACCGTATCTGGTGCTAAGCGCGCGCCTACGTTCCGGATGAGAGAAGGCAATTGCTAAGGGCCGTCTGCGAGTACTAGGCTGCCGCTGACGCAGATGAAAAGGCCACACTCGCGCTTAGTATGTTTAACGGTCACACCCATAGTAGCCTTTGTCTTCTCCGCGCCTGTCGACCTCCCGCCTGTCTTCCACATGTTCCGTGATATATCCTTCCAGCGGCACTTCATCGAACCCAGTCTTGGGACACCCTATACAATCGCAAATGCCTTCGAGAACGTATTGGAAGAAAGACTCGTTTTCGAAGAAGTTCATAGCTCCAATCCTCCTGTCGGAAACTATTGCGCTCGTGGTGTTTTACGCAGCTAATTAGTAGCCATGAATATTAGGCGTGATAAATGGCATTCTCGACGAATCCGGATCTCTTTTGATACGAGGAAAGCCATGATCGTTGGCTGGAGCTCTCGAAAAATGTGATGGGGCAATGCGACTGCATGATAACTTTCGGTATCCGGCCCGTCAAGTCAAGCCCTGCCATGAGGAGCAGCGCCTAAGGAAACCCACTCAACCTTTTGCTGGAAGGCCAACAATGTTCGTGAACTTGACCTTACTCATCCTCGTTATATGAACCCCATCATTCAGTGACCAGATGACAAACTTGACAACTTTGCGCGCCAGGCATCAAGACTGGCGACGGTACGATATGAGAGGTCGTCAGACGGAGAGGCGACTTTTCTCGATTTCAAGTTTCTCGGCGATGTTATATGGGGCCATCACCCCATTGCAAGCTTTGGCGAAGATAAGGTGCGCAAGCTGCCTGCGTAAGATTGCCCAAGGCACGATCTGGATTAGAAGCTGCAAGGAAACGGTTTCTTGCTCCACAAGATGCCATAAATCCAAACCCCTCCACGATCATCCCTTGCCAAGACTAGTGGCTTGAGACCTGCAGGCGCCCTCTCAAGACGCATTGATTTTGATAAGAAAATAGAAGAGAACGCCATGTCGTTCTAGATGACTTTTAAATCTTGATTAAATAGATGTTTAGTCATGATTATCAAATCCAAACAACTTTGACCAGGTAATTTTCTCGTGGCGCATCGTTTTGTCGCCACTTTTGATTTTTCCTGTTAAACGAAGTCAATTCTCGCCCAAGGCCAGACGCCTACCTACCTGGTACCTACCGCTATTCGGTGTCGATATTTGACCGCACTCCGAACATGGATGCTCTGCTGGAATGGAAATCCAAGAGTCGTATTAGTAATGCTGTCAAGAATGCTGCGATATTGCCATAACCTTTGATAATACATAAGAGAACCTTCGTCTCTACGCAAATCTAGATTTCTAGATCTTATTTCATACTATCTCACAGTTTTCAATCGACACACTATCCATATTGGCGCCCCCTAATGATGAAATAGCAAAGCTCTAGAACGTAATACATTCTAAACAGGCTAGACATACCGGCTTTGTGTTCCTCGGGTTACACAACGTCGTGGAATGGAATAGCCATAAAAGCCGGTCGACTCCTCTCTCCACCTGTTTCAACTAGGTATTAACAGTTCGTCTTTCCCCCAACTCGACTCTTAGCTTCGTAAACCCTACGCAGCTAGGTATCTTCCAATTTGCCATGGCCAACGGAAAGCTTCTCGTCCTCGGCGCCACAGGCGAGACGGGCCAAGTCGTCGTGAAGCGCGCTCTCGAGCTAGGCTGGCGCGTGACCATTTACGGCAGACGAACACTGCCAGAGCATGCCGAGAACCCAGATATCCAGGTGAGATTCAATCGCTCTTCCTACCCCCATTGCCAACGTTTCGAAGCGAATAATTTCCTACCCACCTGCCTACCTACATAGCTAGCGAGCTAACACCGCGACGCATACGCAGTCCGTCGAAGGCGCCCTCGACAACGAGCAGCAACTGCGGACCGCGATCCGTGGGCAAGACGCCATCATCTCCGTGGTCGGGCCATCAGGCATGCGGGCGCAAACAGCCGTCTTCGTGCCGGCGTACAAGCTGATCCTGTCCATCATGAAGGAAGAGGGTGTACGGCGCATCATCGCGCTGAGCACCTTCAGCGTCAAGGACCCCAACGACAAGCCCAGCGTCTTCATCTGGTTCCTGACGACCGTGCTCTGGGCCGTCGCGCACAACATCTGGAAGTCGATCGTCGACGTCGGCGAGGTCTTCGACAAGTACGGCGGCGACATCGACTGGACCCTGTTCCGCGTCGGCTTCTTGGGGAATGGGCCTCGAGGCAAGGTTGTGGATGGGTACGTGGCGGATGGCACGCTGGGTGCCTCCGTCGAGCGCGCTGACATCGCCGAGTGGGCGCTGACTCAAGCGGAGAAGTCGCCGCCGGAGTATGTGCGGGCGAAACCTGGCATTTCTTCCATTAAAAACTAATGGGTTGATCTATATGGAAGTCTATGGGAGTCGAGCTAATGACTTGGTCGTTTGTATTTGGGAGTCAGTTCCGGATTGTAGTGTCAAGAAAACCATACAAAGCCCTACAATTAAGCAACTGAACTTGTAAGACTACCTAGAAGCTTCAAGAATGAATGGTCACTTTATATGTGAAGTAAATAGTAATGCACTCCATATCCTACTTTCAACTCTAACCCTAACCCTGCTCATGCATGCCCAGGGTTAGGGTTAGGGTTAGGACAGTGCTTATGTAAGCGTGCAGAAACCCCTGTGATGAAATCATCGTATATAAATAGAAATACAGTGAAATAAAGCATTGATCGATTTATACCTATACTCGCACATAACTTTATGGACTATGAACCGTTTTGAATAAAAGTAAAATGATTTGGAGTTAAGCAAAATAACTGCCGCCCTTGTCTCTCAGGTGATCGGCACGGTTCGACATTGGGCTCTTAGATTGAATTACATCCACGCGCCTAGGCTATCATCATCTATTTTGCCGGCAATTCACGATGCGGAGACATATTTACATCTAAATATGCTAACATAGACACATCATGTAAATGTTTTTTACATAGGTTAGGGTTTGCCTTAGCAAGCCACAGAACATCAACCTAGGCCTGCAAAGACCAGTTGAGGAATACAAATGATGGCTATCACGGTTCGAAAGGTCGTTGGCGTCGCGTTATCGACGTTTGCTCTTTGTTTAGCAACATCGGTGGAACGTTGCGAGAGAGCATGTTTGGAAAATTTCATCTCGGACTATCTGAATGCGCTGGTAGCTCACGATCCATCGAAGTTGCCAACAACACCGGACGTTAAGTATGTCGAGAATGATCAGATATTGCCGCTTGGGTCAGGCGAATGGCACATCGTCGAGTCGCTGGGCAAATATAACCATACATTCTCAGATCCCGAGGCTGGTCAGGTCGCGACCATCACTACTATCGTCGAGAATGGCATAGGTGCGATATACGTGGTACGCCTTAAGGTGGAGTCGGATGGAAAGATTAGCGAGATCGAAACACAGATCACGCGTGATTCTGGTGGTTTCGATCTCTATGAGCAGAGAGGTCAACCGGAACCCGTATGGTTCGAAGCCGTGGCACCGGAGAACAGAATATCCCGTGACGAGCTGATCTCCCAAGCCGACAAATATTACACCGGTATGCAGGGAAATGATCCAAAGGGCGATTATACCTTCTTCGATAAGGAATGTAACCGTCTCGAGGATGGTCTTCAGACGACCAATATAAAGACAGGGGATCCTTATGGGCACTCCAATGACACAGTATTTGCGTCCTTAACGTGTGAGGAGCAGTTCCAAACAGGGTTCCTTGGTTTTGTTACAAAGATCCGCGAACGCCATTTCGCCGTAGTCGATGAGGAGCGCCAGGCGGTTTTGCTATTACCACGCTTGACCACAACGGGACGGTGAGGATGTTGCCTAGCGTCAATGGCACGTCTTCGCCTATTCCACCGTACTTCGACACACCCCGTACGTTGATTGTCATGGAAGCATTCCGCTTAAAAGGCGAGAAAATATACCGCATTGAGATGACGCTAACCGAAGTCCCCTATGGTATGAAGGCGGGATACCCTCAGGACCCACCAGTGGACCTCAGCGGACCAGGCACCAACTTCACCGTTTACCCAGATCCATGTGATCGGGTCTGCCTTGAGAATGTGGTGGGAGATATACTGATGTCACTGAGAGTTCATGATCACACGCGCTTACCTCTTGCAAAAGGCATCCGCTACTCGGAGAATGGCCAATTTCTCGCTTTGGGAGATGGACTGTGGGAGACCTTGGAGGCAATTTCCTGGACAGACAGTTACGCCGTAGTCTTGGCGGATGAAGAAAGAGAGACAGCGGGTTACTGGGGGTTTTCCCAAGAACATAGTGTACCCGGCGTGCTCGCGCTACGGATAGCAGTCAGCGGCGGGCAGATAACCGAAATCGAGGCACTAGCCGTGCGAGCGGAAACCAACGACAGTCGTGGCGGAACGATGACGCTCATGCGCCCGCCTCTGCCGGTAGAGTGGGAAGGAGATGAGTCAGCAGTATTTGACGCCGCATTCCAAGAGCGTAGCATTGACGGTCTTGAGATTTCGCCAGAGTTGTTGAATACATACTTCGACGGTTTAGAGAAGCATTCGAGCGAGGGAGTGCCATTTGCCCCGGGGTGCACTAGACGGGACAATTTGATTCAAGCGAATTTAACTTGCGCCGATCAACTCGACGGCAAAGGACAAGCTCTGAATGGCCTTCCAATTGATACAACGGCAGTCCGTGACCGACGCGTTCTCGCGGCTGACAAGAAGAGAGCGATCGCGTTAGCTGTCGCTTTGATCGACGAACCAGGGAATAGTCCTAGCCCTAGTCCATTGCCTGAGACGACACGTATTCCAGGCACCTATATGGTTCCACAGCTGTTCAAGATTAATAACGGGACCATCATTCGTGTCGAAAGCGTGGTTAAGTGGATGCCTTTTGGATATACATCTGAATGGTCGAGGCTGGAGGAGTAGGAGAGGATGAAGTAAGAACTTGGCAAATATTTGAAACCAGCTAGGCAAATACATAAATCAGATCCTATATGTAATTATAAAGTATGAAGAATAGGATCCTTTATAGGGCTAGTATCGTCATTCTACTCAAGTAGCGGGTTTATGCGAGTATCATATATAAAAGCCCCGCAGTATGCGTTGTTACTCAGGCTATTACTTGTCTAGGATCATACGAATGGAGGGGCATCCCTGTCCCATTGTCGCCTTGTCTCCTCGGCCCCTTATAAGACGGGCCAACATCGACACCGACATCAAACACCGAAGTTCTAGACATTTACCTACAAGACAGTTTTCATGTCTCTGGAAGGCACCCCCTCACTAAATACCTCACTGAATACCTAGGAAGCCGTCGAGGTTCTACAATCAGAACAAGATGCAGTCGGGAATATCTGGTATGGCATCCTCCTTCGTCCCTTTTCCAAACTCAGGGGGTACAGCGAGCTCACAGTCGTAACACAGTATCTCAGGAGCTCATCTCCAAATTCAACACTCTTCTATCCGACTCCTCACAATTCGGACTTCTCGTAACCATCACGGGGGAGTCTCTAACACCAAAAGATACCCTCACCGGCGCCTCGAGCGATTTCTCCTCCAACCTCTCCAAGCTAGCCCCCCACTTAAAACCCGACGAGGCGCTCTACATCCTCCTGCGCCGATATGACACCGCTCCGTACCTTATAGCTGTGACATACGTGCCGGACTCGGCCAAGGTCCGGCAGAAGATGTTATTTGCATCGACGAGGTTGACACTCGTGCGCGAGCTGGGCTCCGAACACTTCCGCGAGACTATATTCATGACCACAGCTGAAGAGCTAAGTGCTGCCGGTTTCGAGAAGCATGACCGTCACAGCGCACTTGAAGCGCCCCTTACCGAAGAGGAAAGGACACTTGGCGAGGTGAAAAGGGCTGAGGCCGAGGCCGGTGCCGGCACGGGAACTCGCGAGATCCACCTTAGCACACACATGAAGATGCCCGTTGCTACCGACGCCTTAGTTGCCTTAAGTGAACTAGGTCGCGAGGAAGGCAGCGGCTTAGTGATGTTGGTAAGCTACGTTGAAGCAAACAATGCCATTATGTAACCTTTTTGGATATGTATTAACAGAGACATCCAGAAAATCAACTCTGACACCGAAGTCGTAGAGCTATTCCCTAGCTCCGAAATACCGAAAACCATCCCCGAGCTCGTGAAGACTATCTCGCCAACCGAACCGCGCTTCACCTTCTTCCGATACAAAGCCACTCCGCCGCGTGGAGGCGAGGAGAAGAACGTTGTGCTCTTCTTCTACACATGCCCCGCCATGCCAGGAACCAAGGCCATTAAGTTCCGCATGGTCTACCCTCTTATGAAGCGCGCCGTGCTCACAGTGGCCACGACTGAGGCAGGGCTGCAGATCGAGAAGAAGTTCGACGTCGAGGACCCGAGCGAGATCACGGAGGAGATCGTGACGTCGGAGCTGTTCCCCGAAACGGAGACGAAGACGGGTTTCAGGAGACCCAAAAGGCCCGGGAGGTGACCTTGATTAGTATGAGCCATCATGTGATTATAACGAGAGTAACGCTAGCGTGACCGGATGATAGATGACGAATCAATGCGATTGTATTCCACTATTTACCGAAATGCGATATGCCAACAAGATTGAAGTAGCCACCTAGGTATATCCAACGCGAACTTCACCAACTTTACACCACATCCCCAGTCCTAAAGGTTTGTCTTTAAATTTACTCCTCGTATCTACTTCCAGACAACACACTGGGGCCGCTCTTCTCCAACTTCTCTTTCAGATATTCGTACACCGTGAACGTGACAGCCTGCCCCGGTGCAACCCGCATAATCCTAGGCGTGATGCCCTTGTAGAAAGCATGGACGCCTTCTTGCCTGCAACACACAATCGCATTAGCAAACCCCGCTGTCAAGAAAAACAGCGTCTTCGAAACCAAAGCAAAAAAAGAAAAAGATAAAGAAAAAACAAGTAGTGAATCAAAATAACCAAGAAGAGCAGCAGGAAAACTCACTTAAACATCTCCCCAGCAATAACGCTAATCCTCCTAAACGCCGAAACCCCCTCCTCGGCCGGCGTCTTCTGCAACCGCGTCTTAATCGTATCGATCGGGGCGTTGCTCAGCGGGCCCATCGCGCCGCTCACGAGCCCGATGACCGTCGTCTGCCAGCTCGGCAGCTGCGCCGAGCCCGAGTTCTTGCCGCCCGCCTGCTCCTGCCAGCGCAGCAGCACCTCCTTGAAGTACGTGTACGCCGTGAAATTCACCGCCTGATTACTGCCCTGCCTCAGCGCCGTCAAGCTAACGCCGCGGTACAAGGCGCCGAAACCTTCCTCTTTCACGACGGTATACAAGGCGTGCGCCGCGTTGCGGTACTTGGGGATGTCGAGCGGGTCGGCCATGCTGTGGTGCTGGGCCTGCAGGCGGATCTTGACGACCTCCATGGGCGTCACGACGGCGACGGCCTCGGTGACGCCGGCGGCGAGCCCGGCCGCGAACGTGCCGCGCCCGGATATCGAGCCCGAGTCCGCGTCCGCGAGCATCTGCTTGTACGCCTCGAACGACGTGAACCGGATCGCCATCTTCGGCACGATCCCCGTCAGCACCGCGCCCAGCCCCTTGTATAGCCCGAGCGGCGTCTCGCGCTTCACGATCTCCGCGCCCGTGCGCACGAACCCGCGCTTCGGGGCGCCCGGCTGGCGCGCCCGTCGCGACAGCTGCATCCGGACTTTTATGGTGTCTGTGTATGTGGAGAGAAATTTGTTAGGGGGTTGTTGGTGGTGAAAAAGGATGTTGGGAGGGAATGGGAAGGGACGAACCGAGAGGGTGGCATACGAGAGCCTCCATCATGCCTGCTCCTCCACCAGCTGCATTGCGAATTTGTTAATTGAGTTTTTCCTTAAAATGGAACGCGGAGGGCAGGTGTGTCCTAGAGGCTCACCGATCAGGTTCGTGGCTGCCGTCGGCGGCGCCTTGCCATCTTTTCCTCCCACCTTAGTCGCCATTGTGTATTCCCAACTTTGGGCTTGCGCCCTGTTTCTACTACGTATAACTTCCGGTCGTACTCAGGCTATCCTGGATGAGATATTGCGAGCGCTTCTAGGATGGTAGGGCAGTCACATGCAATGGCCGTCACCAATATGCGTTGAGGGAAGGTACAAAGAAAGCAACAGTTGACGGGGAAATTGGTGCGCTTGGTATTTAAGATGATATGAGAACAAAGAGGTACTTTTAGAGTATAGCTTAACCGACGCCAAAGGTTTGGGAGAACAGCTAGAAGTAAACAAGGTCGTCTGATGTATACGGAATGGCAAAGGACATATGAGAACTAGGAGAGCAAAATAGTCCAAACCTACAACGTAATTCCAGGCCGGAAAACTTTAAGCTAGAAAAACGTGGAGGTATGTATAGTATGTATACAGCCCAGAAGCCCGGTCCCAAGGGTCCAAGTGATGAAAGACATTGCCGAGCTACGGGAACCGACATAAGATACAAGTACCCGCCATACCGGAAAGGAGCAGATTCGAGTGACTCAAAGCTCGCTCCCTAGAAGAGGATCCGCGGCTGAGAATCGACACGCCATCTCGTGCTCCTCCTAGATCTTCCCAATTGCCTAGGGAAGTACTGGCTGGGCTGGGGAAACGCGAGTAGTGCGTTGTGGGGTTGGCTAGATCGACGTTCGAATGATGGCGGCCGAATAAAAACCTTAACCAGTACAATCCAATAGCTTTGCCATAGTCGTGGTGAACGGTCCGCCGGATCAAAGCTCGTTCGGTGAACCGGAGCTCCAGTCGCGTGGTGTAACATTTTCCTTGGCGGTTGAGTGGAAGAAGCTCCTCTTAGTAAAGCGTATACAAATACCTAAGAGCATTCCAATATCTAGGATCATTATGTCCAATTGGCTTGCTGAGCAATGTCACTTCGCATCCTATGATCTCGATTTTGTGTATCGATTACTTTGTCATGAGGATTGCGGCTTCGAGCAAGCTCTGGCCTGTGATCTTAACAGTGACGTCGAAAGTATAATTGTTTACCGAAGGGAAGCCGAGCTTGTGATTTTGCGGGGAGAGTAGCCGGGGAATGGAGACTTGGCAAGGATTATCAGGGACTATAGGTACGTACCTCTTTACGCAGTTCGAGCCCGGTTACTTCCGGATAGAGTCCACTTACGGCTTAACTTCTTTGAAGCAGTACTGGCAGTAAATAGCAGATGGAGATAGGCATTTCACTTGCCGAGGTTAACGGTTTAACTATAATGCTTCTAGATCAAGTTGCGCTGATTGAGACGTTGCTAAGGGCCTAGTAAAAATACCAAAGATGAATAGGGACTGTTTTAGACCATCTTCAGCCGCGGGGTCTTCAGGTTACTACCTCGCGTCCCATCTAAATCGACCACGGGCCTAGAACGAACTTCACATGCAGGTAAAGTCAGTTGAGTGAGTCAGCATACATCAAACAGCCCTAGACCATATACGTATTAGAATAATTCAGATTGATTATAATGCAATCGCATAGATGATCCTGCCCCCCTATGTAGGGCAATGTTGAATATTTCGTAGATTCCATCATCCCCAACCCCTTTCAAGCTCATAACAGCCGTTTCTGCAGCACACGATGCCACGGTGCTACTAATCATATCCCTATTCCTATACGCCTTCTTTGAAATTTTCTAAGCAATAGATGCCACCTATTCATGATCCCTGTAAATGTCCTAATCGAAAAGATAAGTGCCGCTCAGCCCAGCTCTTTTATTTTGTCGTTCCTTGAGTAAGCCGGTGTTGGTATATTGGTGTATTTTGACGCCCCGTAAATCAAATCCGCGTTATCGTAAATCGGTGAAAGCATTGGCTCCCCTTGAGCCCATCGGTAACTCCAGTGATATTAAGGAACTTAAGCAGGGGTCCCGAATTCTTCTACCTCCGAGGGTTCACCCTCGAAGCTATAGAGACGCACTTCTCCGTCCTCGCTTCCGCTTGCCATTCGGCTATCGCTCAGTCCGACGCAGGTCACGGGACCTGCATGACCTGTAAAGGTCCGTTCGCACTTTCCAGTTCGAGCATCCCAAACTTTGACTATAATAAGAGGGTTAGCATATGATCGCAGAGATAATGTAGATGGAATCTGGATTCTTACCCGTCGCGTCATTCGCACTCGTAACGTATCGCAAAGAATCAGCCGCGAGACCCCATATGCCTTCGACGTGCCCAAAGAAGGTTCGCGGACTCTTTCCTGTTGCTGTATCCCAGAGTCTCATCGTCGCGTCGAGAGACCCAGTAAGCATATACCGTGGGGGCAAGGGCCGATCGGGGTCATCCTGGAAGATGGGTCCATATGCAGCTCGCTCTTCATCAACTTGAGCTTGCGATATTGAAGACGAACAGCCAGGAGGTGTACCACTACGGTTACTAGTCACAGAGGCAGCATCTCCATCTCGTGTGGTTTCGTCTTCAAACTCATAATCGTCTGGAAGTGGAAGAACCTGCTGGACCTGTCCAACATGGCCTTCGAACGTCTTGATACACACTTTAGAATCGAGATCCCAAAGTTTTACCGTACAGTCGTCGGAGGCAGAGAGTATCGTACGCGATGCCATATCGAGGCGGACATGATTCACCCAATCGGTGTGACCACGTAGAGAATACGATTGCTGAGTCTTGAAGTTAAAAATCTTGATCGACCTGTCCATGGATCCCGAAGCTAGAAGATCACCGTCCATATGAACAGTTATGACGCCGCCTTGGTGATTAAGGGTGTTGATGCAGACACCCGTTCGCCAGTTCCATATCTTGACTGTACCGTCCAGGCTAGCTGATACAAGCATCCGATCATCGAATTGGAGCGCTCGAATACCCATCGTATGGCCATGGAGAGTCCTTATAACTTCGCCCTTCTCAATATCCCAGAGCTTGATTTTTGAATCATAAGAGCCCGTAGCAAGAATGTTGTCGTCGAATTGCAAAGCCGTTATCCCATTCGTATGCTCTCCACCGAACGTTTTGATAGTACACCTACCGTAGCGCCAGTTAGATCCAACCCGATATCTTTCGCGGTACAGATCCTTCCATGGCCTGAACTTCTGTGCGCCTGTAGGTTTATTTCCGTTGCCAATACCATTGGCGCACTGACGTTTAGCGGACTCGGATTCGGTGCACTCCAAAACTGATGCGCTACGCTTAACAGGGCTTCCGACAGAAGGGCTATGACCAATAATTGCCAGCGCTCTCTGGGTTTCCACGTCGGCTTGCTGTTGAATTTTCCATTCCTTTAATCTCTTTTTCTCCAACTTCGGCAGACCCCATTGACACTTCACACACTTCCGACCAATATGTTGCTCACACATTCGATGCCAAACGACATCGTCACCTGATAAGGTATTCCAGCGTCGGCTAACCTGCGCGGCCTTGCAAAGGGAAGAGCAATCAAGGTAACATAGAATTTTTAGAGACAGCTCCGTCGGCAGGGCAGTCAGGAAGTCTATCTTCAATTGTTCGTGAACTTCTCGAGATACCGTAGAGAGTTGTGGAAAGCAACATTGGGTGATGATCCCTTGCAACATAAGCTCGCGATGTTTCGAAGGAGCAGCTGAAAATAAGGACCAAACATTTGTGATGGCCTGTCGATCAGCGGCAGGCAACGTTTCGAGTTCCTATACACCGATCATCAGTACCCAACTTACGTATCACTTCATCACTATCACAACATACACTTTGTATTATTCCCATCTTACTCTCGTCAGCCGCTCTACGACATTTCGAATCCGGGCGGTGCCTATAGCAATATTTACTGTTTGGGTCCTTCGTCTTCAAAGCAGTCATGGACGGAAGATCGGGTTTTCCTATCGGTGCGTATAATCCAGGGATATGTTCCCGCAGGAAGGGGGTGACAGATTGGCTCATAAGTTGTTGGGACATATTGGGTAGACGAGAGGCGTCCTCCGGGTCTTCGGGCCTTCGCCTATCGCAATTATCTCTCGACGGTTTCGAGTTGGGGTGATCGTTCGGGAAGGACAACAGCGACGGTCTTTGTAAGTGATCGTAATTCTTAGTGGGGGATATGAGGTTTAGATTCGTCAGGGTGGCGTTGTTTGCAAGCAAAGTGTGACCATTCTGTCTCGACGACGGCTCGTGGCCGTTGGGTATCGGTACGGACGGGAGACTATCCATGGTGGTGAGGTCGAGGGGCATTGGAGTGGTGGCCCGGTCGAAGGACAAAGCCTTAGGCGAGTTTTATTCAGATTGCACCATCCGAGAGACTATGGTGATCATTAAAGAGTACGGTGAAACGAGGTGAGAAATTGCGTGCTAGGTTGGCGTGCTAGATGATGACCATCCAGGTATAAGCCGTATGTGCCGTTTATGTGCCTTCTGGTTCTTTTTTTGGTTGCCGTCCCGGTTTTAAGTTTCGCAGTTTCGCAAGACTAACGGGTTCGCGCAGGACTAAGGACCAGAGAAGGCAGAGGAGGAAGTGCGGTGTATTGGGTATATTGGCAGTATTGGCATTAATCCGTGCTTCTCATAGGAGTACAGACAATTGCACGCAAGGTCGATAAAATGGCGAAATCGGACCCAAGCTGCATTCCCTTGCTTGCGATTTGCTCGAGTACTCTGGATCTCGCTGCGGATTTGATGCGGCTTTCTCGAACGGCACTGGCTGCGACTTAGCTGGATGCGCGGAAGTCGATTAGTCGTTTGAGGCGGTCAAAAGAAAAAAATAAAAGTGGCCATTGTTTCCCAGACCAAATACAAATCAGTTGCCCCTTCCTTCCAGTCTAAGCCAGGGCGGCCAGCGCCAACTTAGCTCAACTTTGTTGCTTCTTGCCCGTTCACCTTTGGTGCTTTGGGGACCGAATGGCGACATTTTAGACCGATAACCACCCGAAATCTTCTTAACCGGGGCCCACCACGGCTATCGGGCGACGATAACTTGGGAATAGTCTGGTGGAGTCTGGGGTAATGCACCTGTAAGGTTAAAATAGAGGGCCATCTCCCGGTACCTGGAGGCCACCTGAGCAGTATTCGGACGCCGTGCCCCGTCCATAACGTAATCTGTCCCTCCTTGCTTCCTTTTTCATATAAACATCACGAATATCAACTCAATTCAAACAGCGCTTGAGTTCGTCTTGTATAATGGAATTGGTCTTGTCCCACAAATAATCACGGATCGGCAGCAAGTACATAGTGTCCGCTTTACTGTACTATACTGTGTTCTTAGGTAAACGGTTGATTGGATTGTACAACTCTGTCATGGACTCCGACAGCCGCCAGCCCCTTGTGGCGTAGATCTCTTTTCGACTAACAACTCCCAATGAATCTGACGAGATTATCGATTTCGCCATTTTCTTGCAATCTTCCGTCGTTCGCGCAATAAGACATATATTACTCCGGAGGATTCGTCACGCAATTAAACAATCTCGCATCATATCTCTTATTCCAAATCCCTCCAGCTCTATATCTGAGTGCATGGGTACTTAGGTACTTTTTGTTATCTGATCCGTTTTCCGAGCACGCAATTAATTATGCGATGTGGCTCTTTAATTCAATGGATTATTTAACCCCTTTTTCGTCACATCAAATGCCACAACTCCTTATTGGACACTGTAACTTCGTCATACAAGGCTACCGCTTTCCAACCATCGCGCATTTGACAATTCAACAGATCACTTGATATCATTTGGCCTTGAATGAGAACTCGGTCGCGTTTATGATAACATAAAGCCTCCTAAATTAGAAGTTAGCCGTGGTTTCAACAGACCATGTAATAGAATATTGATTAGTTCTTTCATTCAGTGAAGATTTCTATGGCGATATCAACAAATTATCTGCGAGGTTATTAAGGATATTCAGTATCGTCTTACAATTAAAATGATTGCTTGGTAGCAAAGGAGATACGAACAAGCTGTTCAATGCTCGGTGTGTCATTTGTTAGACACTGAAGTAAACTAGACACCTCCCTAACCTAAGTCATTAGTCTGTTACTATCATAATCAATGATAAGTATGGAGTGCTGTCTACTTATCACAACTAGTTCTCTAACTTCCTCGATCAAATTCTCTGGAATACAAATATTTCAGCTATTTAAACCATCAAAGAAATTTCACAGCCATGGTGTTTCGTTTAAACCCCCAAGACCTTGCATATTATCGTTGCATTTCATTTATTAGAGGTCATGGAGGAATAAATAGCTCACGCCTTCCTTTAGTAAGTCATTTGATGTGCTAAATGAGCATGATATCTGGGCCGGTAGAGTCAGGAGTGCCTCCCGAGTACCCTCATTCCCATAGAAAAGTCAGATACCTCATGGACGGCTGTTATTTCATCTATCAGTGGAGGAATCTTCGGGGATACATTCATATTGGATTCTTACAAGGCGTAATATTTGCAGTTGCCTTAGGTTCACAGGGGCGGTCATAAACGGTTATTCAGACGAAGAGTCCTTCGTCGACGCCGAGATAACATTCTTGAGCATACGAGGTAATAAGTATAGGACCAACTTATACGAGATGCTCCAAAATGCCACCCATGCTTTATAAATTCCAAAAAAGCTAGGGTACCTACAAATACCTCGCGTACCAATGTGCTTTGTAGCCTTGCAGAAAGATGTAGAAACAAGCGTGAGCAATCAGATTTTGGAAAAATGACTTGAAAGATTAGCATGAGAAGTATAGACTATACCCATAATGCTAAGTTTTTAGAAATTAAACTATTGCTATGGCTACACTACCACAATAAGCTTTACAAGAAGCTCACAAGCCTCGAAAGTCTCACCAATAACCAATATCATCTCATCGGAGCATATATGAAAGGATTGGGAAGAATGTTAGGACATTCTAGAGACGTATTCTTATATAGCGCTATGTGCCTTTTCTTTCTCAAGGGCAGGAGAATGAAGTGTAGTGGCAATGTATCCTATATTCTATATATTTGCGATAGCAGTGAAACTACTGGTGAGCAAAACATTAAATTTCTACGACCAACTAGAGATATGTATCTTTCGCGATCAAATAGTATAACGGCAGTTCTCAAGATACACTGTGACTTCCTCACAACTTCAGACCACTCGAAAGTCTTCTCAAAGACGACGGCAACCTCTCAGGATAAATGTAGGAGCGAACACCTTATCAACCGTTGGGCTTCAAGTGGGTACCTAATTAGCACTTGAATTGGCGGTTGCCTAAAAGCAGGGATTAGGAGGCAAGATACACTCAAGCATCCAAGAAGCTCAGTTGAAGGCATTGCTGGCAGATATGGTACAATGCAAAATAGAGACAACCCCATATATTATTCATGCTCCGTATGCTGGGTCAGGTGGCCACCATGTCATGTGAAACTGTCTTTTGCTTTATAGTCCCTGGCTGTAAACAACTGCCAGCTAAAGGAATATGGCATGATTTTCCATATTGTGTGGATCCAATCGAATCTGTGCCGTAGCAGACCAGCCTTACCAAGCACTTTTATAGCCTATGGAATATGGACACGATATTATCTTCAAGAGCATTAAGTTATAGAATCTGCCTGGCTAGCGCTAATGTATTCATTGTGAAGACCATGTTGCTCCGACCGACGACCCTGCAATGCTGAGTGGAAGTAAAACTCTTCGCAATCCGCGAAACTGGGTGCATACCTAAGCAGGTTTCCATATTCATCTCGAGACCACTTGACTTATGTAGTGACGTGGAGTTTACTAAGTGGTGTCCTAGGTAGTAGGCAAGTTGAAAGTAGGTAGGATTCTGTGCGAGCGTGATCTCTGGGGTGTCTAGATGGTGAGCTTGGTTGCATGTCTACCCTTGTTCACTCTACCTATGAAATACGATATAGTTTCTCAAAGGATAGGCCTTTCCACTAACTGATGAAGACGATGAAGATGGGGATAATATCCGCAAGTGGTAATTCTTCGCCAAGTCTTGCCATTTTTAGATCCCAGATTACGATTTTCTATAGTCCAGTCCTCGGTGATACTAGGTCTTGTTTTGAGAAATAAAGTATTAAAGTAACATTTTCGTAGCCAGTTTTGATTCTTAATTAGCTAGAAAGTATGGATAGTATAGATTGGGGCTTTTCAGAGTTCTTCTGGGTTATTGATATGTGTGTTTGGCAAAGGTTTGAGTAATGGAAATTTGGTAAAAATATAATAAATCGGGTGGGACTTATTAGTAAAGAAGGGAAAATGTATTTTTTATCATTCTCTCTTTTCCAAAAGGGGGGTTATTTGAAAGCTACCTAGGTATATTAGTGATTATGGGGGCATCGTTAGCCCCTGCTCTTACTTACGTCTCTCACAAATATGTCAATCACTTCGTACATAGGTAATCGTTGTGTTTTCATCTTCACATGGCCAGCTAAACTTGTTCAGCTATCACCCACAAAGCAAGCAGTTCTGGTGTTTCTTGCATTAAAAATATGGATTGAACAATCCAGACTTGAGTGTGGACTTAGTCCTTAAGAAATACTGTCTATAGATTACCTCCCTTCCAGTATCATAATTCTACAAGACCCCTAAATCAATCATTCCCTATTGTCCAGGTAAGTTACCTTTGCAAAGGGGGTTACCTATGTCTCATGTTATCACGATTTAGAATAAATTATTCTAATTTTGCAATGATAATTAACCATCCCTTTGACTAGGAACTGTCCTCAACTAGGGATTCATAGGCAGTAAATACAACTTTACACCACCTGGTGGACCAGACCCAACATATGTACCTACAGAACATGGATGGTACATGATTTTACACCTATTTTGCCTCTTAATCCCTATCAAGGGACAGCTGTCAGTTAAGGGGGACATAATACCCAATATATCTACCCAATCACTATACCCACACAGCACCCTTTCGAAAACCAGTCTGATCACTGTGAAAGTGTCTTGTGGACTCATGGGTATGTAGTCGCGCTTGGAGCGTTATCCTCATACGGCCTATAATGCTACTATAAAAGCCTAAGCAATTAAGTCTATGACTAGCATGCCGCATCCAACCCACTCATCTACTAAAACATTTCGCAAGATTGTGGTGTATACGGAAATGGTAGATATTACAGATTAGCGTTGTATACCTAACTTCATAGAGAACGCGGAGGTTCTTCCAGTATTTGTATTAAAATGAAGGATCGGTTCGTGATGAATCTGCACAATATCAAACACACGGAACTCAGTTTTTATGGCTAGAGTTGTATGCAAAGATATTCCTTGGCACCGCACCTGATTTCAAAGCAAGTTCACCTTATACCTGTGGAATTGATCTCAGATACGTCAATTTATCTGGAAAGCGTGGACTGGCGAAGAATGATTGCACGCCTGCGGCGTATCGGTTGAGAAAAACAAAAGGCCCTTTCTACCTATCTTCGCTCGAAAGTACCTAGGGATTCATGGGCTTAGTCGAGTATAGAATTTTTTGGTATTGGATTTTGCCGTGCTGCAGTCCTGCCGAATCCCTCCACCCGTTCCATTGGATGTATGTCTCTTGCCAAAATGCTTTGCCACGTCATTCTGAGTTTAGCGAAGCTGTCGATAGCCGAGGCAAAATTGTCTACCAGCAATCACCCTCGTGCTGTGCCTTACGCAACTCGAAATAGTCTCCAAGCCTTACTTCAGCCTTCTCTGAACGATTCGTTCCACGGTTCCGCGGCTCTTGTTGTTCATGGCGGTGTAGCGTTTACTAATATTCATAGCGGAGTTAAATTCGGCGCGGATAGTCGAAGGCACAGACGCAGGGCACTTTTGCTGTCGATCTCAAATTGGTAACTGGTTTGCTGACTTGGCGAATGCACCTTGATAGCCTACCAGCTGAAATTGCAATGTGTTTGTCAACGCCTCAATTAGAATATCAGTAAAATCAATATTTTCATATTCGGATCGACCGCCGCAAAATATTGTTGCGTAGAGTCGATTAGTGATGGGTTGTCTACCTAAGTACCTAGGTAGGTAGGTACCTGTGCTTATGTGGAAAGTTACTATTTTGAAAGCATCATGGCATATCGCTGGCAAAATGTTCTAGGATGGCTCTGAGTATGGGTGGCCCAGAGAAAAGAACACCGGCACTGCCGCATTATGGTTTTCATGTACTAAGTTGTTCGATCCCTTTCAACATTCGTTGGATAAAAATATCCACTTCGGCATCTCTCCGCCTGCTTGGCTCCCAATCATTGCCTTGCACAATCTGGGGCAACTGGGTCGGCTAACCAACGGATCCTCTCAAATCGCCATGGTTCTGTCTGGTAATTGCCCATTTAGGAAGACCCTTGTCAACTCAACATCGTAGAGCACTAAGAACGACAAAGCCTATGAGCCGCAATACTGTAGTGCGACCCCTAATGCAACGACCACACTTCATGAGATCGGCATGGGGGATAAGGCGCTCTCTAACCCACATTGTCCTCTATATAAGAGCTGCCGGACTCTCCCTTCACTGAACTTAGAATTCTCTCCTCATCATCACCACTATCTGTCATCTAATAATCACTTCTCTACCAAACATTCCAATTTCCAGATCTCGACCAATCTTCGGTATCATATCAACAACATATAACAATTAGCAACCATGTTCGCCAACGTTATCACCATTGTTGTTTCGGCCCTCACTGCCACCGCAGTGGCCACTGACGCCGTCGCCCCTCGCGAGACCTACGGAAACTGGCCTGGCAACCACTTTGTAGAGGAGTGCACAGATGTGAGTTCTCCAGACCTACTCTAACACATTCTCGTTTCCTCTTGCTAACAACTTTCCAGACGAGTTGCATCGCTAAGTTTAGCGTTAACGGCGCTAAGGGCTACTACAGGGACGCTCCGGGGTTCGCCGTGAACTGCCAGTCGGCCCAGAACAAGTTCGATTGGGCCCCTTGCGAGTTCGTTGGCGCTAAGACGCAAGGCTCTAGTATCAATTCGGTGTGGACGAAGGGTTCTAGCGACGACAAGATCAAGCTCTCCGTGACCCACTCCTGGGACAGCGCCTCTGGCCCGCGCTTCAACGCCACCGGCACTGTCGAGTTCAAGAAGGGAGAGACCTCGTTCAACATGCCTGTTGTCAGAGTCGATGCTGCGATGTAAACTGGTGTGGTGACAGGATCGGGGACGCGAAGGATGGAGAAGGGAGATGGGGGGCGATTTGCATTCTAACACGCTTAGCGTGTCTATTATTTTTTAGATAATGGGGTTAATAGTGTTAGTTGCAAATGAAAGAGTAGTTGAGGGAGCATTGCTGGCTTCTGACCTTCGTGACAATTCTGTGACAATTCTGTTTGCTACGTCTAATCCACTGCACCTACGTTGATCAGTTGATAGCCGTAAGCAACCTTTCTGGCCTGGTGCTTATACTACGTTGAATATTTCGGTCTTTCGCATTAAGTGTGTAGGTGTTGATACATTGAAATGCGGGTTGGATGATGCGTTTGTTCGGGCAAAGTAGGTATGTGGGGTCGTAACGCCGATGGCAAGGCCATATTGATATTTTAGACTTGAAAATTACTCCTACCCAGGGGATAATGCTGGTTGTACCATACGTATCGCGAAGACTGTTTTGTGAATTGGTGATGTTATCTGTTAAATGTTTTAGCTTCTATTACTTGCATAGGCTTCAATAGTGAAGAGATTGATGTGGCCAAATGGCTAATAGGGTCGTATTAATCAACTAGGTAGTATATATCATTCAAGGGAGATGAGTGTTATAACCAGCACGTATAAGTCTTTGACCTGCTTCCCAGACATCATCGGGGATATCTTGAGGAATCTGGAAGCCCTTCAGCGGATATTCCCGTATACGGATCAAGTCGCCGACGGCAATGTTGATAACTAGATCTTCCGGATTGTTCTTATCTGGATATTCACTCCATTTGAACTGAGGCGACGTGACGGTGATTTTTGTGTTAGAATCTGGCCATTGCTTCTTGAAGGTCGCATATGTCCGTCTTTCCATATATGGTTTCTGAACAAGCAAGAAAGACTTCAGATGGAGGCCCTTTTCTTGGAGTAGCGCGTACGTGAAGCGAATGTTCTCGCCGGTGTTCGTTGAGAAAGGCTCTACAAGGAGCTTGTCCTCAGGAACACCCATCTTCAGCGCTATATCAGCGAAGACTTCGGCCTCTGGTTTATCATAACGGCCTTGTGTGAGCCTCCCAACTCCACCGGCAAATATGAGATAATGACCGTAACCATCAAGAAAGAGCTGAGCAGCGCGCTCTGCCACGCGTGGATCAAGGCTACACAGACAGAAGACAGCGTCTACGTCATTGTCGAGTGGCATGTGTAATTGGTGGTAGTTGTATAGTATTTCCCCATCTCTTGAAGCGCTAAATACATCTTGTAACCCATCATTTTTCGGGATATTTGTGGCCATGACTAGGGTAGAGCAGACTACCTAGATAATACCTAGGTAGTTTCTGGATTTTCATAACGACGAGATTAATTAGTCTTAATTTAAAAGCGCAATTACTTGCTTATTAGCGGGATTGCAACATTCAAGTCACGATGTTTCAGGGGAAGTCATGACGGACCCCACCACCCCACCAAGAGAGGTAGACGACCAGAACGGCTAGCCACGTGCCAGGCTGGACAAACCCCCACGTGCCCGATGTCGGGTTTTTGTCGGGTGATTTAAACAGCTGCAGCCTGCAGCATCAGCTTGGAGTTTATCAATCTGATAAGATCTTCTGTAACTCGTCTCCCCCTGTCAACTCCAATCTTCCTCCGTCATCACCTAGTCTCGAGGAATGATGCTCGTCGACGGTGTTGACAGAGACTGGGCCCTCGAGATATTCAGGGAAAGCCTAAGGACATCTCGTTCTTCGCTTGATAATGATATTTCTATTTTATCTGGCGGTATCCCAGGCCGAAAGATCCCGACCGATCCCGAAAGTCTTCAATACCTGCGAGAACTAATTACTTCCATCCTCGACGGCCGCACCATCGTCTTCGCCTACAACATCGTTCTGCTTGCCATACTTATATCATTTGCTTTATTTCATCTCCGCGAAAGGATAAGAGAGAAATCTAGATGGAGAATAATTGAGCAAGACTCAGCTGCAGCTTCAGAAAACCCGAGGAAGACATCCGATGGCTCCGAGATCGTGAACGAGAGCGAGGCCGAATCTTCTTCCAGTAGCACTCTAGAGGGTTCCCTATCATCGCACATCTTACTTAAAGTAGCTGATGAAGATGTCGAGAGACAACCTCTCCTTCGAACCCAGCGAAAGTCGCATCTAGGGAATTCAAGGATTCATTGGTTGAACGGCCTGAGGTCTCTGTTACTATACCAGCCCCGACCGGTCCCAATAATCAATCGGACTTTACCATCAAATGGAACTTCTCTCTCCGTCTTAGCCTTCCTCGGCCTCAACGTCTTTTATCATTTCTATAAACTTCCCCTAGAACTAAGATTCTTCTTTGCTTTTGCCGATCGAGCTGGTATTATATTTATCGTCAATCTCCCTCTTCTTTACCTTCTTGCTGCCAAGAATCAGCCACTTAAATTGCTCACTGGGCATTCATATGAAGCTCTCAACATCTACCATCGCCGCGTCGGCGAACTACTATGCTTTGAAGCATTTGTACATTTCGCAGGCATGCTCGTCTGGAGAATCTGGCTTTCGCCTTCTTGGCTAGCGACCGATAGTTTTTATAGCTACATCACACACCCACTGATCCTACTTGGTATTGGCGCGTTTATATCCTATGAATTGCTATATTTTACATCGCTCGGAAGTTTTCGAGAGAGATGGTACGAGATTTTCCTAGCCTCTCATGTCGTATTGCAAATCGCAGCGCTGGCGTTCCTCTGGCTACACTTCCACACAAGCCGACCATACGTGTTTGCTTCGTTGGTTATTTTCCTTGTGGATAGACTTTTTTGGCGCCTGTGGATGAAATCCGACACTTTCACTGCGGATGTTACGATTTTAGATGATGAACAAACCCTCCTTCTATCCGCGGATTGGCATATCCCTTCATCTAGAAGCCGGACGTGTCGAGGCCCCTTTCGGCAGAGCATTCGTCACGGCTGGAAACCGGCCGATCATGTTTTTATTTCGGTCCCCGTGCTCGGCCGTAGTCACTCACTGCAAGCTCACCCGTTCACTATTGCATCCGCCGCCCCCGTGGCCGATTATGAACGCTCGTCGAATCACGCTTGGTTAGGCTTGCTCATTCGAGTACAATCTGGTTTCACATCTGGTCTTCTAGATTATGCTCGCATGAATTCGAGAGTGGCCGTCCGTTTAGATGGTCCGTATGGATCTCAGGATCCCCTCAATATGCTAAGATCGTGTGAAAACGCAGTCCTCATCGCCGGTGGATCTGGGATTGCAGTCGTTTTCCCCATGGCATGGAGCCTGGCCACAAGTCACCATGGAAAGAGACAGCTTCATCTTATTTGGGTGATACACTCACAAGCTCAACGCTCATGGATACCGGAAGAGAGGATCACTGAATTGCGGAGCTTCGGGGTACACATAACCATCCCTGAACCAACGAGTGAGGCCGGCAGACCAGACATCCCCGGCCACATCGCCGATTTGGTTGCTACTTCAGAGGGGAGGGTAGGTTTTGTGATTTCAGGACCCGATGGTCTGAACAGAACCTCACGGAATGCTTGCGCGGAGGCGGTCAAGTCGGGAGCTGACATTCAACTTCGAGTTGAGAAATTTGGCTGGTAAGGGACCGGATAGGCGTTTTGTGTTTTTGGATATCATGAAGAATGCATTATGACGGTTACGTACCTTACTTCCCAAGTAAGTAGGTACCAGGATAAGGATACAATATGCAAGGTTTGGCACAGAGTCCAGCCTAGAGGATAAGATATGAGTCGCTTATAGAGGATGACGCTAAAGAATTCTGCGTAGAATAGACGCCCAAAGGAGGGTTATGATATTAACAAGGTATAAATACTATTAGACATTTAGTATGGATATTTTCAATATTCTCACCACAGCCCAAGCCCCGCCAATCATTACCGCTTACTTCATATGTCTATCCTCCTCAGCCTCGTCACCGCATGGTGGATAACACCTTTCATTTATCACTTGAGGTGACGGCGGAGCTTGTCTTACATGTCGAGAGCTAAAATACAATTATAAGAGCGATTAAAAGCCCAACTTCCGTGTAATCCGGAAGTTTTTACAATTTCAACCTTCCTCTGGTGGCATAGACCCTAAAATGGCGGAGACAGCACCTCCCCCCTTAGAGAGTGGAGCTAGAAATCGACTAACGACCTTCTTGTATCCAGAATACTCATAGCGGCCCAAAAGATAGGCATTGTCAAAAAACACGGAATCACAGATAGGATCGCCCATAAGTTCATTACAGTCTCAATGACGGACTCCTCGACGGAATCATCGGTAAACTTCTCAGGGGGTCCATTAGCTAACACTTCCACGGGTTTGGTAATAGTAGCCGATTCAATTATGGGTTCATGGTCGCGGCGAAGATGCAAAAAAGCGGACTATCAACAAGACGCGGAGACTCCGACTCTCGTGGGACAGTGATCCGCACAACGACCAATTGTATCTCGTCCTTGCTGCCTCAAACAATAATATGGGCACTGGTACAGAATCATTGTTTCCCTTTGCTAAGGGGACTTACTCATTAGGTCGAGAATTCCACGACCCAACCGAGAAACAGGCACTTATCAAGAGTTGGCTCGATCTCTGCCAAAAAGAACATGAAGCTACCTGCAGTGAGACCCATAATACGACTGAGGAACGCTTAAAATTTGTTAAAGAGACCTACTCCGGAGTTATCGGTGTGGTTGATATGCAGCTCAAGGCCTTGCCAGTTGAAAACGATATCCCGGCATGATACGTTGCCCTAAGCTATGACTGGGGAAGCGACCGAAAGAAACCTCCATACATGTCGACGCAAAAGACAGCAACGACACATATAGAGTACGGTGGTTTAAGTTACGCATGGGTTAAGTTACCAAAGACAATCCAGGATACTATCCTACTTGTCAGTAGACTCGGAGAGCGGTACCTGTGGACAGATTCGCTTTGGATTTTCCAAGACAATCCGATTGCATGGAATAACAACGCTAGCGCAATGCATTTTATATATGGGCATGCCTATTTCACTATATGTGCTGACGGCGATTCCGAGAGTGGGCTACGCGCTGCAGCGCCTCTGTTACGGACCATGCATCCGGTTTACGAAAGCTAAGAGAACAATAATGAGGGCACAAACATTATCGGGTACGCCCCTGGGAATTCGCATATTAGTCACGCGACCACTTGAGGTAGTCATCTATGACTCTGCCTTGAGCAAATGAGCCTGGACATTTCAGGAGCAAATTCTCTCTTGGCGATGTCTCATCTTCGCAGAAGGCCGGATATGTTTTTAGTGCCGCTTCGCTGGTATCTCAGAGGAAATTTAGACTAACAATAGAGGAACCGGATAGTCGCTGAATCGAACGAATTCCCCTTTGCAGTCACCGGAGGAGTTGAAATGTCGACCTATCTGGCTTTATATGAGATATGTGAGGTCGTATACGAGTCGCAGCTTAACTAGACCAAGTGATATCCTTTCTGCATTCGAGGGTATCACCTGGCTCTTCAAGGGGCATATGAACCATGAGCAATTTTTGTTTGGTTTGCCTACTTCATGCTTCGATCTTGCCTTTGTATGGACTCCAACAAAGTCGCTTATCCGTCGCAGAAAGCCGCGAATAGTACCTTCACCTAACAACAAGAGCTACGCACTTGTTACAAGAAGAGAATGTACATGTGAGGCTGAAGATGACTTCCTCAGTGGCGCTCAGTTTCCTAGTTGGGCGTGGTGTGGATGGATGGGCGACAATGGAGCAGGTGGACAAGTAATTTACCATGATAATATGCTTGAAGGATGTCTATTGAATATCCCTCAGTGGCTAGAACATCATACTTGGATCGAATGGCATATACGAGATGGCAAAGGCCATCTAAGGTCTCTAAGGCATAAGGTCACTCGGACTCGGGCTAGGGAGGTCTACAATGAAGACAAATGGAATGGCTACTCTGGGAGCGAAGACTGGAAACCGGTGCTTGAAGGAGCAACGGAGTTTTCAATCGCAAAGAGCACCGAATCCAACACCAACTGCCCAGCAAACTTTTCAGGGAGGAGTATACATCGATCATCCTCACCTATTGCCGCCAATGCTTCTTAAGGGTCATTTACGACTTCCGCGAAGTCAAACGGGGAGATCAAATACCGCGTAGGCAATGGAGGCTATCTTCGTCGTGGGTCAACGATGGAATCCAAGCAAAGCACAGAATATGAAGACACCCGTGCCCTAGTAAAACACGAGTTTCCACAAGAGAGAAAACTCAGCGCCATCATTCCAGATCACCCGTTTGGCATCATTAAGGAATCTCGGCCAACCTCTGATCAAGCTAGTAGAAGATGAGCGGAAGGACGTCCGTCCACTCCAATACATGCCAATCCTACAATTTTACACCTTCCTCACGGAACTGTACGTTACGATTCGCCGCCTGTCGAATACAAGGGATGCCGGTTCCCACAAACAATTATCGAGGTGCGACATCACCGACGACGCTGGAGATTGGTGTGGTTCTATCGAAGTACCCACTGAATGGATATCCGGAAGCGAGGATCAGCGATTCCATTTCATTGTAATATCTCACGCAAAAGCTCTCACTATGGAAAAAAATGCCTGGTTTAGACCTACTACATTCCGAAGGAGGGAGAGGAGTCGCAATGGGGTCTGTACTACATTTTGCTCTTGGAGAGGGATAATGAACGATGCTTATGGGAACGGGTTGCTCTTGGCAAGGTTTTTCGGACCGCTTTTGAAAAAGCAAGTTGGTCCGAGATAAAACTTGGATGATCCTGGTGGTTACCTACGTGGGTGTGAGACAGAAGTTAATAGATGAGGGCGCACGTATCCTATACTTAATATACTATTAAGAAGGGCGGCCAGTCTAGTGACAAGTCAGACCCATAGGTATGTATATTATCATTGAATATATTTAAATAAATACCTACCTAGGTACCTACCTGCTGGTAGTTTGTGTAACATTGGGTAAAGGGGTGTTGGGGCGTTAGAAAATATTGTCTATTTACACCGAGGCAAGGAACGAAGACAAGAACTAAAGTCATTTGAAGTAAAAGGACGTAAGAAGATATCAGAGATAGACATAGGCTGGCCTCACTCCCTCTTACGGGCGCTGTTATCTCTTACCTAGGTACCAACCTATTCAACCATTGCGATCACCAGTGTTCGACCCGCATCCCTGGGACGCTCTAATCAAGGTTTTCTTATATCCTGCATAAATAGACATAACATTTTGGTTTGATTATTATAAATCATGTTTTTTCGCCTTTATCTCTCGGGCTCATACGTTTTCTTATTCCCTACTTACGATACTCTTCGTCTTGCTTTGACGTGCCGATCTACATACCCCTATTGGAAAAGCGAGGTACGTTTCTAAGCTAGGCCTTTCTTTTCTTTTTCTTAGAAAGTTCATTCTCCTTCATTTTTAGTAGTGTAAGATTTGAGAATGGAAAAACGTAGGGCGAATCCCGACTCGACATCAACATACCTATATTACGAGGTTATGTTTCATGGATATACCTTAGTGGATCACCATGGGTTAGTGCAGCCATGGATACGCGTAGTTGATACGTAACTTGCAGATGTTGACGGTCATGTTCTGGCTATTACGCTGATTGCGTATCCCATGCTTACCTCCTACCCATCCGTGTGGCATCCATTATAGAAATCTAACCCGGATGAGTGTAGCACATGTACGACCCTTATTTTTGCAACCAACATCAAAATAAGCTTAAGGTTGCATATTGGATTAGTAAGATATGGACGTAAGGGGACCTCAGGGGACGTATAGGAACACCGATCGAGTAGTACAAACTAACGCTTCGTAACCTGCGAACTTTTTCCGATGAAGAATTGATGTTATAATCATCCCGTAAATTACATAAGTCTTAGTAAACCGAGCCAGGTAGATCCCGACAACGCCAACAATAGGTAGCGAAATGTCTGTCTTTGACAGCAATGTTTGTAAAGCAGAGAATGGTGTCCAACGAAGACTATTACCTTACAATTGCGGTCGTGTGCAGAAGCGAAGCCCCTAAAGCTTGCAGTATGCGATGGCCGTTGCTGATTAAATTCAGCAGCCTTGGAGGTCTTAGAGAGCTGAATGTAACCTTGAGGGTCACGTCGAATAGAACATCGTATAACGCATGAACAATCGGTATTCGGCCGAGAAGGATCCCAGCGGATTTCGGTACCCAAAGCGGATTTAATGCGATGAGGTCATGTCCACCGAATGTTTCATCTTAATCTATTTTTTTTCTACGCCTAGAAGCAATATAGTAACTTCGGCCGTGGATAATATGGGGCCCTCTTTGACGATTTCAGCTTATGACCATCAGCGGACCATCAGCGTATTTCCGGCAATCCCGAAATCCTCTTTTTTTATAGCCCGCACTAAGGATCTGACCATGACTTAGTATAGGTAGATAACGATTTCTCATCTCGAGAATTTTACCGAGGTCGTCTGCGGTCCGACCTTGCGTTAAGTAAGGGATGACAAAGGTCGACTTTGCAACTCGATAGGTATTCCCATCGTCTGCTTCCTATGCCTGGCTGATCCCTGTGTAGATTGCACGGGGACTTGCCAAAAGCAGGCTAGAAACCCATACTCGGACCGAACCTTCGGGTACAAGTAATAGCCCGCATCGTCATATTGGAGGCTGATATTGCTTGGCCGTAACAAAAGTCCCTTGGTCGTTTTAATTGCTTGCATTTCAGCTCCACCCGGGGCTATAAGATAAGCAAGTGAGGTCCAGGCCACGTCAACTTTGTGTCGGAACTATAGCCCTACTAATCCCACGGATTCGGAGCCGAAGATGCAAAACATGGCAGACGACGTCGTAAATACGTAAACCGTCCCCCTCGATCTAACGGCCAGAGGCTGACCGAAGGCCTGGGGTAAAGGTTTCAGGCGTTTCGTCTTTCGAATATACGAGGTCGCACGTGTTATTAGCCTACCAACCATTCATCTGCAGAGTTCGGTCAGACGTTTCCGCATTTGTGATGGCCCAAAGGAGATTACATGAACGCTAAGGATTCGAACATGCCAACGCATTGATATAGGTCGACTTTACTATAATAGTCGATGGAACAACGTTGATCCATCTGTCGAACACTAGTGCTCGAAGCCATGCTACCCAACCATCCCACGCCTCCCCAGTGCATATGTATCATGCCGCCTGCAGTGCTGTTACCAGAAATTCTCCTACAGCTCCAATGGATTCCCGTCTCCTGCAAGTTCCATCGTTACACAAAGTCTGCATGCGGGTAGGCCCATTGGCCCGGGAAAGCAGCTGCTGGTCCGGACGGGATCCCCTTTTCCAGGTTAAATCGGTGCGCCGAAGCCCCAAAACCGGTCTCCCGAGAGTCTAGAACCCCCGAACCAGTCGCCAAACTGAGTCTCGTGCCGCCCGCGAAAGATCGTCATGGGGAATTCTGCTCTGCCTCCGCCAGCACAGTTTAGAAAGTGCGTCGTCGTTGTTGCGCTTCTTTTTATCTACGCCTTCGCGGCGAACGCGCTGTTCGGCCTACTCTATCGGAATGGCTACTACGAGGCCCTGGTTCGTCTGCGCGATGAGGGGCCGCACCACCTTCCCGGCTCCTCCAATCCCATCCTCACGTTCTATACGGGAATCGGCTTTTTGGACAAGCTCCTGACGCTCGCGAGCGTCATGTTCGCCAACGTCACCGACGGAAATGCGCCCGAGCTATCCCTGTACGCCTTTCACTTTGGAGGACAGTATCTTGCCATACTTGTCATTATTGCCGTCGAAGGGTTAAGGAGTGGGAATCAATCGAACTCCTTTCGTTTGTAAGGGTCAATCTCAAGCAACTAATTAGTAGATGTGCACTGACAATTTTATTACGGTAGTTTTTCCATATGGGGATGCTTGATGCAAGCCACGAGCTATGGTGGCACCATGCCAATCTATGCCATGATTCACTTAATTACTTCACCGACCGCCCAGGAAGCCGGGCCGTTGCTCTTGGAAGCAACCTCGACCTCGAAATTATCGGAGCTCTGGGCGCTACCGCAGGCGTTCATGCTTGGCTATGTCATACCAGCAGTGCTGATGAGCGTCCCGCTATTTTCGAACACCGTCCATCAGTGGTTCGGCGGACTATGGCAAGGATCGCCCATTTTCAGCATGCTTATCGCGAAACTATTAGCACTCGGGTTCGCGACGAACCCACCGTCCCAGGATATCTCCGACACCAAAAAATTGTCCCGTCCGCGTCCAAAACAGCCCCTTACCAACAGCCCACAGCCTCCTGTCTCCTTAGCCAGGGGCCAAGAAAAGGCCCAGGAGAAGGACTTGCTTGCTAAGGCTTACCTGTTCGCATTCGTCTGGTGCGTCGTGTCTCAGCTCGTTCCGCTCCTACTGATTATGGCGGTCCACATTTATCCGACCGCATTTCCCTCCCGCTTGCGCGAGGCCTGGACTATTTTCAATGTATTCGTACCCCCGCCGTTCTGGTCAACCGAGCAGATGAAATCTATGGCGACCGGAATGCACGACTTTTTCCTATACGATCAATATGTCGGTTCGACAGCCGCTATCGTATGGACATTCGGACTATATCTCAACACCAGAACGACGCCCATCGGAATAGCAGATTGGGCTAAATTAGCATTTACAATCGCCGCGTTGAGCGTGCTCACAGGACCTGCCGGCGCGGCCGTGTGGCTGATGTGGGAAAGGGATCAGTTGCTACTATCCGTGTAGGAGATAACGGAATTAACGCATATACACTATAGAATTGTTTCTCCCAGCACTCTCGTGCCATCATGTACACTTTGCATATTTGTAGGTAAAGCTGCAAAATGGCTAACCATTCAGCTGAGCTAAAGCATATAAAATCAACATCTGCATATCACGACGTCGCTACGAACCATATACACGCGGGTTCGGGCTATATCACGAAAAATATACAAAATTACTTACTTAATCTTAATGTTTTATCAATAGACTACATAGAATTCCCTTGCAAGCCGCGGTGTATATCGACTTTGGGATCAATACCTACATCATGCACCCGCGCGTAAAAGAGTGAAGCGCGATGAAGCGAGGATGCGACGCGCCGCAAGCAGTTCGAGCTCCGAGCAATCGTCCATCTCAGGGTTGCCCGCAAAATTACGGTTTGTCTGCAGTGACGTCGGAATTAGCAATAAAAAGGCCAAAGCGTGTGAAGCTCTCTTCGGCTCTTTGCTGCCACCGGATCCATGTGCTTAACCTTATTCCCCCTTTCATCTAACCCCAACAGCGAAAAAAAAAGAGCCGAATACGCACACCGTCCGATGATCCGCAGATGTGCCATCTTTTTCGCGCTTCAGGACTTCGCCCCGTGCGATGTCGTCGCGTGGCGAGTGCCCGCAAGCATTGTTTCCCCAGAAAGGGGCCAGCTCCGCCGCGCCAGGCAGTGCTCCAAAGGCTACCAGGTCGAGGCCTGGAACCGCGCCGCATACACTATGCACGAGTGCCCCGGTGCTGACGCCCGAGACTCGGCCGAGTCTGCCGGTGGGCTTGCAAGCTTTGATTAGGTAAGTTGCTAGGAAGGATCGAGGAGGGCTCTGCGGCCGAGATGGAGCGGGTTTCGGGATGTTTGGCAATTCCGGCCGGCGGCGGATAGTGGACTTATGGAGAAGCTGCGCCGACACGATCGACAGAAGTTTGACGATTACAATATGCTTGCTTACTCAGCCTGGGTTTATTCGGAGAGGTTAGGTTTCGAGGGCTTTGACGTCTAGATTGTTTGTAGAGGGCTGCTCTTTAACGTTGTAGTCGTAAGACTGGCCCTGGCGCTCACAGGTTCTCGGTAGCCTCTTCCTAATGCTTCCCGGATAGCATCTCTAATCGAGTACAATATTGGCTTCGATTCCCTTGGTAATCTGCAGCGCGAACCATTTTTGCGGTCGAATAACGTGCGTGTTTACAACCAGCTCATCGCATTCTTGCCAAAACTTCAATCTAACAAGAGGGGTGACGAGATGTCCGTGGTGTATACTCGGACCTCCAATCTATTCCGGGTCAGGCAAGCGGAACTTGAAGAGACCTACTTCTTCACGTACCAATGATCCAAATGTAGGATGTGTCCGGCTGCCCCCAAAACATGCAAACCTGCGCATGGACCACGCTTAAACCACTCGAAGAGCCGAGGATGTTTGCTGGCGGAATAATGAAGTTTAATAAAAGTCCGGAAGAGTGCCTATCAGTTTGGTCGGAACCGATGACTCGCCTCTGTATTCGAGAATGGAGTTGCGACCGAGCCAGAACCCAGAAGCATGCTTAAGACGCATGTCGAGTCTGGGATGTAGGCTTGGACAAGGTAACCAGCACTCTAACTAATCGAGTATGCGCTACCTATGTGTATGGAGTCTCATACTGCGTATAAGCCGTTCATACTGCGATGTAAACTGCATTTCGAAATATACAAGTGTTTAATCCCCGGTCATTTCGTTTAGAAAGGTTAACTATGGTCCTGAGCCTAGCGATGATGACATGTTTCCTCTGGTGTCCGAGGTATGCAGAGGTAGACACAGGTGAGCTTGCCAAAGATGGCTTGGGACCGCGCGTTTTGTTCTAGGTGTTTATACTTGAGCTGCGGGATCGTGTACCTCGGGAAATTCGCCATTTGGTAAAATTCTTGGCTGTCGCCATAAGAATATAACAGAACATGTGACTCAAAAGCGAAACTGAGATCAAGAATGAGGTTGAGGCGGTACACCCCATATTTCAGGTGTTTAAAGACCTTAGATGTCATTAGCACGCAGAGTTTAACGGAGGAAGAAAATGGGGATGCAAGATTATGAACGAATCCTTAACATGTAAAAATTGCCTAGGAAATACGAAGTGAAAAGACATCGTGTGACATAGGGATATTAATGATGCTCCAGAATAGCAGAATTCGTAAGCATAGAGTGGCGAACGTGAGTTAGCGATATGTTAACCGTCAACATATAACAGTCAACGTCTTACTAGACGCATGGTTCCGGCTGGTGGCGAAGGTCACGGCTACTCGCTGCGAGTGATGAGACGAAGGGTCACTTCCGTACGTCACGCATGCCCGGACCCGAGATACGGGCGCATGTTGGTATTTACAACGTCGATTAGTTGGTACATAAGTTACACGTAATCCATTTCCTTCGCAGTCATACTCGTATATTCGGGATGCGCACTGATCAAGATACATCAGTACGATTTCGCATGGATTCCATGTGTCGAATCTGTCGATAATGCCGATCGTGATCGACTATCACGTCTAAACTCTGGAGGCGACGAGACTCATGTAAATCCCCCACAGTAGTCCCACAAAATTGAGGAAGACGATCCGTCGCTCCACCGGCACGCAACTAAAGCTGATGATCGATGCGAACGGCCAAATCTTGTATCCGGCAACAATGACGGGAATCGTCTCGGTTCTAACGTTGTATCTGATTTGGTCCATGGACTCTCTTTTCAGGATGCCCATGAGTATGAAGAATGCGACCGTATTCATAATGGCACCGAGTGTGATACAATCGATAAACCACTTTGTGAATGTGTTTCGCCAATTCAGCTTCGGCTTCTGTTCCAAGTCTCCTCGGACTCCCCCATCCTCGTCGCGTGCGGTCTGTTTTTCAACGTCCCCGACCGGCTCCTTTCGTTCGTAAGCGGGAAAGTTGCGCTCGAGCAATTGTTGCCACATATAGTTAGGAGGTGCTGTAATGAAGGTAACGGTGACAAATTGAAGGAATTTGGCGAAATCAAAAACGAACGGGCTACTGTCTCGGTAGGCTTCGAGGAATTGAGCGAGAATGTTGGATGCGCTGGACAGACCAGCGGCAGCCAACGTGGCTTTCATCATAGGGGAAGGCATTTTGATATAACCAGATATCGATTCCGACCACCCTGTTCAATCAGGTCGAAGACTGTAGAAGGATGAGATAGAAGATAGGAAACAAGAGAAAGACGAAAACGAGTGATGTCTTCTCATTGAAGAGCCGGATGAATTGAATTCGAATATTTTCGGAGGTTTAGGGACGTCGATCCAGAAAAAGACTTGGAGACTTGGAAACTTGGAAATATGTCCAGGTGGGTGTGGAATACGGGGGTGCGTTTCCAGATTATGGATTTATTATTAAAAGTGACAAGTCGGTAGAAGATCGTCGCCTTGTATTCTACAAATTGATTACTTGCATATCTTGATCGTAGGGTACTCGATGAATTGAGTCTTGAGAGAAATTTGAAGTTGAAAAGTCAAAGTCTCTACTCTCTCTGACGGTTTCGTCTGAACATTGATCGAATTTAACTTTCTTCAAAGACCCGAAAATAGAAAACGTCATTCTTAATTGTACATGTCATGCATAATTCTAATGTAGGTGATAGTGGATCGCGACTACCCCAGATTGATATTCCCGAGCCCCTAAATAAACGCTGATGTGGTTCCGCATATCAGCATATTCAGATGAGATTAGATATTGGATATGGAGATTTATTCGCTTATCGGGTGATGTATAAAATCGTTAAAGCCAGTGTGCACTTATCCTGCTTATCTAAGGTACTATGCGTCATAGCTATTTGTTTTTAGGCAATTTTGCGACTCCGAAGCATCCATCATTCAGGATCATCACTGAGTCATTGCAGAACTGCCCAACCAAAATTTCAACGTTGACTTAATATACCAATTTGCATAGGAAACAAAATGAGTTATTTATCAATATCATCTTCATATTTCTAGCCTAGTCGCAACCATCAATAAGCACACTGATATTGGAGGGACTAGATGCTGAGACCGAACAGTCAAGTGAGGGTCTAACAACTCCGTGGCGCTGTGACATCGTGACACCTTGCAACCGGGATCTCGTTCATCTGACAATTATTTTCGCTAGTCTTTCCTGGGTCTATCCAACGAGCTACCGAATGAGGCGGATCTGCCTTGTAGCTGATAGGCTGTGCAGCCAGTAATGTGCTACCATTCCGGCTTAGGCTCCTTAGCTTGGTAACGGGATCGAGTGACTCACCTGTTTCCGGACTTCTGCCCAATCGTCTTACACGCCTCAGCCCCGGGGTTATCGGGCAATGACATCGAACCCAACATTGGCCACCCAGCCTGCCAGCCCACGATGACTCTCTAACTTGCAAATCTGCAGCACTGCGGCCGTTGATGATTCATTTCCCATCGCTTTTACCGTTTTGATGCCAGCTACGCTTTATAAACTACCCTTCTCTTCTCTTGTCTTCGAGAAGAATCCCTTTAACTCCATCTTCACCGAGACCCTCTCACGCTACCATCCTAGGCGCCTTGCGCGTGGCCATCCTTTACGCCCTTGTATTCGCATGACAAAGCTTTTGCTTTACGTGTTCACAACTTCTGTATTACAATAACCTAATCTATTAGATTTCCTTATAAACCGCTCATCATGCCAACGGTGTCATCATCAGCAGCTGGTGCTAGTGCTAGCGAGCAATTACTTCTATCTAGTCCTGGTACGACCAGTATCGGACAAGGAGGTTGTCTGGATCAAGAATTGAGTTTTCGGCAAGGAGCCTTTAAGCACGGTCGGGCCCGCAAGCCTACTCGGGTCAGCAAAAGTCGCGCCCGACGCCGCAAACCTCTCCCATCACGTTCGGCATGGGGGTATGGTGACGAGGATGACCGCCGTTTGGCGGCCGATTCTTCCGTCGTACTACCTAGCGACCGCTGCACCAAGAAGCCTCGGCTCGAGCGCCAAGAAGCTTTTCGTGAGCCGAACACACAATTCTTTCATTCGGACGTAGTCGACGACGACGCAGAACTGTATAAGCTGGGTCTCCTGTACGACGACGAACACATGCGCGGCTCCCGTTTCAACTTGGACACTATTGTTCACTCGGAGCCCCTATACTCAATTCGCCCAGCAAAACGAGCGAGGAAGCACCGTCGGGACACCTCATATCTGCACCTGGACTTGTCTTTCGCCTCGCTAGGTTCGGATGCGGATCTTCAACACTATCTAGTTCCCGACCTGGCCTTACTTACTCCCCCTCCCGAAAACGCCCCACAGACTGACGGAGCCCATGAGCGTGGCATCACAACGGCCCGATCATACAGGGATGCGGCCTTATCGACCATTCCCGAGCTCCCGGAGAGCTCGGTCCACTCATTAGAAGCACTCATCGCGAAGAGAAATTGGTTCCCCGATTTGATTCCCGATATGGAGACAGACGAAGAAGAAGCAGAGAACGAAGATGGTCAGGACTGGGCAGTGCTAGAGGCTACGGATATTCTAAGCACTGCCGATATCGACACCGACGTTTTGACGGAAGAAGCCATGGACGCGGACGCGGCCTCGGCCACCGACGAAGCCTGGATTGTGTTGGGGGGCGGCTCGTAGCAGATCCGCATCGGAGACCCCCGAATGCCCTCGGGTCTCGACCGAAGATCGCAGCCTCGCCTGCGCGGATTGGCCCTCACTTACCCCAGCACATTCAGGCGTCGGCGTATTCGAGGCGGAAAGGCAGTTGTGTGCTCGTAGTCGGGAAACTGATTGCTTGAGCTCGTTGTCTTTGCGTTGAGGTGTGTTGTTATGGTTACTTAAGTACCTTCTACATACTTAATGTTGTACGTAATGTGTACACTTCTGAAGTCCCTGCGGGACGTTGCATCTTGGGTCTGGTACGGTTTCTTGCTACGGCCACGGTTACAGCATCATCATCTGCATTATTCGGCGTCTTGGTCTGGTGGTATGACGATACCCCTAGTCACGAAGTCTTGAACTTGGTTTATGGAGTTATTGGTGTGTATTTTAGGAAATTTTTTATAGTAGTATGCATGGATATAGATACGGCTTTGTTTAATATTATTTTTCTTGGACGTCCAGTTTTGGTTTCGCTGTAATATCACCTAGGCTTTTCAGAACTGGTGTATGGGAATTGTACAATGTGACATGTTATGTGTAATCAACGATGGTTGGTGTAAATGGTACTGTGTATGACAACCATTGATTTTCCCTATACACTTAAGACCATTTAAATAATCGAGCATTGGGATATAAGCACGACCGTCTCATACAAGGGATTACCACATGGAGGAGTTATCTGCGATGTACCTGCGATAAGAGTAGTAGGGATACAATTACTAAAGGAAAAACATCCAATAGGATGTAATCTATTTTGAGAGCTTATCCAAACAACCTAATAGGACTAACTTTCACATACGACCATAGGAGCTAGACAACTCAGGATCTCGTCTGCTCTCTCATAGATAAGCTGCCCACCGGAGGATCGTCTGTTGGGGTGGGGCGGAGAGCGGTCGCATCGTCACGTGACACAACCTTCAAGAATCTGAATCTTATTTTTCGACCCGGCATCGTGCCTCGGTATCATACTGCACGGACCGTTTTCGCCCGATAGCTTCTACTTCGTAAGCTCCCGATACACTCGTTCGCTAACCTGCATATGTCGCCACTCACGATGTTGGTTCCTGCTCGATGGGGGCAGGCGCGTCCCTTGTCATTCACCCTCCTCCTCTACTCCTCTAGCAGAAAAGGAAAAGAGGATTCCGCAAAGAAAGATACCTAAGTGGGCATTGAGCGCCAAATCCAGCTGTGTGTATCGATGTACCCGGGAGCCTATCTATTAAATTCATAAGGTAAGTAAAATCAAATAAATGTTTTATATTCTTTTCTCTTGGTTTAGGTAGGTAGTAGGTATTTATGGCTTCACCACCGCCAATTTCGAGCCGAATGCCTTCAATATTACCGATTATGTTTTCCATTATTTTCTTTGTTGTTGTGCGTCTTAGTCGGCATTCAAAAAGGAGACCCGAAACCTACAAGAACATCAAAGTTCACAAGTCATCCGATATATTCAGAGAGATGTAGACTGGAAAATTAGCATTGACTAGCCACTCTGGCTTTAGCTAGTATCGTGGATAGAATCCGTACTTAGTAGAAATAGATATGTTGCGCTGAACGCCGCCAGAGACCTCGCCCATGCGATTCCGATAGATCCTAACCATACCCAAGAAGCCCCCAACGCCTAAAGAAAACACACACTACCTAGAATATGCTCACCTTTAATCCGATGTTCGCTCCGTTCTCGTTTGTGCAGCCTCGACAACACTTCTCTCGAGAGTCGGTGTACTGATAGGTTTATCTTCTCGAATAGGGACAATTTCCCATCTGGTCATAGCATCATCCATACCTGGCCAGAGATCAGTGGGTAGATATTCTGCGACCTCGCTTCGGAACTTCTCCCGTTCCTTGCGATCTCCCTCGATGATCTTGTCGACGCTTTCCTTCGCCTTCTTCCATATGCTTAACACCTTCTCCTCTAATGACCTTCGCCTTTCAACTTCAAGTATGAGTCCGTCGTATGAATTCGAGTAGCTCTCGTAGAATATTCGCAATTGGTCCATTTCATCCAACTTGTCTGCTATTGCCTGTTGCTCGTCATTCCACCTTTCGCGGAATTCCGATTCAGCTGAGATATAGCTCTGGAGTCGCGACCCGATGTCTTCTAATACTCTGAATGCATCAATTGTTGATAGATATGTCTTTTTAACTTGGTTCGTCTGCTCATCAATCATAGAGAAGTCTGCTTCCATAGACTGCAAGCGCATATTGAGCTCTCGAACTACGTCCTCTACCTCCGATGCGTCTTGTACGACAACTTGAAGCATCTGGGTGCGATCTTCAGCTGAAATTGGATCATAGTCCGGCATGTGAGATTCTTGCTCTGCCATAACGCCCGATATCGACATATCCCCCCCTCCTTGAGAGTTCGTTACTTCGGCAGCCTTGATCCTGGCCAAGGCCGCCCCACCTTCTGTCGTTCTCACTGCGGTCACACATAGATCGAAGTGTTTTGTTAGGGACGATAGGAGTTCGGCCATATCATGTGAGTGCTCGATCATGGAGGCTAGGAATCGGGGCACAATTTGTTCTGTAGAAGAGGCTGACGGAGATGACGGAAATGGAGAGGCGGGCATAGTCTTTTGTAGTAAGCGCATATCGGTATCGAAACGTAATAGATCGCCGTCGAATGATTTTTGTATATTCTACAAAGGAGAGAGCTTTAGCATAGAACACAATTTTGGGATTGGGGGTGGGGGGTGGAGGAGGGGAGCGGACCTGTAAGGCCTGGATGTTTTCTTTCAGGGCGTCCCTCATGGCATCAACTTGAGACTCATCTACAAAGTCTAACAAGTTTTTCTTCTCCTCGCCCCTCGGCCTGAATGTACTATCTACGACCCGATCTCGAAGGACCTTCATCGTATCCACGAGTCGGCCATTGGCGGCGTCTAATGTCTTGATAGTCTGCTTGAATTCCCGCTTTCCATTGTCGTATGTTCGGTTCATGCCTCGGCGTAGACGCTGTAGAAGGCGCACCTGTTCGTTTATACCATGGTAGAGGAATTGCGACTGCGCGGCTAGAATGACGGATTCTTCATGAGCCTGTCGCGCTGAGTGGACGAGTTCGTTGGCGCGCCAGACGAGGCCCATGGAGGAAAGCGAGCGTTTGGCATCAAGAAGGTACTGTACGAGGGTCTCGACGGGAACCGATTGAATAGAACTAGTATCAACATGATGGGAAGCAGATCGCGATACGGATGTAGATGAGGCTGGCCTAGTTGGGGACGCCATGTTGAATGATGTCGGTATCAGACGGTATTAAGATGTTAGATCCAAGATAGAAGATCGTAGGACAGCTATCAAGCTGGTGTTCAGACGAAATATCTACATTCTAACAAATGATGAAGATAGAAGAACGCAAATGCAAAGCTCTTGTAAAAGAACTTGGTGTCAATTATCGTAGGCTGAAAAAGAAATGATGATGAAGGGAGCCAAGCTTTGTGTTTCAGGCATAAAATCAATCATTGATGGTTGTCTGTGCTGGGCGGGTACCTACGTAAAGCTACAGTGAGCTGGTGAACCATAATGTTGGATACGGCAGCAGCATCCCAGCTGCTTTGGATCGACAAATCACGGCTTAACGAGCCAAACTGCCGATTGGCTTGTCTCCACATGATACAGGTTGGGGGTGGGTCCACAAAGTTCGCTAGACAGTCGACATTGGGTTATCGCAACCTGCCAAGCAACTTCCAATGGAAAGGCTCGATAACAGCCCCTAATAACGGTTTGTGCAACATTTACATACATATATGTACGTATGCCTCCTTTCTCATCTGCATCCGAGAATGCCGCACATTCTTCATTTACATTCTTCTTCATTAATAAGTTAATTCTATATCCCATCGTTCAAGATTATATCTACTCTTCTTCTTATACTGACATTATTAAATACATATTTATAACCATATTTGATCTCTTTATTTGGAACGTCGCATAGTTATCTGCTCATCTCAAAGCCTCTAATTTAGGTTAATAATATCTCTCTTCCATATGTCAGTCATCATGACGAGGCCTGTGCTAGCTCGTTGAATAGTAGTGATATTATTTCAGCGACAAAATGGATCAATCGTCTAGTAAGGTGATCAGACGGAAGCCAATCCCGCCAAAACGTCCACATCCACCAGTTAAGAGTGTGGAGGATACCCACGACGTCCTCGACGGTCTGATTGACGACTATCTAGAACCACCCACTTCTCACCAAAACCATGTACTTTCCATCGGAACTAAAGAGCTGACACTGGACCCAAACCCACCTGCTCCTCCAAGGCAGCTATCTATTCCCCTTGTAACCAGCCCTTCGGAAATATCACTCAATTCAAACATATCAACTCCAGAAACTCCCAATCCCACTTCCAGCCCTAGTCCTAATCAGCCAAAATGGAAGACGGCTCTGGATGAGACTATTTACTTCGCTGGCGGGTTAATCTCACATCCATTCGAGTCAACTAAACACTATAGTATTCTTCGACACTCTACTGGAGTGGTCCTTTATCGAGGACCATCTACCAGTATTGCTATTACCATCTTTTCAGATGAGCCGTTACCGGCTGATCGATCGTTCTGGTTACAGCGGAAGGGGTTTTCTGGAAATATGGGTATGGCCGCGAGCGCGCTGCTCCGTACGCAATGGAATTGGATTGATGTGACGCCATCGTTCGAAGCCAAACCCTCGGACGTTCTCCCATCGGACGAACGAGCCTGGCAAAGAGATATTAGGAAATTTTTGAAGAAGGCCTCGTCGAATAAGAACCTATCTAGGCATATCGCCCGCGAGACGTGTGTTGTACGGATTCCTGCTTCGGCGGAAGACGGTTATCTGCGTATTGTTATGTGTACGGGCGAAGGCGCCAAGAAAACCCTTTGTCCCTCACCTATTTTTCGCGTAGCAAGTACATCGTCTGACGTTAGCGTACTACGCGGCGCGAGTCTGGCAACTATCCCTCTCGAGATCGGACTAAAGGTAGCCTCCATGGTAGGCACGAGTACCGTAGACAACTTCGTTTCGCCCGCACGAGATGCCATACAGAGTCGACTTGAGCCGTACGCGCCAGGATTCTTTGCGCAAGAAGCAGGAACTGTGGCTTATGAAAGTCTAGAAGAGAAGTATGACGAAGAGACTGTGGCGACGTACGAATCTGTTCAGACGGAGGGAGTTATGGAGGCGTCGCCTCAGATTGTCGGTGCTGACAGTGGACCAGAGAAACCATACCCAATCAGGTTCACTGGCAAAGTCGTTGAAGGAGCTCATCGAAGCAGCACCGAACTTGGCATACCGACTGCCAATTTATCTGGTGTGCCGAACGATCTTCTTTTACGTCTTAACGGTGTTTATATCGGCTGGGCTCAAGTTCAACCTACCAAAGGAGTTGAAGGTGTTTCATACAATTGGCACGAAGCAATCATCACTATCGGACCTTCGCCATACACACCACCTCGTGTCGTCGCTAAGAACGTAGCTACTGTTCATATCATTCACGATTTCGGCGGCGCCACATTCTTCAACACGGAACTCAAAGTTGTAATCATGGCATATCTGAGGCCTGTATCGAAACACGGTAGTATCCAGGCGTCTGCCGCAACTATGGTCATTACTACGCGGGATACAAACACCGCCATCGCGAGTCTGGGTCGCGAAAATTGGCAATGTGAGATGACCCTACGCAGGGTCAAGACGGAACAGAGCATGAGGTCTGTTGGAGAGAGATATGTTGACGTCAGGTCTCAAGTGCAGAGGCGGGTTGACAGTGTACCCCTGCACCTAGCTGGAGTCCGCACAGCTAGCGCCGAGGTCAAAGACCAAGCCTATGGCAAAGGCGGATTATACATACGCAGATGAGCGATATGTAGGTGTTTTGCTGAGAGTATACCAGGGGCGTCGCGAGCATATGGGATCATTCCTTATCAAATGAAAGAGGCGCTACGCGAGTTTCTATGGAGTTTAACCCGTTCTAACAGTTCGGCCGGAGCCTTTAATCGCTAATAACAAGTTCAAATTTGGGTATTTTTACCTACTCACTCACCACCATCCACGGTAGTTCTATGTCTCTAGATGTTTATTGGCCGTGCTATTCCGTCGCGGACTATCTGTTTCTCAAAATTGAAGCATATCTCATGGTCTATAGCTGGGCGATGTCAAGGGTAGTACGACTGAATTGCGGGGTTTTCTGTCGAATTGCATTTTTCTAAAAGGCAATAATGACTGGATGGAATTGATCGCTTGCTTACTTCAGCGATTTTGGTGGCTGCATTAAAAGTTGGTGGTTGGGACAGAAGCTTCCCGAAGGCCGAGTACCCGGGCTGAGACAATGTCCTCCGCGACCTCACCCGCAATCACGGCAATCTCCCCGTGAAACTCGGCGTTACAAGTGTAACCCTACCAGAGGCATCTTTATCCCACTTGTCTCCCTGTCGTGTAACTGATGGCTAACGGCTATCAGTAGTCCATAATAACAATCATAACTTGGTGGCGCATTTCCAATTGCGCTAGGAGACATTTCCAAATGATCGCCCGAGAGAATATCTTCATCCTCGAGATGCGTGAGACTTAGCCAATTGAGCGACTTGTAAAACTATCGAATCGGATAGAAGATGACGAATATGTCACCCCGTTTAATACGATGATTCACTAATATTCGATACTTTCCGGTGGCTAAATGCTACAGAGAAGACTCATTTGATTGGTAAGTGACCCCCACTTTGGCTTAGTACGCATTTGAAATGCATATGTACCCCGGTACCGTTTTCACATGAAGTCTTTGATAAGAAGTCGAAGCTCCTTCATCGGCCATTTCGTTGTTTTGGCGTTCACTCATTTATCGAACCTACATAATTCGACTTATCAAGGGCAAGGAAATGGCCAGCTCCCCAGCCCGCCGGTCCGACGATCAACAGAGGGATAAGTCTTCAAAAGCCATTGGCGATGGAGATGCCGTTTCCGAGCGCATCGTTACCGGGGATGAAGAGGAAGTGGACGTTTTGAGCGTCAGCGAAAATGTCGCAGGGACTCCAGAAGAGCGCCGTACATTAGAGCGACGACTTAGACTTAAGGTCGACCTGCGACTATGCACCATTGCTGGCATATTATGCTCGCTCAATCTTCTCGATTCTGGGGTTATTAGTTCTGCCTCGGTGACATCGATGCCGACCGACCTGCAACTCACAGGCAACCGATTTAGTGTTAGCATTTTCATCTTCACCATTTCGAGCATCGCCTTTCAACTACCCTCGACGCTCGCTGTGCGCACTTTCGGGCCCAGGCTGTGGTTCTCCACTATTACCTTCTGTTTTGGCCTCATAACGATGTGTACCGCTTTCATCCAAACTTGGCAACAGATGATCGCGCTGCGTGTGCTTCTCGGTATCGCTATGAGCGGCATTTACCCGGGCTTGACCTACCTGGTCTCCACGTGGTACCCGCGAAAGGAACAACAGACGCGCTTCGCCTTCTTGCAGACCGGTGAGGTGATAATTCTCGCTACGGGCAGTATCGTTAATTATGGCCTCAATCAATTGGACGGAAAGGGCGGCATTGCCGGCTGGCGGTACATGTTTCTCGTTCAAGGACTGATCGCCATGGTTATTGGGCTTATGACTTACTTCTGGATCGTCGACTTCCCCGAGGAGGCGCACCGCTCTTTTTTGTTCCTGACGCCCGAGGAGCAGGATCTGGCCGTGTCCCGGATCAATGCCGATCGCAAGGACGTCAAACCAGACCCATTCACTTGGGGCAAGGTGTTCGTGCACGCTCGAGACCCTAAGGTCTACGGCTTCGCCTGCATGTTCTTCCTTTTGAACCTTGTTTCAACCGCACTATCCTACTTCCTCCCTATTATCCTACAAAGCGGCATGGGTTTCGACGAGAACCAGTCGATTCTGCTGTCCGCGCCACCGTATTATTACGCTGTTATCCCGGTTCTCCTGTCCTCTATTATTGGCGACCGATACAGGCTCCGCGGGCCGGTCATCATTTTCAATTGTATTACGCTTATTGTGGGCTTCTGCATGCTTGGCTTCTCTGAGCAGGTCGCCGTGCGCTACGTCGGCACGTACCTCGCCACTGGCGCTTACGTCTCGAATTGGGCGGCCCTGAGTACTTACCAAGCGAACAACATCGCCGGACAGTGGAAACGTGCGTTTACGGCTGCTGCTGTGACGGCGATGAATGGCGCTGGTGGCATCGCAGGAAGCTTCATTGTCAGGTCGGTGGAGGCGCCGCATTATCTGACCGCCGTATGGGTGTCCATCGGCTCGCATATCCTGATCATAGTTATCGTAGCTACGTTCTCCGTCTACTTCTTCCACGCAAATAAGCTTGCCGCGACGGGCAAAATTATTATCGAGGGCGTGGAGGGATTTAGATATACGTACTGATGGATAAATCTGCGGTAGGATCCATAGAACGTGCGGAATGTCTGTGGGTGCGCACAGATGGCTCTGGGATCGCGGTTCTGACACTTGGTTCAAGCGTTAAGTGCCATACTAGGACCCTTCATAGGCTAGGCTATGGCGGATAGACAGTTATTGGGTGCAAGGCACAACGCTAATGACGACATGCTTTACGATTAATGGTAGACGTAAACAATATTCAGGCTTGGAAAACCAATCAAAAATATAGACAGCTGATACGCATTCTGTTCGCCCCTTTTTGTTGGCGCCTTTTGTCACTGCAAACAATTGCTATTGTATTGGCTGCGATAGTTACCTAAAGAAAACGCATTACACTAGGACCACATAAGCTTCTGTTGAATTATCCCCCTTGTCGTCTGTTCCCTGATGTTTCCTACAAATCGAGGGACCCGAGTTGTTCAAAAGGGGAACCTCACTAGTAGAACCATTAGTCCGCCTGTAGGAAATATCGCAATTCGCCATCGACCAAAGGACCCCTATTTCAAATCTTCAAAAACACGCTTCGTAGAAAATGCCATCGTAGTATAGCTCCCAGGTAGTAAAGCATAGAAGCATTGCAAGACCAAGTACTCAGGGGCATTCTCGTCTGTCGGGATTCAGTTAGGCCGCGACTTCCTCAAGATTAAAGAATAGCATACATATGTCATTCTAAGCGTCGATTCCCATCTCCGTCAACGCTTCGTAAACCCTCATATTAATTCCGCGAGAGGGAAGTCATCCGGCACAGGCGAGGCTGGGGGTGTCTCCGGGGGCGTGGGGAGCTGGCTAACGCACTGGTCGCACTTGCCGCGCTTGTTGCCCATGTTGACGTCTCTCCAAGTCGTTCGCTCGCAGAGCTTCTTGGACTCGGTGTTTTCTCGGACGGCCTTGCACACGATGTTGCCGCTGGACGCGCAGTGCCCGCAGCCCTCGTAGTAGTAGACTTTGTGGAAACACATGGTCTGCGAGAGGCAATCTTGTTAGCTGGATTTAGCTTCAGATTGGGGGATTTTTATTTGGAGTTTGGCCTGGCGAGGGAAATTGGTTATCTGGACCAGTATATACGTACGTCTGCCTGATGATCGGGATGTGTAGAACAGGCACCTACTGTGTGGTATATGGATTTGTGGGCTATCGCTGTTGCTCTTTTGATTTAGTAGAACAGGAGAAGAACCTGAGGATGGCAGTTTTATCAAACGGCTGATTGCTCCGACGTGAGACGGCTCAGTATTTAAGACGAGATATACATCTAACTCCAGAATGTGGCAAGGGGATGTGGGCGTCTGAGTTAACCACCTAAACTGGGCTTACGAAGAAATGGCAGGGCTAAAATATTACTCTCTTGTAATGAAGAACGCTTAGACTCAAGATTTATTATTATATAGAGTTGATCCTACCTACCTAAGTACCTAACTAATAGCAGACTGAAGTTTAGATTTAGAGCCCTAGGCATAAGCCACTCACATCTTGCCAGTGTCTTGAGTATCTCTTCTAACAATCATAACATTATGATTACCATTTAGGTACACGTTTATTTATGTAAAAAGGGGAGTACCATTTTCAGGGGCCGGGCGACCCTGAAAACTGGGTACCCATCCTACAAAACGAGTCCCAAGAAAAGTTTGATTGGGCAAATCCGTGATGGCTAGATCTTTACAAGAGATGAGAGGCTATTCCTGAGTTATTGATTCCTACAAGCATATACACGGAAATGAATACGCATAATTAGCCCTACTTGCACAAAGTTACTCTTAAACTATCGCGCCACGAGCGAAGTCAATTCAACATTAGGGATAAATAGAGGCTTGAAGCGCCACAACTATGAATCGAGAACGAAAACAATTATTTAGAATAGTACCTAACACCACGAACAAGTTAAGGTTCAATAAACAATTCAGTCTATTAATAATGTTTAGGTACTTAACCTATGGCACCTGGCCATATGGTTTTTTTTTTCGAGGCCAGCTCTTGTAAATAAAACACAACTAGAAATAATATCTAGTCCATCTCCGTACATAGTGTAATTCTCAGCACTTCTTTTTCTCTTCCCCTCTCCCCCCTCTTTTTTTTTTTTTTTTTTTTTTTTTTTTTTTTTTTTTTTTTTTTTTTTTTTTTTTTTTTTTTTTTTTTTTTTTTTTTTTTTTTTTTTTTTTTTTTTCCTG